CCTCGGCGCATTAGTTCGCCAGAGACGTTGCTAAATTCGCGGACATACTTGGTCAAGTTGTCATCTGCTGACCGTTTCTGGGCAACAAACCTGCCAAGCCAGCCTATGTTGAGCTTGGCCTGTGCTGAATCCTGGTCCCGATACTCCTCTAGGAGCCGCTTCTCCAATCCTTCATAGTCCTTCCTCTCATATTCAGGGAGACTCTCTACCCACTCACACACACTTACTGATACATAATCACACAGGGCACTTATCTTGCCCTCCTCTCGCGTGATTCCATGGTTCCTAAACAACGAATGTAAGGTCCTCAGGAATTCACTGACCTCCTTACCATTGAATGTTGGGGCTCCAGAAGTTCCTCGCAACGGCAGACCTCTGGGTGTCCCCAACAGTTTCTCCAACATCTGCATCATCAACATCGGCATGCCTTCCGGCTGCCACATTCCAGACAAGCTCGGAGTAGTGGGCATTGCGGCCGGCGCCGGTATTCCCTTTGCATCTCCCGGTGTAAGAAGTGGGCTCCCTTGCTCCACATGCACCGGGAGAGGTCGATGCTCCGAGCGGTCGCTCTCTGACGACATCTCCTTACCAATGTAGGCAATACCGAAGTAAAGCCGTCTCAGGAGTGTGGAACTGCTAACTTAGCTGAATTCAGAGTTTTCACTACTCCCGTACTCTCCCGTGTCCCAATCTCTCCTGGAAAAGCCTCTCAGTTGATTATTTTTCCCAAGAATCCCTAGCCAGGGTGCTTCCCACGCGCCCTAGAACCCAAAGCGAAGTTCGCAAGCGCCAACAAGCGTAGGCCTTCCCGGGGACGCCAATATGTAAAGGGGGGCGTACGTGCGTTGTTCCCTGCGACAGGAACCGGGTTGTGATCGAGGGATCTCAGGAATGGACACACTGAACAATCTAGCAAAACGATATAACGATAAACGAAAACACAACGACGAAGGAGCCTCGCTCCGCTCTGTACGACGATAACGATACTAGTGAAGCAACCTAGAAACCAAAAGAATGCTCTATTTGTTGTAACTATCTGGGAGGGAACCCTCCATTAAGTACTCCGGCCGTGGGCTCCACCATACATTAGTATGTCGGAGTCGGCGGTTCTACGGTGTTCCGAGATAGGAAATATGGGAGATCCGGGGTTTCGCAGTGCCCCCGGCACATTGCCTAGAGCAGGCCAGAGCTCTCTTCAAACTATGGTAGCAAGCCCATCTCTACCTAGGGCAGATGGGGCAAGGGCACAAAGGGTAGTCCAGCAGTCCTCCTTAGTTGGCAACCCTAGTGAATCCAGAGATTTTGTTGGAGGGCCCTCCTCTAGTTGATCTGGAAGGGAGGCTCCCTTCTCCAGTAAATGTGAAAGAAAGGCATCCACTTTATCTTGTGGAGTGCTAACCTGATTTCCTTGGATATTTAGAGGGGGTGTCACGAGCTGATCTGAGTGCTTATGCCATTTAGCAAGTAAGAAGGTATCTGTGGAAGACACTGCTTGCTCAATTCACCTCTTCCAGTAATTAGCCTTTGTGCAGGATATTGCCTTCCAGAGTGGTAGGTAGTCTGGGTTCTGCTGCTGTCATGTTTGGTGGAGTAGGTCTGTGAGCTCTGGTGTCCACCAAGGGGTGCGTGGGAGCTTGTGAGAGTTATGTTTTGATGCACCATGGATGGCTAGCTGTACATTATCAACTAGTTCTTCTGCTAGGGTGTTGATGGGGAGGTGCACAGGTGGGGGGGTTAGCAGAGATCTAGCCTTCTCCCAGTCTGTAGAGCCCATCCTTGGATGGGAGATAGGCTCTGTCCAGTCTGTTGTAATCAGAATGGTCACATGATCACTTGAGGTATTAAGGTAGTCTTCAACTACTGCCTCTATCAACATGTTGGAGAAGACTAGGTTGAGGGTATTTGGCCCACAAGTAGGAGTGCCTGGCTCCATACAGAGCACTAGTTCATGGGCTTCTAGCCACTCTATAAGTGCTGTTGCATCTGCTGTTACTTGGTGTGATTCTGTCCCTGGTTGCCAGAAGGGGTGGTGTGCCGGGGGCACTGCGAAACCCCGGATCTCCCATATTTCCTATCTTGGAACACCGTAGAACCGCCGACTCCGACATACTAATGTATGGTGGAGCCCACGGCCGGAGTACTTAATGGAGGGTTCCCTCCCAGATAGTTACGAGAAATAGAGCATTCTTTTGGTTTCTAGGTTGCTTCACTAGTATCGTCGTCATTGTATAGAGCGGAGCGAGGCTCCTTCGTCGTTGTGTTTCCTTTTATCGTTATATCGTTTTGCTAGATTGTTCAGTGTGTCCATTCCTGAGATCCCTCGATCACAACCCGGTTCCTGTCGCAGGGAACAACGCACGTACGCCCCCCTTTACAGCAACACAATCACACTTCTATATTGTCACTGCTTAGAGGAAGGTCACTTCCTACAGTATTTTAAGTCTGCAAAGGTAGTAATGATACCAAAGCCAGGAAAAAGGGACCTCACACAGCTCAGCTCCTAGTGACCTATCAGCCTACTCTCCACTTTAGGAAAAGGCCTAGAGTGCTTTCTGGTGCAGTGCATAGCTGCATGAGCAATCCAGGTAGGGCTACTGGCCCCCTACCATTTTAGCACTCTTCCTGGCCACTCTGTGATTGATCTTGTCCAGATCCTGGTCCACAGGATAGAGAAGGCCTTTGGAAGGAAGATAGTGGCTTCACTATTATTACTAGATGTAAAGGGGGCCTTCAATGCTGTAATCCATCAGTGGCTTCTCTCACACCTACACCTGCAGGGATGGGATGAAGGCCTAATCCAGTTAATCCAAGATTGGCTGACCAGCCGCACTGTCTTAGTCTATATTAGAGAGGTTATTGCAACAGCCTTAATCAAGGGCAGTCTCTCCCAGAGGTCCCCTCTATCCCCAATTCTCTTCCTGCTGTATGCAGCAATAGTAGTTTCTACCTGTAAAGGCTCTTTCTGCTATGCAGACAACCTGGGACTGCTATTCATCAGGAACAATCTGGAAGAGACCTCACAGCAACTAGTGGAAGCCTATAAATCAATCATAGCACTTGGGGCTGCATTAGGCCTTCCTTTCTCTTTTGAGAAGACAGAAATACAGCATTTCTCTAGGCAGCAGAGGCAGTCTATCCCCACAGTCTTTCTACCAGGCATAGGCAAGATCAACCCATCTTCATACACCCGATGGTTAGGGGTCCTGATTGACACTAAGCTCACCTTCAGGTTGTATATTAATTGGACCTTCAGCTGCAGTAAGCAGCTCACTTAATATCTCTGGAGGCTTAGCAATACCCAGCATGGGTGCCCAGTAGCCTCTTTGTGTGCAGTGGTCATGCAGTACATCCTGCCAACAGCTCTCTATAGCATAGAAGTCTTCTATACTGGCTACAGGCAACAAGGGGTTATCAGCTCCCTTCAATCCCTACTCTGCCTAGCTGCCCTGGCCATTCTTCCTGCATATAAAATAACCCCTACTACAGTACTCCTCCAGGAGGCAGACCTACCTGACCCTGAAGCCCTGTTCAACAGTACCCTCCAGAAGGCAGCAATCAGATATGCAAGCCTTGATGCAAAGCACCTGATTGCTTATATAACTACCACTACAGCCCAGAGCTGTAAGAACAGGACCAGACTTACCAGGATCCTCCAACTTGTCCCTGGACCAGCGCCAGAATGTATGCATATAGAACCACCCCTCCCACCACTGCACATGCTCCCCATTGACCAGGATAAGCACCTTCCTTCCCTATTAGAAGTAACAGTCTATTCAGATAGCTCCTGTACAGACCAGGGTGCTGGGTACAGCTATGCAATATACTATGGCCCTATCCTGCTTACCCAGGGATTTGGCCCTGCTGGCGTGCAGACAGAGGTTTATGATGCAGAAATTATGGGTGCAGTAGAAGGACTCCATGCTGCAGTTAGCCAAGACTGCACTAAGTTTACTACCTAAATCAACATCCTCCTTGATAATCTAGCCACAGCTAGCCTGCTAGCAGATGGCAGGCCAGCCCCCTATAGATGAAGACTTACTGATACTTTCCACCAACTCTCCGCTTAGTGGGACAGCTTGCCTTCACTTTTATCTCTACCTCACAAACCTGTAGGGGTCTATTGGGTTCCAGGCCACTCTGGGGTCACAGGGAATGAGCTCACAGATAAGCTGGCAAAGAAGGGAGCTTCATTAGCTAGTCCTGATATCCCCCCTTCTCCCTCATTCCTCAGATAGGAGGCAAAACAGCAGATCTGTGCAGATACACACGCAGCATATTTTAAAGGCACACCTTAGGCCTACTGTGACCTGGGCATCAGACCTCATATAAAAAACAATTGTGATCAAGAACATAAGCTTCCCTGCTGGGTCCTAGGCAGGCTCATAGCTGCCTGTACAGGTCATAGGGATTTTGCAGCATATCATAAAAGATTTCAACATGCAGATTACTTAGCAACCTGCTCCTGCAAGAGACAGAAGTCCCTTGTCCATTTCTTCTTCTGCCCACCCACCAGGAAGTGCTGGAAGGATAGATGGAAATGCAAAAGAGGCAGCCTGTCAAGTACAATTGACTAGCTATTAGGTACAGCTGCTGGGGTGGAAGAGTTTAGCCACATCATGCAAGATTCATCCTTTTTCAAGGATATATGCCTAAACTGGGCCCACTTAAGCACTGAATAGTGCAACAGTCTACACTTCTACCTGGATGAACAAGAAAGGCACCCCTGCTTGACTGAAGGTAGCCAAAGCAGGTTCCTCACCTTTAGAAGTCCAGGCCAGGGTAGCGCCTGGTGCTTCTTCCACTCTTTTCCAACACATAGTGTCCAGCTTTGTTGCTTCAAGCATGTATTTATTTTAGTGAGTCTTTGCTTAGGTAGCACGTCCGGATGCCCCTTGGGAGGCCGCGGGTCACGTGTGCCACGTGATCCGCCGAGTGACGTTAAATAGTAATCAAATCAAATCAAATCAAACCTCTTCCTCATTATACATGGTCCTTGGTCCCTTTACTGCAATATTATCAATATACGGTGTCACAGTTCTTCCTTCTAGTCCTAGAATCTTTGGCCTCCAAACTCACAGTCCTCCACCTGGCTCAGGTGGGAGTTGAACCTCATCCTTAGTATCTGTGGTTACTACGTCTGTAGTTCTGCAAGACACTGGTACTGCTCTTATCCAGCCCTCTAAGATGATAAACAGAAAGATCTCACGACCTGGTCAACACTGAGATCCGATATTGGATGCGGGCCAAGGACCCCATCCAACAAAGGGGTCCTCAGGCTCAGCTCGCGGCACTAGCATACATGTCTGATGCATATTTTATTGGTGTTGCAGTTCAAGTATACAACATGCCAGGTCAAATGGTTGGGACCAAAATGGCCATGGTAGCTAGTTTGAATCATACAGTTTACTTCCACCAGCCTGAAGTGGTGCAGGCGGATAAGGGGATGTGTTCTGAAAGAGAGAGCCCATGGGCTGGTAATGATCGTGCACTGGTGGTCCAGAAGATTTGGTCTCCTGAGGGATCTTGGTGGCCACATGTGTTCAAGAGGTATGCATTTCCTCCACCTTTTCTTTCCCTTTAGACTGCCTGCGTTGCCTGTACTGTTTATGCTCAAATGCTGACCAGCCCATGCCCAGGGGGTTTTACGTGTCCAAGTGCCCTCTAAGAAGGTGAAACTGAAACTTCCGCCTACAGATGACAGAGTGATAGGCGACATCGTCAATTCTAGTCCCAGAGAATTAGGTCTTGCTTTTGCTATACATACCACATTTTCTTGCCTTACAGTTGTAATGGAGGTATATATTGCTTGGTAACTAGCTCAGTAGGCCGACATGGTGTGATGAGGATATAACATACTGCCCGTGCCAAGCGCACCTCCCCGTACACAGGTGGATTATCTAATGAACCAGCCCCGGGATCGGGATTATATATGTCCGGGAGGAAAGGTGCTATATAGGGAGAGCTCGAGCGATTGAGCATAAGCATGTCAATTAAGAGCTTCACAATGTGCTAGAGACGGCAGTATATCGGTATAGAGCGTTCGCCACGAATTCTATGAGCCCTACGGTTTCCTTTTAGTATTTGATATCTGGACGCTGCACCCCCGATCCATATCACTCCCTACCTAGTTAATTGAGCATCGCTCCGCCTACACCTTTTACAAATTCAGCCATCTTCCTACTAGTTGTCACACTCTAACAATCTGCGATTGAGCAATGTATTCGATGGACAAGTTGATACTCCCAGCATGTTGGTCGACAATGAAGCTGTTTAGGATAGGCTATTTAGATATCAGAGCCTCGTTAATATTGGTGGTTCTCATGGTTCAGCTACTTCCTAGGTAGCACAGCTAGATAGTTCGCCCGACTCTGGGCCTCCTAGCTGCGTCAACCAACTCAGCAAGCTCAACCCCGATCAACAGTTAAAAGGGAGTCGATGCTAATCACATGATCGTAGAGAGTGCCTGAGCCTAGAGCAAGTCCTTATGGAGCGTCTCGTTGGGTATATATAATTGCTGGTAAGCTACCACGAGGAGTATCGAGTGATGAAGGTCTGATCCTCTCAGTCTAGCTGGAAACAGGTGTTTAAATTGCAGAAAACAATAAGCAATCCAGCCTAAAAATGCAACTTCAGCACATGGCCTTGCTACCTATATAATGTTGATGGGGTTCGAACTCGCTCGGTTGGGCGGACTATGAAGTGGATTAGGGGTGCCCTACTCAACGCCGCAACATGATCAGCAGTGGGATATGACATTTAAGGAGCCAGCAGTCATTCTATGAAGTATATACCCTTTGTCATTATTCGCCCAAAGGCGAAGTATTCATAACGCCATCCAGAAATCCTTATGCCACGTGACTGCTCCGCCAGCAAGGTTGGGTCGTACATCGTAGACATGGGATTGGAAACTCTGCCCCGAGTTTCTTGAAGGTTGGAGAATCAGAGAGGAGCGCTGGCCCCCCAACATGGCAAAAGATTGCATCAAGTGCGGAGAAGGCGTCATGGTTGTTCGTCATTATCGTATCATCAACGCCACCCCCGGAGGGAATATATAAGATGCCTTGTTGGGGGTCAGGACGTCAGGGAAGAATCGAAGATTTAGGACTGAGTCACGCAAGCGTTGTACAGTCATCGTTACATTTGACAACTTGGTATGTCTTTTGTCTTTGCCGTGGATGAGTGACCAGACAGCGGCAATATACACATCCTAACTGAATGGGCCAGCATCTCAAATCTAACAAGTGTTGCAGATAACGCAAATATAGCAAACCCGAAACAGTCATCATGCCCAGCTCCAAGACCGATACTGCAATCCGTTACCCCGAGAGTAACAACCAAAAGCGTCGGTTAAGGAACGTCACTCAGGACCGCAAAGCTGTCGACCGTATGCAGCGCGAGGCCGGTTCCCAACAGAGAAGACGCGAGGACGCGACATCCTGGGGTGTCGAGCAGACCATGGCGACTTCCATGAACCAGGAGGGAAACCCACAGCCTGATCCTTCTGCGTTCTCGGACGGCTGGAAGGCCCGCAAGTCGGGGGCCACCAATTCCAACGATGTGGATCTATACAATGCTATGCATGAGGACTTTGATTAAGTGCTTTGCAGGTGGTGAAACCGATTCATCGTCTGCTGGGTTGTTTTGTGTATGATGTGTTGTTCTGTACTCCTGTACACGGAGCCGGCTCTGTTTTGAGGCCTGTTGTCGTGAAAAATATCAAAGTGCACTGATATGTCACTGGATACATTAGCATTTCAAATCAAACCGCGTTAATTCAGTGGTTTCTTGATTGAGAGCTTGACTGGTAAGGATTGTAGCTTGTAGCTTGTCTGCGTAGCTGTCACCATGGCAACACCGGCAACCACCCGGCCACCCGTACACAGATAGCATACTTGCCTCTTCTCTCAATTGGGCGTTTGCCAGCTGCTTGTCTGCTCTGCTGCGTAGAGCTTCTGCTTCCCATTCAACTCCTTCCATGAGACTTATGTTGTCCCGTCTGTGAATTCCTGAGGAGAAGAAAGTTGTCACGGTGTTCGCTCTCCGTCTTGTTGACGGACTGCACTGATGCTTATCGCTCTGACGACAACAGCTGTCTAGGCCTCATCAAGGACCGTCAACATATCGTCGAAAGATCCTGAAGACAGAGAGAAATATTTCCTTTCCTTTGTCCAAGGTTCCCTCCTAGAGAGGCGACATAGCCCACGAACGCTGCTCAAGACGGCATCGCTATCATCCGGCCATTTCTTCTCCTCATCTATCTCCTTTTCTTCTCTAGACAGTATTTCTTCTGTTCTTCCCAGTTTGGTGGTACGTTGCATGTACCATATCCTGCTTCATCGACAGCGCGATCTCGTCGCTCAGTGCGTGCGGTTATTGAGGGAAAACAGTAGGGACATGGCGCTAGACCCGCGCTTCTATCACCACATCGGTAATACCAGCGGCTCCTCCGTTTGCTCCACCGGATCCTCCGTCGTGACAGGCATCACTGTGCCATCCTGCGCTTCGTCCACTGCCTCCGCAGCCGCCCTAAGGTCCACCGCCTCGAGCCCGTCCTTGCGCGCAAGGGAGGGCGTCGTGGTTCCTGTTGGGCGTCAGGATGGCATCTCAAGTCCGACCCCTGGCGGAAATGTGCGCGTCGTGGTGCGAGTTAGGAAGTTTCTACCACGAGGTATGTTCTTTTTGTCTGCTCCTTAAGGAATCGAGAAAAAGGGAATTGATTGCGTATTGTCTTTTCTTAACAGAGACCGAGAAAAATGCCGAGTGCCTCATTTCCATGGACCCCCACACGCAAGTGACCAAGCTTAGAGCGCCAAAGCCCAAGCCGGATGATGAAGGGAAGCCCAAATCACAAGCCCGCGGTAAGGTCCTCGAGGACAAGGAGTTTGTCTTTGACAACTCTTTTTGGTCTCATAATGAGAAGGATAAACACTACGCCAGCCAGGAAGATGTATACAACTGCCTTGGGGAGGAGTTTCTCGACCACAACTTCGAAGGGTACCATACCTGTATCTTCGCGTACGGACAAACTGGTTCTGGAAAGAGTTATACCATGATGGGGACTCCGGACAATCCAGGTTTGATCCCTAAGACCTGTGAGGATCTTTTCCAGCGCATCGAATGCTCCGAGTCACCCGGTATTAGCTATAACGTTCGCGTGTCCTACTTTGAAGTGTACAATGAACATGTACGCGACTTGTTGGTGCCACGGACAGACCCCCCTTACTATCTAAGAATCCGCGAGTCTCCATCAGATGGCCCATATGTTAAAGACCTCACGGAAGTGACAGTGAAAAGCTATGTAGAGCTGATGAAGGTCATGCGAAAGGGTGACACATCGCGGACGGTTGCAAGCACGAAGATGAATGACACATCGTCGCGATCGCACGCTGTTTTTACCATCACACTGAAACAGATTCACCATGACCTTTCAACGGATGAGACCACGGAACGGACAGCTCGCATCAGGCTCGTTGATCTGGCTGGATCAGAACGCGCAAACCGGACCGAGGCCACTGGACAGCGTCTTCGCGAAGGGTCGAATATTAACAAGTCGCTAACCACATTAGGCAGAGTTATTGCAGCCTTAGCGGATCCTAAGCCGAGTCGAGGCCGAGGAAGGAAGGGCAAGGAAGTTGTACCATATCGTGACTCAATTCTCACTTGGTTGCTAAAAGATAGCTTGGGAGGGAATTCCAAGACAGCTATGATTGCATGTATCTCTCCTGCTGACTACGATGAGACGCTCTCCACACTGCGCTACGCTGATCAGGCAAAGCGCATCCGCACTCGTGCCCGCGTGAACCAGGACCATCTCTCAGCCGCGGAGCGCGATAAACAGATTGCAGAGATGGCGGAGACTATTAGGGCCCTACAGCTTAGCGTCAGTCTGGCGACGGCCAACAAGAGAGAGAGCGAGAACCAGAATGAACGATTGGAAGAGTACCAGCAGAAGGTGGAGAAGCTCCAGCGACTAATGGAAGAGACCAAGATGGTCAGCGAATGCAAGATTAGGCAACTAGAAACGGAGAATGATGCTCTGCGCATGCATTTGAAATTGGCGCTCGACAGTCTTAAGAACCCCATCCCACCAGTTACTCTTCAAAAGCGCCAAACCAGTCTGCAACTACTGGACCGTGAATTCGATCAATCAGAGGCGAACAAGGAGAACGATCCCGTGTCTCCAACTCCCAACGCCGACCAGGAGCCCGATTTGACCTGGGATGATGACGATACGATTCAGGCTGACAGTGGATCTGAGGCTGAGGAGATGCAAGCTGACATGGAAGACCTTCTGACAGAGCTGAGTCTCTTCAAACGCAAATTAGCTTCTGACACTGAGCGTTTTAGAATCCTTCAAAAGCATCAATTTCGTAAAGGACGAGTACTGGGTGATATTTGGACCAATACCTGACGATCTTTGGAGGCTTCGTCGATTCAACCGAATTTCTTTTTTATTCATTCAACTTTACTACCGGGGGAAAGAATTGGGCGTCTAGGAAATGTTTAAATATGGGTATTCAAGGCGGCTACACGTGTGGTTTTCTGTTCGATATTCTCCTGTTGTTTCCGGCAACCATTGCTGCTCGTTTGGCTGGCGTGTTATCGGAATTGGAATGCTTGGTCAAGGGGTTGATCAAATTGTTCTGTCTTTTTTGGGCCCAGATTTGATCAGCGTTTTGTTTTCACTTCCTTTATTCCTTTCTTCTGCGCGATTTGCGATAATGAAGGCTGAGGCTTCACTGGTGCTATGCTACTATGAATAATGAGACGATGTTGACGAGTAGCAGACGGGACTAGAGTTGTTGAATTCAACCATTTTTCTCGAAAACCTCCTCGGGAAGAGAGTAGTATTTAATAGCTAGAAGTCCAGGCCGTTGAATCTTTGCTTCTCCAATCCTATATTCTGTGTATATGCATGTACATTCCTGGCTGCATGCCTGTCGACCAGTCAGTTAGGGCTTAGCAGTGCCTAGTGCATGCAGGCAAAGATTGCCTTTTTTTTTTCCCCTTCCCGGCGTCAAGCTTCTCTGAGTCAAATCCCTCCCGAACTCCTCCCACAACCCGACCCACTATCTGATCATCCTATCCAAATGCCCCTCCAGAACTCGATCATCCCTATATACACCACAGTCGATCAGAGATGGCGAGTAATTCCAAAGTCCCTGCGCTAGACGAGCCGCGTCCGGCATCAGCAGCTGGAACGACCACTGCGGCGGGCCAGCAAACACCACAGCAACCGCCGCAACAACAGCAACAATCTCGCGACACGAAAAAAGCCAACGGCGCCCCGAAACCCGGGAAACAACAGCAGCAGCAGACTAAACAGAAAGATGGCGCCACTACTACCGCCGCCGAAGGAGGCAAGGGGGGCCTGTCCCCCGCGGAGCTGAAGAAGAGAGCCAAAGCGGAAAAACAAGCGCGGAGGGCCAGAGAAAAATTAGAGCGGGAACAAGCTGCCGCTGGAGCAGGTGGGGGATCCGGACCCTCCGGTCAAGGACAGGGTACTCCATCTGCTAAGAAGGGCGCACCTGGAGGTGCAGCAGGAGGAGGGGGGAGCAAGGATGGTGCTGCGGGATTGCAGAAGGGTGCTCAGAGGCAGTTACCGCTACGACGGGGTTCTTCGCAGATCGCGGGTCAAACTGCTGTGGCGGCCGGGGAAAAGAAGAAGAAAGAGCTGAATAAGAATGTTGCTGTCTTTGGCCATCTTTACGGGCAGCAGAGGAGGACGAGTATTGCGGGCGCGGGCAAGGAGGTGCACCCCGCTGTGCTGGCTTTGGGCTTGCAGATGCGAGACTATGTGGTTTGTGGGAGTAGTGCGAGGTGTGTGACCATGCTTCTCGCGTTTAAACGGGTATGTTCTTCGATCCTTGGGCCTTTTTTGCTGGAAAAGAGAATCCGGCCTTTCTAACTTGCTCTTACAGGTGATCCAAGCCTATACGACTCCCCTTGGCACCTCGCTGCCTCGTCATTTGACGACCCATCTTTCCCATCAGATTACCTACCTCTCTACCTGTCGGCCTCTCTCTATCAGCCAGGGAAATGCCATCCGTGCGCTCAAGCTGGTTATCTCTAGCATCGACCCATCGGTTCCTGAAGCGACAGCCAAGTCGTCATTGTGCGATTTTATCGATAGTTTTATCCGCGAAAAGATTACCGTTGCAGACAAGGTGATCGCAGGCAGTGCGGCGCAGAAGATCCAAAATGGTGATGTGATCGTCACCTTTGCAAGCAGCTCCATTGTCAAACAGACCTTCCTTGAAGCGCATAACCAGGGCAAGAAGTTCCGCGTATCCATCATCGACTCCCGTCCGTTATTCGAAGGCAAGAGTCTTGCTCGTACACTGGCGAATGCCGGTCTCGATGTCGAATACTCCTTGGTCCATGGCATTAGCCATGCCATCAAGGACGCTACGAAGGTCTTCCTGGGTGCACACGCCATGACCAGCAATGGTAGACTGTACTCTCGCGTCGGCACTGCGCTGGTCGCCATGTCGGCCAAGGAGCGTTCGGGCAGGGTGGAGATCCCAGTGATTGTGTGCTGTGAGACAGTCAAGTTCACTGACCGAGTCGCCCTGGATAGCATTGTGGTCAATGAGATCGCCGATGCCGACGAGCTGGTACCTGCACAGCCAGTACAGCAGGTCACCGGTTTGGCCGACGATGTACCCCCCCAACCCGAACCTAAGAAAGGTGGAAAGTCGTCTGCCGCCAAAGCAGCAGAATCTCTTGCAGATGCTAATCGAAAGGACACTTCCTCGCTCTCGTCCTTGAAGGACTGGAAGGAGACGCCTAATCTGCAGCTGCTCAATATCATGTACGATGTCACTCCGGCGCAATATGTGGATATGGTCATTACAGAGATGGGCAGCTTGCCGCCTAGTGCCGTTCCTATTGTGCATCGGATGAGTACCAATCAATGAGCTGGCTGCTTTCATGGGTGGTTCATCATGTTTTTTGCTGATGGATAATTTTGCGGTATGGGCAGCGTTTCATGGGCTTGGCTCTGCATCCTATGTTTACAAAAGAACCTGTTGCTATTACTGTCGCCCCTTGGTATCGGCTAGTTATTTGTCCAGTAGGTTAATATAACAATTACCAGCTGCAGCACGACGTAGATTGGGTCTTTAGCTAAATGCTTTGATGGTTTTTGATGCCTTGTTGCCTGTAAAGCGGTGAGATGCAAATTATTCTGCCGGTCTTATCGCCCGTGACTTCGCGTTTGTCGATCAATTCATCATCTTCATGCAGTTAACAGTACGAGTACATCTGCATCAATTATTATCATCTTTCTCAGATTCATTCGGTTGAAACATCTTCCATAAAACATCCATACAAGAATACCTGTGGAAATAATACGAAACAGTACCATTGAGAACTTGATATATCCAAAATGGTACGTACAACACGGCACCACTCCCAACCCAGATCAACAATACTTACGAAAAAACCAACAGAGCAAAGACTCCTCCCCAACCAACATCCACATGCACCACCCCCGTCTAGCAGACTATTTCGAAGACTTCACACGCCCCTATACAAGCCAACCCATTTCCACCACAAACCCACATCACTACCACCACCACGGCACAACGATAGGACCCAACGGCCTCCCCATCACCGTCAACACGAACATGAACCTCACGTACGGCGCCACGGGCTCCGGCACGTCCATCCCTTCATTCTTGCCCGTGGAGGAGATATATGTTCCGCCGCAGTATCAGCCACCGAATCCAGAGGATGAGGATGATGTTGTTCCTGATCAGCATGCGGCGTTTGGGATTGCTAGGGCAATGGAACGGAGGAGGGAGGCTGTTTGGAGGGATTTGGGGCTTGAGGGGCTTGTGACGGGGAGGAGTTTTGGGCAGATTCAGGGTCAGGGTCAGGGTCAGGGTCAGAGTTTGGATATTAGGAGGGATGTTGCGTTGAGGGTTAAGGATGCTGGGAGGTTGATGGGGGGGAAGAGGACTATCTGTTTACGGTGATCCTATATCCATCTCCCCCTGTGCCTTGCGGGTAGTGTTTGGGGATGCAGGAAGAAAGCCGTTGAGTTGCAGGTCTGTTATTTGTCTTTATTCATGACTATATGATATGATACCCGTATGTTCATCGAAGCTTCGTCTTGTCCAATTTCCCTACTCGAACCTGACGCCTAACGCCAACCGTCATGTGCGATATATACAATTCTAGATCTTGATAATGTCCACCCGCGCTCGTTCATAGAGCTTGTGGTGCAGCTGTTTCTGTTCCCGCTCTTCTTCAGTGATCTCCTGAGGATGGATCCCCATCTGCGCATATGTCCCCGCCGCCCGACGTTTCGATAGAGTCCCGGGATTAATCACAAGGACGCTATCGACAACCTGGAGTTCATAGATACGTCAGATCACAATCTTCAAAACTGGGGTTGAATCCAAAACTCACTTTCACAAACGGTGGCAGGATACTTGGAGTAATGAGCACGTCTGGTCGCACATTCCACCATTCGCCTAGTTTCGAGTAGCTCACATCCAACATGGCGCCCGTGGCTAGTCCGCTGTCAGTACCAGGCCGGGGAAGATGTTCGCGTGAGGACGGCGGGAAGATGGGCGAGAAATGGCGTTGTTCAATTAGGTACTTTGGTAGCCGCGTTAGGAGATTGCCATCCTTAGGTTTACCGCGGAGAACTTCCTCTCGACGCAGCTCGTAGAAGACATCGTGCGAGCAGAATCCAATAACCGTCTCATTAAGTGACAACGTTACCGGATTGGAAACCATGCGGACCTGTTTCGGCAAACCCAGTTCCTTCTTGGGTAACTGTTCCTGTGGCCATGAGACATGCTTGCTCACTGCATCGCGAACTGATGGAACAAGTATGATTGTGATGCTGGGAACCGCCGCAGCCAGTTTCTGCAACGGTGCTGTGATGCAATGCCGGAACACCATGGCCAGCGTCGCCGTATCAGGATCGTATCCGTTCACATCAGGCAGGTCAAAATCCCCGGATGCGATAAGGGGGTGTTCTATGTCTAGGAACGGACCCATTAATAGAAGGCCATCGGCGTAGCAATCTGCGGCTTTCCGACAGATTTCCTTCAAAGGCTCGAAATCCAAGTTGTCGTCCGCAGTGTAAGGGCCGGAAGCGACAAAGATGTTAAGAGGAGGGTTGCCTTCAGCTACGCCTAGTCGCTCATTGATATTTTCAATCGCGACCGGCGATGACACTGCGGGAGGCAAGAGAGGTACCGATAGAACCTCTTTGACAGAGAAATATTCCCCGGAAGCGTTGTTGCCCCTCAGGGCAACGATCTGTCCCGGGAAGAAACTGATCGACGGAAGATTGTCTACCTTCAGTGGTACCCGCAAGCCAGCCCCGGTTCGTCTTGATGTTTCCAGTACGAGAGATGCAGGGTTTAGTTTGCCCTCGAGACTGTCTGACGCTATCCGTCCAACTGCGATGATCTCACTGGTGCTTTGCGTGGCTGCACTTCCAAATGCAATATCCTCCGTCTCGTACTGCTTCTGAAAAATGGTGTAGAACTCATCAATTCGGTCATCGAGAATCTCAGATGCCTCTGAGAGTCGCATTGCCATCGGCTTATATCCGAACTTCTTCAGGTCTGTATTTGCGGTCGGTCGGATTCGAGGCTCTGAGAAGGGTGCCATCGGCGCTTCTGGCGTCGATAAGTGAGCATTTATAGTTTCCAATATCTGGCCCGAGTTTTCACGCTCAGAAAATAGAACAGGCCTGGGTGCTCTTAAATCAGCAACGGCAATGACAGCCAGAGTTCCATGGGTATCCCATACCGTATAACGTCCGTTGAATTGCCATTGATGGCTGTTCTCATTGTCTTCAAGCCTGTCGGAGAGTCATTCTTTTGCAACCTGCCCACTTTCGAGATGGAAGGCGACTCAAAATCAGATTTGCGTTTTGCGGACAGTCCATTGGCGCCTTTCGGCGTTCGAGCAAGAGAGGCATTGGGATTTAGTTCATCTAACCTGGATTGCAACTCTATTCAGTAACGAGCATAGATGCCCATCCACCTTTGACTTACATCCCAAACATGTCTGCATTCGCAGCAACGCGGGGCGTAGCGGTTGTTGCGCTCCTCTTCTCTGTCTGTCGCGCGGTTCTGCTTCGACTCTCCCGCTCCAATGCTTCTTGAACATCTCGCTTAAAGGCCCTAACCGTTTCTAGATCCAACTTCGTTTCCTCCGCGCCCATTTTTAAGCAGTAGGACTCCCATTTGTAGAAGAGTTCTTGAGGAGAAATCAAGTGCACGCGTAGTATGGATTGTAGTTCATTTAGGACATCCTCGGTCAGTCCTTCGGGGGAAGAAGTAGAAAAGAGCTCATTGAGCTCTGCAATAATATCGCCTTCCATCTCTGGATGGAGTCTTCCGATCGAAGTTGGATTGCAGTGCAGAAATGCGCCAGACGATTACTCCGTTGCAAATGCAGTCGAGAAGACTACGACGCGTTGGGGACGCGTTTCGCGGAGTCCGGAGTAATTACTTGCTCACCGCCTTCTCAGGGTCTCGCCATGTTCATTTCAGTTGGAGCGAGCAGGACGCAGGAAAAAGGAGGATAATTGATACTCGCTCCTGTATATACGGAGTACATGACTGAAATATGGCAGATTATGCGCCTCCGACTGCTTCCCCCGCTCAGGAATCGGATGCTCCTGTCCCAACAGCCGCTGCGATGAAAGCTCAGGAGGCAGTAACCCCTTCTATTAAGCCAACTACAACAGTTTCAACGACAGAAGACATCATCTCGGATCTACCATCATCTGCTGCAGATGGCCTCATTAAGAAACCGTTTGCCTTGCCCCTTGAGAATGCCCACCCTCCTGCCCCGAAAGAACTCTCGTCAAGTGAACAATCCAAATATGAAGCGGCACTGAAGACAGTATCGTCGTGGACAACAGTACCGACGACGTCAGCGAAAAACAGTCCAACAGCACCGATTACGGATGATGAGCGCATGTTCTTGACACGTGAATGCCTCCTTCGCTATTTGCGTGCGACAAAGTGGAATGTCTCGGAGGCAGTGGCTCGCCTTCAGGGCACACTCACCTGGCGCCGCGAGTACGGGTTCGAAAAACTGACGCCTGATTATATTTCTATCGAGAACGAAACGGGGAAACAGGTCATCCTGGGCTACGATGTGCAGGGGCGGCCCTGTCTCTATCTCATCCCTTCGAGGCAGAACACGGATAAGAGCGACCGCCAGATTGAGCATTTGGTGTTCATGTTGGAGAGAGTGATTGACCTTATGGGTCCAGATCAGGAGACTCTGGCGCTGATAGTCAACTTCAATGACACCAAGAATGGGCAGAGTGCGACTATCGGCCAAGCCAAGCAAACCTTGCACATTCTCCAGAACCATTACCCCGAGAGACTTGGAAGAGCATTAGTGATTCATTGTATGCTTGTTTCTTCTCCACCACGCCATGCAGAATGTTATTTTGGAATGCTAATCTGATCCCTGCTTCAGTGCCCATTATTATCAAAGGATTCTTCAAGCTGATCACCCCGTTCATTGATCCACTTACCCGACAGAAGCTGAAGTTCAATGAAGACCTACGCCAGCATGTTCCACCTAGCCAGCTAATGAAATTGGTTGGTGGCGATGTCGAGTTCGAATATGACCATTCAGTCTACTGGCCAGCGCTTAATAAGTTGACTGAACTTCGGAGGCAGCAATACAAGGAGCGTTGGATTCGAGGCGGCAAGCGTATCGGAGAGTATGAGAACTATCTCAAAGGTGGGAGCAGTCCGAGTCTGTCACAGCAAGAAGGGGGGACGAATGGCCACGCTGAGCCGTCTGAGGCGTCGTAAGATTGCGTTGGCTTGTGTATAAAGCGCAATTGGGGATGATGTGGATTCTTTTCGAGCATTTTCTAGATTTTTTGACCTGTGAATACGCATGCATGATGACTGCATAATCCTCCTGTAAAGGCAGGAACATGTATAGATAGATGCTTCCATGCACATAGCAGAGACATATACCTCAACCGCCTACTTAGTATAATACACTGGAGTAATTAATTCTTCTTGCTGAGAGAAGTTGTGATGTTAATCGAGTAGCATGCAGCATTACAGGGCAATTCACGTGCAGAAGGCGATGACGGCAATTCAGTCTGGACATCACAGTTCTTTTCCCTTCCTCGACCTGGCCGGACAACAGACATCCTGGTTTGCATGCAGGATTGGGCCGTCTGGTTAAGGTTTCCAGTGCCAGGCCTGCTTACAGCATCCCCTCAGGCTTATCCAGATTATTTCCTGTCGTATCCCGTCCCATCTCCACCTTGGTCTGTCGGATAAGGAGCGCGAGGGGGAGACAACCAGAGACACCCAGAGCGACAACCAACGCGTAAACAGGACAGATAAAAGGCCTAACGGTTGTCTTTAATTCCTTCCTCTACCCCAGTGGCCAGATAAACCGGCGGGAACGGCGGCACAGCATCATTATTGTCTAGCAAGCAGAGCTTTCGCTTCCCCGCGGTCCAGCCCCTCCTACATGCGGCTTTCCTGGCAATAATCGCCGTGTTGCATCCTCTCATGATGACGATGGCTCAAGATGCCTCGCACCAGACACCGACGGCGGACAGAGACAGCTCACTCCAGTCCGATTGTAATGCCATCCGCGACGCCCGGCCTGCTGGTCACGAGGCGCATTTCGTGCAGCCGTCGTCGTACCTGCGTCCGACACGTCTTTCGCATCCAATGACTCCAGCTCGACCGGAGAGGGCCATCGACCGGGATGAGCAGCAGGGATTGGTAAGATTTATTTTTATTCCTTCGGTGCTTTCTGGTGTCGTTATTTTCTTTTTCTCTTGTGTTTAGGCGGAGTCTCGAATCCTCCCTAGCTAAACCGTGGGATCGTCTTGGCCAGAAGCGAATTCTCTTAGCTTCCAATCCTGATACAATGCAGGATTCCGTTTTGTTTCTTTTGTTTTCTAATTGCCGTATCATCTCAGATCTGGACTAACGTGGCTCTTCGTGCTGTCTTTGCGTTGTAGTGTGCGATCCGCAACTTTCTCAAAGTGCGCAACAGCTATGATGTTCTCCCTCTTAGTTTCCGCCTCATCATCTTCGATACATCCTTATCTGTGAAGGAAAGCTTGAATATTCTCATCCAAAATGGTGAGTTGAGCTATGTGTCCTTGAGTCAGGTTAATCTGTTCATCTCCCTGTTGTGGAGAATGTCGCAAGAATAATGACCGCCTGAGTGACCCCAATTAAGAAGGAGCTGCATTGGCTGACAATTGGATAAATGGGAACGTGCAGGTATTGTCTCTGCTCCACTATGGGACTCCAAATCATCGACCTTTGCTGGTCTTCTGACCACCTCCGATTACATCAACGTCATCCAGTACTATTTCCAGAACCCTGCGGCTCTAGATAAGATCGATCAGTTCCGACTTGATAATCTACGAGGTGTGTTTTCTTCGACGTGTTGTTCAGGCAGGGCTAATTGACCCGTATAGAGGTGGAAAAGGCATTAGGCGTGGCGCCCCCCGAAACAATCTCCATCGACCCAGAACGTCCCCTTTACGAGGCTTGTCGGTACATGCTCGAATCTCGGGCTCGCAGGATACCGCTGGTTTCAAATGATAGTCAAACAGACAGATCTCTCGTCGTGAGTGTGGTTACTCAGTACCGTATCCTCAAGTTTGTTGCCGTCAATGTCAGTGAGACACAAAAGCTGCGAAAGCCTTTGAGAGAAATTCAACTGGGAACCTACGACGATATCGCCACTGCATCGATGGATACTCCAGTCATTGACGTTATCCATATTCTGGTGAACCGGAGCATATCTAGCATACCTATTTTGAACTCGGAAGGTGCGAATTCACACGTATCTGTATTATTGCTCTCCCTTCCAGCACTGATTCATTGCAGGAGTTGTTTATAATGTCTTTGAGGCGGTTGATGTCATTACATTAATCAAAGGAGGTGTGTACGATGATCTGAGTCTGACAGTTGGCGAAGCATTGAAGAAACGTTCTCCTGTAGGTTCCCTCTGTTTGGGACCCTGTCTAGCTGCTGACCATATTGCGAAAGGATTTCCCTGGTATCTATACCTGTTCTCTCGATGATGGCCTCGATACCATTTTCGACACTATCCGCAAGTCGCGAGTACACCGTTTGGTGGTTGTCGACGAAAACTTCCGGCTTCGGGGAGTTCTCACTCTGAGTGACGTCCTGCGCTATATTCTTCTAGAAGGCGAAAATGACGAAACCTTATGATTCTAAACTAGACCCGCTTGCGTCCTTATATACACGTACATGCATGGAGGAACGGCGTTCACTTTCAGTTTTCAGTTCGGGTCAGTTTCGAGGCCTCCGGCTTGGAGCTGTTGGAAACCTCAACACTTTTGTTCTTCTTCTTCTTTTTTTTTTTTTTTTTTTTTTTTTTTTTTTTTTTTGTTGTTGTTGTTGTTTTTGTTGTATGGGTATATGATGTAAAAAGGTAATGTTATGGTATTTAAAAGAATGCTTTTCGGTTGGCTCCTAATCCTAAGAAGCTTTGCTGCGATTTTGATCGACTGTTGTCTTGCATCGGCGCATGGCATATTATCTATAGAGATTCTCCGTCCCAAGAACCTAGTCTACAGTGATCATCTTTTTCCCTTTTCTGGTTTCTTCTCAATACTTTTTCGTCTTCGTTTCTTTGTTTCTTCGTGGCTCGATGTTGAGATCTCGAGTCTCCAATTACTGGAGGCCATATTGCTAAACATTAGTACAGGCTTTCGATTCTATCTTCCTCAATGAAAATATATATCTCAGTGGCCCATGTCAATTCCAAATCATCTAGACGAGTAAGAAAATGTCCAGGTTGGTGGTAGCTGAAGCAAACAGAAGGGGCGGATTCCACACATGATCTGGGCAAGGTTCGTTCTTTCCAGCTTCGAAGTTGCTACCCAAACATGTCCTCTTCTGGCGGCCATCTTCTCTCTCATGCGAAGATTCCACGAGGAGATTCCCAGCCGAAGCAACCATGGGCTGGTTTGATAGTTTCTCGTTCTTGCAATCGCTATACGGTGGTCAGAGATCTCGCAGCCACATCCCTCGTCCACAATCCGATGATGCTGTTCCTCTTCGCCGGGATTCAACAACTGAAGCGAACCGTGGTATAAGTTCGACCTCTCCATCTCATTCCAACGTTGATACTACGAGCTATATCGCCAACGGCGACGATGAGTCCACGACTCTCGAACATTGGATCGTGCCACCAGAGCATATCGAGCAGTCACAGGCAGACGTCGAGGTCTCCAATAACCCGAGAGCTGTCAATAGTGCTTGCCCCGATCCACATGTGCCATCCTCTGAGTTGAGGCAATCGAAAAGATTATCAAGGGGATTGGCGGGATTCATGACATTTTTCCGTCGTAACAAAGCTCGGCATGACCTCTCGATTTCGATCCCGGCTCATAAATCTCGACGGCCTGCCATCAGCAGTATCTTGTTTAAAGACGATGGGGTTAATGGGACTACAGGAGACACTTGTGATGCAGAAGATACTCGTCTGCATACGCAACATAGTCAACGGGTTGGTCATCACGGTGTGGAATGTCTAGCCGACGATGCATCCCGGAAAGTCAGCGATCAAACTATCCTCTCAGAAGAGTCTGCCCGTACAAGTGCAACTGTCAGTCACCATCCATTGAAGCGTACGCCCCATCCGGTAACAACGGGATACCCGAACTACGTGTATGAGAAACCGTTTGATGGGATTCAAGGAATCTCATCCTCTGTGATAGAACCAACCCCCTCAGGGCCGTCGAAATGCACCGTCGGCTCTATGAAGCTGTCTAGCTCGGAATGCAGTGACGATGAATCCCAGATAATATATCGTGCGGCTACAATTCCAGAAGAACTTCGGCATCATACACCTCGGAATCATCCTTTCATTCCGACAAGCACTCCACGTGAAACCTCACGCCGCGAAGTTTCTGAGGGTAGCACCGTGTCCAGTTTATTTGATCAGAGAGAAGCTGCTGTTGCGTTCAACAGAGTAGCTGAAAGATTGGGTCTGCAACCTCTGAAACTAGACGGCGACGATGTTCGGACTGTTTTCAGTAAGCTTCTTCCTGATTATCTGATCTTCTCTTCCTGATAGTATATAGCCCAGTCAAACATTGCTCCCGAGGAAACCCTGCCCAGACATCGGGAAAGGTTTCTTGGTAAGATTCGAACAATGCGGTCAAACATGAGCATGAAAACTCCTCCAGATTCTTCTGAACGAACCTTGCGCCGTATTAAGACCCTTGCCAATATCTCTTCTCGTCCTCTTCCGATGACGTCCCTGAAAGGAAGATCGTTAGAAACTCTTGCACGCCTAGGAGGACATAGTTTTCTCACGCTACCTGCAGACTTCGTGCCAACTACGCTTAAACTGCCAGTGTGTTTTGTAGCAACGGCCACATTCTTGAGATGCCACGGTTGGTTTCCCTTCTCCTCAGACTCCTCGGCCTTTTCGTTTTCATTTTAACTGTAGACATCTAGCTAATGTTGAAGAGATGCAGCCCCAGGTGTACGAAATGTGTTCCTTGACAAAGGTAGCACGAGGGTGGCCACGAACATATATGATCATTTTGCAAATCAAGTCCTGTCTGCGGAAAAGGAAAATGACACGATTCAGATGACAATGAGAGGGTCCGACATGCCTCCTGACTTGATCGTGCTAAACAGAAGCTCCAGAGCTAAAGATACCTCTCAAGTCCAGGCAGTAGCCTGTGTGTTCAAGTCTTTGCTAGCCGGACTTCCTGGAGGCGTCTTAGGTTCTGTGACATTATACAATGCTTTGGTTGGCATTTCTCGTCGACCCTTCTCTGAATCGGAATTCAATGACGGCAAAAGCTACCTCGGGGGGCTGACTCCTGCTTCATCGGCAAAGGTTCATGCAATTACGCTGGCGGTCTTAGCGATGACGAGTGAAATGCAACTTGAGCTCATCTGTGCAGTTTTTGGCCTCTGCACAGTATTACTGTATGAAACTAAGAGGGTGACTGAATTTCAGAGGTTGGCAGGCAGTACCCAAAATCATCGTCCAGTTCCCCTCAGTGGACTGTTGGATTTGAATCGGCTGAGCCATTTTTTTGGTCCGGTGCTGATAGACCCTGAGAATGAATTGCAAGCTTCATCTACTGGGAGTGCAAAAAAGGCTGAGTGTGAGACAGTGACAAGAATGCTCATCGAAAATTGGCGTAATGTCAGTAGACTTTTGAAGGTGTGGGCAGCGCTTGGCTATCCTGCAAGACGGGCTGCTGTGCCATGGACAACTTGTAACGATAAAGGAGCGCAATACCTATAATTACGTGGGGAAAACTTCAGACTGTTTTAGTTTCTATAGTGGTGATTGAGGTTATCCAGTTATGTTCAGTCGACCGTTGATAGAGACGAATACTTGGAATAAGCTTAGGAAATACAAAGGGAATTCTGCAATGGGTCCAAACATTTCTATGGCTTAGAAGCGGCCTTCATCTTTACGATATGTAAGAAGGTAAAACCCAGCCCAAAATAATGTCCACATTAGTCAATCCGGCAAAGCCTCATTTTCATGTAGTTTATAATATCAGCTTTCATATGCATCAACCATGGCCTATAAGTATATATCTTATCTTGGCTTCTCCGAGCAGAAATTCAAGTCGAATACCGAAGGAGTGGAGACTCGTCGCCCATTTCCGCCAGCTGTTCCTCCGAATAAGTCGAGTGGATCTCCTCCAGCGAGATGGCAGCTCGCATGGTATTGATCAAGCCCAAAGAGACGATGGTTCGGAGACAGCAATCCTTTCTGAAGGAAGGCTGTTCAGTTGACTCTAGTAAAACGGCGAAGGTTGAAGCCACTGGCAAGAATGGACAATGACCCAAGTTATGGAAATGTCGGAAACAAACAGACGAACCCTCGACAACCCCATTTTCCGGTTTCAGGGGTACGAGCTTTGTAATGAGTGATTCATGCCCTCGTTCAGCGATGACTCGGTTCCGATATTCAAGATACGCCAGGTTCTCAGAAAAGTGTAGTAGTTATTGCCAGCGCCGGCCTGGATTGTGGGTTATTGCAAGCGAGATAGTCGCCGGCTTTTCTTTTCCCCATGGTTATCTCCGTAGAAAACGCATCAGATGAAGCTGAGATCCGTCAGCGGGCAAGAATAGGCGAGCATCAATGCTAAATCGGCCTTTCGCCGCGGCTGGCATGATGGCCGGTTGTTATCTATAAGAAAATGACTGGCGCCTCGTCGTCCTCCATACGACAAACCAGTTCCATAGACAAGGACTAGTTATTTACCATGCCGAGAATCACCATCCTCGGAGCTGGGTAATTGGCCATCTTATTAGCCCCTCGTAGTTGGTACCAGTATCACTGACGAATTCGAGCAGAATCACTGGCATGGCAATTGCCAGCCAGCTGCCCAAGCATTACGATGTAACAATCGCGGCGCGCAATCTTCCAGGCGACCCTCACGTCCAGGAATGGGCGAGCCCATGGGCCGGAGCTGTCTGGACAGGCATGGAAGGATCCAGCGAGCGTGAGCAGAAAATGCAGCTGAATGCCTTGGCTGTCTGGTGGCAGCTTGCACTGAGCGACCCCGATTCCAGCGTGCGGCGCGTGGAAATGACCGAAATTCGAGAGTCCGGGTCGCTGGATCAAATCTGGTACCGGAACAAGGTTCCTGGGTTCATTGAAGTGCCGTGTAAGGAGCTGCCCGAGGGTGCATCCTTCGGGTTTAAATATAGCACTATCGTTCTCACGCCCATGACATTTCTTCCCTGGCTGCGGTCCAAACTGGAAGCCTCCGGGGTCAAGTTCAAGCGAGTCACTGTTCGATCACTGGCCGATCTCAGCGGCCTGGGTCATGATGTCCTCGTCAACGCAAGCGGAACGGGTCCTCTGCGACTCGCTGATGTGGCAGACCCAAATGTCCAGGAAGTGCGTGGCCAGACGCTCCTGGTCAAGACGGATTACGACCAACTCCTGATGCGCCGTGGTAAAGACTATACCTACATCTTTGGACGTGGGGACGGCACTGCCATTCTCGGTGGGATCAAACAGTATGGCAACACAGACACTCAGGTAGATGATTATATCCGTAAAGATGTAAGAGCATCCGACGAAATAGTGTTCAAACAATGAACATGTGCTCACACAGTCAGATTGTCCGTCGCGCCCATGAGAACCTCCCTCAGCATTTCCCTTCGACGGATCCGAACAGCTACACGGTCCTCCGGGACATTGTCGGTATCCGTCCGGAAAGGAATGGAGGCGTCCGGGTAGAAAAAGAAGTCATCAATGGACAGAAGGTGGTGCATGCATATGGCACTGGAGGAGGCGGTTATGCCTTCAGCTTTGGGGTTGCGCGAGAAGTAGCCAAGTTGGTGAATGAGTATGTGTTTGAGCCGGCAGCCAAGCTGTAGGATGCACCATGTATATGGCGCATTCGAGAGTTCGTGTTTCCTTGCTATTAATATCCCCCAAGAGCCTCCCACGATCCATTGCTGTCAGTGAACATTGTCAGTGTACAACTACCGTATACTCCATACTATCCCAAAGAGGAAAGGTCCGTATAAACTAACCTAAGCCTATTTGGGCTAGATCCATCGTGGCATCCGGTCACGTGCTTTGCTCCTTGCGGACCAATCAGAGCTCATATGGTCGTTGAGTGCCATCCTGAGCATTGCAATCCTTTATTAGGATACTCCATATATATTGGAAGAACCCATCTACTCCGAATCTATTCCTACGGAGCGTTGAGCGGCATATCTCCGGTGAAAGCTTGGCATCGATTTGATTATCTCCCGCGAATAATACGGAGTACTCCGCTCTCCGTCAGCCCCTCACAATGCTCACATTGAACATGGTCCCCTGCATCTCAAGCATAGTCCACTTGCATATGTAGCATCTGGAACTCGTCCAGCCTTCTTCTTGATTTTATGTAAATCCCCCTGCAGCTCATCAGAGCATGTCCTGTCAAAAAGGGGCTCTCCATCTGAAGCCTGTATCGTCACCGATCCCCCCCGGAAAGGTCCCCTTCTACGGCCGGACCAAGACTCCCCGGACTCGGTCGGGGTGTCTTTGCTGCCGGCAGCGCAAGGTAAAATGTGATGGTATGTATTAATCATATGCTTTATTCTGCGGTAGTGGCGATAGCGCTGACGATGTTGGTAGAACAGAGACCGAGTTGTCAGCGCTGTCGGCATATCGGGAAGACATGCGTTTACGGTCTGAGATTGACATGGCTGACAGAAAAGGTGCAATCGTTGCTGAATATGCCCCCTGGGGTTGAGTGGGCGAGAAATGAACATACAAGACCTGCCAGCGCAGGCACTGCTTTCCTCAACACGACATGGAGTGATCTCCATGGGCATTTCAATGGCGAGGCATGCAATATGAGCTGTAGCAGCAATAGCAATGACTCATATTCTAACTGGAAAAGTTGCTATGCAATTACGGGCTGTGAGGGTGGCAGCTCACCTTCGCTGCTGTTGTCCATCCCCTCACAGCTGGCGAGTTATTTCACACATGAATATCGCATACCAAAGTCGTTGAACGGTCCCCGACCAAATCTCTCTTCAGCCGATATGGCTATCTTTGATTTCTGTAAGCGCTATCCCTTGGCACCAAAACAAATAAGGCTGACAAACTATTCAGATGTCAATAAGATGTGTCCTCACTGTCGCTTCGCAGACGGCTATCAGAAACGATACCGACAGGTGATTATACCCATCACTCTTGTGTCACCGCTAGTGCTTCTATCGGTTCTAGCAGTTGCAGCGAACCAACTGAAGTACTCCAGGGAGGGCTTTGGCCTTACGGCGTTACGATATCAAACAGCAACATTGAGAGCCCTGTCGCACGTGATCGGCTCAGTCAACAGCGCGACTCAATCTCAATTGAACGTGTCAATGTCGAAGACGGAGATTCTCAGCGCTATTTGGATGCTTTGCTTCTTTGAATTCGGCAACGATAACACATGCAAGCCCGGCCTGTCGCCGCCGGCTTGGCGAGTTCACCTCGAAGGAGCGAGGAGGATTCTGGAGCTACCTGCCTCGGCCTTTGGAGGACTGTCCTCGTGGAGCTGTGACCCTGGGGTTGTTACATTTCTAGCGGGATTCCTTGCCTCGCGGAGCGTCCTAGCTTATACGACTGTCGTCGACCCTTCAGATGAAGAAGCACTTTACTGCGGGGGATCGTACTGGCTTAGTAAAATCGGTCGCCCATCTCAGGAGATCGAGAACTACACGAATTGCTCAAACGAGCTTCTGGGAATCATTCTAGAAACCTGCCATCGCATCCGTCAGAGAAAGAGAGCCCGTACTTCTCTACCCCTACACGAGGATGAAGAAGCGCTGAGGGACTGGAGACGGCAGACGGAAAACCGGTTATTGCATATAGCCCAAGTCCCTCCACGAGCTCTCAGCTTGGAACCTTGTTCACCTTCACTTCCACTCTTGTCGGTATCACCGGCCTCACAGACTTCTACTACTACTACTGCCACAGAGTATCCTCCCTCGTTACCAACGGTCTACCGGATAGCAGAAGCATTCCGCCACGCAGCGCTGATCCTGTTACAGTACCTCAACCCGAATGTCCTGGTAGAAGACAACCCGGCAGTCAGAGACAGTGTGCGGACGATTCTCGATCTCATGAGCGCGGCCGTCCCCGTACCCCCGCGAGGAAAGAGCGGAAGGTCCATTTTCCTGTGGCCGTTTTTCATTGCATCCTGTCATGTGCAGACGGATGAGGACCGGATGCTTGTGCTGCGGAAGTTTCAGGATCTGGAATGTGCCGTGGCATCTGTGTCCAACGATACCGTGGCTCCTTGTCTGCGTGATGTGGTGGAGAATGTGTGGAAGCAGCAGGATTTACGGAAGGATTGTGTGCGTGGGAAATACCACTTGTTCAGCAGTGAGGACTGGTGTTTTGAATGGGAGCGAGCGATGAGAGTGCTTGGGTATGCGATCGATTGGACATAGTTTGTCCATGGGATATTTATGGATGTGTATATGAGCGGCATGATGTTTGCAATATGGTTTCTCTACAGCGCAACACGTCGTTCTGCATGATATCATGGGCTCAAACTGCCCGAATCATTTTCTACGATCCCAGTCCACAGAAACATCATCCTGCATGGCACGGCGTACCCACGATCGACACTACAAATCCCGAGCAAATGCAGCAGACACCGGCAGAGGGGACAATCGTTTCTCTACTCTCGTATGATAGCACCGACAGGGATCTACAATATGACGTCGATGCAATCTCTCCCCGCTCAGCTTAATAATATCAGATTAGTACTTAACTGGGTTATAACTAGTTAGTATATGTCTATGATCGTTATGTATTGAATTGACCCGAAAGGTGCAAGGGGCTAATGAAATAATCTTTTTGTTCTGCTTCATCCTGCGGCTCTGCGGGGTTTCCTTGCATCATACAGCTAAATGTCCTGATACTATAGGGGAATGACTCGGAAAGCAAGCCTCAGTGATCTTCGCTGTTCATTCGGGTTCGTCTATTGCCAGCCGTCATGTCATTCGGAATGTACGATGCACTGCTCTGTATGATCGGTCAACATGGGTCTGGCGAGGATCAACCGGAGAATTCTCTCGTGTCCTAATGGGAGGTGGATGGGAGGAGACGTCATAGTTCCCTGTTCCAATGGGCCGTTGGGATTAACGGCGAAACAGATGTCCCTTAGGTAGAAGGAATGGGAGTTTGTAATTGAGTTTGTCGAGTCTGATGAGTCGGTTGCTTGCATCTTTGTCTAACTATACACCTGACGTCGAAGTGTCAGAGAGTCCGTGTCTCAAGATCGATCTGGACTGCGTTCCACGATCAATGGACGTCGACAGTCAAATCTTCTGGGCTCTGTATTCCTCTGATCTATAGGAGAATAAAGGTAACATGCAGTGTAAGATCAAAATTCCCATTGGCGTTCACCCTGGACATCGGCAGTGATGTCAGGTATGACTTCAGACTGTCAACCGAGCATTCTGCAGGCCGTAGTAGCTGGATAGAAGCCATGCAGAAGCCGGAGGGATTAACATAAGCACTAAACACACTAACTGAACGATAGTGCCGTGCACGGATGGCATGGGCCTCTGCAGATTCAGATGCGAAGCAGTTCGTCAATGCAGGAACCGAACCGAAGGCTGGATGGCCACCGGAGAGAAGCGCCGTGCAGTCCCTCACGATCACAGTGTGCTTGATGGGCCGGAGGAAATGTCCGGCACTCTGACCGACAGTAGGTACCAGCCACAAAACGTTTGCTCCATCCATTCTGGCCGTGTAATAAACACTGCCAACGCAAGTAGATCTCCGATCTCCAGCTGCCGCTGCGCGCCACAGCGTACCGTATGTGACGAGGAAATGTAATCCGTGGTCAGACGAGCCCATCCGGCCAGGGAGGGAACGTCGAAGGACATCAGTAGGCATCCAGCCATGACCCACGGTCGTATCCCGATGGACGCAGCCGGGGGAGCCAACCGCCGGCGGAGGGACAAGCGACTTGACAGCCCAACTTGCTCGACGTGGGGACTGTCGACGGATGCGCACGAAGGCTTCCCTGCACGGCCGTTCAGAGCTGCAGCGGCAAGTGGCTCGACGGTCCATGGACAGCAGTGGGGAGGATGTGCGCGTCGTGGCCAGTCAGTCCCTGGATCTCCAGCGCCGTGATGTCAGCGAACCCGGCCAAGCTCGCGTTTCCGCCCGGTCGAGAAGCTCTGCAAGTCTGTATAATCCTGCGATACTGCGCTCGGAACACACGGCAGGCCAATGGTCGTGGAGTTGGCGCCGTGCTTGCGGGGAGCATTGCCTGCTTGCTGCTGTCCGGTCGCTCTCCACAATTCGTTCGCGCAGCAGAGTTATCTCCTGATGGCTGGCTTGGCCCTTGTCCAGCCGATATATACCACTGTCTCGCCCCCCGGACACGCGAGGATGAACGAGAGCTGAATCGCTCGTCTCCAAATTCATGCAGACCCTGTACCTGCGTCGCTTGCAGCCGTCCTGGCGTCCGGGAAACGTGGGATCCTTGAACAGGTACGCAGCCTTCCTCCGCCGGACGCACCGCGGGAGACGCGACGCTGACCGTTGCAGCCTTGGTATTCGATTCCTGCTTTAATCTTATTCCAGTTGAATCATCCATCCTCTTCGCTGCTGTCTGTCTTTCTTGCTGGTTCATCCAGCTCTGCCCAGCGGTAGCGCTGTCCAACCGCGGTCAGCCTCCAGCGCCGCTGCTTGTTTTACTTCTCGTCTACCAAGCTATTCGAAGTTACCAGTCTGCTGCTGCCACTGGCTCCCCTTTTCTTTTCTTCTTCCTCGTCTCGCATCCCCTCTTTCTCCTCCTCCTCCTCCCTCTCTTCCTCCGGTCTTGGTCAAAAACCAGTCCAATCGTCTTTTCACACTCTCTGCCTTTCTGCCCTCCCTGCAACGCCGACCGTCTCCCGTCCCTCGCAAGACGCTTTCCGCAGACTACGAGAAGCAACCAGCCCCATGTCGACCCTCAATATGTTAGCAGAGCATTCGTCCTTCGGAAGGCCCAGTCTGGGCGCAACGGACACGGTCAATGCCAGTTCGTTTCCCTACTCGACGGCCAATGCCTTCGCGGGCGATTTCCACGGCCTGCCCCTGCACGAGGAAGACAATATCTGGAACATGAGTCCCATCTCGCCAATGATGTCTTCCTGGAATGGCAAGCGCGAACCTGCCTTTGTCAGCCCCGGTCTGGAACGGGACCTGAAGAACACGTATGTCCGGAACGGCCAGCCCACCCCTCCCCTCTACGACGACAAAGACGCCAGTTCCCCAACCGGGCTGTATTTTGGTCATCTGGACGGCACCATGCCGGAGTCCACAGACCTTCATCGCGGAAGCTTCAGTGACCACTCCGGCGTCGACACCAATGGCAGCTGCAAGCGTCGGAAGGTCCGCGATCAGAAACACTCGACGTCCCGCTTCAGTCCCAGCGACTACGATGATCAGCGGCAGGAGAAGGCGAAACGGGAGAAATTCCTCGAAAGGAACCGGCTTGCCGCGAGCAAATGCCGTCAGAAGAAGAAGGAACACACCATGCTCCTCGAGTCTCGGTACAAGGAGCAGTCGGACAAGAAGGAGAAGCTCGTGGCGGAAATCGCACGCCTGCGTTCGGAGATCCTGGGTCTGAAGAATGAGGTCCTGAAACACGCACAGTGCGGGGACGAACCGATCAAGCTGCACCTGGCTCAGATGGTGAAGAAGATCACCTACAAGGACAGCTCTACCGGTTTTGCCGATGCAGCCGACGCGACGTCGACTTCGGAAAGCCCAGAGATACCGGCCGCACAGCCGTCATTGTCGTTTGGCTTTGATGATCCATTACACCTCGAAAATGCGCAGGGCCTTGGGGCCTTTGACCCCCAGCTTCGCAGGGAGTCTGAGACGTCTCTGATTTCCGACGCGTCCTACGCATACTCGGCCGATGGCAACTTTGATGATTTGATCAACGTCTAGATGGTTTTACCGCTGCATCTGTTCTACGTTTGCTTCTATTTTATTTCCTCCTTCGTTGATTAATGTTTGATTCTATCGGCGCTTCCTCCGGTTTCGACGATGAGATACGACCAGTGGTGGGATTGGGCCGGCGTCTGTAAAGCGGAGTTTTCGAGCACCAAAAGCGTGAAAAGGCTGAAAGGATACGCGGCCTTTGTCATCTCTCTCTCTCTCTCTCTCTCGTTCGTTGTGCATGTATTTTTACTAAATGGGAAATGGGCTTGTCAGCGCGTGGTGTTGGGGGAATGTTATTTGCTTTTTTCGGACTGGGAAGACTCGGGATCATTGTTCATTCCTTCTGGTGGATGGGGACTTTATATCTACAAAAGCAACTGCTCATATGCTCTCCAGCATCGGTTACTGCTTGTTGCGCATGTATGTACATCCACTCACTAATGGTTGGGGGTGTGCAGAAGAATGCAGGCATCCTACGCGGCTGCAGTTTAACTCGTTATACGGGATCTATTATTCTATAATATGTGCTTAAAACCCTTGAGTGAGCCTGGATTCTACCTGATCCACTCCTTGCAACTCTTACTTTACTTTGTAGTTCATCGGACATCAATCCCGGCTCCAATCACCAGGTTGATCCGCCAACAGAGGATTACTCTGTATTCCAGGTGGTCTTATTTTTTCTTTTCTTTTTCCTAGTCAGACTCAAGAGCGTGTTTCACGCATATCCACTCACTTATCCCGCAGAGGAACCGTGACTACTGGACAGTGTGGATTTGCATGACTCGCAACTATTACTTACTATTTTTTGAAGGATTCCTGACCCGATCCCGATCCCGAATGGAATCCGAAAATAGTAGAATAGGATGATCAGTACGGAGGAGTATATCCATGAATAATGGTAGTATTAATTCATTACTGGAAACTTCAATAATAGGCAATTGTAAGAGTTTGTGGCTGAGAACTAGTACGTACACCCAAGATTTTGTGATCCACCGCAGATTGCAGCAAAACCTGCTTTTCTGCAGTGTATACTCTTCTTAGAACAGAGTTGTGAAGTTAATAGTTCGGTAGCAGCCCTCCCTGCATAATTCTGCCTAGTTATTGTCTATCTCTATTATGTGAACGTGATTCATGGTATCACTAATCCACCGCTGCCTATAATAGTCCGTAGATGGATGCTTCTCTCTTTGTGAGTCGTAAGAGTTAGCTGTGGACCGTGGTTCTCTCTGCTGAGGCCTGATGAGCATGGGCCATCAGGTTGACCTTCTCCCCTTGGTGCATAACGTTTTCCAAGGTCGGGTTTCGGTTGCTGCCTGGGTAAGTAGGTTATAGACAAGGAAATAGAACTGTTTCTAAAACCTGTTATGCCACGACATGCAGATATAGCAGGAGACCTTTTTTTTATATATGGAAGGTCGGACAGAACATAGATCACTAATAAAGTAGTACACTAATTGAGTCGATTGAGAGACAAGTCATATGTTTAACGAACACTCCCCGATCAACTGCTCTAGAACACGATATTGCGGAGGAAGACGGAAAGTCTGGAATCCGGGGTCATGATTCATGAATCATTCGCACTATGGATAACCCTAATACACAGTCCTGTCTAAACATTATGCCATATGCATAGTAATCGGAGACAACCCCGAGCATCTCCCGTTATGTCACTTCGAAACGGATCCCCCCTCGATTCGCCGGGTTGAACGAGGGCCGAATTTTATTGCCGCCGAGACACTTGGACATGTGCAGGAGATGGCCACGCTCCTTTCTGGTGTATGCTGCAAAACAGATCGCTGCGAGTGCAATGGCCCCGTAGCTGGTGAGGACGGGGTACTTGAACTGTTCCGGGGAAGAGAATATGATGGTTGATGCGAAGGAGAGGAGCTCGAAGATGTTCTGCAGGGCGACTTCGGTCGTGGAGAAGCGTGCTCGGTTTTGCTCTTCGACGTTCTATTCACAGATTAGCCATTATCAACACTGGAAAAAAATGATGCGGCCTGGAGAAGGATAGAGAACCCCACCTCTTGGATCAGATATTGGACCGAAAGGTCAAACCCCCATAGACCGATTCTGCTCAAGGCAACCCCGCAAATGAGGCTCAATGCAACAGATTGCGAGTTGGGGTCCTGGAAGAGGAATCCTGCTGCCGCAACTGCTAAGCAACCAAATTGCCAGTTGATGAACCACAAGCCAGACCGTATGGGCCCGATCCTATTCATGACGAACGGCGCTGCCCAGGTCCCCATTAGTTCTGCGATAACTGCGCCTATCCGCATGATGCTGACTTGAAACGGACTGAAGCTTGTGTCCAGCAGATAGGTGGTCATCGTTGTCCCGAAGGTGAGAACGGTAAGATAGAGCAGACTCAACGCGAAGGATGCAAGGAATACTCGGTTGGACACGTACTCCCTCCACGGAGCGAGGGCATTGTGGATGCGTTCCATAACATTAGGAGTTGTGCGTTCTTGAGAGGAGCCTGCTGTCTCGGACGGCAAGGGAGTTCGCGTCAGGCCAGGAACGGATTTGTATACCTATTGAATCCTTTCAGTGGGGTTGCACGCAATACCATGTTTCCAGTCAGTGTCCATTTACCTGTTCAATCGCACGATACTCGACCAGGACCGACAAGACATTCACACCCAGGGTCGTCCAAACGGCGACTTTAGTTGACAGGACATCAACCAGAGAAACAACAACAGGTGCAAACAGCTTGCAGATAAGGTCGATACGCCTCATGGAAGCGTTCAAATCTGCGCCGCTTACATAGTCAGTTTCATCATTCGAAGGCCATCATACTATCTATCACTGGGTCCGAACCTTGTCTTGGGATTTCAAGGCTCCCTGAGATAACAACGATCTGTTAAATGGTTAACGGGTTGGCTTCCCCCTTGAAAGCATCGGAGGATATACATACCCAATCGCGCTCAACAGCAACCGTGTTTACGGCAGAGGCCAATTTTTCTGCGCATGCCAGCAGAGTCACAACAAGAAAGAGGATGGGAGTGACGAGGCTTGACTCGGGCGATGCCAGGAGAACAACAAAACACGCGCAGGATACTGCAACAGGAATTCGCTGCCAGACTAAGTACTGTCAGCCAGAAGCCTTCCTATCATCATGTAGTATGGTGCGCATACCAATCGACTGCCTCAAAACGGCCAGTCTATTCGACCGATCCACCACATCCCCAAGCCAGGAAGATAAAAGAGCAACCAACAACGACCGTACCAACGCGTAGATGGAGACGTACAGAAGCGTTCCCTGAAAGACAGACGCGAGGAACAGGACGGCTCCGAATTCAAACATGCGAGAGTTCCACGTCGATAGAGTGTGGGATAGGTAGAGTCGGGCCAGCACATTCCTGGTTCCGGGCGACAAACCGTGGGTCGAGGCGTTCTCGGCCTGCAGTAGCCTTGTTGTTACATCTGATTCTCCCTGTGTCTCTATATTTGTCTCTGTTTCTGTCGCTTCTGGGCTCATGTCGAGGATGGATCGTGTTGACGGAGATCATTCAGTATCCAAGCCGTCCAGGAACCTGAATTGTCTTGAACTATATGGGAATACCCCGTAAATGAGACGATGATAATAATAACTGAAGATCTAATAATGAAGCCAAGAATCTAAGCACAATGTCGACGTGTGAAGAAGCGATGGAGATGCAGGAGATGGAGATGCATGAAATGCTTCGAACTGCCGGACTTCGGCAATCTCGTCTCACCCGAAGTCCGATTCTTATTACTGAGTGAAGTTGCATGTTGTACAGAGACAACATAATATATTCATATGATGACTGCCTCTATCTGAAATTATAAGATGAACGAGTGGCTTCCATCAATCCACGCGTATCCTAAGTCCAATTCAGTATACAGAAGAAACATAACAAATTTTTAACACAAAACCCCAATTCTAGTAAACCCATTCCAAGCCCTTGTCTGTTTGGACTGTTTTTCTCTTTAGCACATCGGCGACCTTCTCGCGGACGCCTTCCTTGTAGCCCCATTTCTCAACAAAGCTTGCTACTGTCTTCTTTGCATCAACCGCATTCTCGCGGACGAACTTCTCAATATCTTTCTCGCTCGGGAGGGCATAATGGGCATGCGGATAGTTCTTGTAATCGGTGTCGCTGAGGAGGGCAAGACGTTGCTCACGCTCGGGCAGCAGGAAGAACGAATCGACCTTTGCAGGGGAGACCTCCTCGAGAGAAGCCGGTTGCCACTTGGGCTCCCTAGGAGGCTTCGACATGAGACGGGCCTTCACACCTTCGACGAAATCATGGTGTCTCATGAAATGCGCTGCGATTTGGTATTCGCGCTGGAATGTCTCGGCAATGCCCCAGTTCTTGCCCAAACGCTGCTGACGTAGAGTCACTCGAAGGGAGGTCGGAGACCGGATGGTCAGCGTCTCCAGTGTCTTCTGGGCCCACTCCTTCTGCTCTTCCTCAGTCTCAAGTGCCTTGAAGATCTCCTCAACCGTGTCATACTTGAAGCAGCGGTCAATCGCCTTGCGGACATTCCCACCGGGCCAAATAGGTTCTTGTGGTAAACCGGTGGAGAATTCAGCGACGGTTTTATTGACCAGGTCCAGGCGCTCGGGAAGAGACGCAGTGTCTTTGAAGACGAGTTCGGATAAACGTGCCGTCAGGTTGCTCAGGACACTCGAGTCCAAATAATGCGTGGCAATTCCAGCATACAGTGCCTGGACGCCCTTGAGGCGCTCCGAGGTCAAGGCCAGGTATGTTCCAACTTCACCGTCAAGACGAGGTAGGAAGAAAGAGCCGCCAACATCAGGGAAGAATCCAATCGTCGTCTCCGGCATGGCAAAGAGGGTACGTTCGGTCGCAATACGGAATGGAGCATGTACACTGAGGCCAACACCGCCGCCCATGGTGATTCCATCCATCACGGAAATGAATGGCTTGCTGTATGTAGCAATGACATGATCAAGCTTGTACTCCAACCCAAAGAAATCCGTTGACCGTTGTTGTCCCTCAGGACCCTCTTCGTTCGCGTTCGCCAGAGCAGCCACATCACCTCCAGCACATAAAGCCTTAGTACCAGCGCCGGAGAGTATGATCACGTTTGCAAGTTGAGATTTTTCCCATTCCTGTTAAATTTTTCGTTTCCCACGCCCATTTAGCAAACTGTACAACCCAGACGCAAAGACATCACGTATTCGAGCAGGTGATCGCAAACCTTCAGTCTAGGTAATATTTTCCGCGCCATCGATCCGTTCAAGGAATTCAGTTTCTTGGGTCGGTTGAGTTCGATCGTCCGGACGCCGTAAATCGAGTTGAACAAGACATCATCGGGCTCGTCTCCAGGAAGCTCTTTGGGAATTTCGGAACTAGTCGACATCTACGAGCTGCGAATTAGCATTTTATTTCACTGTGTTTCTTTAAGCCAGTAAAACATACCCTGGAAACGCTGCCGAAGGCTGAATTCGTAACTTTGGCGCGAAGCGGCATTGTTGCAGCTGCAGGCGACGACCGGCAAAACCAGCTTGTCGGCGTCGATAACCGGCAGAGATTCTGTCGAAGTAACATGAGTGGCAAAAGGGAGAAAAGATGAAAAAGACGCCTTTTTGTAGGCAGTAAGACGGCTGGAGAAGGCTTGAGGTACAGACAGACGTGCCGAGCTTTGCTCCGTCAAGTCGACGACGACCTCCGGCTTTATTAGTTCACCTCGGAATTGCTGCTTGGACGTGCTCCATTACCGACGCCCGCGAGGGGTTCAGCGGGCAGAACGTCAGCCTCTGCAGATTGCAATCATTCAAACTTCTGAATTGAATTATTGGGATGCTGGTACAAGGATTTCCGGTGTTGTTTGCTATTTTCATGGGCAAGGAAGGCCGCCTCGAGGTCGGATCAACCAAAATGCTCTACCACTGCCTCGTATTCTACTGTACAAAGGCTAGAGACCTGGACTTTACTCAAAACCAGTCAGAAACATCTATCTTTGTATCCTACAACCGGGTTTCGTCCTTAGTTATAGCGTCCCGTCACAGTTCAGTATCTGATACCCCCAAACAGACAAGTTTCGCGTGCTATTCATACAGACGATTTAGAAGAAAACAGAGATCCAGAATAGAAAAATATGCCCGATAGACCTAATATACCGCCTTTGCGGGCTTGTTCTTCAAGTCCCTTGAATGCTGGGACAGAATGTTGTCCAACGCCTGCTTCTCAATAATCAGCCTCCTGGTTTCCAGGAGATCTTTGACATCAACATCTGCTCTATCCAGAATCTTTGCCTGCTGTCCAAGCTCCTTGACCGCGGCGAACAACCTGTCGTCAACCTGGTCTGTGATCAACGTCGAGCCACCAAACCAGCTGTTCGCGCCAATGATCTCGTTGATCAAGTGAGTCGAAGCTCTCTTCGGTATCTTTATCCTGCCGTCAATGATAATCAACTGGCCGCGTCTGTACCGGTAACTGAGGGCTATCCGCCACGCCTGATCATAGATCTTCTTGGGAAGCTGTGTAGAGAAATCTCGGGGATGAGGACCGTGTGCAACACCACCACCGCGTCGAATAGGCGATTTCTTGTCTCCAACACGTGCCCGGCCAGAACCCTTCTGCGCAAATAGCTTCCTGCCACTGCCGTGTACATCGTCCCTCCACTTGGTGCTAGCTGTGCCTTGTCGGGTGCTATCACCTTCGTAGATCACGGCACGGTGTAAGATATCTTTCCTTAACGGCATGAAAAGCTGGTTTCGGGGGTATTCGACAAAGCGGACGGGCTCCATGGATGGGAAGGAGTACGTGGTGGCCAGAACGGGAGAGGGGTTCCAGGTCGGCTTGGTAGTATCATTGACAATTGAATCGGCGTTCGGTATTCCTTTCGTCAGATCAACTGCTGGTGTAGTTTGAGCCTCTGTGGCCATTGACCGCGATAACGTTGTGCCCAGGCATCGTTGCTGTTCAAAGATCTCAGTCAGTCTTCAACGGTCCGCATCCGAAGGTAGAAGGAATAGCTCTACCGTTACTGTCTCAGGTCCCGAGAAGAGAGCACTGGGGCCCCGTGAGAGCCATCGCAGCACCTTCAGGGCGTTACTTGTAGGCATTTTGAAACGGTGAGAGGGATGCCGGGGCAAATTGTCCGGGAACAATTGCGCAGATGAAGCAAAAGTTCAGGCCGGGGTTTTTGCGGCTCCGTTCGGCGCTAGCGAACAGAACGGCTTGGCTTAGAAAAAGTCCACTCCAGAACACCAACTCCGACCGTCACTACCCTGAATTCCGCCCTTCAATTCCTCGTCACCATGTCTCATTGCGAGCGGGCATCAAAGCCTCTGCTCCAATGTCTACGGTCGACATATATACGACCTCTTCCAGGCTTCCAACTACAGCCTGCCCGCGCCTTTCAATCGACCGCGTTCGTCCGCGATGGAGCCCAGACCGAGGCGAAGAGTGAATCGTTCTACAAATCGCCTGACCCAGCTCTTGTTTCGAGTCCCCGGCTGGAGAGGAGATTAATGAGAAAAGGTATTGCGCCTATTGGATCCCGTCGACGCCGTGCCGCCTTGCAAGATTCTGCGAACATCCCCTTTGAGCAGCTACCGTACCAATGCTTCCAGGAAGCAAGGAAGGTCCTTCTTGCGGACCGGGAGGAAAAGCTCAAGGATATTGAGGCTACGAGGAATAAAATTGCAAGACTTCAATCGCTTAGTGCGGCGGAAGCTGGGGGCGAACAGTCGAAAAAGTCACGTCTGGGGGCGTACGAGCAGCATCTGGAGCACCTGAAGATCCTTGCCGACATCAATGATCCATTAGTGAAGAAGAGATTCGAAGATGGACAAGGTAACAAATCCAGTTGGACTGCCGTGGACTTGCGGGCCTCTTGGGTAGTTTCAATTCTAATTTCTTCCCAGGGGACATGAGCAAGCCTATCTACCGTTATTTGGCCGATCAGAAGTGGAGGGAATACCGACGCAAGATCCTTGTCCAGAGAATTACACAAATGAATGTCATCCCCGATGTCCTTCCTCACTGTGATCCTGTCGTGGATGCAACACTTCACTTTGGTAGACGTACCGTGCAACCTGGGGAATTCGTCACCTCGCTCACCAGCATGAATCCTCCCAAGCTTAACGTCCAGATGTTTGAGCGCGGAGAGAAACTCGTGACCATTGCAGTCGTTGACCCGGATGTTCCCAATGTCGAAAAGGACAGCTTCGACTACAAGATGCACTATCTAGCAGTCAACATCCCCCTCTCCGCTACCTCTCCCAAGATCGATCTCTCAGCGCTTTCACCGGAGTCTCAGGTTGTCCTCCCTTGGCTCCCTCCTATTGCGCAGATGGGAAGCCCATATCACAGGCTTTCCATCTTCATTCTGGAACAGAAGGATTCGAAACCGCTGGATTACGCCGCTGTCAAGGCAAAGGAGACTGATCGAGACAACATGCTTCTGCGCACCCTGCAGGCCAGATACCACCTCAAGCCCATTGGGGCTCACCTGTTCAGAACCAAGTGGGATGAGACGATGGAGCAGGTCATGAAGGAAATCAACTTCGAAGGCGCGGACCTGGAACTTCGCCGGAAGAGAGTTCAGCCTCTTCCTTACAAGAGGAGAAATCCTGCCACTATGAGGTGATTTCTCTCTGGCTTTTTTTAATTTCGCCCGTTTCAAGCACAGATCTTTTTGGAATAAATATGTACTGTACAAGAGAAATGTATGAATATGCACCCTATTTACTTTTTCCACCCGTAACTCCGAACTCCCTTGTTCTATCCCCGACAGACGAAAAATAAATACGAATTCCCCATCTAAGCACGAGCAGCCGAATCGTCGGGAAGTTTGGCCGGCTGCAAGGGATTCCCCAGCCATCTCATCCTCCGTGGAGGCCAGACAACAGCCGTAATCTTCCCATTAACAAGCCCCAGGGGGACGGGACCAAAATTTCTCGAATCTCTCGACCACGGAAGGTTATCACCGGCAAGATAGACATGACCTTCAGGGACCTGGACAAGGAATAAAGCAATTCAATTAGAACTTGGCACAACAAAAGGCGCACCCAAAAATACAACCAACTAACCTGAATCATCTCCCCAGTCTCCCCAGCACCAAGACTATATGGCGCATCCTTACAGACGAAATCCCCCGGCATCCCCAAGACCCTCTTGGCGGCATGCGTCCCCGGAAAAGAAGGATGATAAAACCGAACCATATCCCCGACCTCAATGCCCTTCCCGTTACCACATCTCCGCGAAATAAGGAGATAGTCCCCCCTTCCGTTGAGTGTGGGATACATGGAACCGCCCTCGCTGAGCTGGACTGTGTAGTAGTGTTCCCATATCAGCGTGCAGGCGCAGAAGATGCCAATCCCGTCGAGCGTGAAGCGGAAGAAGGAGGTCGGGTTGGTTTTTCTCAGTACTGATCGGATGAAGCGTTCCATTGTCGGTGCATGTTATTTTCCGGGCCGCGTCTTCGAGTCAATTGACCGGCTGGTGAGTGTGTTACTGCTCTTCTTTCCTCTAATTACTGCCTTCATCGTTCGACATGCGGAGGATCTGTTGATGACTAAGTAAGTACGTTTGTGTCATGTGATGTCGGAGCTAAAATCCATTATATCTTCGGCTGTCGTTTTCCCACAGTCCTCGATCTTTCTCCGCTCTCAAAAATTGTAGTTATTTCTTCTCCAAAAGCCTCTGCTCAACTGCGGAAATGCTGGATGGCTCCCTAATGAGGGAATCAAAACATCTTCATTGCGTCTGCAGACCTACAATGAACACTAATAGCTGACCGTACGGCTCATGCCAGCCAAAAATTGAGGACAAAGGAAGACTGCACTTCCACTATTTTCCACTCACTCCTCACACCTTTACTATTTACTCCTTGACCCTTCATCCCCACAAACAAACCGCTTCTAAAAATGCTAGAGCTCGCCGTTTCCAAAATACAAGCACCAAGATGCGCGAGTGTGGACAGAGAAGCAAGAGAAATATTATACGTCTCGATTTGTTTAGAACGCGAGATATCCCCGAACGCCATACTCAGCTTTTACCCCATTTAGCTATGGGACTGGGAAGTTGAGAGGTGTGTGGGAGACAGAAAAACAGATAGACAAAAGCATGTTACTTCAGTCAATGAAAATTAAGATACCTCCTTTCCGCGAACCTTCCAAATTACCATAGGCTCCCTAGGCTTGAATCACAGATAAACACCTGCTTCTTTCCATGGCGCGTCCGCATCTACGTTCGACAAGTCTCGTTAGTACTCCATACAGCTAAAAGGAAGAAAGAAACAAACCAGGATGTTTATAAGCAGGTTTAACCTCCCTCCTCTCCTCCGCCTTCTTCTCATATGACACCCCAAACCGCTCATCCCTATCATTCAACAATCCCTTCACCCCCTGCGGATGAGCAACCTTGACCGTATCATCAGAGACGAAACTAATCATCAACTCCGGCGGACCCAGCGGAACAGGATCGCCCCGATCGACCTGCCAGAAATGGTACGTCTTGCCGTATAACGGTGTTATGTCATGCATTTCTGCTGTTTCGGCTCTGTTCCAGATTGCGTCGGGGACTCCTGGTGGTCAATCAATCATTGCCTGTTTGTAATTGATCCTTCGTTGATAGTCTACTGTGAGAACATACCCGGCGGAGTGGGCATAATCAACATCCCACTCTTCACTTCGTATTCATGTGTATGCCACAATTTTCGTTCCTCGGGAGGCAATGTATCGAAGAGCCTGGGACTAATCATATATTCGACACCGATTAACCGGGCATTAGGCTTGGTAGAGTCATAGATGAGGCATTGACGGACATCTAGGAAATAGGTATATTCAGTCTTCCAATTGAACACATTGTAAACAGCTCGTATCAACGGGATTTGATCTTGTTTAACTCGACACTGGAGTAAGTCGATTGACTCACCCTCCGTAATATGTGAACAATAATGATTCGCCTCAATACACCTCGTCAGATCAGACGCATACACATGATACGCATTCAAATGAGCACAGATCTGCTTGACGGGCGTGAAATCCTGGATTGCCGATGCCCCGGCCTCGAGAACTCGAGATTTATTTGTCCGTGGGCCGCCGGGGATGTCGTTGGAGTCTTTGGGGATGGTGCTATTGTTGTGGCATGCCATGTCTTTTCTACACCTTATGTCTGTGGATTCAGCATATGTGGAGAAAGCAAAAAAGAATGGAGTGTGGATTGATCTTGGACTTAAACTGGGATATATCTATGGAGTGAATACGTTTCTGACGAATTGACGTCACAATGTGTAAGGCTGGCATTGAACTGGAGTATTCTTTTTCTGTGGTATATTGGGTAAGTACTTGTAGATTATTTATGGATTAAGATATTAAACCAAATTGATCCTGGAATGGGGAGTTCAGTCGATGGAGTTTTTATATCATGTTGGATCTCTTGCATGGTTAGTTCTATCTCAAGACGTATGTATCATGATGAACCCTTCGTTCAGCCTGATTAATCATTTACTATCGTATCACGGATTTCACTGAGCAGTTCGATGAATCCGTACCGTACCTCGAAGGGATTGATAGACCATGTCCGCTTGCCATCAATTGGACTGCTAACATGGCTGCAGTATATAAGCAAGAAAAGAATCACGCGTCTCCATTTCACGCTTCACATGGCATTCTTCAGCTCTCTCAACATTGCCAGAACTTCCACCGGATCCGTCTTGCCTGTTGCTAGTTGAATCTCAGGATCCTACGTAGAATTAGAATAGTTATCCACTAGGAGGAATAAAGACAAGACCTACCGTTAGCCGCATAAAGACATTATGAAGCTAGAACCGTGTTAGTCCATGTATATATATATACTTGTAAAGTCATTGATAAACTCACCTTCTCATCCCCAATGGTAAATTTCCCCTGTGTTTCCCGATTCGCTGAGGCAAATGCCTCCAGCTTCTTGATGGCATCCGATTTCGATACAGTGAGACAAAACTCTACATTCTGCTTCGTGTATTCGTGGCCAGGCTGCGCATTGAATAGTTAACTCGGCGTCCAAACACAGACTTATATCAACTTACATAAACTTTTGTATTATCCGGTAGAGCTGCCAGTATTTCGTTGAGGGCCGTGTTCATTTCCTTGGCGTTTCCTTCGAAGAAACGGCCGCATCCTAGAAATATAACGTCAGGCATCATATATAAGAGGAAAGGGAATGAATCTGGACCTGCAATGAAAAGCGTGTCACCTGTAAAGACGGCACGGTCCTCCCCATCTTCCAGATAAAAGCAAATGCTATCCTGCGTGTGACAAGGCGTATGAAGCGCTGTGACCGTTAGGCGATCCCCAATTTTAAACGTCTCATTATGCCTAGGCGTCTCGGTCACGCTCTGGCATTTTGCGCCTCCTATAACGCGGAGATTTCCAAATTTTTGAATCTTGGATATGAAGGTTAGGATCAGTTGCCAACTTGCATTCCGCTTTTCGTTTTTCTTTCTGTCTCAGTGAAAACTCACAATTCTTTCATTCCCACCAGCATGGTCCCAGTGGCTTTTATAATCGGATTTCCAATGGTGAGCCTTCCAGGTAATAATCCATTTAGACAATAAAAATAGGCAAGGTAAGCCAGCTTACTGATGTGTATTGAGAATCGCCACGAGATTGATATTGCCAGACTTGACCTCCGGTTCTACCTTTGGAATAACCCTGTAATCATTTGCCAGATAATGGTGAGTAGAAACCATATCAGGAATCCATGCGCTCGAGGGGACCTCAATTGTCTCTTACTCTGGCGGATTGGCTGGGTCTATAAGCACGGAGTTTTTCGTAGGCTCATCTGTGACCAGGTAGGCATAGTTATTGCCCTTTCCTGTCCCTGTTGATTGGTTTTAGTAAATATCCTGACATGTTTGGGGTAACTGGTTATATATTTTTGTTTTCGTTGGCGGCTGCATTAGTTATATATCACTTACACATGGGAATCGACTGGATACGCATGGTTCTGATTTGATACAGGCTTTTCGATCGATAAATTCTAATTGACGGCCGGACAACTCTCGAGAAGATCATGAGGATTAGAGAAAAAAGAGCAGCAGATAGAAACGCGGGGGCTCTTTGGATCTTCTGAAAGGAGCTGATTAATGGGCGAGCTATGATTGCAATCTTATGTAACAAGACACGTGATGTGATGCAAGATGAATGCAGATGAGTGAAGAGATTCCTTCTATCTTCCATCCCTCGATTAAGAACAAAAGGAGAAAGATCCAATATTAAGCCACGCCTAATGGCCTGCAATCCCATTTACCCAGGACCTGCCATCCATACTCCGCCAGCTCACGCGACCCCTCCGAGACCCTGTCAACAAATTCAGACTTGTCGCTCTGACATTTTCGTGCTGGCACCTGGGAGTCTGGCATGGTACCAAAGAACATATTGTCGCTACCCTTTTCTAGATCCGCCTTGAGCAACCTAGTCCATCGGTTCGGGGCGCTGTCACCAGCAGCAAGAATATATGCAGGGGAGAGTAGTCGTCTACTTGTCTCCCATGTTGATGATTTCAGAATATGGTCCAGCCACATGTAGATCGCTTCGCAGAAGGCATTATTATCATCGTTGGAATGTGAAGAATGTGTAAAAACCAGTTCCTTCGCCATCTCCTCGACCAAGGTTGTCAGGAATGTGGGATGATTTTCAATGATCATCTGAAGAAGCTGCTCCCACTTGGAAAATGAATCATCAAGGCTCTCACCGGGTCTAGGAAATAACAAATTAGCAAAATAATTCCAGCAGGAAAGGACAAGAAAAACTCACTTCCGTCCCGCCGGTATCAGAATAGAATCATGAAGCAATGTTCTCGAAAGGATGAGGGACCCTTCACTGGAACTCCTGCACACCGAAACCAGCTGTGTTGCAATCGAAGAATTCTGATAATGCTGCGACTTTCTCTTCTTCCGCGGAGGTTCCTTGCCTGCATTGTCTTCGACCTGCTTGAGCATATCACGCATCACGGTCCTGACAGATAATTGATCATCAAAGGTACCGTCCATCCGCGTAGTTCCAGTCCCAGGAACAACAGAAACAGCAGTGTTGTTCTTGTTGTCTACCTTGGCCCAGTAGTAATCCCACAGCCACTCAAGGGATCTCTGCGCGGCATTCCGCAACACGACCAAAGAAGGAAGCTCCCTGTGCGTCGCCTCATGGCGCAGCTCGACAAATGACGCGGGAAGTCCAAGGTCCATAGCCCGCTGGAACATGGTTCTTCTCTGTCCATGGAGCTTCGAGTCAACAAGACCCGTCACGAAACTGTCAACGTTAAAAAGGGTCTAATGGGATGTTATGACATGGTAAAACGGCCACTTACCGACAAAAAGCAGCGGAATAAGTTGCCCTGATGGAGAAAATGGAATTCTTCATCCCATCATCATGTAGAATCGCGTCGGTTAATAGAGCAGTAGCCTCGACTGGGTGAGGGAGGTTTCCTCGTAGTTTCCATGCTTCTACCTTTTTTCAACGAAGCGTTCGAATCAATATCTCGGTGCGACCAGAAAAAAAAAATAAATAATAAAATAAAATAAACATCTGAATCGACATACCCTTGCACAAGCTGCTGAACGCATGTCCGGCCCGTCATATGCAGGCGGAGGGTAGAATTGGCTCCGGACAGCAAGTAACTGCGAATGCTCCCTCCATGGTGTGAAGATCACTCTGGCCATTCTCCCTTTCCCGTTAATTGGTGATAGGAAATGGGGGTTTAATAGATACTGCACAGACTACTGTCTTGGGCCTTTTTATATATTATTTCTGTAGATATACAGCTATGATGCTGACTGTACAAAGTCGAAGAAGGTGAGTAAATTCTTACCGGAAGATTGATTTTCCACTGATTGATAAGCCCCGACCTATGAACTACGAATTACCGTTTTTGGATAGATGAGGGTTTGAGAAGATTCTTTCCAAGACACTGATTAATGCATTGGAAAGTGAAAGTGTTCTTATATGAAGTACAATATATACATTGTGTTGGTAGCCATGACCAAGATCGTTTACACATCCCACCATACCTAGGTATAGGTGTCCATCCATGCACCTGGAACCATAATCAAAGACCAAGAGCGCCACGCTATGCAAAAGAACAAGCACGCCGAGACAACAAGAAATCAAAAATCAAAAATCAAACCCAACCATAACCGTAATTGAAGCAAGACTGTTCCCCCAAGGTAAGCAGCTGCTGGCTTTCAGCAATGAGACTCTGGATACTGTCCTCGTGACCGCCGAATAGCATGCTAACAGGCGCCTTGGCCGTTTGCTTGGGGGGCAGCATATATGTCATCTCGGACAACTCTTGCTTCGGCTCTTCCGCCTCCTCGTTTTCCTCCTCGCCGTCATCATCCTCGTCTTTAGAATCGGGTTCTTCGGCTTCGTTTTCCGAAGAAGGCGTGAAGGTCTCTTCCAGTTTCAGGCCTCTTCCAGAGATCCCCAGCAGGGAATTCGCTCCTGAGGCTTCTGGGTCGCTATACAAGCCCATCCCAACAAGCTCATCCTCCGATTTTCGGTTGTTCGACGCTGGCTGTGGTTGCGATCCAGACTCAATGTCGAGTGGCTGGGCGGGGAGGAGGTCAGGTGTGGACGGTACCGTATACCCATCCGAGGAGGGGACAGTTTCGTAGTAAGAGCCTGGAAGAGCCGCCGAAGAAATGAAGTCATCAAAATTATCCATTGAGCCCATGTCAGATGGCCAAGCGGGGGGCATGGTCTGTGGAGTAGTCGGTAGGCCGTTGGAGGGGGTATCCCACGGAAGTGACTGGATCTGCGAGCTGCCCATTGACAGAGGGGACATCTGCTGGACTGATGCATCTCCGAGGAAGTTGGAGATAGGGTACTGCGTAGATACGGGAACATCTGAAACTGCAGGGGGATACGAGAGGAAGTTTCCTTCCCCGTACATAGGAACGGGCTGGTGCGGTTGAACCATCGTGTACGAGCGTTTAGAGTAGCGCTGGTCTCTTGCGGACGAGGGATGCCAGCTGAGAGGACGAGCCCTCCGCGTCCGGGCTGCAGAAGCGAGGGCAGTGACGGCGAGGTGGGTTTGATAGTCCTGACTTGACAGTTGTTGTTGGGCCACGGAGCCGTGCGGCCGAGTCGCAGCACGTCTGCTGCCCACGGACGACGGGCTATTGCCCGCGCTACGGGGCTTCATCACCCGGCCTTGTCGTGGCCTGGGAAAGACGTATGCCATGGCACGGGGAGCGAGATACGACTGGTTTGGCAGCAGCATCCATTGTGAGCCTAGCAAAGAGGCCTGGGAATCCATGTAGCTGTCCATCTAAGAAGCTGAAGGAGATCGATTCAGGAACACTGCAGAGCATGTTAGCTAGGCAAATCGAAACATTGGGCGTCGTAAGGGAGACGACATACATATATCACCCGGGCATACACCAGTAGAAGAGAAGTCATGTGACAGGCAGCGAGACGAGGGAGCAGCGACTGAGCCCCGAGAAGAAGCGTGGAGCGGTAATTATGTTATTTGTTATTGTAGGATATGCGTCGGCGTAAATATATTGATATGCTCCGTACAGGATTCAATCGATACGCTAGTGCACAGGTAGGGTTCCGAGCAGGGAGGCAGATATAAAGTTGACAGAGACGAGACAGCAGAAGGGGCCGCAAGTGGTTGGTCACAAGGCAGGACAGAAAGAGTATATAGTATGATAGTAGTATAGTAGTATATACTATATTATACTATATTATACGAGGGCATCATCTAGGCACTGCCGACCCACGATTCCCCATACAACGGGAATTGCAGACTAGTGGGCTGGCGGCAGGGTGTATGATAGTGCATGTATGTAGGGATGCAGGCGTGAGAGCCAGCGTCAAAGAAAAAGCACATCTTGATTGACGGCACGGGAAAAAGGGGGTGGGATTGAATGGCATGTTGCTGTCAGTTCCACCATCTGGACGACCATGGATCAAAGTAGGATGTCGCTGGACGGTGGTGGGGATGGTCGGGCCGGGTAATACAGAGTCAATCCAATTTACACAAGGAGGGAAGGGAAAGGGCAAACAAAGAGTCAAGGCTGACGGGGGACGGAACTGGAACTGGAACTGGAACTGGAGCCAGAGGAGAACTGGGCCGGAGACCAGTCCGGCGACGACGAGGAGTGTCGATAGCCGTGGGATGGGCAAAAGTAAAACAGCCGTAATGCTGATGATGCTGATTGTCTCGTATACTGCTACGCTCGATCGACGGTTGCCGCGTCCGCTCGCAGGCAAAAGTAAATGTAAATTAATAATAATCTCCCCCCTCACACGATGCTGGCATATTAATTCTGTTCTGTGCAGTCACCAGTGGACAATGGCAAAACGCCCCTCGTTCTCCAAATCCGTAATGCGATCTCCACAAGTTCACGGAAGATCGCTACGCAAGGACTGCCTGGCAATGGGATTAATCAATTAATGGCAACTAGCCGCAGCGACGGGACGCAGGGCTTGCTGGCGTTCAATAATCCAATCCAGTCTGTTCTCCGTAGGGGGGGCCAGACAAACATCCAAGAATAAGTTGACAACGCCGTGGTGGGTGTCTGAGGACTGGCTGCGACTGGACCATCATCCGCCCATCATCCTCATCGTCATCATCATTCATTCTGTCGGTCAACCACTTGGCAGTGCCAGAGCCGCCGAAGTCAATGCGATCCCTGGCCACCAACCACCGACGGACCACTTCGTCCATCGGAAGTGGAGCAGGACGTTTCATGGGAGTGACAAGTTTACGAGTCACAGCTGAGACTAAGGCTTTGCGAAATAATGGTCTCGTTCCTCCTGCATCACTACGTATGCAGAAGACCCTTTCGTTGGGTCGGAAGGCTCGGTTATTGGGCGGGTGACAAGAGGCGAAAAGAAGGGCACGAAGGTAAAATCCGAGTAAATAATAATAATAATGGATAATTCCCCATGTCAGCCAGCGTCAGATGGAACAGTGCGGCGCCACAGCCACAGCAGCAACACGGAGTCGCGGATTCCTGGCTAAACTTCAGTGCTAATGCTAATAATACCGATGTGACGAGTCCATGCGTCCATGCGTCCATGCCTCTGCAAGGAGGGGAGAGTTTTGCGCGCCACCGATGGAGGTATCTTCCTTCTGAGCTCTGAGACCGGGCAGGGGGACAATAATTTGCTCCATCCGAGGTACATGTCACAAACACCGTACAGTAGCAGAGCAGGGCGAGTCAAGAACCGCACAGATAAATTAAAATGCCTGCAGAAAGGATTGGGCCACAACAGATCACCACCAGACCAGACCAGACGAGACCAGACCCCAATGCGGGAGGAGGATTGTTTGAGTTTCTTTATTCGTCTGTTGTCGACATCATCAATCATCACAACGTGCGCCCTTCCGCTTCCAGGTAGAAGAATTAGATCATAGCAGCCTCCGCTGCGAATCAGCATGCGGAGGCGACGGGCATCGACGCGAGGATACATTGTTCGGGTCGCCTCAGACCCAGCTGCAGCTCCACCGTCGAACACTAGAAGAGGACAGAAATCTTTTCCAGAAGGCCAGTTCAGGGGTCGGTCCAAGGCCTGGGTCGTGGGCTTGCGTCTTACACGTAGACAGCCTTCCAGAGGCCGGGATAGCCCGCCTGTGGGTATCATAAGAAAATTCTCTTCTTCGGGGGGCCGAATGAATCCTGACTCCTGACACGATCCACAGCCGATCCCAGCGCCAGTTGATCGCCAGTGATTGGAAGCAAACGGCTTCAGGAAACAATGTTGCCTAGAGCTGCCCTGCTTGCTAGTGTATCGTGCAGCATACACGGTGATGCCGCAGATTGCCGATGCTACGCCTCTGTCCTTGGAGTTGTGTAGGCAGGGCGCATGAGCAGATCGGCATGCTGGAAGACAACTTGTCGTCACCGTGATCAGACCTGGACATTGTGACCGGCGAATCCAGATAATAGTATCGTGGAGTACACACCGGCGCGTAGCCTACTGGCCATGTGGAAAGTCAAAACACGATGGAGACTGTCCGAGTGTCATCGTTCTCAGTACAGTCTCTGCTCTATTCTAGGAGTACCCTCTTGGTATCCATGCAGCGCAGCATCCACACGGACTTCTCAACGAACACAACGTCTCTCTTCTCCATCTCCACCTGAAGAAGGCGATGTTGCATCCCGTGGTTGAACATGTCTGTATTATTAATTACCCCTGCCGTGTTCCGTCCTCCGTATGCCTCCGTCGTCGTACTTACTACTCCTCGCTTTGTCCCCGGATAGTGGAGGCGAGGAAAGAAATGAAATAATGAAAAAAAAAAAAAAAAAATAATAATAATAAAAGTCAATCATGCAAAGGGGAAACAGAATTTGCGACTGCACCGCTCGCTCCTAACAGCTGATGCAGCAGTATGCAGTGTCACGCCTCCAGACAGAAACGGACCAACGCCGCGCCAGACCAGCAGGAGGTTCTAGACAGGTGAGACGACGATGGCCGATCTTCATTTTGATTCATTGAGGATATTCGATCATTATCGTTGTTGCTATTCTTGAGGCCATTTGATAGAGTAATACGTACTCCATAGTCCTATCTGCATTCCTTCGCCTTGTGTCTTCCCACGCTGTATTCCGTATGCTTGCGTCTGCACTGCAGGGATCCCCGTCTGTCTTGATTTCTCTGCATGCAGCCATCGGAAAGTGACTTGTCATGGAAGAGCATTTTTGCATCTGGTCTTATTGCTGCTTGCTCCGGATCTGGGTGATGTGTCATCCTTGAAGGAATGGGCTGATAATCCGTCCTGTACTGTCCGTGGCCAACTTTCCAATCTCCTTCCACCCATCCATGCTGTCTGGTCGGACGCTGCCTCCGTCCAGCATGATTTCCTCTTCAGAACTCCCTTCATAATAAGGAAATATTGGGATCTCAACCACTGTACAAGCTGCTGTCCCTCCAAGCCTCCATGGCAATCAGCTCAGACAGCACCAACTGTCCCGCCACAGAACTCAAAGCAACCCACCGGACTCCTGCAACCTGTCTCGCGTTAACCAGCGCATGCAACAAGTAGGATCTTGATCCAACCTGTCTCGCGTTAACCAGCGCATGCAACAAGTAGGATCTTGATCCAACCTGTCCCACTCTCCGCCTGACCGACGGACCCTCATCCAAGCACCCTCAAAGCATGGTAAAGTCCCCGGATTCCCGTTAGGCAAGGCATCGCTGCCCGACGCATGCGGACTGCAATGAGAGCTTGCGGTGTTGAGACAAGCGCCGACAATGTCGAGACTTGCGGGACCTGTACCAGGCAGCACAGATCGTCCCTCCTTGCGGTCTGGTCGACATCGACACCTGTCGTCTTCCGCACCATCCACACCATCGAAGGTGTCCAAGGCACTTGAAGCCTCGTCGTGGCCCGGATTTACTCCATAATGCGAGTTCTTGTCCATCATTCCTGTTACCTCCAGATCCTTGGTTGGACATTGGGCAGGCAGCAGTATAGAATACTTGTCAAGAGAGCAACGGGCCTGGATCTATAGCTCCTTCCCTTTGCCTTTCCACGGCCGGAGGATTCCAGTTTCATCGAGATGGCCCCTGACTTAATCTTCCAGCTATGAACTAACCACTTCCGGGACTCTATTGTTAGACCACACTTGGGAGCCTCCGAATAGCAAGGTTCTTGGGCCGTCAATCTCGCGAAATCTCAACTTCCTATGGTCCGGTGACGAAGCTTGTAGGAGCCAGAAAATAACGGGGAATGGAGAGATTCGCAGGCTGCCAGATCTTGTTGAAGCGGCCCGTCCCAAGTCTCAGAGAGAGAGAGATCCGATGCTCTATGGGTTGTATCAATCAACGTTACGACCCAGGGTCATATACCACGAAATCACCAGCATTGCAAAAATGCAGAGAAACCAAGGGCTTGAGCCTGAATATCTCCCAGAGTGCAGTATCTTCCCAACGAAGCCTGTCCGGAACTTGCAATATTCCCATCCAATTCTCCACCACCATCTAGGTGGACGAAACGGTATCTGGTATGTTTTCTTCTGACTACCTAGTCTCTTCTCTCTTAAATCAGTATCCTAAGATTCTTCGACCCTGCAAAACCAAAGTCTCCGCGCTTCATTGTATTCTGCCGCTGGCCACGCTTATGTCCCTGGATGCGGTTGTCTTACATCTGGTGTCCAAAAACAATGACCTGTAATGGCCCATGAAAACACACGGCACGTTTTTTTTTTTTTTTTTTTTTTTTGGTATTAGGGTGTATTGGACCCAGAACAGAACATTTATTGAATAATCAACAATGATTCGGTGAGCTTAATGCCTGAGATAACCCGGTGGCGAGACTTTCAAGGTCTGAAGACCTTAAATTACTGAGCTGCAGGCTTTTACAAAGTGGTTAGTCAAAGATCCCATGGTTATACTTGTAGGGAGTTCAGGATAATGCTCTCTGATGGCTCTGGGGACAATCCTAACTTCGGATCAGGTCAAAAAAACTGGATTCAAATTATTATTCCGAGTTGATAGTTCTGTAAAGATTCTGTTTCGCCTTGCGGTGGAGGCTGTTGCTCTAGAAATTTCGTGGCTTGGCATCGCCCGGCTATAAATTCTCTTCTCAACGCAAATGCTCTCACTTTTTTTCTTCTCCATCAACGCCAACTTCTCTGGCGAGAGCAAAATGCATTACTCTCCCGGTCGTGATCGTTGAGAGTTTCTTTCTTGCTATGACTTTCTTTTTTATTTGATATGATATTATGATGCCCCTTTGTTTTGCTAACAATGTACTAATTGGTAAGCTCTTTTTTTGCTTTATTTCTCTCGTCTCTCGCCCATTCTTCCCCCATCTCTTCTCTCCTGCTATTGCATTGAGAGATTGAGATACATACCCTTATTCTTTTCATGATGAAAACATCTTCCACATTCGCAGTTTCCACGCTAGCCGTCGCCATATGAACCCATCATAGACGTGCTCTGTGCGCATAATCTTCCTTGGATGTCTGACTTGATTTTTCTCCTGAGCTGTTTTGCCATATCCATTTATCCCCAGACCAGAATGAGTGCTAATGTCAGATCTGGAAGCGATCAGCATAGGATTGCGTTTGTTCTACAGCTTATGTATTCCCGTCATGGGATCTCTGATGTGCAGAGGCTTTGATTCTGGGTGAAGTATGTCTTCAACAGCGAACAGTGAAGTAAATATGTTTGGGATACTCTACACCGAGTCAGGTTGTTTTCCATGCTAGCAGAAGATTATATTGTTGCGTCCCGGTGGTGCATGAAGCTCTTTGCTCATGTATCGTAGAAATCGGGCGATGAGTAACGAACAATGGAAATGCAATTGAATGCTCTGGTTTTCCTATACTTGCAGTAAATAGTTCCATTGGAGTATTGAAGAATCCGTAGCCGTGCATGATGCCGTTGTAGAAGAAACTGCATGCGACAATTGCATGGGATGGGAATCTGCTTTCCCGTACGAGTTTCCAGCTTCAACTTCAATTGCGACCATCATCGTCATCATCATCACTATAAGAATACTTGCCAAGCAGTCAGACACAGGGGATTATCGGATCTCGAAGATTACAGAATCCATCATCGCCCCTATACCATACCCACCAAAACAATGAATGCTGCAATGCTCTCGACTTGAGTCTCCCCTAGAGTTACGCATCCATCACAATCCTTGCGACGTTCCAGTCTTCGTCTCTCGACAGCCACCGAATTATATCGACCAGATCGGCCCCATGTCTCTTCCCCCCAGACATTCCACCGTGCTCTCCATCAGCGGCCCTCCGACAATCCCCGGCGCTCCAGGAGACAGGTCGTCGCTAGTGCAGCAGACTCAACCCAGCTCAGGCTTGCGAGTACCGTCGAACCGCAAAACCATTTACGACAGACATTTGAACCGCAGTCGAAATGCAGAGTTGAGCCGGGCAAGCTTCGCGTACCTCTTCGCGGAGATGGTAACATATGCTCAAAGGAGGGTAACAGGCATACAAGATCTAGAGAGACGGTGAGTATCCATCACAACTGAGCTTGAGCGTCAAAGACAAGAAATCTCCTAATTGCAACTGTTCTATCCAGATTAAACGAACAAGGCTACCCACTCGGCCTCCGCCTCCTCAACCTCCTCTTCTACCGTTCGTCCCCAACCTCCGCGTCCTCCCTCTCTGGCTCCTCAACCACGTCCTCACCCCCAAATAGACCCCTCCGCATCCTCCCCCTATTGCACCTTATCCATGGACCCCTCTGGCGTCTCCTCTTCCAACGTCCCGCGGACGCCATCGAGCACTCCATCTCCCCCGATACCCCGAACGAGTACATGATCACAGACAATGACCCGCTCGTGAACACCTACATCAGCGTCCCCAAAGAAATGAGCATGTTGAATTGCGCCGCTTTCGTTGCGGGGATAATCGAGGGCGTCTGTGATGGCTGCGGTTTCGAGGCGAAGGTTACGGCGCATAATCAGCCGTCCGAGATGTGGCCTAGTCGGACTGTCTTCCTCGTCCGGTTCGGCGAGAGTGTTATGGAGAGAGAGAAGGTTCTGGAAAGGGCCGGGGTTAAATAATCGGATATATTGAGATGAGATGGATCGGGGCTCTTCCTTTTTTGACGGACTATTTTTCTTTTGAGGGGTCTAATGGTGTCCTGTACGTGTGGTAATACATTGTACGAGTGCATCATAATTATGAGGGAAATGATATTCTGGGTTCATGCTAGGGAAGAGGAACGGCATTCCTCCTCGACTTTCGTCCACTGGTCTTGGAGAGAAGAGGGGAGGGGGTCTTGCGAGTTTAGAGAGCGGCTCTCTAATACGATGCACAAATTATGACGGCAATAATGCTACTGGTGTGTCCAGAGCCTTAATTAGAAAAAAGAGGCCATCTAGCTTATTCCCAGGTGAGCTTTGTCTTTATCATTCCTGTATGCATACGGACGAAGCATGATGGATGGATATATATACCCATGTCGATGCCGGATATTTGAGAACATATATATATGTACATGGCAGTTCCCAGGCATTCATATTTCACGTCCAGACGGATCAATTGGATTGAATGGAATTATCAAAAGAGAAGAAAATATGCAAAATATGCGTAACATCTAACCCGCTTATTCATTTTGAATGCCACCACCGAACGCCAAAAAGAATGAAGAGCCCCTTTTAAAATATTGTTTGGTATTATTCAAGTCATAATAAAATCATGAAACTGCCTCGACCCGTCGTCGCTTCTCGCGGTCATCGTATGGAGAAGGGCTCCGTTTCCTTCTACTGCCGCCGTCATATCTATATCGACCCCGATCCCGATCCCTATCTCCATGACGGTCACGACGGTCATCGCGCCTGTCTTGATGCCGATCCCGTCTAGGTGAATAGGACCGAGACCGAGACCTTCGCCGCGAGGGTGGTGAGCGCGATCGTGACGGTCTCCGGCGCTCTGTTCTGACGGTACTAGCATTGGCGCCCGTGGGGCCCTTCTTCTCAGGGCGATCAGGCAAGAACCGTTCGTCAGTGACGCCGATCGGAGGCCCTTCATGACCAGGCCCTCGAGGTCGACGATAGTCGAACCCTTCACCGAAATGACCCGTATCTTCCGTCCTGAGATCCTTGTACCGCGTGCGACCCTTCTTGCCGAGTTTGGTCATATCCCGAATCTGCATATACTCGGGTAGAGTTTCACGGGCGACGTCGTCGACGAATCTGCTGCCCATTACATTCCGTCTATCGAGTCCCTCGCGCTCCAGATCGTCCCGGTAGAAGGCCCCCTTGTGGAAGTATCGCTGCATGAATCCCGTCTGGCCGCGGGTTGCGTCGCGTTCCTCTTTCTGCTTCGCGATGAACTCTCTATCTTCACGCTCGCGTTCTTCAGCCGTTAGGTTTCGACGCCGTTCGATCTCTTCGCGCACTTTCTCCGCTGCCTCGATCGCTTCTCGTTCGCGTTTTATGCGCTTGAGTTCACGCAGTTTCCATGCTGCGTACTCGGCTTCTGGGTCGAGTCCGTCCCTGTCATCAAGAGCGCCCTCTTCTCCTACTTCGGCGGCTTCATCATAATCCCAGGCTCGATTCGCTGCGGAACGTGCAATGGCCTCCTTTTCCAGTTGGTCGCGGATTAACATGTCTGCTTTTTCTTGTCGCTGGGCCTTGCGAGCTTCTGCCTCTGCTACCGTATCTGCTCCTGCAATCGCCGTCCCTGGCGTGGGTGTTCCATTGTTCCGTTTATCCTTCTTGATAAATGTAGGACGTGGGAGGAGTCTCCGGGGTGCTTCTTCCTCGGAACTGCTCTCTTCTTCGGAGCTCTCTTCCTCCTCTTCCTCCTCTTCCTCTCCCTCTTCTTCTTCACTCTCAACCCCAGCAGCCGTAGGAACGACACCAGCCCCAACATGCTGTAGCGGTTTCTTCACATCTTTGCCTTCCTCTTCTTCTTCCTCCGTCACAAAACCCTCCTCATCCTCGTCTTCAATCCTCACACTCTGAACACCACGAGTAATACCATTCCCTGCAGCAGCACCAGTAGGAAATGACGTCGCCTTAGGCGCCTGCAGTCGTTGTTGGCGACGAAGCGCTTCCGCCTGTCTGCGCCGCTCTTGTTCCTTGGCCTGTTCGTCTTCGTTTTCTTCCTCTTCCTCGGACGAAGAGGGCTCTTCTGCGATCGGTTTCCCAGGTCTGTATCGTTTCACGGGTTTCAAGGGGTTGGCGGTCATACCGCGATGTGACGAGGGTAGGGGAGGAGGCATATTGGCTGCTCTGTGTGAGTTATTTTTGGGATTATAAGAATTGAGGTTTGAAGCTTTCGCTGCGGCGAGGTGAGGTTGGTTTGGTATCACGTGACTATAATTAAATACGTAGCGGATATGAAAATGTGCGATCTGGGATGTATTGTGAGATTTGGACGTTAATTAATAATAATACTTAGGAGCTAAATTGTGCCTGATACAGTGCGCCCTGGTGCGCCAGCAGGTGGTTTTGGGAGAGAATTTTAGTTTTCCCTTTTAATCTTGCCTTCCCAGGAAACATCACGTGATCACGCGTTGCGCGCAGCGCGACTCAATTATCATCATTACTCTCGGCATCCAGAAATCCTATTCAAACATTGTCTAATCCTCTAAAGTCCAACGCAATCTACATATTTCCATTCTACAAACATAAATAACGCCATCTCAGGAGAAAATCAAACGAAAAGAAGAAAGAAAGAATGTCCCTCCAAACCCCCCGCATCCTCCCCTCCCACCTTCACGCCTTCTCATCAAAGACTGTCCGAGTCCTGGGCACCGTTTCCGCACTTCGAGGCGATACTGCGACCATCACCTGCGGGGCTAATGGGGACATCACGCTGGTTCTGAAGGCGGATTCGCATTTGCAGATGGGGAAGTTGGTTGAGGTTGTTGGAAAGGTTACTGAGTTGGACGGGTCGGTATGTACAACAACAGCAATGACGAAGAAACGATATGGGATTTATTTGCTTCCTTTACCCGTCTTTCATCCTTATTTTATGCCGTTTTGGATATGGGGGGGAGAAGAGATTGGGTTGCTGATTGATTCTTCACTGTAGGGCTTCGGAATAAGAGTCTTTGGGACGGTGGATTGGGGGAATCCGGCGGATTGCGGTATGTCCTTTCCTTAACCACCCCTAGATATAGATAATATAGATACATTCTGCATTCGGTTTGGTTGACAAAGGCTAACCAAAATGTCGTTTTGGTTATCAGATTACAAAATCTACGAACGTGTCGTCGATGTTACGCATCGATTTACACCGATCTTCTATGATTCCAGCTAATTAATTAATGATTAACGATGTACGGAGTAATAGATCCATTTATTCATTTAATGTTCTTCTTCGAATTGAACCTTTTCTTTTTATTTTTTACCTTCCTCTGTACAGGTGCGCGAGGGGATAAGAACAAACTACGGGTTCCTTTTACTACATATTGCGGGTTTGGCACGGTCATTTTATTAGTATTTCTATCATACTGCCAAAGTGGAAAAGGAACAAATTTTCCTATTGAGAACATTTTTATGGGATGCGATGGGGTAATGTACATGTAGTATTCTCACCAGGACTACAATCCCGATAACTTCACGGCATCTAGCCTGAGTAGCTGGGACCAAGGTTCTCTTATACATAGGACAATTCCAAGGGAGTAATCTAAAATAGGAATATTATCTTTACAATTCGGTTGAGTTGAGAATGCTTGGCTTCACATGTTATACATTTTCGATATCTCTTTCAATTGCTAATAACTGTAAGTGGTATCATCATATCACAACCGTCCTCAGTTGCACTCGAATCAAATCATAGATGTTGAAACTCAATAAACCACGATGAGTAGGAGACCCGGGACAAAATACGACATAAAAAAGCCGCCAAATAAAGTGACCCTTCCAACCAAACGCCGACGCTTCAGACAACACAGCACACAAGAATATAAAAGCATATGTAAAATATCGTTTCGATATGGAACAGATTGTTCCGGAAAGTCTGCCCGCGACCATGGAAAGCATCCTTCGTTCCTGTTGGAGGATGCGTACTACTGCGTACTGCCTCCTACCTGCATTGCAGAATCCGTCAAGATCGCACCAAGGAGTTCGTTATCCCCAGGGTAGTCATTTACCCCTTGGTTTGCCTGCTGATTATTGCTTCCATCTGCATCAGCGGGCGGGACATAGTCTGGTATCCAGTCAGCCCAGTTGCTGTCAGAATGGTAAAAGGAATCAACGCCGCCATCTCGAAAGAGGTCCATCAACATATCATCGATCCCTCCGGTGAATACTCCCTCGTGGAGGCTATCATCCGGCAAAGATGGCAAGTCGGCAATTTCGGAGCAGGCCCGTTCGTGACCTTTATTCGGACCGGCAGAAGACTGGCTGCTTCCCGTAACTAACTGGAGCTTCTGCGCTGAAAGCTTCGTTGGTGATCCATCCAAGCCCGCCGTATCCCTTCGCCTCCCTGCGCTAGGCGAATTGCATGGTAAGGAGAGTCTTTTTTCCGATAGTAGATTCCCAGGGCGCACATTTCGTCTTCTGGGAGTTGGACTGCTGGGAAGTTCAAACTCGAACTCCGGATTTTCAAATAGATCATCAAGACCATCGTACGTTGCGGGAACATGGTTTTCCTTGTCCTGAGGTCCCGGTTTATCTGATTCTCGAGAAGCGATTCGGGGGCTGCGCCGTGGACTGTTCTTCAGCGAATCGTCAGGAACCTTCAGCTTTCCATCGTTGTGAGCAGTCGGAAACAATGCTCTTCGGACTGGCTTTGGAGTGAGATTCTCATTATTCTTCTCATCCGTCAGTAAAACGCTCTGTGATTTCATGTTGCGAGCGGGACTCGATTGAATCGCCCGCTGTAGGGCCTCGATCGCATCTTGTCCCAGCCAACGGTTCTCCACAGTATCCGTTGATTTGCGCGGTTCAACGCTATTGGCACGACGTCGCTTCGACTGAGGCTCTTGCGTTCCTTCATCATTCTCATGGTCATCGTTCTCGTTATTTTCGTTATCCCCTTGTGGAGTAGCTCCATCTTCTACTGCCGGAGAAGAGGCGTCAGATTGTCCCGGAGAAGATGCTGCTGGTTTACTCGATTGAGCGTTGCTGCGGCTCCTCGTGGCTGCATTGTTCAAAGGACCCTTGCGTGCACCACGCTGCCGCTTGCCCCTTGGTGGCTGCTTATTCCACCTGTTTTCTGGCCGCATGGCTTTGAACTTGTGAAGCCAGATACCGCAAGCTTTTACTACGTTAGCAAGACAATGACCCATTGGATTCTCGCAGGGGAAACTTACGATTGCAGAGTAAAATCTGCACAAAGTCCTTGTCAGTGTCAACCAGCGACTTCTTATAAATCTTGAATTTGACGACGTTTTCATTTTCATCGCGCAAGAGTGCCCGCCAGAACAAAATAGACCGATCCTTGACGAATTCATTCGCGTCTTGCTCGCTGCCAGCAATCTCTTTCCAAAAGGCTCTGCGCCAGGTAGGGGTCTCAATGGCGCCACAATTCTCACAGTATGGCGGAACTTGGCCTTCCCGAATAGCCTTGTCCAGACGTGCTTGGACCTGCTTCTGCCTTTTTGTGCTTGCGCCGCTACGGACTTTACCTTCCTCTATCGGCTGAGGGGCAGGCGTTTCAGTGGTAGAGTAATCGCTCATCGGGCCAGAGTATGAGTGTGAGTGCTGTAAAGCTCCCTGGGGAGGCATAATTGGGTCACTCGCCGGAAAGGAGTTGATAAGCTGCTCAACCTCACTCCGTGACATCGGCGCAGGTGCCAAAGGCTTGGGTGGCGGCCTCACACCAGCTCTTGAGCATGGTCGAGATCCGCTAGTGCTGGTGGGCGCTGGGGGAGGAGCAACCTCTTTTACAGCCAGTTCCGGTACAGGTCGGTTCTGAATCCCCGAAGTTGCAGGAATGCTGGCCGTGGAACTCGACGTAACGGTGGGCCGTACGATTTGCTGATCTCTCGCCGGTTGGTTGGGGGCGACCCTCCTGCATTCTTCCGACGGCGTGGCGACGTCTTCACCGAGGATATCTTCCTCCAAGTCGCCGCTCATGAAGCCGGAATCTGGATGCATGGACAGCGTGGGTAGGACGGGACTAGATTGGCTCGGGAGCCCACGGTCGACGAATGGTGGGGATGAAGGCATACTAAACGAGGGCTCAAACAGGCCTTGATAGCGAGACTCTTCTTCCGGGGACGGCAGATTTGTATCACCAATGGGATTGTCATCACTCATGGGGTAAGGAGATGTGTACGAAACGCTACTCTGAGTAGATGTTTCGCGCAACTGGCTGCGGAGAGGGCGTGGTCGACGGAGAATGTCACTTGGACGAGAGATGGGAGTCGGCGGGCGAATAGGTTCTTCATTGGATTGTTGAGCAGTAGAGATAGACGGGTTAACTGGAAACGGGCGATGAATACGCACGGAGGCAGCTGTACTGGCCGCAACTCGTAAAGAAGCAGGTTGTCTTTCGATATTAAAATCCTCCCTTGCTGGATGGTCAGCTCTGTACAGCTTGGCTCTTTTCCGTTGTGGAGGCTCCGCAGAATCCTCCGCACTACCATATCCTGATTGAACAGAATCCCTGCGGGCAGCATGGAATGTCTGGATGCGAAATTCGGCATCACGCATGGAAGCACTCGATGAAGGGCGAATCAGGTCATGTTGTAGTTTTGTCTGCTGAAGCTGTGGTTGTTCGCTTGCTTCACGATGCCCTCCAGGAGTCGGCAGCCTGCTTGGGGGGGCAAAAGCGGATGGAGCCGGCGATGCTGCTTGAAATGGTTCATTCCCATGCATCGAATGTAGATCCCTGGGAGTCGATCCCTCACTCAGAATTTGATGTACTCTCTCTATTCCGGACTGATCCACGGGCGAGTCTGCGTGTGAGGCTTGTTGCGGCTTGGTATAGGACATCAATCCGGGATTTTGCCGAATAAAGTTCGTCCATGCCTGGGCGTCGAAGTCATGGGGGATAACATTGCTCAATTCGCGGTATTTCTGGATGCTTTCAAGGTATTCGGCTTGGAGAACTGTGGGGACAGGAACGAGCCGCAGTTTGACCTCGAGCGTCTCCTGTGCGCCCTTTGAGAAAAGACCAAGGACATTTTTGCAGACACGACCAGTCACCATCGTCCTAGATTGGTGTGCAGGGGCATTTGGCGTTGGGGAAGCTGAGGCAAGAACCCATGACAGCATTCCCTGGCCCACCAACGGCGTTTCGTATTCTGAGTAGTCGTAGGCATATACCGTATAATCCCGACCTAGTTTCGCCACGAGTTCCGGACTAGAGGAGGAAGCGCAGGAATGAGCATGCTTTCTTTCTTGGCTTATATGAGTGAGAAGTGGGGGGAGCAAACCTTGCGGACACGATGGCTTGAATGCAAGTCTTCAATTCGATAACGCCGATCTGTGTCTTCTCATCGAGTTGAGCCGTCTGGATATCAAGGAGCTGAGGCCATCGGGCCAAACAATTGGTCTTGTGATCATCGTCGAAAGTATAGAGGACTTTCACTTTGGGCGGTGCATGATAACATTAGAAAGAGATGATGAGCCAGGCACCAGATGACTTACACCTCATCGGGCGGACGGATATTCCATCCTGGGATTCCATGCCGCCCAAATACGCGCTGTGACCATATGAGACAAAAGGATATATATGCAGGTTGATGATAGTTCTCAGGCAGACACGCGGAATTAAATAAGGCGAGTCGATAGTGGCGGTCTGTGTGGGAGGTTCAGAGCTTGAAAATAGAACGACGGTAAAATACAGTTGTCAAGGATAAATAGAAGTACACGTTCCAAAAAGAGTACATCTAAATCTCAAACAAGAGACTGAAGTTAGAGTCGATACGACCAGCAAAATGGTTGACCAAGAAAAAAATGAATAAGATTCCACAGAGCTCTTAAGGAGGCTGTTGATGTGAAATTGCAGATTCAATGAACAGAGTAGAGGGGACTCTTAATAATTGTGAAGGTGAAGAAGGACCAGTGACCGACGAGGACAAAGAGGATAGTCAATTGGGAAGGAAGAGAGGAAGAAGAAGAAGAGGAGGAGGAGGAGGAGGAGGAGGAGGAAGAAGCTGGTACTTGAACGAAGATGGAGATCGATCAATGTGAAGGAGCTTCGAGGCGTGTCGTTCACGCGACGTGACGCAGCCAATCGCGCCCTGGAAGGCTGGGGCTTCCAAACACGACAAACACGTACGACACGTGATGTCGTTATTATCACGTGATTCAACGCCAGACCGCGAAAGCTAAAACGCCTACAGGAAGAAAGAAGAACAAGAGCAACTGAAAGAGAGAACTCCCAAGCAGCAGTTCGTCCCCCTTTTATAATACACCACCATGTCTACCGACCCGAAGATCCAGTATGTCCTTCCCCCCATCCCCGCATGATCATCTCGTGACTCACCCACCTGTCATGGAGTTGTCCGTCCGCTGCAAGCTGCTAACCCAGTCTACAGAGACCTGCTCAATAAGCCGAAGAGCGAACTCACGTACGTTTTTGCATTTTGGTCCCATTATCTTCGGATTATACCATCCTTGTTGATTCGTCCTTGTTTTATATCAAATCACATGATGATATCCGAACCACGCATTCATCCCTTTACCCCATCCGGGTGTATACTGAGTATGTAAGATGCTGACTTTCTCCACAGCGAATATGAAGTAGCTCTCGTCGAGGAGCACGAACTCACAGCCGGGCCCCTCTCTCTCCTCCAGACAGCCACGCGCACACACAGCCAAGTTCTAATCTCCTGCCGGAATAACCGCAAGCTGCTGGCCCGAGTCAAGGCATTCGATCGACACTCCAATATGGTGCTCGAGAACGTCAAGGAGATGTGGACTGAGAAGCCCAAGGGTGGAAAAGGGAGGGGTGTGAATAAGGACCGGTTTATCAGCAAGATGTATGTGCCTGTTTTCTACGCTTGAACTTGGATTTCATCGCGGCCCGGGTCCCATACTAATATGTTTTGTCCCAGGTTCCTTCGCGGTGACTCGGTCATTCTGGTTCTTCTTAGCTGAAGTTGCCTCCTTTTTTTCATCCTCTCTTCGTTAAATCACGTGCGGTAGACGGCGAACGATTGCTTTTACCTATCAATCAACCGTCCTGTTCCCTCCCTTTCCGCAGACTTGGGAAGGGACGATTTATTAATACCAATACCAATACCCTTTTTGTTGATGTGTCATTTCCCCGTCAGGATCAAGGGATGCCAGAGTGCTGGCTGGGTGGTCGGACTAGATGGGACCGGTCGTTTGTCATGTCGACATGAGGTTCGGCATCAGAGCAGTTTAAAAGACTCAAGGCGTTCCGTTTATGTGGGATTGGATTTCTGTACTTCTATTCCGTGTGGGCTGCTTCAAATTTTCAAGGGGGAAAGAAAAGGAACAAATACTTTATTTGTGGTCATCTACGTCGATATGGATGTGTTTTGAGCAATGAAGATGAAGACTTGCAATATAAGAACAGAATAAGAACCCATATGACTGCAATCAATGACTGCGTTGTATTATTTATCTCTTTTGACTACTGCGTGAGTATTATGCCTTCTACATACAGCCAATATCCGCAGCATGCAATGGTGTATGATTAAACCGTCATCATCATGTCAAACATCAATATCCAAAAATTAAGCAAGGGGTTTTTTTTACAACAACACTTCCTCATCATAATATATCCATAATATAAAAACCAAAAAAAAAAAAAAAAAAAAATCACACAGCATCCGCCAAACCAGCCAAAAACTCACTAAGCCCAAACGCACCCGGATCAGGGATCTTCCCAATCCATTCCTCTTGACCGCCAACGTACACCGTCCGGCCTAATTTCGGCAACATATTCTTGGAGGCCTCCGCGCCGTCCTGGGCAGCCTTAGCAGCTGCATGGATATCCTTGGTCTTCTGCAAGGTAGCGCAGAAGGGGGCCAGGGCATCGATCATGGTCCGATCACCGGGTTTGGCTGGGGTGTATTTTCCAAGAGCAGTAAGGGAGTAACCGAGGGCTTTGCTCCAGACGTCGACGGTGGCCGGGACTGGGACTGAGGAGGATGAGGATTCCTGAGCGCGCAGGCCGTGGGCGAGAGCGTTCAGGAAGATGGCGTAGACGGCACCTGATGTGCCATCCATTGTGTTTTCGACGACGGTAACGATCTGGTTGACAGCGTTGACGACGTCATCAGTTAGCTTTGTCGATGGGCTATCCAGCAGGGCGAGGATGGCTTCGGCTCCGCGTTTCAGGCCTACGCCGCAGTCGCCGTCCCCGACGATAGTGTCGTAGCGTGTAACTAGGGGTTCTGCAGCGATGATTCGTTTCAGACCTGGGATGAGGATCTTCTTGAGGATGGCTGGGTCAACTGTGGATTATCAGTTGGCATGATTGAATGGTACGGTTGAAATACATGTATAGGGAGACATACGCTTAACATTGCCCGGTTGTTCCTCTGCGGATATCGTCTTCTTCGTTTCGACGGGACCATTGAATCGATGCTCCCAAGTAGAGGGATGAATTGGAGCAGACCAGCCGACGGCTTCTGCAGGGGCATCAAGAAGGTCCAGCAAGGACTTACCCGGACCGAGTCCAGTATCTGCGAGTTTCAAAAGAGAAATACTGAACCCCAGTCCGTTGAGACTGCTAAGGAAGGTACCCTGGATAATTCGCGCAGGCTTAATCTTGTAGTCTCGCCCCAGTTGCTGGTACACCTCATCAGTGATGCCCGATAGTTCCAGGACGCTAACGCCTCCCAGGTTGTTGATCAACAAGACGAATTCATCGCCGGGCTGCCATTTGACATAGGCACGGTCTGGATCATTTTGGTCCAGCAGCTGGCGCAGCATGATCTGGACTAATTGAGGCAGATTCGCCGTTGCACGGTGCGATCCCGGTTCGTTATGAATGCCCATTCCGACCTCGACCTCATTTGCGGGAATCGCATCCTTGGAGACCTCCCGGCCGGGGATATGGACGTGCGACAAGGACGAGCCCACCGACACGAGATTTGCGTTGGTCAACTGAGCAATGCGATATACATCCTCCAAGGAGCCGCTGGAAGTTGTCAGTCTTCCTGAAAGAAATACCAGATGACATCGTGGTCTAGATAGGGAATGAGGAGTAAAGTTACCCTGCCTCAGCTAATGCTCCGACAATCTTCAAGATCAGGGCGGCACCACCAATGCCTCGCCGGCCGACTTTACCGCTTTTCTGTCTCCCGACACCGACATCATCGTTCATGGCGAAGAACTCGGTCTTGACACCGGCCGCCCTCAGCTTTTCGGTAGCCATGCCAAAGTTGAGCACATCTCCAGTGTAGTTGTTGGTGATGACAAGGACACCCTTCTCGGTGGCGACATGCTCGATGGCGGTCTTGCGCACCTGTTCGGCGGACGGGGATGCGAAGACAGTGCCGGCAGCAGCAGCAGTCAACAGGCCCTTACCGACCAGGCCTGGGAAGGCCGGTTCATGGCCGGAACCACCACCGGAGACGATGGACACTTTGGATGGCGAGGAGGGGTCTGGTCGGCGGAAGACAATCTTGTTCTCCCAGTCCAGGGCCAGGGACGGGTTTGTGATTGTCAACGAACGCAGTGCAGTGTGCACCAAGTAGTCGGGGTCGTTGAAGAAGTGTTTTGCTGTGGGAGGGCAATGTTAGCACTAGGGTATTCGGGGAGGTGGATACGATAGACGTACTCTGCATGGTGAATATGGGGCGGGATTGACGCGGGTGGAGTGGAGCACGGAGCAACACCGACTCTGCAGAAAAAAAGGGAAGAGAATAGGAGGAGAAGAATAGTCTTGGAGCAGGTCGAGACGAAGAGAGGAGAGAGATATATACAGAGACACAGTCGGCCAAAATAGCAAGCGAGCACTTGCGTAACCAGATCGGCTCTGGAGTATACCGGTTGACGGCGAACGGCACAGTTGGGATTGCGGGGAAGAGGTGGGGAAGAATGTAATGATGTATAAGCCGTATTAAGCACAGAGAAGGAGAGAAAGAGGAATCTAGAGAGGCAACATCAGATATATATCCGAGTACAGCACATACTCAGTACATAGATCTGTGGATCAAAACAATGCTCACATGGACAGCATTCCTGTTCTAGACCTGCAAAGAGAGAAACAACTCGGCTTACCGTGTAGGGAATCCCGTGTTTCCATGGAACCTTTCACCAACGGCCCCTAAGGTACGTCCCCCCAAGGCACGGACGTACCTTATTTTGTCTGTTCCTAGTTATTCTTGGTACATTCTAGGCACATTATTTATTCTTACCCCGTATATCCGGGGTGTTATATCCGGGGTGGCATCCGAATTTGAGAATCTTAGGCAATCTTGTACCGCAGATCCAAGCACACATTGATTATTAATGATGATGATTAGTTAGTTAAAAGATCGTTCATTCATTCATGGATTATCAATGATGATGATTAAAAGATTGTTCATTCATTCCTTGACACTGTACTATACGTAGTACGTACTAGTATGGAGTACAGACAGAGCAATCGTAATAATAAGCTGCTTCCGCGGTGTTTCCTGTTTCGGACTAGTGTCTCTTCAGGGTCCAGGTGACCAGTCCTCGGGAATTTCCCTTCGTTTCGTTTCTTTTTCCGTGAGGACCAGGAGAATCAATATTCTACGCGGTGATACCCAAGCCAACAGTGATATATCATTCATCATTACCCTCGCGTGCCTGCTATGAACATATGCTTATTCCATGACCTCGTAGCCTCTCGCCATCTATGCGACGTACTGATACCGATTGCCTTCCTCTCGCTCCATGTAATCTTTCTCGATCAACCTGCAGCGGTAGTTCGCGGTTAGCACTGTGTACGTGTATATATGTACGGCAAATACACAAAGGCCAACCCACTTCTCAATGTTCTTTTTAATCTCCGCCGGCTCCAACACGCCGCGGCTTCGTGTCGCCTTGATCACTTCCGCGACCAGTTCGGCATGCGTGATCACCTTGCGGCTCTTCATGATCCGCACAATCGCGGCCTGCGTCTCGTAGTGTCGGTCTGCCGCCACCCGCTCGTGCGTCGTCTTGTTCTCCTCCTTAGTCTCCTTCAGCTGGATCTGATTGATCTTAATCCGCATCTTCGCGTCGGAAAAGTTGGCGTTATATGTAAACTCGTCCGTTGGATTGACATCTTTCCCCTTGGGTATCTTGGTTAGGACTCGGTACTTGGCGCATGCAAGAGATTGCAGCGTCCGTTTCAATTCCGGGTCGGCTAAACACGAGTCAGTTCCGCTTCAAAAAAGAACATCGTGAATCCCCGCAGGTCTTCTACTTACACAGCCTGGTCGCTTCCTGTATCTGACTGTACTTCAGTGTCCCGCCGTTGGGCAGATCATTAAACAGCAGTAACACGATCGCCTGGAATGAGCTGACAACGAGTTCCTTGTTCCCCTTAGGAAACCACGCTCGAATTTGACAATGTGCTAATTGATGTTTCCACTGGAGCTTACGCCCATTGTACTTTGTATGGTAGAATTGTTCAAAGTCGTTGATCGCCGTTGCCACTTCAGGCGGGATGTTTACAGGGACATCGGGATATGTTGGCCAGGCCGCTGCGGACAGAACGCTGACATTCAAATCCAACGGTAACCGATGCCGCCGCTCCCGCTGCAAAGAGTTGTATGCTGCCATTTCATCGCGTGCCACGTCCATATCCCTAAACATGGCTTCCAAATTGTGTGTGAAACCGGATCCACATTCTAGTGCTCGATGTTAGCCTCCCATACAGTTTGAAGCAACCGTATAGTCTGCACAAACCTGTTTTCAGCCTGGAAAGCATGCTCTTCTCTGCGTCGTCACTGGCGCTACGACCCATCAGGAGACGGCGCGCAAGATCGTTCTTGTAGAAAGCCTCGAAGACTGCCTTCCCATGCACAAACCGGAAGAGATCAAGCACCCTATCAAGCTGCCGATTGATCTCGGCATCCTCGTCCGCAAGCGCAACGTCTTCCAGCTTCCGTCCAGGGAGAACTCTCCAACCGCCCTTCAGTAGCATATCAACGTACTTGGCGATCATCTCTCCTGTCTTGGGGTTGTCGGTTCCCCAGCTGGACTGTGATTTCTTTCCCTTGTTCATAAATGTCTCGAAGGATTCACGCAAGGTGTGGCCTAACTCTTCGTTTCGATGGAATGACTCCGCCCAGGTATTATCCAACTGTTGCTTGAAGTCTAATAACCGCGTTATCATCTCAGACTCTTTCTCTTCATCGAAGACGATGCTAGAGCCCTCCCCAATGATGTAATTGCCGAATGCCGTCTTTAACCTGGCCCCCATATCTTTTCGCTCAAGAAGCGAGTAGAGCCTCTCCAAAGCCGTTCTATTTCCAGCCCGCATCAGGCCAACGACGTCACTCTGGTTGAGCAATGCATTCTCCTGCTCTACCACTAATGTTCGATCTAGAAGCTCGGACAATTGCTGTTTGGTACTTCGATTAAGAGAGTAAAATTCGCATCGGTCTACTTCGCGCTGTATTAAGCGGTGGCTGTTTTCTGTAAAGCTGGTAATATAACCAGCCGCCTCACGTTGGGCCCATGACGAAAAGTATCGTTTCGATTCGGAAATGAAAAGAGGCTCAAAATCGCTGACGTAGACGTCCAGGCTATGGAAGAGCCCTATCGTGCTTCTAAGTAATGAAGTGTCTTCCACCCATTTGCTGTTTCCATCTCGATCGGCTTCAATCAGGTCGCAGGCACCTTGAAGAACCTTGCCTTTTAATTTGGCACCTGAGAATATATAAACACGGAACTGGTTCAAACCCATCTCACGGATCACTGGGAATTCTTTGGAATGCAAAAGAAACGACTGGTCGAGATAATAAAAAATACAACGGACAGTGATCTGTTTTGGAAGTACCACGTTAGTCTCCGGCGATACAGAAAATCCAGGTTCATTCTAGGTCGACCAAGAACGTTGTACATACCAGCTTCGAATTCCACAAGAACCACGCGTCGACCACTGCTCGGAGTACGTCGATGTTGCTTCCATCCTCGGCCCTTGTTGCCAGGGCCTGGCGCAATTTCCCGGATACATATTCCCGGCACCTATCTTGAAGCTTCTTGGCTAAAACAGCAGCACGACCCTGGCGACACACATTCTCTGCGCCTTTATATAGCTCCTCCAAAGAGATACCCGGCTTCCGGCCATCGAAGATCGCGGTCAGTGCGGAGTCAAGTCGGGCCCATACTTTCTCAAAGTATGAGTCCTGATTCAAACGCGGCTCCGTCCGTAGATTCTTAACGACAAGTTTCTTTGGTCCCGTTTGAGGCGAGAAGCTGTTTTGACGTGGTGAAGACGAAGGGTTGAACTGCCGAGCCTTGATCGCGGACGTAGACGAATTGAAGGCGGGAGAATTACGCCCGAACATTCCACCGGCTTTCGATTCCGAGTTCGAGAAATTGTACATTTTGTCCGGGGATATAAGCTCCCGTGTTCTTGTCAAGGACGGGGAGTCTGATGAAGAAGGGGATAATCGCGGACGCTTGTTCGACGGAGAGCTGCGCTGATGACCTTTGCCGTACCCCCTGCTGTTGCTGTTGGAGAAGAGCTCTGAGATAGTTGTCTGCTGCCGTTGCTGCTGCTGTAATGACGACTCTTCTTGTTCAGAAAGCTTTCTCTTGCCGATCGAGTCTCGTTTACCGATTTTCTGCTCGGTGGCGGCTCTGGAGTTTTGCTGCATCTAACCGGTTTTGGTAGGGAGTTGGTGTTCGTGAAGAATGCCGTCAGCGCGGATATCTGGGAGAACCTCTGTAGTCGATCTAACCATCACAGTTTGCCTTGGGCCCTGGTAAATTCCTGAAGTGATACGAAGGGGCAAAGGGGATGTAATTGATGGTGGGAAGCGGGGCACTTGTTGGATGCAGAATGTTGCAGCTCACAAGGAGTTTGTCTTGGGAAGCATTGCGTAGATAAGCAACTACTATCTAACTAGTTAATCAACATGCTTGATTACACCCTATAGAATAGCAATGCTTCAAGTTGTTGTTCTCTATGCAGCTTGCATCATGGATTTCTCCTCGTAGAGTAGATATCCTATACTGAGGTCCTTCTTGCAGCTCCAAGTAGGTATATCCTCTGAAGTTGGCCCATCGCCGCTTGCTCTGGGCTGTCTTCCGCTTCACAACCTAACCAGACGAGTATTTTCCGGTCCAGTCGCATGTATTATTTACCATAGAGTTACAGGGGATTTCCATGGCACTTAAAATATCCGTTGGATCGTAGAGAAAGTTTGATAGGAGAGCCTGGCAGCATAATACAGCGCCGGACAGGACATTATGTGTCATGCTATATTGAAAGACAAAGCGCTCACAATAGAAAAAGAGAAAACAAGGCCAGTGACTCTAGATTTAAATGCATGCAGCTGTTGTTCCATTACTATTGTACTGGCCTTCCTCTCTTGGCCTGTTCATGAATATCCATCCGCGAGAGCTCCTTATCCATCCCCAGCATCCAGCCTAGGAAAAGAAGTCTAGTCGCGGTTTCTGTTTCATATCACTATCCTCGAACTGTTGGAGATATTAGCTATAATCCCAAGCAGGAGACAGTTCTCCAGCCAGACGAACCTCAAGAAAGCCAGTAGCAGTAACAAGCGCCACATAGGACTTGGCTAGGCCATCGAGCGTTTCATTAATCTCTGGTGTTGCTCCTCCACCGCCAATCTTTGCAAAGCGTTTGAAGATACCGACCATGCTGGATCTGTTTTCAGTTAAAAAGGCTCGCGCCTGTTGCAACATCTGTTCATTCTGGAGTCCGCGAACAAAAACCACAGTAACGATAACCCGAATCACGGACAAGAGAAGGTCGTAATATTTCCTCAGGGCGTCCGGATTGTCGATATCTAACATCGTTAGGCAGAGCAGACAACACCGCGGGAAGACATATACGAACCGATGCCAATATCAGGGTCAGCAGCAAACAGTTTGGAGTCTCGTACGGCTTCAAATAGGCCAGCCCTGAGAACATAAATTGCCCCACCCTTGGTTTCGCAGAGTCGCTGTAGTAGAGACAACAGAGCCCCATAGTAAGACAATAGCAGGGGAGTGTCTAAAAGAGTTTCCGATTAGCAACAGCAGATGAAGGTGCACAACTCGAAAGCTCACCACTTGCTTGCGCATTGCGTAGTTCAACAGGAAGCGTTCTTACGGCCTCCAAGAACAGATTTAGATAATTGGACTGCGATATTAACTCTGCCAATATGGACTCATCATGACGATCCAGCACGGCTAGGAGGTTGAGCAAGAGAAGTGCAGATACTCGGCATGTCTCCTGTCCAGTATATGCATCGTCACATATGGCCTCAATGAGTGGAGGACCGCCTGTCTTGATGACCTGTTGGCTATGGAGCCTCGTGCTTTCGTGAGCGTCGGGGGAAGAAGTGATGCGAGCAACATAATATGAGCATATATTGTAGAGAGTCTCTCGTAATCCCGTATTTGCGGTTGCCACAACGACGCCACGAATGCAAATTTGGAAAAGCTGGTAGAGTTTCTCATATATCACATCTCCGCTTTGGCTAGAAGGCGCTTTGGATGTCGGCCCCAGTTTGTTGACCAAAGTCTCCGCTAGTCGCGCTAGTTCGATGGCCTCTAACGAATCTTCCGCGATCGCAACTTCAAGCTTAGGGAGAATCAGCTGGATTGAATGTAGTATGAAGGTTGATCTGCGCCCGCCATCAAGATCCGAACAGGTCACCACAGTGGTAATAAGTTCCGCCCAGGACCGAAGAGCCAAAAAGCGATTGAGATTGACTGTCCGGCTGTTATTGACTGCGACGAGGAACGCCTTCAGTTTTATAGATTCGGCTTCAAATGATTCCTCATCTTGAGGTCGCAGTTGGCCTGCCCCCTGCAGACCTCCTTTCCTCACTTCTATAAGTCCCTCGGCCTCGTTAATATTGTAAAGGATCAGTGAACCGTCTGCCTGCGGTCTTGCGCATAAGTCTATTTCGAGGTTATTGAGGAAGGTGAGCTCTGGCATAGAAAACTGCCGTCGCACATCTAGATCTGCGAAGTCGAAGAGATCAAAGATAGTTGGGTTCAGGATGGTCTCTCCCGTCTCCAGTGCTGTACTCCCAAATAGCGTAGATAGAATCTGGGACTGAAGTGTCGGCGAGCCAAGCTTGGCAGCCGCGCGAATCTCAGTCGCAGCGTAATCGTACAAGTGACTTCTATAGAGTAAGAATTCTGCTAACCCGGCGGCTGATGGTGAAACCCAGAACTGCTCATCCATTATCGAAAATCCATCCCAGAGACTGTTCGGTCCAACAATGGGTTGACTCGAAATAGAAGTGAAAAGAAAGCGATTGGCGCGCATTTCGGAGAGAGCAAAGTAGGAAGAGAGCTTCGATGACCACAAATGCCTCAATACTTCAAGAGCCATTCGTTTTAGACGTACCATCAACAGCAAAATATTATCTTCCATCTGATCAGGATAGTTTTGTAAGAATTCGATAATAGCATGCAGCAAGGACATTCGATTTGCGAACAAACCGTCCTGGGACACATCGAGTGTATTGCCCACGTATGTAAATCCGAGGAGGAGGTGGGCCACGTTAGGTCGATCTCTGATTGTGCTAAGGCAACTATTCAGAAGTTCGAGAATGCTTTGTCGAATAACGTATCCTGCAGATTCTGAGCCTAGTTCCAACTCCCTCAGATCGGGTTGCATCTGAGAAATGAGAGGACGGGACACCCGATCCACTTCGACTTCCGTGCTCAACACCTCCACTATCTTGTTCGAAGATTGCCATTTTGACAAGTCTAGCGGTGTCATCCTATTGAGTCTCCTGGAACTAGACAGCTTCTCTAATAGCGTCACAGACGCCAACGTTAGCTGCTCATGTCCTGTCCCACAATAAAGACACAAGCGCGGCACGATGTCCAAGTTTGTCAGGATGCTGTCTTCAAAGAAAGCAAGCGCTGAATTTGCAACGTTGTTTCTCCCGCTAGAGGCAGAAGACTTGATCAGGGGCCGAACAATATTGGAATATGTTGATTGAAGGTCCATAAACAAGTCTATAACCTGAATACTCCTGAGCAGGGAAAGAACCAAGATAGAGTCCGCGGAAGCTCTTGCAACCTCAGATACTTCCTGGTGAGCAGCTGCAAAAATTGCTTTTATTACTTCCTCGTTGAATAGCCACTCCGCTACGCGCGCGAATGGGTGAAGGCGGACATATACGGGGAGCCCTGCAGGTTTGAAAGTGGATTTAGAAGAAGGCCCACTGGGTTGGCTGAAGACAGTCACAAAGTTTTCGTTAAACGACCGTAAACAGGTGACGACAAAGCTCAAACAGTTGTAGGTTAACAAGCGAGCCTGGTGTTCGCTCAAGTCTAAAGATTTCCGACACAAGCCCTGACCAAGAACAAAGTCGATATAAGGATCAATTCCAGGATTCCGATAAGAGGCTCCCAGTGACTCTGGAAATGGCAGCGAAGGGCTAACGGAATCAATTGCCGGGGAGACGAGGGTGTGTATCAAATCAACAAACGCATTTGTCTGGTCAAAGCTCTCACCAATTTTCTGGAGTGCCTGTTGCTCATGCCACACAGGAGGATTAGAAACTATGGGCACCTTCGTAAGGCCTGCAGCACTCATTGCACCACCAGAAATCCATTGGTCAATAGACAACCACATTTCGTGGCCATGTTGAGAAGTTCTTTCCTGCATCAAGGCAGTGAGACAGGTGAATGCTGTGGCCCTTAAATGGGTTGGGATTAGGCCACTGCATAATGTCAGTAAGGTGCCCACGAGGTTAAAAGTCGGATGGTGTAACATCCAATTTCGTACAGCCACGCTCTGCCCGCACAAATGTCCCATCAATCGTAGGTAACACGACAACATCACTGGGCTCTCTGGTTCGATCATTTCAGATGGCTCTGATTTCCTGACATGCAAGACCCCTTGTGATATGACTGGTTTTTCAGTCACTTTGAGCGCATACAGCTTAAGTTCGGCGAACATTTGGGTCCAGTTCATCGAAGTTGACCGTCTAAACCTTGAAGATATAAACTTATCCTCTTCTGACAAGAACCTGTGTGCTGAGTTTGCGTTTTCTTCTCCTTCGGATATGGAGCATAGTACCTCGCAGAAGGCGCTGACCCTTGGGACGGTTTGTCTTTTCGAAGCCCACTGCAGGAAGCCGTAAAGATTGCTATCATGGTCTGCCCAAAATTCTTGCGCGGCATCTTGTCGACCTTCAAAAGCGAAAGCTATGATTATCAAAAAGGACTCGAGATGAGTCCGAGCTTCCACCAAACCGCGGTGTAGGTTGGAAGTCAAGCCATCTCTCAGAGCAGTGAGATGGTCCAGCCTTTGCAAATCCTCTTCGGACTTGAGCATCCGAACCGCATCAGGCATATTTGCGACGCATGATTCTGTGAATGATTCAAAACTCTCCATCAACAATCTCTTCATGTGTAGAGAGCAAGCGCCTGGTTCTATGGTCAGTGTGGCGCTCTCTTTCAGCAATAGTGCCACCAATTCACTACGGGCTGGATCGCGCCACTCTTCGTTATTGACCCCCGAGCAAATAGCGAGAATAAAATCAAGACCTCCATCGTCAAGGGCGCTCAAAAACATCTTTGTGCGCTCTTCTGCTTCTTTCTCGAGGTCAGCTGCAGGAGAGGATGGACCAGCTTCAAAATACCATCCACTGTAAACCGCCAACCAGAATACAGTAATAGCAGCGTGGAAATTTGGCAAGCCCCAAGATTGACTTTCTCGAGAGGCGGTAATTATTGGATGCAGACTTCTCGCTTCTTTATGTGAACTAGAGCCCTCCGGGGAACCGTGTTGAACGAATGAAGAGACAACGGCCGGGATGTAATGAACAAGAAGAGCATCAAATCGGTCCAGTTTTCTCATATGGTCTAGGAAATGTCGGAGATCATCATGGCTCGTGTAGGGGCCCTTGAACAGATAGCACAGAATTGCGCCCAGTGACTCGTGCTGCTGTTCCAGGCTGGTGCGTTGAAAATCGATAGCCTCCAACACATCAGGGTCTTCATCCTGACCGACAATCGAAGCCTTCTGTACCTGTTCGCCCAGAAGTAAAAGCCATTTCTCTATATCCACCAGAGAATCCATACACTTTCTCGTGAACTTCGATGCGTTTCGTACAGGTCCAGTCTTAATATCCAGGATATAGGCCAAAGTCTCCTGCATAATTGGTTGTGTTGCGTCCCGTTCCACCTCAAGCGACTCTTGAAAAATCAGGCGTAGGCACTCCAGCAAGAATCCACGTCGCTTATGGAACGACATGATTGCCGTGATCAGAGGGGGGCGATCCAACTGCTGAGCATCCTCCTGCGCGGCCATAAACAATGATGCTGCTTCAAGCTCATCAAGATCTAAAGCATCTGCCAATTGTAGAGTCCCTTCCTTGAAATCTTCGTTGATCGCATATTCCACTTGGGCAATGGTAATCTTCCCTAGACCGCATCCGAACAAGTCAGCGCAACATACTTGCAAAAGGGGGGGGAAAGCATTCCAGATTTCAAGATACTTGTACACGTTGACTTACCGGATAGCACAGCTTGTCGACTTGCGTTGTTCTTCGTGGGCTTGTCAAGGAGCCTTTTGAAATCCTCGATCTGGGTCTCCAATTCTAGACATAAACGATCGACGTTCTGTAGCGGCTGTGATGAAAGGGAAGACAGATCTTGATAGAGGCCACGAAGGCCATCAGACAGATATCTGTCTTCCATGTTTCTGCCCGAACGCGGTGGTAGTTTTCCAGGGATGGTGAGTTCGTGAGTTCTGAAGCTCTGTTGTCGCGGACCAAAAAAACATCGGGGAACGCGGTCAAGATTCCGGCCGAATTTGGCTGAGCTCAGATGTACCCGCCGCAGACACTTATTTCCAGCGCCCACCTTGACCCAGTTTACTACAACATCATACAACTGGGGAAAACGATGCTGGCAAATGCTCAGTTAAAATACCTCCCTTGGAGTGTGCCTGACTTTGAATGCTTTCAGGTTTCCACCTTACTTCCGGACATGACCCGTAATTAGTCTGCTTAATTGTACTAGATGCCGGATGCTCTGTACAACAGGCGGTTGTCCTGACCATGGATGAGATAACTCTGGACAGAGCAATTCTGCTACTATCTTCTGAGAAGCTGAAGGAACGCACTGATGCTTTAGCAGGTCTGACAGTCTTTTCCGAACGATCTTTGAAGCTCAAGGTTTCGCTAATCTTTCACCAGATTTGAAGCACATCTTGCAGAAAAATAAGCGGAGTTCCAAACTGTAAGGACAAAGCCAAATTCCCAAAGTGGGCTAAAAGCGACTGACATTTTATTGTGTGCCAGAACTACCTTGAACGATAGAGCTTGCCATAAAATCTTTGAATCGCTATTCCGATTCATTTACGTTGAACGGTCTGCGTTCAACAGGGCTAGTAAAACGACACCCTCCAAGACACCATCTGCGTCCCGCCTGTCAGCATGTGCCTCTGTTCTTCGAACGGCCGTCGATATCTTCCTGCGCAACTTGCGGACCAAGTCGGTTAGAGCCATAGTCGACCACATAACAGAAACATTATCGGATCCAGGAGAAGGGCTATGGGAGCTTCTATGTGTCGATTATATGAAATGCTTGGCAGCACTCCTACATTACCCGCCGCATGTTGAACATCTCGGAGTGGTAGAATGGGAACGACTCATGGGCTTTTGTCTGCGAAGCATCGACTCACACAAGAATAGGGACAGCCAGCTAACCCTTCGAAACAACCACCGCTCTTCTCCAGATGCTGTGAATGTCAGCGATGTCCGCTCAACTCCATCACAGGTTACGCCAATTCTGGCTACCCGAGAGAGGCACATAGGTAGCGGCGACGTCGAAGAAGTTGTAACATGTATTCAGCTGTTGACAAGAAGCCCTACTGCCCCTATTCAAGCCATGGCTGGAAAGATACTTCACGGGCTTGCAAAATACGCGAAGTCTTCCATTTCTGGAAGTGCAAGACAGCTTGCATTTAGTAGCATAAATACTGTTGCCACGAGAGTGTTGTTTGACCAGTCTGAACTCGTCCGGACCTTGATGTTGGAGTTGATTCCTGTAGTTCGGCGCTTATGGACCACCAAGTTCAGCGGTCTCAAAGATGAACTATTGGTCACCATCATGCTTTGCATGATTATCTTGACTGACACAGTTCGAACAAAGCCATCAGAATCGTTGTCGCATTTGATTGACGGGTTGCAGGATACTCTTTATTCTGAATACGTTAAGAGATCTGATAAGGAAATACTCCAGCTTGACGACTTGTCTTTCCCTCCCAGCGCTCCTGTATCCATGGAGAGCTCAATATTTGGACCTCGTCTTGGAAATACACGGTCAGAGCATAACTGGACCCTTGTCTGGGCCATAGCAACTCTAATTAAATTATCAGAAGAGCTTGCTGCGCGATTATCGGAACCCGAGGGTCTTGATGAGATTTCTCGCAAAAAGCAACGTTTTACATCTAAAGTTGAGGACGTTTTGCGTGACTCTTTTTCGTCTTCGGGGACTAAAAGAGTCTGTTCGTTGCAGCTAATTCCATTTCTCATCAATGGACTAAAAGACATTGAAGCAAAGACATCGCTCCTTGAACGGCTGATTCCCAACATACTGGATGATAATGACACAATGTCTTCGTGGTCTATGGTGGCAATTTCAAGGTTGGTCTATATCTTCGTAGACATGGATTGTTGGCTAATGGCCTAAAAAGCTTCATCTGCGACTCTGCTGTCAAACAGCCTTTTCTAAGGGAGCATTGGAAACGAGTTTGGGACCTTACATCTCGCGTTTCCACCTCTCAGCATACGTCTAGAGCAGCCTGTTATCTTATGGATACTATTCTGAGATTCAATCTTTTGGAATACTCCATAGTTGCTGAAACAACGCGCTCAATGCTACTATCTGTTAATATAAACGGCCCGTCATCAATGTCGGATTCGTCTTTGGCTCTCTGGGCGACGGTAATACGGATAAGCACGCAAATGAATCCAGGTACCGCATTGAATGCTTCAAAACAAGTTTGCGGGTGGCTGCGCGAACTTTGGACAGTCGGTATGTTTTTCTTCACCAGTCCAGCTGCTATTACTGACAAAAGAATAGGGACTACAACAGATAAACTTCAAGTTGCACAGGTCGCTGCTTTTGCGCGTCCTCTGGACCTTTTAAATCTACTTCTCGCCTGTACTAATCGAACATTTGAGCTTTCTACGGCTCAGTTTACAGGGCCAGCTAGCTCTATTGCCAAAACTTGGTATTTTCACCAGAAGAATCGAAGGCTGTTAGAGTACCTTTTCCATCTTAGCGATCTGTTCGATTGTCCAAATCCCTGGGATACATGGAAGACATTTTCATTAGAGCCCTTTACTAGACAAGACCCAAACGACATTCTCGTCCTGGATTTGTTACGAATAAAATCTGAAATTTTCTTGCAAGCTTGGCAGTCGTTATTTCGGGACAAATCTCATCATGTTACAGTGGATATTGTGCAGATCCTTGGTTCATTCTGCATAGTAGTTGCTCTGTATGCAGGATGCCTACCACGGCAGCTCGGTTCCCGATTACAGGATTTACGGCGCAGTAGTCAGCATTTGTGGAATGGAATATGCTCTTTTCTCGCGGTTCGAGAAATCGACTTCACTTATGCTTGCCTTGAGCTTTTATACAAGGTTGTTCCTCCAAGCATACTGTTCTCCAGTGATTTACACCCCCTATATTCGACTTGTCTCAATGATATTGTTCGTCCTTTTGTCGAAGTCCTCGAGCAGCATCGAAGGACAGAGAAAGAATGCGTCAGTTCGGACACAGGAGAGCTTATGGATCTAGACGATCCATTACTATCACCCGATGAGCTCTCGGCTTGCCAGCAATCTATTATTACTCTAAATCGGGAAGCATTGCCATTGCTTCCGAATTTAGCTACTCTCCAGCGGTCCATGACTATCGAGCTATCAGTATTCAGTATTCTAACCGATGCGAGCACCTCTCAACAACTTAGCCATACGTCATTGATTGAATACTTAACAGAATTGGATTATGCGGACATTTTGTCTTCTCAGTCCTTTTTCCCATACGTGTGTCGCGCATGTTCAACTATGGGGAGAGACTGTTTGCTGCAGATCCTCGAGAACCTCGCCGAGAAATGTTTACAATCCTATGAACTGGAACGTTGCGAAAGCTCGCTTTGTCTTTGCATCCGGATGATGTCTAGCTTCATTGATTCTTGGAGTAATGGAGAAAGCGATGATTTAAGCGACGCTGCATCGGACATATACACATGGTTCATCGATGTGTTATTGGAAAAGAAGAAGGCCACATCTGGGGTGTATATCGCTCTCGCGGAGTTCTTGGAATGTGTTCTCATGTCCAATGCCTCCTCTTCAGGCAACAACCCCAATCTGTCCCCTCGTACGAGTCTTTTTACTATTGTTCAGGATGGAGATATTCCTGTTAAGTTTAGCGCCGCAAGCCTGATTCCCCGTATATTTGGACATTTCCTCCTGAAAGATCATGATGCAGTGTTTGACGACTTCTTGGGCAGCCTACCCCGTGATCCTGACTGGGGCGAAGGTATCGCTCTGCGCCTCTTCGCGTTATCTCAATTGGCATCTCAATGGCACACTTTGCTTCGAAGAAGCATTTACCATATGTTCGAAACGCCCGCCCAAGTGCCAAGTTCTGTCCAATACGCTGAAAAGTGTTTGAGGACTGTTGCTGAGAGTCTCGGACTAGTCGATGCGAAAGAATTGTTTCGACTGTTCTCTTCTCAGATCCTCTACACCTGGACTGAAAGTCATTCAATAAACGAAATCCCCTTCAGCGTCTTCGGATATACCAGCCTGAGAGGATTGTTACTTGACGTGCAAGATGAAGCAGTTGGGCAGATCATGATGCGCTCCAGAGATTCGGAATCCATTCAACTTGAGAACTGCATGAATGCGCCTTTCAATGAACTTCTTACAACATCATTTTATAAAGCGGCGGCGTACGGCATAGCCCGAGATATCAGCATTCCACCCGAACAGGGAAGTCACCGGAAGAGCGTAGAGAGCAGACTTAGAAAACTGCTAGGTGCTGATCAATTCATGGTTCGAATCGAGGAACATTTCCCGTTGATTATTGCGACGCTTTTCCGGTCTCTTGATCAATATGAGCAAATTGAAAGGGCATTTTCAAAGCGTGCAAATTTCCGTTACGCTCTCGCCATCATGGAATGGATTACCGGAAAGAGTGCATCGAAGACTGCTCTTCCTGCGAACCAGCAGCCATCTTTTCGAGCGCGCTACCTCATAGATGAGCTTGAGTTTCTTTGTAAGCGCACTGGATATGAATTAGAGACTATTTGGACACCTACTTTGGCATCCTTCGTCTGTCGAGCTCTATTTGAGTCAATCCATCCAGCACTCGGTTCTCTGCACGCATGCTCCGTCATCCGCAAGATTAGGATTTTGGTATGCGTTGCTGGTCCTGTGATGCTTCGGGACTACCCATTTGAGATGATTCTCCATGCTCTTCGGCCATTTCTCACTGACCTTCATTGCTCTGAGGACGCGCTGGGGATTTTTTGGTACTTGCTGGAAGCAGGGGCTCCATATTTAAGAGAGAACCCGCGATTTATGGCAGGAATAGCAGTCTCTACTTTTGTATCTCTCAAGAAATTCTTCGCATCGTCCCCGGAAAAAACCACACAGCAAGCTCAGTTTAAGGTGGCATTAGAAAACGCCCTGGAATTTCACAGGTGGTTTGGTGAGTATCTCGAAAATTACAAGCCACAAGTTGTGAATCTACTACATCCTGGGAACAGAGAGGGAATAGACGAGTCTTTTAGACGTTTGGTTCAATTATCACGGAAGGTCTCTGCTGCAGGAAACGCCACAAAAGGCACGAATGAAAGCGGTCTGTTGCTAGAGATACTACGAGATCGAGATTCTGAACACGGTTTGTTAAGCCGGCCGATATCTGATCTTGTTCTCTCACTTCTCTGTGCTGATTTTAAAAGACCGTCCGATTACCACAAGGATGTTATACAGGAAGATAAGGATGCCATCGACAACAGTGTGGCCGTTTGGGAAACTCTTCAGAATCTCAACGTTGGGACGGAATATCGGCTATGGGCTGCCAGGGTCATTGGAAGAGCTTTTGCTGCCACTGGAAAGATCAACAATGCTCTTTTAAGAGAACAAGACCCTTCGGCGTTTGAAGTCCAAAATTACAAATTGATCCCTGGTATTGTATACAGATCCAAAGCCCATATACTCCAGGTTCTTTGCGATATGCTACAGAATAATAGTCCTCTAGACGTCGGCCTTGTCGAGCGGACGCTACAACTCGTTGTCAATAATTTCGAAGGCTCGCAGGATATTGAAGATTATCCTCGCATTATACCAGAAACTGTTATGAAGGCTCTGATATGGAATCCGTACCCCTGCCCAGCCGTATCTCTTTCGGATTCTGAAACGCGAAGAGGCATGGAGACAGCGGATTGGAGCCCTAAGCTCCCCTTTGCCGACTGGGCTCGCAATATCGCACTACTTCTATGCAAGGCAGCTGCTAGCAATCCAGTTGTCGGACCACTAAGCAAAATTCTCAATGTTGTTCATGGCTTGGCAGTGAGGCTGCTGCCATATATCCTCCATGATGTCTTGCTGGCCGAGTTTGAGGAAGGAGGGGACATTCGTCATAAAATCTCCCATATATTCAAAAAAGTCTTGCGCGAAATTGACGAACAGACTATTCCTCATGCACGGCTAGTAATTAGCTGTATTCTGTATCTTCGGACTCAGCCGCGGCCTGAAGAGTCGACAATAGCTGAACGTGATGAATGGCTCGAACTTGACTATGAGGAGGCATCTTTTGCGGCAAACAAATGTTGCATGAACAAGACCTGTTTGCTTTTCCTGGAAATACATGCGTCTCGAATGTCTCCTGGATCTCGTCGATCCTCTCTTGCAAAATATAATCCTCCCTCTGACTTCTTGCACGATGTCTTCAAAAAGATAGACGATCCAGATTTCTTTTACGGCATCCAAGAAAGGCCGTCGCTGGCTTCTGTGATGGAAAGATTAGATTACGAGAGCGAAGGAATCAAGAACCTTCTCTTCCATAGTGCCCAGTATGATAGCGAAATGCAGATGTCGGGAAATCCAAATCCTTATGGGGTTTTGAAAGCACTGAACTCGACGAACCTCCAAGGAATCGCCAGTGCCATGTTCTCTGTTCCCAGTGATGCCAAAGATGGACCAGCCTCTCTTGACAGCATGCTACAGGCAGCGACGAGTCTTCAACAATGGGATATCTCTGTCTCTCCAGTGAACCAGTCGCCGCCTGCCATAGTTTTCAAGGTCTTCCAAAACCTTAACACATTAGGAACTATGACAGAGGTTCTTGGCTCTATGGATGAATATCTTCTGGCAACACTGGACTTACTGGCTAACGCTAGCCGATCAGCAAACTCCGTGAGGGCCGTGATGAGGGCACTGGGTACCATGACGGAGATCGGTGATGTCTTAAGCTCTACATCGACCGAGCAGATTGAAGAAGAGTGGCAGAAGATCATGACACGCGGAGTTCTGATGCGAACTGAAAGGTATGTCCCCAATTTCTCCTTTATACGGTAGCTCCGGGTGTATCCTGACAAGAGAAGTTTTTCCGACGCTGGCAAGGCTCTAAACGCTCGTGAGGCTTTGTTTTCTTCTATAAAGTGTAGGAAACATCTAAGATCGGCTATCAACTTAAGTGATCGCGATGCACAGTTGCTAGAAATCAAAGCTATCCGGCAGTCTTTGGAAGTTGCTAGGGATCATGAAGTCTCTCAGGCATCTCTGAAATCAGCAATTTGTCTTTCGAACCTCACAAAACCGTGCGCCTCGCTTGGGATCAATATTGATGCCGCAGCGATGTTTGACTTGGCCAATGTTCTGTGGGACCAGGGAGAGATGGCAGCGTCAATCCGAATGCTTCAGCAACTGAAGGGTCAAAATGATCTCAGTAAACAGGCGATTCCCATCAGTCGAGCAGAGCTCCTTGTTACCTTGGTGAGTTAACTATGGTCTGTTTTAGTTCACTTTGTCTAACTCTGTTTAAAGGGCCACCATGTTGCCGAAGCACGTTTAGAGAAGCCTGAGGCTATTATCCAAGAGTATTTGTCTCCTGCAGTCAAGGAACTGAAGGGGCGATCTGAAGGGGAAGATGCCAGTAGAGTTTTTCACGGTTTTGCGATGTTCTGTGACCAGCAGCTTCAAAACCAAGATGGACTGGAGGATTTCAGACGAGTCGAACAACTTCGGAATCGCAAAGAACAGGAGTTACTCGCTCTTGAGGAGATGTTAAGAACCGCCGAAGGAAAAGAGATGGATTCTCTCAGGCTTTACAGAGCTAAGGCGAAGCAATGGTTCGACCTTGACGATCGTGAATATCAACGCTTACGGCGAAGTCGAGAGGCCTTCTTAGAGCAGTGCCTGGAAAATTACCTGCTCTCATTGAAAGCGAGTGACAACTACAATAGTGATGCTCTTCGATTCTGCGCTCTCTGGCTTGATAACTCGAGCAGCCCTACTGCCAACACTGCTGTCTCGAAATATCTTAATCAGGTTCCAAGTCGAAAATTTGCTCCATTGATGAACCAGCTATCCTCTCGATTACTTGACGTCAAGGACGCTTTCCAATCGCTGCTTTTTCCTCTACTCTTCCGGATTTGTGTCGACCATCCTTTTCATGGAATGTACCAAATGTTTGCCAGCAGTAAATCCAAGGGTGGAAAAGACGACTCAGCATTGTCTCGGTTTCGAGCTGCCGTCAAACTTACCGAACGCCTGAAAAATGACAAGCGCCAGGGGGAAACTTGGGTTGCAGTCCATAATGCGAACATCTCCTACGTGCGGTTTGCAATTGATCGACCGGGCGAGAGGCTAAAGAGCGGAGCTAAGGTATTACTGAGAGACTTGCCAACTGGTCTGCGTATGGAGCAAGATGCATCAGTGAGGAAGATACCACCACCGACAATGAAAATTGAGCTTCGTGATGACTGCGATTATAGCAATGTCCCAAGACTCTCCAGGTTTCGTTCGGAGTTTAGAATTGCTTCTGGTGTTAGTGCACCTAAGATTGTCACCGCTATTGGAACAGATGGTGTACAGTATAAGCAATTGGTAAGTTCCACTTTCTTGCGTTAGAATACGACTGAGAGCTGTGGACTGATTGAGGGAAATAAACAGTTCAAGGGAGGGAACGATGATCTGAGACAAGACGCCATAATGGAACAAGTGTTCGAACAAGTAAGCAGTCTTCTTAAGGACCACCGAGCTACTCGGCAGCGGAATCTGGGAATCCGAACGTACAAGGTCCTTCCCCTGACATCGAATGCGGGAATCATTGAATTCGTCCCCAATACCATCCCATTGCATGACTACTTGTTACCAGCCCACCAGCGATATTACCCGAAGGACATGAAGCCCAGTACGTGCCGAAAACATATAGGCGACGTCCAGACACGATCACTTGAACAACGCATCAAGACGTTCCGGCAGGTGACGGAGCACTTCCATCCGGTTATGAGATATTTCTTTATGGAGAAGTTCAGCAGCCCGGATGACTGGTTTAACAAACGGCTTGCCTATACACGGAGTACGGCTGCCATCTCAATCCTCGGGCACGTTCTAGGCCTTGGAGATAGACATGGACACAATATTCTTTTAGACGAGAGAACTGGCGAGGTGGTCCACATTGATCTCGGCGTTGCATTTGAACAGGGTCGAGTTTTGCCCGTTCCAGAAGTAGTTCCATTCCGTCTCACGCGCGACCTTGTTGACGGAATGGGGATTACCAAGACAGAAGGCGTTTTCAGACGTTGCTGCGAGTTTACCCTGGAAGCGCTACGGCAGGAATCGTACAGCATCATGACCATTCTCGATGTGCTTCGGTACGACCCGCTGTACAGCTGGACTCTGTCTCCTCTGCGCATGAAGAAGATGCAGGACAACCAAACAGCGGATGGAGAGCCGCCTCTTCTTCCCGGCGCGGATAACAAGAAGGGTTCGGCGGATGAGCCGAGCGAAACGGATCGAGCTTTGACTGTCGTTGCGAAGAAATTGAGCAAGACGTTGAGTGTAACGGCCACTGTCAACGAATTGATTCAGCAAGCAACTGATGAAAGAAACCTTGCTGTTCTCTATTGCGGTATGTTTGATGTGTCGATGTTCTATGCACGGTTGTAGATACTTTGTTTTTGGCTAACTCCTGATCTTTTCTATTACAGGTTGGGCCGCTTATGCGTGAACTGTATATGAAATCTCCGATGCTAACTGGCCTCCGAAGAAATTTTTGGATAGAACATGTTGTACATATCGGTCGGTGTCTTGTTTGCAATGGATACCTTTTGCCTTTCTCTCTTTAAGAGCCCAGTTCTCTTGCGACATGTAACAAATGCCGAAAAATCCCACCAGAATATTGTCCTTTAACCCTGCCTCCACAAGCTAGCATACAATTCAATTCAATATAGTAAATAAGACTCTCTCTTCTTCTTAAACTCACGCAAGTCACTCTCCCACGCCCCCCGAATCTGATCCGGGGACCAACCAGCCTCAATACCCTCCCTCACCAAGGTACCACCCGTCAACGTATCCACATCATATTGACTGGAATCACCCGAATTGAAAAGCCAATGGAAACTCCCCGTCGTATTACCATATCCAGAATCGGTAGTGTTGGTGTAGAGCTGTTTCGCAGACCAGAGCAACGCAACGCCCAGATAGACAGGGTCGAATGATTCATAGTCGGACGGGCCATGGAGTGAGACGTAAGACTGGAGACCGCAGACGATTTGTGACGTGAATTTGGAGGCTGTTGGACTGAAGCAGGCGAAACGGTAGTTCGTCTTGGGGATGTTGAGGCTGCGCATTTTGTCGACCCAGGTGGTATTTGTGAAGGTTGCGCCGAGGAGCTGGATTATCAATATCGAAGATCGACTGAAACAAAGACAAATCAGAGAAGAAAGAAAGAAAGTCTTACCTCGAATGGACGTGTTGTACCACGCCCCTCTGAGATGCTGGTTCCCTCGAACATGCAGGTGCCCGGGTATATCAACGCCGAGTCAGGAGTAGGCATATCTAGTAACAACGTAGTAGCAACGCAACTGAGTTAGCAGTGCAGGGGAAGAAAAGAGAAGACTATTAATTTGCATATGCATACTCGGACTGGGTATCACCCAAGGCAACCCAGTGTCAGCCCATGTCATCCATCTCTCCCATCCCTCCATCTGAACAACCTCCAGCGCCAACTCGGAGCCATTCGCAGCCTCCTGAATCCACTTCTCACCAACGAACATCTTGGCCAGTTCGCCAGAGGTCATACCGTGGGCTTGTGCAATAGCGCGCCGTCCAACATACGAGTTGTACTTTGTTTGGTCGAGAACGGGTCCGAATGCGTTCAAGCCGGTGATGGGATTGGGGCGGTCCAGGACCATGTAGGTTGTGTTAGTTAGGGCTTCTGCCACCATTGTGTCGTACATGGCCCATGTATCTATTAAATTTAGTCAACACTCCTTTTGTATGTAAATATGGAAACCAGAACGACAGACAGGTATAGAAGCGTGCCCCGACATCCTGAATATCGAAGAGAACAGTGTCAGCACCGGATTCGGCGATGTACCGCACAAGCGTACTCGTGTTGACATTGTATGCATCCTATATAACATGTGTTCCTAGATCAGACTTCCAAAATCACAAATGCCATTGTTGGCATGGACAACTCACGTAAACAGTCAGCCCAGTCTGTTCATCCGTGAAAGTCCCCTCTGACCCTCCAGCTTGAGCAGTTCCTCGAAACCCATGCTCTGGTCCCATAACGCCAACGAGATCGACAGCACCGGATTCAAACATGACATCCACGCCCAGATTGAGCTCGGGAGTTACCCCGGTTGGATTGCTGAGGATGATGACCTTCCGGCCGGCCAGCTGCGAGTAGTTGCTTGCCCGGAGCACCTCGAGTCCTGTCCGGATGGGGGCCCTTGACCAGGCCCATGTTAAGGTTGGGATTGAGGATGCTAGCAGGAGAGCCCTGGGGATCTTCATCGTGAGAGTGTGCAATATTGGAATAGTGCTATTGGGGTTTGGTTTTTGGAGTTGGATGGAGGGAAGAGGGAATGGAGGCTTCATTTATATGGGTTTGATCAGCTACAGTAAGACTCAATGACTCCCGATGAGGCAGCAATAAGGAGACTCACAGAGATAGCTATCAAGCAGTATGAGTGATGATCTCTACTGTCGATGCACCTCTGACAAGAAATGCCAATAACCATGCGGTTTGATCCCGAAACCCTAAATTGGGCCGTTGTTCACTCCGACATCTTTTTGAAAGTAAAGTGAGATCACGGTCGTGTGCTCTCTAAGCTGGAATCAATCCCATGTTCTGGTGCACTACAGTGAGGTTCTTCTCTGTGAAAGCCTGTAAAAGAGGAATGGTATGCATTTTTAACGTGCTTTACAAATGCTTTGCTGGTGCTTTGCTAATATTTGTAGAATAACTAACTATTAGAAACTAACTATTAGAAACCGTTTACCCGGGTGAATAATTTACAAGCATTTTTTGGTCATGGTAATCTAAGCTACAGTCTATCTTCACCGTCCAAATCTCAGAGGCTGCTACTGTCAGGGCTCAAGCACTGCATGTATACGTAGATTACTATCTAATTGTACATTTATCTCCCCCCAGAAATCGAGATTCATCGCCACCCCAGATTCCTTTCCTGACCAAGGACGCCTTCCCCCGAAACCCACAACCGAGAATATATATAATACAACCAGAAAATATACATGTTGCAAGAGTATGACAGACAATGGGGAAAAGTCGAAAAATAGAGAAGGTAGCGAAGGCCTATGCTGGGCATAAATGGGAGGAATAAGAAAGCCTGCCCTAAAGAAGTCATGTTCGAGCGGACGACCTAGGTGGCCTGAAGCCTTGTCGATGTAAGCTGAAATGAGACGCTTTGTCCTCATGTGGAAGGTTCCGAAAGTCCCGATAAAGACCTGGCTGTATCTCCATAAGAATAGCGCGCTGTGGCTCTGCCGATGGGGGGACGGTAGACTCAGGACGTGCCCTGCTTGAGCGTGTTCGTACTGTGGTAGGCGTGGTGTCAGACTTGGCTTTGAAAGCTTCCTTGACAATTTCACGAAGTTCTTTGTCGTCCTTGGTGATCTGAGCCCTGATAAATGAAGGTGTGTTGGTTACTTGCAAAGCGGACATAACAGGCTCCCTAGGGGTATAGGGATACTTTTGAGGAGAGGGTGGAGAACGAGGTGTGATTGAAGGGTCCAAGTAGGCTTCAGAGCCCTTCTCCAAAAGCTGGATAATATCTAAGCTTTCGCCATGTGGAACTTTGTGCGGGTATGAAGGTGTCACACAGTCCATATTCACCTCCTTACGTAGGATGTGGTCAATGTCGACTGCCGAGAAATACGCGCAGGATTGGGGAAGATCGTGGATGCCAACTTGTTCCGAAAACATGGCTCTAGTCCAAACATTCGCGACCTGCAAAGCCAGGGCAGCACGGTACTTGTGCTCCTCCTTGACTAGGTACCTGATTTCGTCGTGAACCGTGATAGCCAGCCGGGCGTGGATGTTGTAACGCCTAATCAGGTAATCCATGGAAATTATGAGGAGATGAAGATAATCAACACCGGATGACTGGATTGCCCAGTTTATCCGTGAAGTCATGAAGCTGCCCTTATTAATAAAGCGCCGCATCAATGCCTCGGTGATCCCTGCACCGAGAACGGGAGTCCGCGGCCTCTCCTGCTCTGCGAACTCTTCAAGCTTGTTGAAGACGAAGGATTCAGTGCCACCTCGCCAGAAAGGGTTTTCGCTCAAAATACGACGGGTAGTGCGAGTTCCTTTTGTCTCTTTGTACAAGCTCGTGGCAACCTCTTGGGTTTGTTTCTCAGACATGGACGGGTTAAACTGGCGTAGGAGAGTAGAGGCGAACTTGACACCAGCTCCGTAAATACGACCATAGTTAAACACCTTTGCGTCATTCCGTGAGATGCCTAGAATGCTAGCTGTTCGGGAATGCATGTCAGTCCCCGCTGCCTTGGATCCTTCCAGCGTCATGAACCCAATGGCATTTCCCCCATGAAGCTGAAACTGAGCATCACCGATAAGACTCGCGATCCACAATTCTTGAGAGTCAACATCAGCCCCGACAAAAACATAGCCAGGAGGCGCTTTTATCATGGCCTTGAGCTCAGACCCAACCCGATTTTCTTTGGCATTGCTTGCCGTGAGCCATGTATTTTCCACTGCACGGCGAGTAATGGTTCCCATGGGGATGACTTGGGGTAAGATAAACCCCAGTTTCTTTTCATCATCATTCCTTCTCGAGTAATAATTCTGCACATCACTTTCGTAAACGACCATTTGAGACATAATTCGGTCCCGAGCGCTAATCCAATACGAGCAGGAAGCATTCATATCTAGGGCTTCCTTCGCAAGGGCGTACTGAGAAGTCAAAGTTCCGCGTTCGAAAAACTGCGAATAGCCCTTAGCCAACGGGTTTGTGCACCGGGCCTGCGGTCCATCCTTATGTGGAAGCTTGAAGTAGACATGTTGCATATCATCTCGCAACTCAATATTCTTCTCGTCAGACATGTCGCAGCGTACTACTGCTTGATTCTCCAACTTCTTGACTTCATCGTGAGGAACTTTGAACATCCAGCCATACTTATCTGACCACACCAAAGGGTAACTATTCCAAGCGAGCTTGAGCAAGATTGGCGCTATCCGCGTGCGCACGCTAAGATTGATCTCCCCGTTAGCCTTGGGGAAGAGATCTTTGTACCACTTGGGCATGCCGGGCAATTTCTGCCGAGCAGCCGGTCGGGGAGGATCGCCCTTCTTCTTGCCTTTGACCATCTTGATCTCTTGGCCAGACCAGTCCAGCTGTCGTAGCCAAGGATCGTTCGTGTATATCTCAGGCTTATCTTTAACTTTCAGAGCTTCCTGGCACAGTTCGACCAGTCTGTTGCGGACGTCATCCAGTCTCTGATGATACGTTGATTCGGCGTTCGCAATATACTCTTTCCAAGATTGGTTGACTGGAAGAATAACGGAAGAAAGGTGCCTGAGAGCCCCAAAACTAACGGGGTGCGGGCAGACGTTGAGGAAATTTGGAAATATCTTCTTGTACACGCGATGGGTGATTGCGACGTCTGCAGCGCAATAATCAATGAGTTCTTCTAATCTTTCCAAAATACCCTCTCTGTCAAGCTCTCCGAAGTGATCCCGCTGGGCCTTATCAATAGAAATGTCGCAGTGAAACTTGGCCACATCGCGCAGAGAATTTATAGAGCTCCTTCCGACCCACAGCTCTTCTTCTTCCTCACTGAGCATCTTACTTTCGAGCAACGCAGCAAGCTCAACGGAGTTAGTATCGTTCGCAATCTTGTCCCTCAGGTCCCTGTTCTTCTTGTGGCGCATCCAAGTCGGCCGTTGCTGCGAGCACATCCCATTCACTGCCACATGCAGGGACATAGTGTCGAGGAAGAAGTTGCTGGTCTGCTTCATGTCATACTCCTCCAAAACCCGGGCGCGGTCGTAACCAATATTGTGTCCCACAATAATACGCGGCTGTGATGGATCCCCAAGAGGTACCAGCTGAATAGGATTTTCGGATTCACCCAGCAGCCATGGGGATAACCACGCGTACCAAGCCGTTGGACTCGCAGCGCAAGCCATAACAGCAAAGGAATGTTCTTTCCACATGACCTCCGTATCGAAAGTAAGCATCGATTCGTTTGGGGCATCCACAGGCTCCCATGATCCATCGTTATTGTATTTAGTCCAGCCGCTCCGTTTAATCCATTTCCGGGGCATCTGAGGAGAATGGCTTGTCGCATAGGATTTTGCGTAACTTAAGTATGGTTCCGACGAGTCCATCCCCAGTTTGAAAAAATGCTCGTCCAACGACTGTCCTTGGAGGGCTGGAAGATCGAATGCGATGGGTTCCGCAGCATCTTGAGATTTGCCCAGAAGATCGTGTCTCGACAGATGATCTTTGGATAAGCGTACTAGTTCAGGATCCGGGGGTCTTCCCTTGTCCAGAAACACCTGTGAATAGACATGATCGCTCAGTTGCTGCACGCCAATCTCGTTAAACCTAGCCGAAGAAGGGACTGCCGACATCAGTATTCACGTCATGAGAAGATGGTCATCAAGACGATAAGGTATCAACACACCGGAAAGAGTGCGCAGGCGCGAGTCACCATCTTCATTCTGCGTCGAGAGCTTCCTGACAAAGTATCTCGTGGATAGTAGCAGAGGTCTCGAATGAGCAGAAAAGGACGGGCGTAATCTCCGTGAGCATGACTTCGCAAGAACCCCGGAGTAAGGAGGGTGAGCGTGGTATAAGAGCATTATGAACCATGAGATTTACAGACAGGGAATAACAGCTTTCAGGGCATGGTAGCACAACCAATCGCAGCAATTGCTGCGCAGATTTATGTAGAGACAAGGCTTTCCGTGAGCAGCTTGCAGAGTTCATCGAGCTCATCCAAGATTCCCGGTCAGTTCTTCTTTTGCCTTGCGGAGCATTATTTTTGCCTTATCTCGCTCATTTCTGCCTCATATATCAGGCATTATAGTATCGGACTAATTATGCCCCGTCATATCACACCGCCTTCTGTAATTAGCTTAACCGCCTTGGTCTGATCGGCATTATTATCGCGGGCGTTCTCGCGGCGAAACAGTTCAACTTGCGCCTGGATCACTCTTCTTTTCTTGCCTACATGAACTAAAAGCCAGTTTCCTGTTCTTTCTAGACTACGAAGAAAAGAATGGTTTGAAATTGATACTTATACTCTTGGTTTCCTCTGTGATACTCAGCTCGAGCTCGATTATTCACCCGCAACGCGCTACTGCCGCGACGTCATGGATGCCAGTTCACCGTCTGTCGTCGACCTCACCTCCACGTATACTCAAAACCAGACCCCTCCTCAATACCGGCGCACATTTTCAGAACCTAATTCTAGCAATGAAAATCGAGGGACAAAGCGCCGGCGTCTGAGCCAATCTTCTACTGGACAGTCAACGTCATCTGGAAATCGACTTCAGACGGGTGAAGAGACGGTCGAATCAATCGACTTGACGGAGGTAGAAGGGCCATCTGCGCTAAAAAAAGCGCTATCGAAACAACGGGAGGATGCTGTAAAGGCTCAGAAACGGAGCGATGAGGATGAGAAGGAAGGTCGGTCGGTATTACTCTCGTACAGATGTCCCGTCTGCATGGATATTCTCACGGATGCAACGACTACGATATGTGGTAGGTGGCTTAGCTTTACACTTAATTTGGATTTAATGGATATATTCAAACAATTACATATATGGTAATGACTTTATACTAACTTCTGTTTAACCGTTAGGCCATCTTTTCTGTCATGAGTGCATCATCAATACTCTCAGGTTCAGCGAAGGGCAAAGAGTAGATTCCCCGGGAAAGGGCCGCGGTACATGTCCAGTTTGCCGGAAGTCCCTTACCCAGAATGATACGTCGGGGCCGAAGAGGAACCTCGTACCTCTGCAGCTGAAGCTCAAAAAGAGAGAGGCTGCTGTTCCGGAGAGTGCTTAGCTTTAGGTCTTCTCTCACGTCCTTACTTTTACACGAGCCGGATGTTTGCATGAAATGGCGTTTCTTGGTGGTCGGTAAAGTGTTGTGGGGGAGTTTATCTGGGCCTGGTAAATCAATTCTGCGTTCGGTACTCTTTTCTCGTGTCTTTAGTCTTTTCATCTGGGGAATGGGATATGCATTTTCGGAACGAATACGGACACTTTATAGATGCTCCATGGTTGGGATTTTATCGCTTTCACGGGTCCTGCAATTCATTACTGTCATATCTCTACAGATCGCGTCCTCACAGAATTGCATTATTAACGACTAGTTATGATCTATCTATCATCGCCTTGCGGCATGTCTCTATATCCCCGTCATGAAACAGGCATTATTTGTTACGCGCAATTCCCTCCATTCTATCTTCCTTCTTTCCTCCCAGCATGCTCCGTCGTATTCCGCCTACTTCTACTCATACCGTTCCCTGGGCCCCGGAGCATCCCATCACCCTTCTTTCCTAAGACTACTTCAAGGGCCTGAATAAGGCCAATCGAATCGTATCGCATTCCAATAGGGACCTCCCTCTCGCCGTCCGTGACCGTGATTGCCCGTCCGTACAGCCGGACGGTTTCAATCCCCATCTGAGTAAGGCGTTCGCGGTCCACTTTAGGTGTGCCAGGACCATCCAAATGAAGGACATGAGTCACGTATGAATTATAAGGAAGAGACAGCGGAGAATCTCTCTCTTTCTCTTGCTCTATTGAACGTACCGAAGAGAAAGGCTTCCGGGGAAATCGGTCTGATCTCCATCCACGGCTCTCCTCCCCTGCGCGAACTATAGCTTCAACAAAGTCGACCGCCGTAAATGGCTTGCAGGCAGGGCCAGTTTCGCGGTCCAGGGACCCGTTTAAAATGAGAATTTTATGGCGAGCCGGACTCAGGACGATGTCTTGCCCAACGCCGCGGAGAACGAGGGACGGTATGATAGATGTGTAGAGAGAACCGATGCTGTAAATAATGGCTTGGGAGTCCCGAAGGGCATCAATCACACGTGGGTTCGCCGGTGGCCGAATCTCCTGGCCGTAAGGATTGATGTACCAGACGCGAGAGATTCTAGATCGAAGCTCCTCGTTTTCAGTTTTGCTGTAGCAAATATTTTTGTCGCGCAAAGAACGCAGTGAGCCAGGGAGATGGTCTTCCTCGTATGTCGTTGCGTCTGAGCTATCGGATGGCTGGCTGTCGTCAATCTCCTCGCTGTCCGCAAGTAATAAGCTAGGGCGTCTCGAGCCTGGCTTGGGCTGCAATGCTGTAGCCTCACTGGGATGCGAAATACTGTTTTGGCCTACGATTATGGTCCCATCTTCGAGGCTTGCGGCGATGTGATGAGAAAAGTTGGAGTTGATGGCTGGAATGACGCGGACTAGATCTGACGGCACACCGCAGATGCTACTGAGGAGGTATATGGCGCTTTCAAAACTGCCACTGAAGAGCCGCGCAGCGGTCAAGAACAGATTACCCACACTGGCAGAAGTGAAGTCGAAGGTTGACGAAGGGGGTCTGGCACGCTTGAGAATCTCCATGTTCAAGAGATTGAAGAACGAGCGGATCAACTCCTTCTTCGCAGGCGTAACTAACTTCCACAGATCAGACGTGCCATTGACAATTGAATACCACTCGTCGTGAGCAACCGAAGCATCCGTGGAAAGACGATGGTTGAAAATTGCCTTGATGGCTGCCCGTTCTGAGCCTGGAGGCGAGTCGGGAATCAGACGAACGAGTCTGCCTATAGTCTCTGGTTAATAACCGGGATAAATGCCACAGGAAAACACGAGCAACGGATCCGCAATTCAACTGTAACTCGAAGGTGCAATGAATTCAATCATTCAGACACTCGCTTACTTCTCACATCGCCAATTCCAGGGCCTCCGAATATCCTTATCAGCTCCGATGATGAGCCGCCATTGTCGCTGATGGGGATGACATAGGTCAGGGAACAGTCCTTGCTTTCTCTGACAGCATTGAAGACATCGACAAGATTATTTGCGGCGCTTCCCCCGGAGAAAATCACGATGCCTTTGTTAGGGGGGAGGCCGTTCAATGTCATCTCCAAGGAGCGTGCTCTGGGACAGACGCCGCTGTATGAGTTGATAGTCCTGTAGGAAGCACAGGCCAATAAATATATGAAAGCAGAAAGGTAATAAATCAAATCAAAGGCTGTCTACGATACACCAGCGTTCGAAGGCCTTGGGGATGGCCAGTTGTGCTGTCAGGTGGATGTTGTTGCCACCTTGCGGTTACGCAGGAAATGCTGTTTATGCTCGGTGTCCCAGCGGCAGTCAGCCATGTTGCCTCCAACAGCAATGCCCATGGCGCCTCAACAACCAGCATATTTATTCAAAATAGTACACAGGTTTTAAATTCAGCACTATATCACATTATGGTTCAATTCCTGCCGTGGATCGGATCAGAAGGAGTACATTTTAACCCTCATTGTTCCCAAATCGGATATAGGCCGTCAAATCACGTCGATGGTGACTTGGATTCCCAGATCAGACCCGGTTTACTAGAATGTCTTCCGTTTGAAGGCCCAGTAGGCCTTCCATGGCAATCGCCAATCCGACCTTAGCAGCTCTGGCTTGAATATATCAAAATCGAGACGCTCTAGCTCATTGAGCCACAAACGCGTAGCCACGGCAGGCAAGAAAACGCCGAAAGCACGATTGATCTCGTCCATAGGCGTTTCGTGACCCCGACCTGCTGCTAGATCATTATCGTATGTATGCCCTTCTTCCCCCTGATGCTCAAACTCGTGGCCCACGTCCACACCAGAACGGATATTGGCGAGCATCTGCTGGGCAGTGATGAGATGATCACTTGCCCGTGTTGCAACAGAGAAGACAGCATCCCGAAGGCCAGGCGCCTCAGCACCTTTTCTGAATACCTCTTCCTCCTTCACACCTGCTTGAGCCATGACATCCAAGGGAAGCATCACGGCGCCCTGTTTTGCGCCGCTAGGCATCCCGCCAGCCTGGCCGGAATGCTGGCTAGGTGGAGGAGGGAAAGCGACAAGTGGCAGCCCCTTCAAGACAGCTGCGATCCCGGCCGCCTTGCCAATGTGCGACGCAATATGGTCCGCCGTTACCGATGTCATGGGCAAGGCGGACAATGTCAAATAGAGTAACGTTGAGTACGTATTCTCAGCATAGGACTCGATCGAAGCAAGATTCGGGTATGGATCGTTGGTTAATGTACGTTCTCGAGCATTTATCAGCCGGGTAAACCATCCTTTATTAATACGTGCTCTGTCTTGGGTTCTACTGCGGAGATCCTCAACGGCCGATGCCAGAAGGATCGCTACTGGTTCCTTTGGCGGTGAGCCAGCCAATGTCTTGGTGATGGTGTCTCTCCAGAACTGGAGACGCATCAGCCCAATTGTAGGGGAGGTTGTAGTGTCTGGAATCATGGAGAGCGAGACATTCAGGGCTCGTATGGCGATGTAGAATGTTCGTGCATGAGCAGGAACGAAGGTGCTCAATGTGTAGGAAGGTCGATCATACTTTCTGTATATTGTTTATCAGCACTCAAAGCCAGTGACCAAATGGTCGCGTTAGAACGTACGCTAAAAGACCATCGCAATACTTCCGCGCAGATTTTGCTTCTGCTTCTGCTGCTCCTGTTACGATATGAGCTGCCGCGAAGGGTGCGGAGAGACTGAACTGTCGTCTATTCGGTATCCTGAGTCGCCGTTTGTAAAATTGGCACGCTTGCCCTCCCGCTTGAAGCGGGCGCAATAATCCTTTAAAAAATGGCATGGAGGTATTCGAGTTGTCTTGTATTAGACAGTGGCTTCGTAGTTCAGGGATTTGGTTTGCATTGCTGCTCCATAATTCATCACGAATACTCTGTCGCGGAAACGTGTTAGCAGAAGAGGCTCTGAAAATCATACAGCACACGTGAAAGATCAGATCAGAGGAATTGATACGGACCAAGGAAATGGCATCATAAAGCGAAAATTGAAGCTGCTGCAATAGACGAAATTCCGAATGAAAATCAATTTAAGATGACGTTGGGCCGAGAGACTTCTCGCGTCTTCGCGTCTTCCGTACCGTCCACCAAACACCGATGTGACTGTCATCTACCATCTTCCCATCTTCAGACGGTCAGTACGTTTAAGTATGAATCATGAATATCCGTACGAACGTCCTGCAAAAAAGAGACGCTTCTTCGTTGACGATAACGACATCGCTCCTCCAGAAACGAGAGAAACTGCCCGCGACACGCTTGTGCCTCAAACCGCGTTAAAAGAACCTGGCCCCTTTCTGACTACGCTGGAATCCGCAGACGATGAAAAGGGTGACCATGTTGAAGAGAAGCGAAATCATCAGCCACATGTGAGAGCTCTGGAAAATTTGGCCACAAAGTTCCCACATGCAGAGTCATACATTATCAGCAATGGAGGACCTCCCGGGAAGTCCAGTAACAATATAATCCTAGGTACGGAACGTCTACCGCTCATGGAAGAACAGAATGGTTCATGCCAGGAATTAGACGGTCTGAAAGAAGCCACCCCGCAGAAATCGATGACAACGACGCCTGTTTATCCTACTCCTGAGCGGGAAAGAGATAATGTGGAGAAACAAGTACAGCGAGTATCAGTAAAAGAGGATGATTACAATGGGTTTGACATAGATCTCTTCAACAATATAATTGGGGAGCAACTGCCCCTGGACACGGTGGACAAAATTCGCACTGCTGCCTCGAATGATGTGGAGAAGGCCGTCAACATCTATTTCGATGGATCGTGGAGGGCGCCGACTAGGATGAATACTGTTTCGAACATCTCAAAAGCTTGTCGTCGCCAGCCTCAAACAGCCTCGGTTGAGCAGTTGACGACGTCGTCGACTCCGCACGATGGCCAGGCCCCTGCCTCCCAGCCCTCAGCAAGGTATGTCGGTGCCTTCGGCGTAGGAGCATGGGCTACCAGAAGTGGTACCGGCTTAATCACACACGGCGAGCATGTCAAAATTGAGCGTTCTCGGGCACAGCCAATCCTGAAACGTAGTCGTGGGGCCAATCACAAAGAGGATATTCTAACTCGTTTTACAAATAAACGGCATCAAGAGGTAGGAAGACTACCTCGTGAAACGGCTGAATGGGTGTCTACGCTCATTGACCAAAGAATTTGCCGATTCGAAGGTATCTGTGTGTTCGCACCTGACAGGCTTCGGGTAAATGATACGGTTTATTTGCAGCTACGGTGTTACCTGCTGAAAGATGCCTTTCAGCCTCATTTTCTGAAAGTCTCTCCTGACGACAACAGAGTAGCTGGTCTATTTGAAGAAACAGAAAGCGAAGAAGAGAAAAACTTGCGTCTCCGCCAGGTTGCACTTGTGAAGCTCTTCGATGAAATCGGACTCAAACCCACGTCGACTAATGAAATGACCAGCAAGCATAAAAATGAGGGGATTCTCCGCGCGGCTGAAATGGCGGAGCAGTATGACAGGGTGAAAAAGGAGAAATATAAAGCCGTTAAGAATACCAATGACTCTTCCGAGGAGGATGAGTCCCAAGAACTAGAGGAAGATCAACTCGACACAATCTACAAGAAGGCTCAGTCCTTTGACTTTAACACTCCGGAGACAGATCCAGCCCCAACGTTTACTTTGGAATTGCGGAAGTATCAAAAACAAGCACTCCATTGGATGCTTGCAAAAGAGCTGGACAAGAAACTGGACCGTGACAGGTCCATCCACCCGCTTTGGGAAGAGTACATTTGGCCTTTAAAAGATGTTGATGACAATGCTCTCCCAGTTATCCAGGGACTGGAACATTTTTATGTCAACCCTTACTCAGGGGAGCTCAGCTTGGACTTCCCTGTCCAGGATCAGCATTGTCTTGGTGGTATTTTGGCGGATGAGATGGGACTTGGTAAGACTATCGAAATGATGAGTCTTATCCACTCTCATAGAATTCAGCCTGGTCATCAGGGAGAACCGCCTTTTGTCAATAGCAATGTATCCGGAGCCCCCAACCCTCGATCTAATGTGGTCCCTGCCCCTTATACCACTCTTGTCGTTGCTCCTATGTCCCTTCTCTCTCAATGGGAGAGTGAGGCTATGAGAGCTTCACAGCCCGGGACAATGAAGGTTCTTGTGTATTATGGCGCTGACAAAGCTGTCAATCTACGCAATCTCTGCGCCGATGCTTCTGCTCCCACAGTTATTATAACCAGTTACGGGGTCGCTCTATCCGAATTTCGCTCGGTTTCAGCGTCTGGAAATCCTAGCGGCCTATTCTCTGTGGAATTCTTTCGAGTCATACTTGACGAAGCCCATTCGATTAAGAACCGAACCTCAAAGTCAGCCAAGGCATGTTATGAACTCAGGGCTAGACATCGATGGGTCCTTACTGGAACACCTATTGTCAACCGCCTAGAGGACTTGTTCAGTCTGGTGCGATTCCTCAAAGTTGAGCCGTGGAACAACTTTTCGTACTGGAAGACATTCATCACAGTGCCTTTTGAATCTAAGGACTATGTCCGCGCACTGAATGTCGTACAGACGGTTCTCGAACCTCTCGTGCTTCGACGTACGAAGACGATGAAAACCCCCGACGGCGAACCTCTCGTGCCATTGCCACCACGATCCATCAGTATCCAAGAAGTGGAGCTCTCTACACATGAACGGGAGATCTACGACTTGATTTACACACGAGCTAGACAGACGTTCAATAGTAACGTCGAAGCTGGGACGCTACTGAAGTCTTTCACTACTATTTTTGCTCAAATTCTTCGCCTCCGCCAGACCTGTTGTCATCCTATTCTCGCACGTAATAAAGCAATAGTCGCCGATGAAGAGGATATCGCTGCAGCGACGGATGCCGCAGCCGAGTTCAAGGACGACATGGACTTACAAGAGCTCATTGATCGCTTCACTGCTGCCACTGAGGATGCAGATGCAGAGCAGAAGCAGGATTCTGCAACGAAATTTTCAGCCTATGCGCTAAAGCAGATTCAGAATGAGTCTAGCAGAGAATGCCCTATCTGCACTGAGGAGCCCATGATTGACCCTGCCGTAACGACTTGCTGGCATAGTGCATGTAAGAAATGCTTGGAAGACTATATCCGCCACCAGAGCGATAAAGGAGAGTCCCCTCGCTGCTTCTCCTGTCGAGCATCAATCAATTCAAGAGATATCTTTGAGGTTGTCCACCATAGTTTGTCCGACTCTTCACCTCAGGATGATCTATATAACAATACTCCTTCAACGTCTTCCCAGCCGGCGCCCAAGATCTCCCTTCGGCGAATCAACCCCCTCTCTCCATCCGCGCGCACCTCGGCAAAAATTCATGCACTAATCGATCACCTCCAACGCGTCCCTCCCAATACGAAATCAGTGGTCTTCTCTCAATTCACGGCATTTCTCGATCTCATTGGTCCCCAATTAACGAAGGCGGGTATCCCTCATCTTCGTCTCGATGGGACAATGGCCCAAAAAGCCAGAGCCGAAGTCCTCGCCCAGTTCAGCAAGACAGCCGATTCATACGAACAGGAAGAGGACGTCAATGGGGAAGAAGACCTTGTTAATTCTTCCTCCTCCCATCCGAAAATTACGCCTGACAGAAACTCCAATAGTAATGGCAATGGGACGGCGCGGAGAAGCCAAGTCCCAAATGTCCTCCTCATCAGTCTCCGCGCAGGCGGTGTCGGTCTCAACCTCACTGCGGCAAGTAATGTGTACATGATGGATCCATGGTGGAGTTTCGCTGTAGAAGCTCAAGCTATCGACCGCGTGCATCGGATGGGTCAGCTACGTGACGTGTCTGTGACACGTTTTGTCGTCAAGGATTCCATCGAGGGTCGGATGCTACGGGTGCAGGAGCGGAAACTGAATATTGCTGGATCCTTGGGACTCCGGGTCGGCGGAGATGGAAATGATGAAGAGAAGAGGAAAGAAAGGATTGAAGAGTTGAAGTTATTGTTTGAATAGTCAATGTTTTCCCGGGCCGGAGCCCGCTCTTGGGGATTCTGATTCTTTTCATTCCTTTATATATAGCATACTACTGTGGTTTAATTTTATTTCATGCTGCTACTGGAAGGCATGCTTCGAGGAATGAATGATATGAGAAGTACACCGATGTATAGCAGAAACTTCCCGAAACATATAGAACAACTTCATCTATTCCTGATTTCTCTAATCTGACTTCCAGGACCATGCGTACAACCACAATGCGAAGTACAATCGGTTCTAGCTGGTTGCAATAGACAACAGCAACAACAAAAATTAACAAATATGGTCACTTGTTCTGACCATGCAACTGGTTCCCAGCTTTCATCGTCCTCCCACTTGCACGAAGTCTCTCTTTCATCTTAGCAATAGCCTTCCTGGGACCAACACCCTGGTTATGCTCCTTGGAGCTGATGGCATTACCATATTCCTCTATTGAGAAGTGTTAAAAAAGAGAAAAACTTGTTAAATAGCACAGCAAATTTGTCCCAGGGGTCAAAATCCACGTACTCTGCGCATTTCTCTGATCAGCAGCAGGCTTCCCGTCAATTTCCTTCTCGAAATCGTATTCCTCCCTCGGCGGTGGGTGGGAGGGACCCCGGAGAGCTTCCTCACTTGCTTTGACATTGGATTCACTTCCCTCGTCCGCTGAGCTCAGAGAGGCATCCGCGCTTTGTTCGGGAGCCGGCTGGCTGGGTTGTTCCTGTGAAATATATGTGAGTTTTGTGGGGCTTCTTTCCTTTCTTTTTCTTGTCCTTCTCTCTTTTATATGCACGAATGTTGGTTCTGGCTTTGGAATTTCTCCTATGTTTCCAAGGCTTTCAACCATGAACTGGCCATGGTCTGGAACCTGAAGTGGTGGTGGTGGTGGTGGTGGCGGTGGTGGCGGTGGTGGCACCCTTCCTTGACGGAAGATTGATCCGTAGGGTAGTGGTCTTTGCTTACTGGATGGTATCCTAGTTGCAATTCAGTATTTATTGTTGATAATTCAATAGAGTTGGTGGTGGGTGCGTCGGTTATTCTGGTTTGCAAATATGTCAGTCACTTCTTTCGCGTTTTCTTAGGGCTAAGGAGCAATTCCGCTAAGAGAATAAGATAGGGGAAGTCTTACCTTCGCAGATCCCACCATCGTAAGGGTTAGTAGTTGTTTTTATCTCCTTACCTTTGACAGATTGAGGCTTTTCGCCAGTTGGACTGCTGGTTCTGCTGCGAACGGTATCTGAGGCAGTTTGGAAAGCCTTGTTGACGGTATCCATATTCACTGCGAGTCGGCAGCCAATACTCAACTAGAACCCAGGTTATCTGGAAAGGTGGAATACGCCAGGAAAATGGAAAGAAGTTGTCTCTAGAGATCGGTCAGGGATATTTTAACAGATATACTGCGCACGATTTAAATTGCCTGCGATGTCTCAGGTCTTTATGAGTCCCAGAATGCCTCTTTCTTGGGAACTCAATACGTCAGCAAGTCAATGGCCTCGAATGGAACAAAGCCCCTGCAGGTTATCCAGACATGAGGGTAGATTTGCCATTGGAGGCCTTTAATCGCCGTGAGCAGCATACACCGGTATGGGCATGGAACCCATGCGAGCATAATGCGCTCAGTCAAAGTTGAACCCTGGACACCTGTGCGTGACGTCATTGCATATGAAGTTGAGAATACAGGAAAGCCAAACCAGGAAAGACAGATGAAAGAGCAAAATAGAAAGGGCATTTGATTTTTCTCATGGATGGTAATGCATAGAAAGCCGCCAATGCGATTTTGTAGCTTTCAACATCCAGACTAGCAGAGCATGAGATCCCATAGAATAAGCCGAGCACATTGAAAATAATAATAATAATAATAATCATGATAATGGGACAAGAGAAAAAGAAAGAGGTTAGGAACAAGATGAAACATAAACCAGGGGAAAGAAGAAACAGGCTTGCTGGAACAATCGCTAAAAGCAATCCCATAGACCCATATTCAGAGATAGATGAGCTCTCAAAAGCACCAAACCATGGCCATCGTAAAACAGAAATTTGACCAAAAGAGCAGAGAGAAAATGCAGTGAATTCATGAAGCATAGTAAAAAGGAATCAGCGTCACACTGATTCTGCGGTTTCATTCAAATCTGGATTCAGTGGATGCTCTGGGTCATATCCGACGCTCTTGACGATCCCCAGACCTTTCGTCTTGCCTTCTCTGAAGAGCACACGGTCTCCAGGAGCCAGAAACTCGGGACGTTGAATAAATCGGAAAGCAACTAGAGCGCGATCTCCTGTTCGGATGAAAGGGCGGTCCATGTCGATAACAGAGCATGTTTGGCTAACGGCGCCAACATGTAGCATGGCTTGATATTTCCTCTTGATTGTGGTGGCATGTGAGAGGATGAGAACTATTTCGCTCGACCGTCAATGGAAAGGAGAACATAACTGGGCTCAAATTAGGAGACATACCTTCAGCAACGAATTCTCGGTACACCTTTGGTGGTTGATCCATCTTCCTCAATACAACCATTCCTTTGCGCACCTCTTTTCGTCGAACTTTCTTCAGTGCAAAGGAACCAGACTGCCCTGCAAAGCAAGCGCTCACTTGAATCCGCTTGCGCTCAATCGACTTAATCGCAGTAGTCGTAAACTGTCCAAGGGAGTCTGGTCCGACCAACACCGTGTCACCGGCGTGAATAACCCCAGACTTGACCACCCCTGACACGACTGTACCTACGTGTGGTACAGAGAAGGTATCATTGATCAAGAACTCAAACGGTGCATCGACGCTGTACTGGCCACGGTGAGGCAAAATGTTTAGGAATGTCCGTACCAGATCTAGGTTAGCACCAGTGACATTGGACACTTGGAAGATCGGACAGATCCGCTGACTGACAAACTGGGTAGCTGTATTGACGGTCTCCGCCATATCCTTGACAAATATTGGGATCTTACGAGCGCCGGGAGACTTTAGGATTTTCGTCAGCTGCGTTATGGTTTCCTGCAAGATCTGAGGAGGACAGATATCAATCTTGGTAATGATAACCATAACTGGCACATTCAACGCCAAAGCAATACCGAGATGTTCTTTGCTCATTCCAATGAGACCGTTGTTGGCCGCAACCATCAGCAAGCAGTAGTTGGGGCTGCTGCTCAGCATACCAAAGACAGTGGTCCGTAGATACCGCTCATGGCCAGCCAGGTCGGAGAAGGATATCACTTTAGCAGAGCGCTTTCCTATCTCTTCCCAGGACAGCTTGCGGCCCTGCGCACTGGTGACGATGTCGCCCTTGGCATCAAACCCCATAATTTCCATGCCGACGGAGCTAGTTCGCCCACTCTCAATTTCATGCTTATGACGGAAAAGATTGACACGGGCCTTGCCGCGACCATCATCCAGGCTACCCTTAACCAGGACTCCGAGCATAGTACTCTTGCCGGCATCCACGTTTCCCACCACAGCGATTCGAATCTCCGTCATTTCCTCCACGCTATCTGCCGGTTGTCGGATGAGAAGTTTACCCCAAGAATCTTTTAACCTCTCATTCTTGACCGGCGACTCCGAAGAGTCGCCCACGTTGTAGGTAACGAGGATACGACAGTATGCAGGAAGCATCTCGGCGGCTTCTCGCAGGCGCTGTAGAGCTTGGTTCCATTGGGCAACACCGAATCCCATAGAATCGCCTCCGTCCTCTAGTCCAAGGTCAAAAATCGTCTCTCCATGGCCCTCATCGATGCGGGATTGTAAGATGCCAGCGAGGGTTTGCAGACTCGTGCCCGGGTCCTCCTCTCCAGTACCCAACAAGAGATCTTTTAATCTGGCACTCTTGGGGCCATCTGATAACCCAAGCTGGTCAAGAATCTCCAATTCGGCATGGTCTTCAGCTATTCGAGATACGTGAGCCGATGAATATCCGCTGTCGCTCGGAACGTAGGGGGATCGGTGCGCTTGCTGTTTCTCGGCATATTCGGCGAATTCACTGAGTGCCTTAAGATATGTGTGAGCAGATGGAAACAGGAAAACAGGAGACATGGAGATTGGACAGGAATAATGCAAAGACGTACTAGTTCCCCACGTCGCCGTTCGTCGAGAGTCAATTTCCCTGGAGGCATGATGCTACGGGAAGCCGGGATGGGACACTATACGTCAAGATGAAGCGGCAGTTGTGGGAATCAGGTAGATACGAATCCGCCAGCGAGCCATTCAGATGCGTATTCGAGTTACCATAATTCCTCATACATGCTAGGGGCAGAACAATGAAGAGTACGAGGAAGGATGAAATATGGAGGAAGCCAACAACTAAGGGGCGGGGAAGCTCTATCGATAGCGGATAATATCGAGTCATCGTCTGACTCTTACTTCATACTCGGTACAGCCACGCTGCAACAGCTGTTGAGTCACAGCCAGCTCCAAACTCCATCATTGAACACCACAGCTGCATCTTCTCTGAAAGAGGGGCATGCAATGCTAGGCTGCTGCCTGACTCAGACATGTGATGTCCGAGTTCCAGTAGAGATCCATCCCCTGGGCGATGGATTCCCCCTGTTCCTGTCTTTCGCCTTGAGGTATAGTAGAAATCGATTGTGAAACCATAAATCCTATGTCGTGGTATCATATTCATAACCAGGCCCGCGTCTGCGGCTATTTTAGATGGCTTCCCCAGTATTAACGCCGTCCTCCTGTCCACCGAGTCCTGTCGACGATGATCATCATGCTTGGGGAGAGATCAGAACTACCGAATCACCTGCGATGCAATTATTCCAATGAGCATTACAGTCCCTTTATTCGTAGCTTCCGAAAATTTAAACACTCACCTCGTACGAAAAGCATCTCCTCTTGCTTCTTGATTGTCTAGTAGGAAAGCAAACACAAGTCAGCCCAACGATGCTCCCCGGTCATCCCATCCTTGTGCTCTCGAAGCCAGTAGGAGTCGGTATTGATTACTCTGACGGTCTCTTCCTCATTTTCATTCTCCTCGACAACATATATTGTCTCCTCGACGTCTCCCAGGACAACGTTGCAGTGACTGTCGTATGCCTGTGCGCGGTAACGAGTGTACATCAGCGACTGGTACGCGCACACAGAGTAGCTGTATGGAAAAGCAAAATGCCAATTCAGAACTCACATGAAGGCGACCCTTAAGCTCCCGATCACCACGGAGCTTCACAAAGACAATTTCATCCAACGATAGGCGTACCAGGTCCAAGGGTTCGGAGACGGACGATGCGCCAACATCCTCTGTGTCGGCCATCTCGAGCAGGCGTTGAAAGGAGACACCCACTAACGGTATGTGCAATACCACAGAAACTAAACTTCGAAGACGCAAAAGGGAGCGCACAAGAATCGCGTGGGATGGAGAGGAAGCTCCTGTCTTTTTTTTCGACAGAACAGCGAAGGCGGGCGGGATTTAGTTTGCCAAGACCCTTGAAGGAGATGGCATGTCTTGGTGTCCGTCAGCGTTATTCAACCGCTGCACAACACCCCTGCTCAAGGTTTCATGGCTGCAACTGACCCGGAAGATATAAACCTCTCACACCAAAGTCTGTCATATTTCTGCTTTGCGGGGAATCCGATCAAGTGACGTTCATCCGGGGTAGCGACCAATGTCGGCTCCTCCCGCTCAGGCGCAACGATGCATTGACAACCAAACATGGCAGGGGTGTACGCCCCCTCAGGATTTCAAGCAAATAACAATTGCATCCAGCGTGGTACAGATGTACTACTTTCCAGGAATTTCCGACATGGCGGCAGTTGTTGCTGGGAGGGGTTCTGCTACTCCGTATATATGCCAGCGCTGGGTCCCCCGGCCTTCAGAATTCGTCATCCAAGACTCTGTCTCCTTCCAACACGCCCTCCATGCGGGGGATTGCTCTTGTGCGTGAGCGCTTGGGCTCACAGTCTCCCTGCCAATGTGGCTGTCGACATCTAGCCAGCGAATCGGGCTTCAGAACCATCCGGCTGCATCCAGCCCTAGATTCCACGTATCAGCTGGGATATTCTTCCTCCAGGCTGACGGCAGTGGCTGAACGTGCATTTGGGAATACTCTCCCCCGGGGTTGTAAGCCTTTTGGATCTCGAAACCTACAGACAAGGCTTGCCTTAAGCCTCAGCCCTTTCCGTTCGTTGAGTACGGTGAGGGTGTTGGAGCCCGGCGGGAAACGAGAAAGCGTACAGGAGCTGAATACGTTGAAAGAAACATTCTATAAGATTATCCAACAGTGCCAACCAGACCAAGTAATGAATGCACTGCTAGACCCGCGTTTCAAGAGAGTAGTTGCGTCGTTACCGCAGAACACATTCGCCGAAATCCTGCGCTTGCTATCTCCAGCCTATTTTATTGAGCCCTATCGGGAAATCCATCATGCTATCCACCCATACGCTGCGAGAGTGAAAGGACTGAGACCGCTGGGGATGATATTCAGTGAGTTTGAGGGAAATCTCTCTGCAATTGTGAGGATTAGACGGCAGTCGAACTACCCTTTGGGTCTTGCTGAATACACCCATCTGCTTGATTGTGCACGATCAATGGGCAATGCACGCATGGCGTGTAGCATTTTCCACGAAATGAAAGAGCTTGGGGTCGAGCCCGATATTCAGTGCTATAATCATTACCTGGAGGCGTTGGTCTGGGATTCCTCATATACGGGCTTGGAAAAGCATCGTCTGCGGATGGAGCCATATGCATACTACCGCCGAAGATCTCCCCATCCTATTCCGGGCTGGTGCGGCTACGGTACTGCCTCCAGAAGTGTCAAGAAGGAAGTGCTGCAGCTATTAAATGAAATGGCGCGTGATGGCATTCCCAGTGATGAGGCCACCTTTGTGAGTGTCTTTCTGGCATCTGCCCGCGTCGGTTATGTGGTAGGCATGAAACGGATCTTGAAGACGGTTTGGAATATCGACATCGACCTCGTAATGGACCGTTCGAACCCGTCTGAACATCCCCCAGTCACAGCCTACGATCGTACATCGCCTTTATACCCCACGGAACGTCTTCTGTTCGCCATCGCTCACGGCTTTGGCACAACCAGCGACATCTACACTGCGTTGCGGGTGGTGAGCTTTGTTTCCCGCTCGTATGATATTCCAATTTCAGAAAAGGTCTGGAAGGAGTTACTGGAACGAGCATATCAGCTTTCCAGGCCGAGACGAAGCCGGTATGCCGAACAGCTCTCAAGGGGCAAGATCTCACCAACATTTTTCCAGCAATTGTTCCACACTATGACCTCAGAACCCCACAATGTCCGCCCATCCCTCGTCCACTGCCGCATGATGGCCAAAGTCGCCCTGGATCAGGCCAAATTCGAGCTATTCGAGCCATGGATCGGTACCGCGTATGATATATACAGAGAAACGGTCCAGAAACGAGCAGCTGCGAGACAGGTGGTCGAGCAATACCTAGACCAGATCTCGGCAGAGATTTCCTCAAGATACAACGGGCACGAACATGAGAACCACAACGACGGATCTTCATTGTCATCGTCTTCGCTCCTCGACTCCCCCGCCCTGGCAGACGCAATACGCGTCTACGACATCCTCCGAACCCTGACAGCCCAACAATCCATCCTAATGGAACGCATCGCCGGCTTTATCCTCGTCTACAAGAGATGGGAACACTTCAGCAACCAAATCTGGGAACGAAAACACATCCCCCGTTTAATCCAGGAATGGCGAGAATTCATCCCGGAATCCTTTACCTACCGGATGTGCTGCGGAAGGTTGCACTTTGAGGGCAGGACGCAACGGGGTCGGAGGAATATCAGGATTCATGATAGGGTTCCTGTTAGGATGAAGAATGACCGTAATACTACTCGCATTGACGTTGACAGTGTTGGTGTTGATGTAAAATTGGAGGATAGAGAGATGGAAGATGATTATTTTTGGGAGAGGTACATGGCTGCTTCGGCTTCTGTATTGGATTTTAGCAGGCCGCCGCTTCTTTTGTTGAATTGGGGTCCTTTGGATCAAAATGGTGAGCAGGTTTGATAGTGATGTTTCTGAGTCCATGATGGATGACATTTAATATGTCTATTGTATGTTTGATGAAATACGGAGTATATGGACATGTTCATGATTAGACATCAAAATCATGATGCAAGGGAAGACGATAATATCTTTTCCAGTAGTGATACATATGTAATTCTTTTTCCTATCATCATTGTCTTTCCCCTTCTACTTGGTGCTCACCTTTTGCTCACTGGGTAAAAGGTCTGAGTGAGGTAAGAGCTGAAGTGAGTAACAGGGAAGTAAAATGTAGCCTCAATAAATGCTCCCAGTTGCATCGACTCATCTCCATGAAGCTCATAGGCAAAAAATAATTTGGAAGTTATTCAGGGGGCTTGAAGCTAATGAGCTACATCATTGCAAATCAATCTTGTTTTTTGAGACAGGACATAGCTGAGGTCGACATTGTAGTGGATTTAATGAGTGTACTGTGTTGAGTAGTTGGTTGAGCTCGAGAGCTCAGGAGTGGGAGCTAGCTAACTAAGTGTTGGATCACGTGGGATTCTGCCGCATAGGTCCGCCCTCGCTGACCCTTTCCACGTAGGCCTATCTAGCTAGTAACCAACCAACGATACACCTCCATTACTAAGCGTACTCGGAGCACGTGACATCTAAGTCAACAAAATGGTGGGTCTAACACAATCGGACTATCTATTGTTCCCCCCATCCGGAATGCGGCGGACCCACTCTGAATGTCAGCGCCACCTATATCCTCATCTTAAGATCATCGATCCATCCTCTGTGGTTGCAGATTGTCTTAGCTTAGTCATCACACAAACACCAAAAGCAGTTAGTTAGATGACAGCCTAGTGGGGGGGGTGAGCAGTCTCATAGACTGAGCAGACCCTGAGTACCCTCATGAAGGTGGTGGCATCCAGAAGGGAAAAGTCTCTACAAAAGTAGTAAAAAAATCACATATATGCAAATAAAGTAGCAGTTTGGCTTCTTTTTCTTTTATGATCAAATCTTCTCCCGCTTGAGATCATTAACAGCCATATACCGTCCGATAGTAATCCAGCCCCATCGGAACCAAACCATCTGACTCTGATGGCCCTTAACCATAGCAGACTGTGCCGTTAGCCATTCACTGACAGAACTGACGAAAAGAAGACGGCTCGGGCATCCCTCTCGACCCACTACCTTCCGCTCACCACGAGACACAGATACAGTCGAGATAACGCCCTCCAGCGCACCGGAGAGCATGGTAAACGGCGCGTCCAGAACACCGAGATATTTGCGGACGATATTCGTCGTCGTCAGCGTGTACAGAGCCACAGGGCTGGAGTAGCCGGATTTGCCTTTCATCAGGGTCCTAAGGAAATGGACTGCTCCGTGATAAAGAGAGCGATGGTTCGGGTGATTGCTGATGCCGTATTGGTCGAATGTTAAGAGGGCGTCGATTGTGGCCTCGGGAGGGCCATCTTTGGTTCCTCTACCGGTAGTAGTATTACTACCGTTTTGCTTTGCCAGTTGCGGAGCAAAGGCAGAAGTTAGGAGTGAAGAGATCTCACTTTCCGACCACATTGTCGTCATGCTGTCCGGGAAGCGCGACGGGTCATCTACGACGAAGACGTCAGATTCTTTGCGGAGACCGAGGTGGGTTGCGCTTTTCTGGAGCTCTTTCTTACGGACCTCGCCGAGTCCATCGGCGTCTCCTGGATAAGGATCAGTCTATTGTTAATTGCAAGCAACTAAAGCATAAACGCACCGCTACTAAGACACAATATCTTGAGATGATTCCCCAACTCCGGCTTTGTCAAGGCCAAAACGGCTGGTGAAAAGAACATAGCCTCGTCATCAGGATGAGCAATTAACAGACATATACGCTTGTTATAAAGCGTTGGAAAGGACTGCGTGAAAGGCGAAGAACTCGTCGAGGACATGGTCCAGAAGATGAAAATGGCCGGGAAAACAAGGGCCAATGTCCACAGTGCAGAAGCCGACATTGTGGGAATTGCCAATCAACCAAGGGCAAGTATCTCGACACAAGAAGAACGTTTAACGGGAGGAACCCGAGGTTGGTTTACCCGCACGTTACGTGTCACTTGAAGCTTCGGAGATTTCGCAACGAAGATTTTGGATGTGTATGACGGGCTTGACAAGCTTTTTGAGTCGATTAAATACTTATTTCAAATACGCGGCTTGAGCTCGGGATGCGGTCAACAACATTTGAGTCTGCGTCTCCTGTCCTTCAGATACACCGCGGTAGGTCTAGACGACACCGCAAGATGCAACCAATGTGCAGGATGCGTACAAAAAATATCAGGAAAGAATAGAGGGTCAATTGGCGGTCCCAAACGACAAGCTGAAGTATTTGGGATCGTGTACAAAGTACAGTGGCATGATGGCCATTGCGGTTGAAGGGAATCCAGCAAGCTTGCCGGGGTTGTAATGAATGCCTGAGGCATTATATACTTACTAATCGATACGAAATAGGTAAGAAATAGTCACGTGTAGATAGGTCATGTGATTGACCGTAGACGCTGCAACCCTGCAAGCAATGAGATACGGTCATCGGCTTCAGAGACATATGGAGTTGTTCGAGAAGAAGTCGGCTACTGTATCTTGGCGGTTACAGTACAAACCTGTTCGCGACTTTACAAGGCTGGACTAGAGGAACGGGAGCAAGAGGCCGATGCTTGGCAACACGGATGCAAAGAACTGCGACAGAGACGGACTATATATCGGCATGGCATTGAGCGGCTATTGAAGGAGAATCTAACGGTATTGCTGAGACAACGCCGAACAGGGCATACGGAGAACAGAGTAAACACTCGTGACGGATGGTGAGATCGAATTTCCATGGAGTAATTGGGATGCTCAGATGCTCCGGCAAAGTCCAAATAAGCACCAGCAAAGTTGACACGCGGACGGGAAAAAGCAAAACATTAGGTAAGTTAGGTTTTGCCAGAGATCTCGACCCGGACCAAAGAAAGACAAAACGACGATGCTGCAAGGCCGCATCGGGCAGGTCCATGCAGCGCATAGCACAGCAACCTTGGGAGAGACCGGCGAGCTCCGTTTTCCTTTCCCACCGCTGGACACGGACTCCGCAGTGGGCAGGTCTTTTCGGTTTGGAAGTTGAAGCCGAAAAAGATCGGCCAGCACTGGGCGTTGGCTCCAAGAAATGGGATCCGTGGGCCGAGCGGTGGATGTTTCTCCTGAAAAGATCGGCCTACGGCCAATCGGCGGGCGCAGCACGATCTGCTGCGAGAGATAAAAATTCTGCTGGTCAGTCTGTGAGTCACGGCGATCCACTGAGGATCTCGTCGACGAGACGGTTAGTTTGTTAGACCTAGGAGAAAAGGCCGGTCGGGTTTCCCGAAGGCTGGCGGGAAGCGGAAAACCACGGCGATGTCGCGGTGGACATTGGAGAGTAGTATTCTATTATTCATGGGAGAATCCGGCAATAGAAGGACCCAAAATCAGGATGAGACAGAAAATGGAATCGAAGGCTCCATCGTAGCAGGTTCTTTGCCGTTGAACTGTAAGGCTTGGTCAACTGGGTGTCTAGTCCGGTAGCTAAAAATACTCTGTACAGTACAGTACTATACATGTCACCGGCAGACAATCCGGTACCAGCTGACGTCGACCGCAATGGGTCAATATTCCATAATGCAGCGGAATCCGAGGACCCCGTTGGACTCGTTGAGCTCGTCGGAAGGTTGCAACTTGGACGGTCGGCTGATTTTGTTTCAAGATACAGCGCAGGATGAAGCAATGTTGCGGCATAAAATATCCCTGTCGCAGTCTAGAAACGACAGAGTCCAGGCCTGGAGAGCGACTTCCAATGGGCAATGTTGGTGTTAGGTAATTGGGAACGGCGGAGAATTCCTACGGATGATCTCCATAGTACACAGGCTGCTTGGTGCATTGTCATTCTGACCAAGTCCAGAACGATGAGGTGGACTTGCAACGATTTGCAAGGATGAGCATTGAGGTACGACGGCGTCCTCTGCGGGGTTTACCTGCAGCAATGATAGATGTGATAGTGATCTACAGCGTAGATGTACGGTAAATACAGAATGGCGAATGGCGGTATTACTCAGCATGGGCCAACTCCCAAGAGACAAACAGAAAAAAACGCCCAGAACACGTGAAGCCGGCCTCGTATGACTTCAAGAGACGTCGGCGCTGTTCTGCATGCCAGATCAAGACAGCATCTCCACTATTTAATGCCTTATTATCAATCGCGACCGGAACGACAATACGAACGTGGTGTCTGTCGGCTGACCAAAACCCATACCAGCAGGTGCATGTCCAGCATGCTGTAGCATCGACCGGCGAACTAGCACGATTTAGCGGTGGTCATTTCCCTTCTCCAAGCCGGCACCATATCCGAACCGGTGAGATTAATTCCTCCTGCAGACAGACAGGTCAGAGGTCGAATTGCGCGAGAAATGGCCTCATCCAGAGTCGGTATGGGAGAGTTCAGAATAGACAAGACAGCAATATGGTGCAATTCCAAGCACATCACATCTGCGTGCCATTAGACAATCTATTCATGTGTACTCCGTACTCCGTAATATTGAGTAAAATATATGTATGGAAAAGTATATAAAAATATATGTATATAAAAAAAATTGTAACACAATCTGGACCGGCGCCACAATGACGTTAAGCGCGAAGAATTTTCTGCTCATTTCACCTTGTCTCCAGGCGCATCAGAAAATTCAAAACTCCACTCTGCTAGTAAGGAATCATCGCTGAAACTCTGGATCAATCAATCTTGCCGGTGGTGTGAGATGAGGAATTAGAGCACGAAGGTCAGCCACATGCGGAAAATTCTGTCAGACAGATTTGCTATGGCGACGGCATCCCTGCAATCCATATTAAATATCATCCAAGGGCTCCCTGTACCCCGCGTTGCTTCTGCTTTTGCTTTTTCTGATCCGACTTTCTTTCGAGCTTGACTGTACACTCTTGTACGCATACTCACACTGTACATATTTACTTCATCAACCCATCATCGCCTTGTCATCGTTATCCCTCTAGGCATAGGCACCCCTGTGGCCCTACGCTCTTCTACCCCTCCCAGCTCTGCGCGCAGGAGGATTATGTATTGGATTGTCTCGTGTGCCTCGCAATTGTTCAAGCACATCACTGCTTCCTAAGCCGTCTCTGCCAAGACCAATTCAAAGAGAGTTTCCATTCAATATTCATTCACTCTTGATCCTCCTTGAGTCTCTCGCGAACAATCATGCCGGGCCGTCTCCTTCCCAGCTTTGTTCGTCCCTCCGTCTCCATCCACTCCACCTCTTCCTCCTCTTCCGTCAACGAGGTCGCCAGTAACCCTGCCTCTCGGAAACCTTCTGCGGACATGCCTCTGTCCCGTACGCAGTCTCCCGAGCGCCGTTTGCCTGCCGCTGTCGAGGCTTGGATTCACCCCCACAAGGACCATGGCAAGGACAAGCGCCGTAGTCTGGGCCGCTCCTCGCGCTCAAAGGAGCGTTCGTCCAAGGACGAAATGCCTGCCGCTTCGGCCAAGTTGGACGTCATAGTCGAGTCCCCTCCCTTGGTCTGCTATGGAAACGCCGCAAACTCCTCTGGCGCTCTGTTCTCCAGCCGTCTGCGCGTGTCGGTCACCCAGTCGGCGGGCGAGATCGCTCTGGATACGTTCCGCATGCGTCTGGTCTCCAAGATGACCACCAAGAAGCCTGTCTCGAGGGACTGTCCGAACTGCACCACCCGCACCGAAGAATTGACCAGCTGGAACTTCCTGACGGAACGCCTGTACCTAAAATCCGGTGAACACGATTTCCCTTTCAGTTATCTGTTCCCAGGAACTCTGCCTGCCTCCTGCAATGGCCCGCTGGGTCAGATTGAATATCTTCTGTCGGCTCAGGCGCAGAGCGCCACCGGCGAGTCGTTCACTTTCAAGATGCCTATTGAAGTCCGACGCGCCATTCTCCCAGGTAACGATAAGTCCTCCATTCGAATCTTCCCGCCAACCAACCTCACCGGCCGCGTTGTGCTTCCTTCCGTCGTTCACCCCATCGGAACGTTCCCCGTGCAGATGTCGTTGAGCGGTGTCGTGGACAAGGGTGAAGAGACCCAGACCAGGTGGCGCTTGCGGAAGATGATGTGGCGCATTGAGGAACACCAGAAGATCGTGTCCACCCCCTGTGCCAAACATGCACACAAAATCGGCGAAGGGAAGGGCGTTCTGCACCAGGAGACCCGTGTCATCGGTCACAACGAAGAAAAGAGTGGCTGGAAAACCGATTTCGACACCGCCGGAGGTGAGATCAACATGGAATTTGACGCGAGCATCAATCCCACCTGCAACCCGGTCTGTGATTTGGAAACTCCCGGCGGACTCGAGGTAAAGCACAACCTGGTTATCGAACTGGTCGTTGCGGAGGAATTCTGCCCCAACAAAAACACACGTCTTATCACCCCCACCGGAGCTGCGCGCGTGTTGCGCATGCAGTTCAATCTGCTGGTGACCGAGAGGAGCGGGCTTGGAATCAGCTGGGATGAAGAGATGCCTCCCATGTATGAGGACGTGCCCGCCAGTCCGCCCGGGTACACCGTGCTGGATGGTTCGAGCGTCATAGAAGACTACCACGGATCTCCTCTTCCGTCCCTTGAGACGGACGAGTTGGATAGGATGGAGTCATTGAGACTTGACAGTGACTCTGTCCACTCGTCTCTTCACTCGTCCCGCGGACGATCTCGGTTCACCGTCGAAGATCTGACTGCCGGCCCATCATCAGAACCCCAACGGTCTCTTCGAGCCGAGTCTCCTGATTCTCGAACGTCAGCCTAAAACCAAACCACATCAACACCGCATTCCTTTCTTTCGACTCTCCTTTATTCCTTACTCGCTTTTTAATACGCACCCATCTTCATCACGACTCTCAGCTTCTCGTTGGCGCACCACCGGGAAATCACGAAGTTATGAATATCTACGAAAAAAAAAACAAACAACCCCCAAGAGAGGAGAAAAAGAAAAAGTTATCTTACCAGCTGTTTTGGTCTCTTTCAACTTTTGATCTCTTTCGGCGTTTTTGGGGACGCATCAATGTGTCACGGACAAACCCTGGCGTTGGGGCTATCATCCATCCGCCGATTACTTGTTACTCGGGCGGCTTCTCCCGTCATTGAACACAAGTTCGCCTTTTTTTTTTTCCTTTGTTTTTCTTTTCTCTTCTTTTTTTTCTATCGATTTCGGCGGGATGAATTCTTTCTTAAGAGCATTATACCCATTGGGGCAGCTCAAAATGAGCTACGCGCTTGTATCTGTGTCCAGAGATGACAATATGATAATTCTACAAAGGATATTGCTTGATGATCTCAACGTTCTAGTAGTGGTGTTCTTGTATTCTTGGTATTCAACATAATAATATCTAATGTGATAGATCAAGTGGAATATGAATAAGAATATGAATGGCAATGTAGAAGAACAATACTTTGACAATCCATTGTCATGATGTTAACGAGTAAATAATGAATGAGGGGGGAAGTTTCGCTTAACGTCCTCCCGCCAACCGTAGACTACGGATGATTAAAGATCCTTCACCGCTGCCAGTTCCGTCTACTAGCATCGTTAGTTTTAAATACCTTCTAATACTTGATACCCAATAAGATAGTGATACCCTAGGAGCTCTGCGACGCTATTTACTCATTACTTCATAAAGATATATATTCATAGCTAGATACGGGACTTTATACATATATATATGTCTAATCAGTTCTAGCTTAACAGATAGTTCTTTAGTAGCGAATCATATATGAATAGTTAGTTAACTATATATTAGCAAATGCACCTATTCTAACTACTAGTACTAGAAGATATACATACTCTTAGGCCCCCTACCTAGCAAGCTAATGAATATCCTCGCGAAGCTCCTACTAGCGAGCTAAGTTGCACATATAGGCTCCGTACAGCATATCGAGCATATATTAATTTCAACCATGAACATCTTTACAACCAGCTTGAATTTACGGTCGGGGATTTGATAAAATGAAAGCTTACACACCGATTTACCTAAACCCCTAAGGCTATGGGAATATATAAAGAATTCGCGAAGTTAAATCAGTGGTTGATGGTTATTAAATCCGCAGGTCATTTAGTTGTGTATGTCTAGCTTCATCATTCTGCCGAAATGAATTTCCACTTTTGGCTATTGCAATTTGACCGCTATAAACCGCCGTACGTACTCCGTAGACACCTTAGATAATATTAAATACTCCGTAGAAACACACATATTTCCCATCCATCCCCACGCACGTTAAAAATGACACATTAATATATAATTTACTACGCCATAGTCTTCTTTAAGAATCAAAAATGGGCCCAAAAGCAGGCGTCCCCGTTTTCTCAAGTTCATAGACAACCCTCGTGGTAACGACGGGGTTACTGACAACACAAACAGCCTCGGCGCGATGCTCCTTAACCAGCCGTCGAATGATAGGGACCATATCGATGCGTGCTGAGCGATCGGTGTCGATGACTATCGCGTTAGGATCCAGGATGGCGACCATGTCCAGGACGCCCTGGCCATATGTCTTGAGCGGGGAGCGCGTCTGCCAGACGACGCGGATATCGGGGCGATTCTCATCACCCAGGAAGGACAGACAGGGACCCATACCGGATCCCGTAGTGACGACGATAATGCGTTGGAAGACACGCATAACGTACGCGAAGCCGTGGATGAGCACGCCTCGTTTCCAGAGGTGAGTGGGTGGATTTGCGATGCAGGCGGCGGTCCAGTCGCCTGCTTTCGAGACCACACTGGAGAAGCCCTTCCCGTCTATATCGGGGAATGTTGCGAAGGCGTGCCAGTCTCTAAGCGGGTGAGTGGAGACCTGGATGCCCTTTCCGAAGGAAGTGGAGGTGTGGGAGAAGTGGAGTCTTATGGCGTGGGAGGAGAGGTATTCCGCTTCCACAGGGACTTTGCGGAGGAGGAGCCAGGGGTGGACGATGGCCATGACGGTGATGACGAGGAACCAGAAAGCGGGGAGTTTGACGAGGAAGATGCCGAGGGGCTGGTGCGAGGCTTTGCTGAAGTCGTCGCAGAAGACGAAGAGGAGGGCTACGAAGAGCGCCACCACGAGCCATCCGGAAAAGCGGTGGATGAGCTCGAAGTAGTCGTGTTTCCTGACGCGGAAGGTTGGGAAGGCCACCATGATGATGGCGAGGAGGAGTGCAAGGATGATGTACGAGAGGACGACAGCTGGCATCGTTATCGGGGAAGTCTGGCCGGACGACCAGAATTCCCGGGACATCATCCCCACGAAGCCGGTGTACCACAAGAGCGAGGCGATGCCGCAGCCGCTATGGACACCGCCGTAATGGTGAGCTTTCGCAGCCAGCAGCCGCAGTCTCAGCGGGGCGGATCTGGGGATGGAGCAGACGGCTTTGAAGATGGAGTTCACGACTAATGGCTGCCGGGCGAGGCCACATGCCATCAAGTTGGCCGCCGTAGCGTTGACCAAAGCCAGGAGCTTCCGGTCCGTTATCATGATGGCGATGAAGACGCCAACGTTGGCGAGGAAGACCAGTGAAAAGAGACGACGGTATACATCGAGGATGAAGTACCTGATCCAGGCAAATCTCTTCGGTCTGTTGTAGAGCTGTGCCTCGAGGTCCTCGATGCGTTGCTCTAACGAGATGATCTTTTGCTGAAAGGCCTTCTCATTCGGGTCACCGAGAGTGTCATCTGAGAATTCGCTGCCATAGCTGCTGCTTGTTGGAGAGTAGGCAGCATGTTTAACTGCCGGCGGTATTGTCACCGTTAGGGTTTCCTCGGAAGCAGACATTCTGGCTTTGACTTTCGAGCGGGAAGGTGAGGAAAATGAGAAGACTCAACACGATTTTAGAAGGCAAAACGTGCAAGTCCTCAAGAGAGGAAGGGGAGAGATGACAAGTCTGAAAGGGCCTAGCTGTCACTGTCACGAAAACCCTAGCAATAATAAAAAAAAGAGAACAAAGGACAGAAGCAACAACGGAATGTCGAAGATACACGTCTGGCTGTACAGAAGTTGAAGGCAATGATATGATGCGTTCCTTTTTGAAGTCCTCGTGGATAAAGCAAAGCAAAGGGCAAGCCACGAGGTTCTATATAAATCTGGAAGATGTCCAACCCCCTCCCTTCACCGTGACGCAGGGCAAGGAAGGTTTCTGATATCGTTCATACCACTCATTCATTCCCACAGTAAGGGTGAATATGGAGTACGAAGGCTCCTTTCCTTCGAGACTATGACCTTCGGACCTGACCTTGCCGCCGTCATGCTCAGAATATCCATACCCACTTCCCAGAAGCGGTTATTCAAGAGGCCTGTCTTGACCCTATCCGGCCAAGACAGGGACTAGGGCCTGTTAGGGCCTGCTAGGGTCTGCTAGGGTCTACTAGGATCTACCTCTTTTCTACCGAGAATGTGAAACATTCTTTTGAATGATATATGAGCTCCCACTGGTGGCAATGCGTACGCATTCCGCACGAACCTCATACTGGCTATGAGGCAGACGGAAGGGTAGCCGCGGGACGTTATTGATGGCACACATGCGTACCTTTTGGTTGGGATCAGCTAGCTGGCCGTCGATCTGAATATACGCTGAGTTGCTGTTTTGAGGTCTGGAAGGCCATGATCGACCGGGTTCGTCAGGAGATATCAAGACAAAGAAAGTGCGGCGCCCCGCTTGTGACAGGTACTTCAAAGAAGAGGTCTGAATAGAATATAAAAAAAGGTCATAAGAGGGCATGGTTTGTTTTCGCCTCCCAGACTTGGTAAAGAAATGACACATGAACTTCCTCTTGCGGAAGTTGCTGGATTTCTTCTTATCCATGTGGCATGTACATCGGGGGCTGAGTGTATGGATGCGTCTTTGGACGTGTGCTTTGTACGGATGATACAAAAAGTACCAAGTACGCTTTCAATCCAGGCTAAGGAATGTTCCTCGGAGAATAAAATAGTATTTCAATCCTTGGTGTGCTGTATGCATGTACGGTAATGGCTGCAGATGGCCATGCTGTTGGGTAACCTGGCATATCCTTTGTACGGAGTAGCAGCGAGCATTAGTAACGCATGAGACGAACCTTGCTTTCTCTTTCTCTCTCTGGTTATTAATAGCTCTCATTGTTCACTCCCAATCCTGATCTAGACCGCGCTTAACTACAGAGTATGACTAGGACAATAACAGACCCTATTGATCGTAGCACGGCATGGTAGCACGGCATACTACATGCAATAGTAACAATACACGTCTTCGCATGGATCATGGGCTATCTATCTATACACAGCCGTAGACACGTCCATCCAGGGTCCCCCGTCCGCTCCTCTGTAGGCCACTAATGAGTGGTGTATTCAGAAACTATGACTCTGTGTGGATCAGGGAATCGTCATACATTCCCACCGGAGAGAAATCGATTTGTCACAAGGACTGAATGTTGACACTTTATCCTGTCTGGGCGTCAATAGATCAATAGAGATCTAGAAAAGGGAATAAGAGGGGTTATGTAGACCTGCACAGCCACATTATCGATCTGTCCAGCTATGTACAGCCACCCGCAGCCAGCCACAATGTTATCTACTATGATCTATGATCTATGTGATGATATACGGAGTACTCTGTCACAATAATAGCCTGAGGGATTCCATAGACTTGGCATACTAGACGTTTAGCCTGAAGAGTCAAAGCAGATGCAGCGCTTGCAGATGCGCAGCCAGTCCGGTGTGCAATTCTTTGGTTTCCCATGCTGTTCGTCATCTTGGGTTACATTACTTACCTATTTATATGCAGATCGTAGATACTACCCTGCGCTGTATGGCGGGAGGTCCATCGAGAGTAATCGAAAGAATAGTCAGGCAAGGAATCACAGGGGTGTCCCTTAGTCCTGAAGAATGCTTCTATTGATCAATTTGCTTTAACCGAGAAAGTAAACTCAGTGCCACGTCTTCGGCCCAAACGTCTCTCCCTCCTCGGCAGTCTTCCGAAATGCCATTGTCGTAGCATCCTACACGTCATTATCAGCAGTCGCTCCACGAATACTCTGTATTGTGCTCTATCCAACTCACCAACGTCTCAAAAACCTTCACATTCCCCCACCACTGCGGGATCGTGGCATCCGGCAACGAGATGGCCAGGAAGACAATAATCGTGCTGATGATCAACCCCGAATCAAGCGCTGCAGAGAGGAGATAGTTGTAATGCCGCCACCAGCCGGTCCATCTCTTACGGATGTAGTGGTTGAACAGGAGGCCGACGAACGTCCACACGAAGAAATTAAGTGGCGTGGCCGGTGGTAACCAGCCCATGGCACCGAGCATGCTGACTTGTCGTTAGTCGTGCTGTTTCTTAAGCAAGGGGTATATATACACAGAGAGAGATAGATAGATCCGTACACCGGAGCGTTGAGATGCCGGACACGCGACTTGGGGAACATCCGGCCCAGGAGGTAGAAGAGAACTGGCAGGCCGGCGCCGATGAGCCAGAACCACTGGAAGTTATGATAGATCGACTTCGGTCCAAGCATGCGTTCGGGACCGATTACACCTATCGATGTGTGTTAATTGAGTATATGCATTTAAAGTAAGCGGTATGTACTGATCATCTCATGATGCAACCTACCCCAGGTGATGCTGTTGGAGAAAAAGGTCTTCCCGTTAGGACATGTGAAATGGGACGGTTGGTTGCTGGTCCCAGCATTCTTTTTAGTTTCCGACGGCTCAAAATGGAAGCAGAAAACTTACGGCGTGCAGATATCCTTGACGGTGCCCATCGTCCAGTTCATGACGGCAATCTGCACCAGAGACGCCCAGATCGTTGCCACCACTTGACAGAAGAAGATCGTCCTGGGTGGGATTTTCATATAATGTCCCAGCTAAGATGTAAACAGGGAGTTAAAGATCATGGTCTGCACCGTATGCTGTCAGTCCGAGTTGCTTGGCTAACCTTCATATCACTGGCATAGGTTTGACTGTTTGAACAAGTCAGCTTGATCCAAATGAGCTGTTCAAATTTGACCACCAATGAAGAGACATACGCCTGTCCCAGAACAATAGTGCTGTAGACCTTGAATACCATGATTGCAATTGGCCGACCCTTGATCATGTAGCCACCCAAGAACGGAGAGAGCACATTAAGGGCTGGTGGGATCAGTTCATTATTGCTGCATCATTGCGTAATAAATTGGACAATAGAGCTTACCAAGTGGAATATTCGTGATTGCATAGATTATACATGTAGGTATCTGAAAAGAATGAGCTGGAGGTCCTCCGGGAAGGGTAACAAGGAGGCCATACAATGAAGACAGCAGCAATAATAAGGGAGACAAAATATCCCCACCCTTGATTTTCTAGTCAGCAAATTTCTTCCAAGCTCAAGCAAGTCCATCTCACTCACACGGAAGTTGAGAATCATAGCCCAGACAGGTACCAAGACCCATAGCCGTGGCAGCGACGAAAAGCGCCACGTACCACCAGTTGGGAGCTTCACGGTACCGCGCCATCAACTTGCAATGTATGTCTGGTTTTTCATCCCTTGCCTGCCGCAATTGACGCCAGATATCCTTGCTGTGGTATATTGCAACATGGACAAGCGAAGAGATGAGCGCCGCAAAGCCCAATCCATAATTCAACGCGAACGTCGGGGCCAAGAACATCGGCGAGTACTTCTTGTATTTTTCCAGGTCAAAGGAAAAGTTAGGCCCGAGGATCCTCGACACATTGTATGTATTCTGGGTGTTGTCGTATGTGGTCGATGTGTTGATCGGCAGGTAGTCCGAGTAGAGGGCCCCCGAATACGCGATTCCAATAGTCGGGATGATGAAAAAGACAATTAGCCCGATCAGCGTGTTGACATGCGATAAGGTAGGGGCCAGCAACGGAGAAAGAATGTAGCTGGAGATGTATCTAGACGAAAATGGTCAGCCAAAGTGAAGTGCTGCCAGACAAAAGAAAACAGAGAAGCAGACGCACGTCCAGTCAAACGTAATTGGGACCAAAGAGAGCCCCGAGAACCCTCCAAACAACTGGTTTACAATGACATTATTCGGCTTGATCCCTATATAGCATGTCAATGTCATCCGGCAGCAGCGTAGCAACGAATGCTTACAAGTAATGAAGCTGAAAACCGAGAGCCCTTGCCACAGAACTCCTGGCACCCTACAAGACTGTCAGCAGCCGCGTCCATCTGAGATCTCTTGTAAAAATGCCCAACGTACCAGTACCACACGAAGGATCCGGCGGCCACGTATAAGAAGAAACGATACCGGGAGATCTGCCATCCGTCCGTCTCAGATGGATCCGACCTGCACCGGTCATGAAGAGCGTAGAGCAGGGACGTGTTGGCAAACTGGCTGGGCCAGATCATGGCAGCTGGCCTGCCAACTGGTCAATTGAGCGCATCAAAATACGGCTGGCAGGAGAAAGAAGGTGTCTCTACCGGACCAAGAATCGACGGCACATGCCTACTAGGCCAATGCCGATTAACTGACTGCTGAAGGTGAAAAGCAACTGGAAGCCCCATCCCATGTCCAGGTTGTAGTAAGCTGACTCTCGAGATCAGCTTCGCTCCTCAATTCATGGATACTATGGAATTGACTTACGCTTGCCAGCCAGGGCAATCAAGGCGTCAGTACTGTATGCATACCCGATAGACACGCTGCAAATTTTGTTTTAGATATCAATATCCAATGCTTCTCCCTTCTGAAACTTACTTGGCCATTACCTGGTTGAATGATCAGCATGTCTAACCCCAAATCAAAATAGCATCTCCCACCGCTTCGGACAATGCTTACAATGATCACAGTATGCTCCTTGATGGTAAATGGACCGGGATTAAATGTCCACCGGACTCCAAACGTGTTGAATACTTTCGTGGGAACGACCCTTGCCCAGAAGACGCCAATGGGGAATACCAGCCTGAGACGAGTTAACACAAACAAGACACGGAGATGATGGAGTAAAAAACTGAACTGACAATTGGACGACCACCGCAGTGATGGAAATGGCAGGGCTCCTGTATCATCGGATCTGGTCAGTGACCGGCTCCAGAACAAGCAGCAAGCAACTGCGGTAGCCCAAACCTCATGCTTAGGAACATGTTAATCGCACTGGCGACGGTGACGAAGATCATGCCCAGGATCCATGCCCGAACGGTGTTTGCGACCTCACCTCCATCAGTGTTCCGCACTGCAGCTCGTACGGCTTCATAGGGAGAGTCCTCGACGAGTTCCTTCTCATCCACGCCAACAGTAACGTGGACCTTTTTCTCTACATCAACGGCAATGTCGGCATCGACGGGCTCGATTTCGTCGCCCAGTCCCACTGCCGCCGGATGTTTCCCAGCAGCGGATTCGTCTGTCGTGGAGGCTGGTATGGGTTCCTTCATAGGAACCCCAGACTGGCCGTTCCCTCGCGGGATTCCATCCAGAACTGGAAAACAAGACGTCCACTTCTTTAATGCCATTATGTAACGCAGGCAAGGGCCAAAGCGAACACGAACAGTTAAAAAAAGACAAAGTCCCGCCCGCTCATCCGGAACGTGGACCGTTCATATAGAAGCTACTGGCCAAGCTATCCGGACCAGGTGAGATCCAAGCGCCTATGCCCAGCATGCCGCTGTCTTGGAGATAAGAGAATCCATGCCGCGAAAAAGACGATTCCTCGGCCGTCGTTGGTGCCATGGGTGTGATATCTGACCTGGAGAGACGGCCGATGTAACTCGTAAAGAAATCCACCAATGGACGCCCTCACGGTTGAGGAATTAGATAGCGACCGTTGGACTCCGTGCATCAGACTCCTCATTCTCCCAGTGGCTACGGCTGCAATGATCGCCAGCCTGGTGACAGGACCGAAGATACAGCTTATCGCTCTGAGACATACGACAAGCCTCAAGCTCATCAGGGGCAGCACAGCAAAGCGGGATGATGGACCGGCTTGCCGGGAGATGCAGATGAAGTTGTAATGTCAATGAAGGCATGGTTGCTGTGAGAAGATCCAGACAGCTGGAATGGGTATTTATTCATCTTTTGAGAGAGAGCATACCCCCCCTCCATTGATGAAATGAACTACAGCGCTGTACTGGCTTCGGGACGCGGCCCGTTGACCCGTCGATTGCTCCTCATGATTTACCCGAATTATTATGCGCATTCTATTGCCAACAGTAGACAGATAGCCCTTATCATCATCTAATTCAGCAGTCTAAGCACCCGGAAATAGCACTGTCTCCTTCTCAAAATAGTATGCGACATTGCATAGACCAGTGGCATGAAGAGGGTGGCATCACTCAACCTCGCACGGGAGGAAGAGCCACTCTGTATTGCGTTTCCATGTTTTCAGAATTCTGTGGCCAGGACCCAAACTGGCATCAGGACGATAGCTCATGTGTGCAGATAACTATGGAAAGTCGGCTAAATATAAAACAATATCCTTAAGAAGATACTACTGCGGAGAAACATGGCGGAGCTCGTCAATGGCATGCCATGATAGGGTGGGCTTGTTGTAGTGCTGCTATCTGACTCGAACAGGGGAGTAGAGTGGCGTGTATGTACGATGCTGCACATAGAGAATGCCTCGATCAAACCGAGCTTTCCTTGGAGCATCAACGACAGTGTCGTTCTGTCCTAGAATATTCCATATCCCTTCCAAAGGATCCCCCACCCCAGCGGTCCCAAAGCCCCTACAGTCGCCGCACCCAACGACATCTCCAATATGCACCACATCCATATCGTACCCATAGCAGGAGCCCGTTTCATCACCGCATAGTACGGATCTTCGTTCGTGACAGCGATCAGCTTACCCCCCAGGTAGACGGCGATTGGCAGGAAAACACAGGTTTTCAAGGAAGGTGGGAAGAGGAGTTTTCGAAGAAAGGAAAAAGCTAATTTTTCTCTGGTTATAGGAAACAAAGATAGAGGTTGCTGCTGCTGCTTCCCCCTGCCCCTGCCAAAGGATACGATGTGGCCGTGAGCGAGATGGACGAGCAATGTCAGCACTGGCAAGGCAACGAAGGCGGATTCGCGAAACAGGGCCTTTATCGGGATTTCCTGCGCATATTGATGGGCCGCAAGGTACGCGAGGGTTAAATGGAGAATTGTCAACGTTACGGATAAGAGTAGGGTATCGAGTATTGGCGGGATGAGTTCCTCCTCCTCCTCCTCCTCCTCCTCCTCCTCCTCCTCCTCCTCATCATCATCATCTGTTGTGGTATCTTTTGACTCTTTCTTATAATCCACCTTGGTACCTGCTGGTGATTTAAATTCCTCGCTGTCAAATAAGCTCTTGGAAGGATCATCAATCCGCGAGATTCTGCCGGACTCGTCGACCGTAACGAATTGCGTTTCCGTTGGGGACGAAGCTTTAGGTGGTCGGCAAGGCTTGCTGGCAGTGAGGGTCTTTTCTTTGCCTTGCATCTTCAATGCGAGCTCCTGCTGCCGTTCCGCAATGACTTCATACAATGTCTTCGCTGGTTTAGTTTTCGACCCGACATCTTCAGAGGGATGTGCAAGGGGAATTGAGGACGCGTCGAAAGAGTCCTCTGAGTTTAACACCGCTGTTGCTGCTGCGCGTCGCTGTTTGCGGTTCCTGGGAGCAGCCATGACTTCTGTTCTGGATCTTCTTGTACAAGGAAACAGAAAGATTGATAGGAAGAGATACGCGTTCAGATAATAATAGACCGAATGCCAAGGAAAGGCACCGCCGGAGATAATCATCCGAGTCCCACCGAACAAAACAAAATTAAAAATAAAAAACGAAATATGGATATGCATCGTCCGGGAGTCGAACCCGGGTCGCCTGCTTGGAAGGCAAGCATCATAACCGTTAGACCAACGATGCTTCTTGGTTGCATGTGATTCACATGTTTGAAATCTAAGCTAGTCCGTATTCTCCTCTCCGGTTACTTTCAGCCCTGCATTAACCTCAGATTAGGGGAACTTGGAGAATATTAGGGTTAGGGCCACATATACATATGCTGCGCATCTCGAGGTAGAACATTAATTCTCCTGGGCTAGTAGTATTCCGTCATAGTGCTGATAAATAAAATCATCTCAATTTGCATCCTATTATTAGTGATTACATACTGCCTTGTCGAGGATAATCAACTTTCCTCCCAGAACTCCAGAGTCTCAAAAATCATGGGGTTTTTTTTATGATTTTTCTGAATTTCTTCACATTGCAGAAACCGAAAACAACACAGGCCCACCATTAATTCCTATTCGTGGAAGATAAGCATCATGATAGAACCGACCCGAACTGTTGTCTCGATTTGACATTTTCTGGCTGCTCACTCAGGTCTTGTTAAGAGGTAATGGGCTCGGTTCTAGGGTTAGCCGGCCTGGTAAAGGCCAGGGCCAGCAACCACATGAGGATTAAGCAAGCTTATATTGAAAGGCGTCACGAACAAATCGGTATCGGTGATTGCGATGAACACCGTGCCATTAATGGCAGGATCTCCTGCATAAGTCTCCAAGTTCGGCTGTATCGTGTATCCAGAGGTGGAATTGCTGAGCGTCAAAGCCGAGTATGTTACATTCAACTGTGATGCCCACGCAACGTATCTGGGACTTCCAGCAGTAGTTGCCGTAATGTAGCTATTGTTCGGACCAACAGGCCTGCCAGGAGTCTCCCAGGACAGCCAGACTTGACGCCCAGGCCACGAGAGTGGCGTAGTACGGTTGTGAGTGATCGCAGGATGGCAGCTACCCCCCATAGAGGTACTATTCACGCATGAACTATTGGCGGCGACAGTGCTGTTCAAGGTGTTGGTACCGCTGCTGATGGTCTCGTTGAGGCCAAACGTTGTTGAATTGGTGATTGTTGAATTGGTGATTGCTGCATTACCAACTGATTTCCCAGCCCTAGCTGGATTGGGTTGATTCAAGATCCTTAGTGCCGGGAAGTTCTGCCAAGCCAATCGGGTCTGATTGTCTGGGCAGGAACTGATGTACGGCGACAACAGTGTCCAAGCCCAAGACTGTGGCACTCCAACCTCGAACCAAACAGGCATTGGAAAGAGGCCCTCAAATTGACGGAAAATCATTTGTTGGCGAGCCTCTGTGGTGATTGATTGCGTCAGCAATATCGCGGCTTCGCGGGAATCAAGGTGCGATATGAATCCATATACTCCTGATTCTCCAATGCGGGTGATCTTCTGGCTGAAATCTATGAACTCCTGCACTGTAGTGAAAGGATAGTTGTAAGTGCACTGCCTTGGAGCAGCAGCGCCCAGGATATTAGTGAGCATAGTGGCATGCCCAAGCTCCTGATTTGCCATAAATTCGATCAAAAATCGATCCTCAGCTGAAAGTCCAGCAGCCTGGAAATCCTGGACCGAAAAGCGTGCAAGACCATAATGGAACAGGTCTAGCTCAACATACTCCTGGTACAGCGCGAGTGACTGATATGAAGTCTCAGTAGAAGCTCTCCTGCCAACTGTGAATGAGGAAGTAACATACCAGTGATTCAAAATCAAAGTCGCTCTTCGCATTGTATACCGGGGTTGTTCCATTTGTCCCAAGACCCCCTGCTGGTACGTAGGGAGCAGGTTCGGCATCATGAAGAGAGCCATCGCTCGGATACGTAGTAGCAGCAGGGCTCAAGCCTAATGATGGGATACCTGACCCAACAGAACTAGCATTCACGGCACCAGTGACTGACGGAGTCCCGCTGAATGACGTATGCGGGATTGAGGTCGGAACAATTACAACTGGCGCAGATGAGAGCGGTGGCGTAGGGACTCCAGATGTTGGTGCTCGGGCAAAGTGAGCTGCTGGGCTTGCCCAACTGTAGGGCAGCCAGCCAAGAAGGCCGATCACTGAAAGGCGATTCATAGTATGAACCAGGGTTTTATGTCTCGCACTCTCTTGCAGATACGCAGACAAGCGGCTGGTACTTCACTAAAGCTCTTCCTTGAAGATAGGACAGAAAAAAATTCAAAATGGGCACCACGGAAAGTACATATAGCACCCAATATAAAAATATTCGTCAGCACCAAGATATCAAGACTGACGCAATCAATTCATAATATGGGTCAAGTCGAACTTGCTTGTAGGATATTCTTGGTGCCATTGGAGAGGGAACTGGCAACAGAACCGCTCATTGTCAAGCATGATCATCCAATGCCCGGTTCAGCCGGAGACGTAGGAGCCCCCGGAAGCTGAAGATGAAGTCAGAGAGCCAATGCACATCGCCTCTTGGCCGCTTGAAAAGTAGTCACCAAGAGAGGGGCCAACCAGCATTCAATTTAACAAGACCGAGGAAACAACCGTCGCACATTGGCCAAGATCCGTAGCATAGCCCAGCTGCTATACAGCATAAAGTATTGCGTTATGTAACAAGTGGTGGCGGCCCGAAAAAGGCAAGACCTTTTCATTTCTTTCATCGTATATTTCTTTTGAGGTGCAATAGAAGCCTCGCTCTCGAGGAAATAAGGCTTCCGAAACTTCCTCGAAGATGGGTAGACAAACCGGTCGAGCCAATTTCTGGAGAAGCTCTCTTTCCCGGGGAAAAGCAGAATGCTTCTACGGAGTAGGATCGTGCATAATCCATCCAAGTTGCCCCACTCCTGCAACTGATGCTTCCCATAGTCAACTGTATCTTCAAAGGCAGTGAAGCCACCACGGCTGCCTTCCAGACCGGGGCATCTCGGCTTCGATGGAAGTTATGACGTTGAGGCTAGGTCATTATGAAGCGATCCACAGTTCATGGTCTCTTCCTTTGGATCCCGAACCGCCCAAGTGGAGTGGAATAGCACTCCGATGGAGTAAATAAGCTTCCCCATCGTTGTGGACGATCTTCGTCACCAGTGATGCATTGGAGATCATCGCAACCGAAGTTGGAGGTTCCATGTGCATTTGACTTTTTTCATCCGATTTTGTTTTAGTAAGCAGACATGAGGATTCAATTGGGTGAAACATGGATATAACATGCATGCAACGGCATAAGGCAGCCAGCAGTTGCCCGTGCCATTCAACAGCACAAGACGGAAGCGGCGGAAACTCCAGATCTTCCTACATATAGGCCAAAGTTCTCCATGCTTTAACTTCTTATGTGCTTGGTATGTTTGCCGTCCGCCCCGCCAAGATTATCCAGTGCTTTTTTGGGGCTCAAATGGGGTCAGCAGGCGGGAATGTCGTTGGCGACAGAGCTACTGTCAAAGCTGCAAGCAGCCACCACAATTCTTGAAAAGAGACATGTTGCGAATAATCATCTCACGTAGGCATCGTAAGCACCTTGTGGCGAATGTCATCCGACCCCAGAATTTTAGTAACGTGAGAGGTCGGGAGACAGAGACTGGAGCCTAGACGCTGAGAATTCAGACGGGTCAGTAAAGGATCGTCGCGGTCCGAGGGACTCGATGAGAAAATACCTCAATCAGTTGCAATTGTCATCTAGCTAGAGGGGATCATCATCCATGTTGACGCGCAGAGTGTCTTAATGAACAAGGCAAGGAATAGAAAAGAAATATCTCGGACGACCCCTCCGCAGTCACATGATAAATCCAGGACTGATCAGAGCATTTGGACATTGATGTGTTATTTTGTCTCGCAAAGTAATAATGGCACTATTTGTATCAGTATCTAATTGATGTTGTCTCATTGTTGGAATAGGGGAGTTGTGGTGAGTGTTTGTACAGTGTTGTATAGCTGGACCTGATTACTCCGATATACAATACATACATCTTGAGCAGGGATGATTTTTCATCGAAGGAATGCTAAGTACATCAACATTTGATATTTGTTAACGACTAGATCAATTTCAAATAGCAGCATCTGAGTGGCCATTTGTCAAAGGAACACGACATACCAAGGGGATTAGGCTATATACAATAAACCATTGGGCGGAATGAGGTTAGTTTTGGGGGGCTATCTCTTGAACCTAGCATTCTCATAGCCAAAGAGACACAGAGGAAGATAGAATAGAATAGAAGCAAAAGAACAAACTGTGTTCAGCATTGGTCTAATAAGTTGCCGTCAGCCGTTGCACAAGGTAGTCCCCTGAAGTGATCCCAGAGTACTTCTTGGGGATATGAAGATCCTCTCCATAGGTTCCAGGTAACGCCTCGATAAATTTGTCATTGTTAGGATTGCAGAAGTACGCGATGCTGTATCGCGCCGGGTACATATCTGAACTATCCTCTGCTTCAGAATTAGCTGGTTTTGGGGGCTCGACAACTCGATGCTTGGTGCTCTTTATGGTGTCATTGGACCACCGTGCCAACAAGTCACCTGCGTTGACTACAATGGTATCTGGGATGGGAGTGGCATCGATGAAAGTACCCTTTGGGCTGCGAACTTGGAGGCCACCACGGGCGTCCTGGAAAAGCAGCGTGAGCGAACCGTAGTCGCTATGCTCACCAGCACGAACCTGGTCAGGGTTCGAACTGAAGACGGACCTGGGGATGGGTGGATAATGGAGTAGACGGAGGTTGTTGTCCCCAGCGTCGACAAACTCATCGAAGAAGGACTCGGGAAGGTTCATTCCTATGGACACAGCCCGCATGACTTGGGTATGGAGCTCTTTGCATGTCTGGAAGAAAGACTGCATGACCTGTTTGAAGTCCTTCCCTTCATCGTCGATGTGATCTGGCCAGCGGTTCGGCAAGCCCTCCACTCCGTCACGGCCGATCTCCATGGTCTCCTTGAGATCAGGATTGGCAGAACGCAATGCCTGCACGTTACTCTTGTCATCAGGCCGTGTCAGCTTCTCCCGGCCTCGAGCAACATAGCCACGGTTGGACTGTGGAGTTGTCCAGCCAAGACTATCCTTCTCTGCCTGTGGTCGAGCAAAGAAGCGGGCAGACGAGGCAAACACACGGGACACTACGGACGGTGGGATGCCATGATTTTTTAGGTAGAGGAATCCAGACGTTTTAAACGCCTCGGTAACTGCGATGCCAACAGAGTGTTTGTCGGCAGGGGTCCCATTGAGAAAAGGACCGAAATCGATGAGCTAGGGTAGAGCAAGGTTCGTATGAGTATGGTCCTGAGGATAGAGCATCTGCGCGAGAAGCCAACGACGGCACTCACCGGAATGACCAGGTTGTCCTTGTCAACCCCCGTCGACACTGGTTTGCATTCCTGCTGTGGCAAGTTGCCTGCCATTTCTGCAAAGATCAAGCTGATGAAAGGAAGAAGAACTGGGTAGAGTGGAGTAGAGGCTGGTGAAGGGTTAGCAGAGGAGAGTCAACGAGATCAAGGAAGGGGGATACGAGGAAGATAAACCCGAGGCAGGATGCCCCTATCGGGAAGAGCGCCATGGATGAAGAGATGAAGATATCCAGACAGGCAATAGTAATAATTACTCGTGATGCAGGAATGAGATAGTCCGCAGATAAGACGGGAAGAGGAGGGTTTGGAGAAGATAACGGCGACAAGAGACGATAGAGACGATAGAGACGATAGAGACGATAGAGACGATAGAGACGATAGAGAAAGAGATAGGCAAGATACAGAGATAGTCACATTAAATATAAGAAAGAGAAGAACAATTCTTCATTGACATCAGGCAGATTACCCAGCATCATGACGCTCATCGTCGACATCCACACCCATGTCTACCCGCAGTCCTACATGGACATGCTTCGTGCCCGCAAGACAGTCCCCTACGTCCACGATCCCCAGTCCAACGATCCTCCCCGCCTTATCATCCTCTCCTCCGACGACGACTCGTCAATCCCGCTCGACAAGCGCGGTCGTCCCGTCGATGCGTCCTATTGGGACATCGACGTGAAGTTGGCCTTCATGCGTCGACATGGCATTAACTCCAGCGTCATCTCTCTCGCCAACCCGTGGCTGGATTTCCTGACCCCCGCAGAGGCTCAGATATGGGCAGAACGTATCAACGATGACCTAGAAGCGACATGCGCACGAGTAAATCGCGCCACAGACCCAGATGGCACGCGTGCTCTGCACGAAAAGGAGACGCTCTTTGCCTTCGGAACACTCCCCTTGAGCGCCCCGAGCCCTTCGATCGTCGTTAACGAGATTAAGAGACTCAAGTCCCTCCCGCATCTGCGGGGAGTCATCATGGGCACGTCAGGTCTGGGTAAAGGGCTAGACGATGAACGCCTGGATCCGGTGTGGGAAGCATTACAGGAAACACAGTCCCTTCTTTTCCTCCACCCCCACTATGGTCTACCGGATGAGGCATTCGGCGGTGCAGAAGCGACAAGTCGCTACGGTCATGTCCTCCCGCTGGCATTAGGGTTTCCCCTTGAAACTACCATCGCCGTCACGCGCATGCTGCTGGCTGGCGTATTTGACCGGTTTCCTAGGTTAATGATCCTTCTGGCGCATTCGGGGGGAACACTTCCCTTTCTCGCGGGAAGGATAGAAAGCTGCATCCTTCACGAACGGAACTTCATTGCCAACGGAGGCGATGTACAGGGCCCAAAACGGAGTGTATGGGAGGTCCTGCAGACGAATATCTACCTCGATGCCGTTGTATACGGCACTGCGGGACTGAAGGCTGCCGTGGCTGCAGCAGGGAGCACGGATCGTCTGTTATTCGGTACGTCGCTTTTGTGGTTCTGACATGGACAAGACTGATTTCAATAGGGACTGATCATCCTTTCTTCCCTCCGTTGGACGGTAAGGAAGACGAAGATTGGCCTAGCGTGACGACCAATTACAAGGCAATCAATGCCTCATTCGGTGACGACGCAGAGTCCGTAGCGGCTGTCCTGGGAGGGAATGCGGCTCGCATTCTAGATCTGAAATGATATCCTGTGTCTACGTTCTTCTTTATACCCAGGAAGATTGCCTTGAGATTTGAGAGATAAAAGGATTCCTTTCATAAAGCTCAAATATGTTTTATTTTCATAAATTTTGTATATAGAGACTATCTGTAAAGATATACTTCCTATATCTAGTTGCATTAGACATGTTATTGGCAACAAAGCAGCTAAAACGAAAAAGCAAAAAGAATCGGTTCAATATTATCAGTCCTTCATGCCTTCAGCAAATGGAAAGTATTTCGCTTGCTTTCAAATACCGCTAATTATAAGCCTAGCCTTTGAAATGGTCGTTCTTCACCAGGATATCCCATCCTAATAGTCTCCAAACCTCCTGTGTAAACCAGTCTGGCACAGACTGCTCAGGAACCTGCACACACTTTCTTAATCTGTCGAGTTCCGATGATTCTGGACGTGCCGGGTACTTCAAGGATTGCTGAAACAGTGGGTCATTGGCACCAAAGACCGCTTGGAGAAGAGTACTTTGCAGCTTCTCTTTGATTCCGAGGATGAATTCACCATTGAGAGCTTGCTTCTGAGATGGCGATGAGGGCAACGATGGCACAGTATCTAAGAAAGCGAGGACCCTTTCTAAAAGCCAGACTAGATGCTTCGCCTCGAGCTGTGCTGAATGAAGGGATACTTCACTCATGTCTGCCTCAATTAGACCTTCCGGAAGGGGAAGCTTGGCGGTGTTGACTTTCAGGTCAGGGTGTAAGCGTAGGTCTCGGAAGACAAACAGACATAATAGTTTTCCCACGCGACTGAGTAATATAAACAGAAAGCCTTCTAAAAGGTCTCTGTGCTCTGCAGACGAAGGATCTAGTGAAAGAGCCATTGTGCTAAGCAAGCGAGTGATGTGCATCGAGACATCATCCCCCGTCGTCGATAGATGAGCTTCAACAGGACGACTCATCTTTGAATGCTTCGACTTAGCCGATTGCTTTGTCCTTTGATATTTCGTGCCTGCCTTTGAAGTGGCAGTAGACTTGTTAGTTCTGGCTTTACAGTGTTTCTGTAAAACCACCATGGTGTCGTCAAAGAGACGAACAAGATGATATGTGACCTGGCCCAGATCTCGTTTACCTCCTGTACCAGAAAGTTTATTCAACGCCTGGTAGAGGAGCCCAATTGCAATCTCGACACCATGTAAAACTGATGTAAAGTCTGGAATTTCCGTCCGCAGCACTGTCCGTGCTGGCTTCAAGCGACAGGTGGAATCTTTCACTTGATTCTGGTCAACCGCATTTAGCAGTTCTTTTGCAGTAGCTTCACACAAAGCAACTGCAGCCAAGACAATGTTGCTGCAGCTTGGTCTCTTCTGTAGAACCTTCTGGAGGCTGAAGAAATTCCTCATAAACGAAGTAGTTACTGTGGTGACCTGATCAGCAAGGCCCGAAGTGCACACATATAGGCAATGCAGTATCAGCTTACCCCCTTCTAAATCTTCAATCCCGTTGGAGAGATTATCACTCCTCATCTGGGAACTGTTGTTGTGATTAGCACCAGTAGATACCTGAGTTTTTGCTCTCTTGCGGTTGACAGAGCTTTTGCTGGCTGTCTTTCGCTTGCTCGATAGCGGGCCCAGCTCTTCCTCTAGAGAAGCAGCTGCATCGCGGGGTTTGATTTTGGTAGCAAGAGCTGCATTCCGTTGTTCCAGTTCATAGATCCGGTCAAGAAGCTTGCTTTGCTCTGCTTCTGACTTCTCATACGCCTGCTGCCAGAAGGAGACGCTGTCAAAAAACTTGTCTTGGGATGTAGCTCGACAGAAGTCCCTTGTGGTTTTTATGTACTGGCGAATCTGTGGGAGATATTCTACAACAGAAAGCTCTGGTTAACGGTGAATTCAAGGGGCTCCGGCTTTGTACTCAGCTCATGGTCTATCCTAACCCTTGAGATCGATTTCGGTAGGCTTCTGCTTGACGATAGCCAATGCAAGAGCTATCTGGGGCTGTGACGGAGGAGTGACCTGGTCGAGAGCCAGGGCTCCTTGAGAGAAAGCCATGGGAGATGGAATTTATCAGACATGTAAGAAGAGCTGGTGGTATAGCATCGAGGAATAAGGCAAAACACCGCGAAAAGTCTAGCTCAAATCGACAGCCACGTGAGCTCCTCTTGATCTCTCAATGAGTCAATATCATCGAGAACGATGTCCATCATTTACTCCTGCGTGGCTTGGTCCTTTTTATCCCTTGGCTGATCTAGACATTGCTGAATATATATTTACGGTGACGGCGAGCACAGCTTCATTCCTGCATTTTAAAAAACTTGGGTTCATCCACAGAGAAACGGACATATTCCACAGGTCAGATAATAAGGAGAATGAATTAGAGGTATATTCCCTTCGAGCTTCAACAACTTTTCTTTTCCCTGACGTCGTCGATCCGGTTAATTTGATAAGTTGTTCTGAAGGCAGGTGAACTCCGCGCCACCGCTGATTAACAGAGCAGATGGATCTACTACTTTTCTCCGATAAACGACCAAACACTCACCAGTGCTGAGCTTCGTTCTCAACATAGGGGGACTCCTGGACATTCCACTCATTGCTGACATGACATCAAGCCCTGGATAGAGGGGAATTTATCAACTCCTGCGATTCTTACACAGTTTTGCGCGAATCAGAGCAACTATCGCCCCCCAAAACAGATTCAACAACAATCCTCTTGACGGACAAACTTAAGCTAGACTTTCTACAACCATACGCATAAGGGCTCGAATTTCCGAGTACTCCTATCCTTTTCTCTTTCGCAATCATGGCACCATCAGACGATCTGAAGGCGCACGCCGCCTCAAACCAAGATTTCTACACCCTCCTCAACATCTCTCCTGCGGCCTCAGACGCGGAAATCCGACGCGCCTACAGACGTACAGCCTTGAAATACCATCCGGACAAGATCGCGAACCCCACACAGGCAGATATTGACAAGTTTCACCTGCTGCAGATCGCAAACGACGTTCTTTCAGATCCGGCGGTGCGGCAGCTCTACGATAATGCGCGGGAAGCGGGACAGCGCAAGCAGCGGGAGGTGGAGATGATGGATGCAGCTAGGAGGAAAATGAGGGAAGATCTGGAGGCGAGGGAAAGGGCTGGTGCTGCAGGGGTTCAAAGGGGCGTGAAAAGGACGTGGACGACAGCTACTGCACCGGGTATGGGTACCGGTTTTGGTGGCGACAATGACGCCGAAGAGAAATTGCAAAGAGAGATTGAACGGATTGCCGAAGATGGAAGACGGAGGAGACGAGAAGCTGAGGAACGATTGAGACGTGAAATGGAAGAGGAGGAGAGGATCCTACACCAGGAAGAGGAGGAGAAGCGGAGAGCCGCAGATAAAAGCAGCCATCGGGTAGATCGGTCGCAGGAGGGCGGCGGAGAGAATATTGCTATGCTCGAACGATCTGTGAAAGTGCGCTGGGTCAAGGACGGCCGTGGATTGGAGCTGGACAAGGATCGTCTGGTCGGTCTTTTTGCTCCTTTCGGCAAGATCGAAAACGCGTTCACACTGAAGGACAAGAAGCAACGAATTGGAGATCGCCGTGAAAAGAAACTGATCGGAACTGGCATTATTGTCTACTCATCTATCGTCAGCGCCCATACAGCAGTCCTCGACAGCGAAAAAAAGAAACGCCAGAAGGGTGCCGAACTCGACGACTGGGCCCTCATCGAATCAGTCTCCTGGGCTTCGGGCAGCCCTCCTGACTTGGGATTGCAAGCGGCTGACCATTCCGCTGCTTCTCATATTCCTTCTGCTACTAACCCCCCCTCTTCGACTCCATCAAAACCCACAACTACTGCCCCTAATAAGGCTTCCTTCAACTTCCCCGGTATCAAAACATCTACCCTCGATGGCGCCGGTAGTAAGCCAAATGGAAAAGCTCCTTCGTTTGCTTCCTTCTCTCCAGCAGCGGCAGCGGCAAATTCCGCAAAGACCTCATCCTCAGCTGAAGGGTCAACGGGGAGGGCCACGCCAAGTCTCGAAGAACTAACTTTGATGCGACTGAAAAGTGCTCAACGTGATAAGGAGCGGAGGGCTCTTGCAGAGCAACTTATGAAGGAAGATGAAGCTGCAGATGCTGCGGAAGCTGCTGCAGCCGCTGCCAAAGCTACATAGCCATCTGTCTTCGGCGCTCCTGGATGGTACTGATTCAAGTCTAGGGCGGACGGAGCTTTCTAAACTGGAACACGTCTTCCCCTAATATATTTGCTGGATGTTGTTGCAATAAGAAAAAGAAGAGATACCCTTACGCCGTTTACGATCCAATTATTCTGGTTGCCTCATTTGTACAGATCCATTGATATATACCGAAACATGATATTTATATCAATAAGAATATGACCTCCCGTTGTTATTCATTCCGCGACTGTGCTACCTCTCCCTCCAACTGTCCCAGAAAATCCTTTATTCTTTGGTCCTCTCTATTATCTGCCACAGAAGCACTTTTCCTTACTCCTCCGAAAAGGATATATTCCTTCAACCAAGGAGGTAGAATGGCTTTCACCTTCACTTCCGCGGCCGATTCTCCCTCCACGGCATCCAATGATAGTTTAAACTCATGTTCAGGGTTATACTGGGTTCCGTCACCGGTGAGGTTGATATCAGTCATCATCTCCAGTCGGCAATTTGCAAGACCAATATTTCCAATCCCACCCAGGAACTTCCCAGCGCTTCGACCTTTCCTCCCGCCAACCCGAGAGATGTTTGATCCACTAGGCGGAACCGGGAGAGTTGAAGAAGACGGATTGTACACGGGCATGTCAGTAGTTGCAGCAACGTCTTGTGCGTCATTATAAAGCTGTACCGGAAGAATCCTCTTCCTCACAACACCAGTATGGTGGGTTCGAATTGTAAGCTCCTGCCCTACATAGCAGCCCTTTCGGAAGTCGACACCCCGCATCATATCTAGGTTACATTCGAGAGGAAGGGCAGATTCACGAACAATCTCCCTTTGCCCTTCAGCTATACCGTGCAGCATTCTTCGAATGGTATAGGTATCAAGCTCAACTTCGCTGCCCGCGATCTGCGCTTCGTCAGGAAGATGAGCTCGTAGATCCTCAGAGCCAGGCGTGATAAGCCGCGACCCGAAACCTGGCGCCCTCGTATCAATACAGCCAGTGATCGATGCGGATGGGGAGAAAGACGACGTCGACCCTGATCCCAAGTTATATGCCGCCCATTTCGGCTCTGAATGGTCATTCCACGAGGACCAAACGGTACGTTCTCCATCGTCCAGAGCGCGGAGTTTCAGCTTCGCGCGGAGTTTGTGTCTTTTGAGATGCTTCAGGAGGCTTGTCACTTCGGTTTTGTCCACTTCAATTATCCAACCCGGGTCATCTGATGTAGTGTTATTGCCGTCGGACTTGGGGAACGGATAGATGAATGCGTCGTTCAATACTCGGCCTTGAGAATTCAGGAATGCAGTGTAAGACCCTGTTCGGCGTACGGCACGATTTTGATCATTGGTGACGAGCATATTCTGCGTAATCAGACCCTGGAGAAATGTTATACTGTCAACCCCAGTGACGGATATAAGAGCGCGATTTGTGAGTCGAGCATAGCCGGACCGCGGCGGGGACGGAGGTAGGGCATTTCGCTTCTGTTGTTCATACGAATATGATGTGGTTGAGAAAAGCCGGCAGCGGTTTAAGCAGCGGGTGCATATTGTTCGAGCTGGTGTTCCTGGACGCATATTGTATAGAAAGCTGTCTGTCATGAATGCGCGCAAAACCTTGCTTCCAAACTTGATGCCGAAGCTATTTCAGCAGCAGGCGGTATGCCACGGCAAAATACTACCTATGATATAATCTCCGAGGTTCTTCAATCCGGAGTATAGAATTCAATTTAGAATTAAGTATTTGGTTCAAATGCACAATTCATTTGCTATGTACTGGATCTAGATAGATTCCACCCTTCAGACGCCAATTGACCCTAATAGTGATCCTCACTATCGTTGACAATGTTCAGCTCACTTCTTTCCTTTAGCCACACCTTCTAAGAAGCCAAGCAAGAAGGCTTTGTTGACCGGTGACTCAACTTCATTGGCAGTAGAGCTTTGAGCACCACTGTCAGAGGATGTCCCAGACCTGGACAGGGTATTGTTGTTGCCGGGGAGATTAAGAGGGGATTGTGGTGTGGTACGCCTGAGGGCCTCTGGTGTCCCCGCAGTCGAAGGGCGAGAGACCAATTGCTTTGGGGGCAAGCCATTAGGAGAAGTAGGTGCTTTTCCAAATAAGGACAGTAACAGATCCTTTTGCGAAGCCGACTGGCTTGGCTGAAGCTCAGAGTCTATTTGAGGTTGATTCTTCTGGAATGCATAGACAGCTTCGCCCGTTTGGTCCTCCGAGAGGGACACGGTTCTTATTTGGGGGGGAACCTCCGACTCTGGCTTTTCACCACGACGCAGTATCTGTGGTTGGAAGGGCTTTAGTGGCACAGGAGCGTCGCTCTTTCGAGAATGTTGAGGGGTTCGGGAGCGTTGTGCAACTGGATTTGGAGATTCCCTTCCTGCGCCCCTGGTTGGCCTTGATAATATCGTAACCGGCGAAGGAATATCAGCTGATTGTCGTGATTTGTTACTTTGGCGCTTTGTCCCATTTGCCGCTCTCTTAGCTGATGGCTTTGCAACGTTTTCAAAATCCGATAGTGGTCCGGACACAGTGGCCGACTTCCGGCGCTCGTGGGTTGGTAGGTTGCCGGCATTGACAGCGCGCTGCCTCGAAGAATTACTATCGTTTCGGGGCCGTCTAAGTATTTGCTTCGCAGCAGGGGAAACAGGTCGGGCCGCGAGTTCCACCGGTTCTCGAGTAGAGATGGAAGGACTGCCTTTCAGCAAGCTCAGTAAATAATCTTGGTGTTGCGAAGGTTTTCGAGGTTGCGTTGTATCCTTTGGGTCAGGAACAGCTGGAGGATTAGGAGTCTTCTCTGTTTTGATGGCCTCGCCTTTGAAAACATTTAGAAGTGCTAACGAGTGACTTGAAAGCTTAGGTGGCGGCAGCTGGCTAGCCGCAGGTACCGTTGTGCCTTGGGTCTGAGGGTACTGGGCCTGCTGTGAAAACTGGGGGTCACCTGTCTGCTGGTAGGGCGCAGGCACCTGTTTTCGAGACAGCGGAAACTCGTAGGGTTGCGATCCCGATTGCCGATCCTGATAGCTCTGCGCAGATAGTTGCTGTGAAGGGAAATATGGAACTACCTGCTGATAGTTTGAGAGGGACAAGGGTGAGAAGTCCCGGCCCAACGGGCGCGAGTTCGAACCTTGAGACAGGGGAGGAAGAGAAGCAGGGGTTGGTACGTGGTGCATAAAGGCATGCTGTAAGGGGGGGGCCGGGGTTGGTTGACTGCGTCCCGGAAAGCCGTCTTGGGCAATATGACTAGCTTGTCCAGTATACTGGCTTTGCTGTGAGAATCCAGGGAAGAGGTTTGACGGCGGGTAGGAATGCTGCGGCCCGGGAATAACAGATGGGAGTGAAAGTGGCATCGCGGGATTTTGCGCTTGAGCAGGAACCTTGTGAGAACCGCCTTGCAGCAGAGCAAGGAGAGCATTGGATTTCGACACATTAGACACAGAGGTTGGCTCGAGTTGGGTGAACTGCTTCCGCGCAGCTGCTCCGTCAATGTTCAGAAGGCGTTTGAGATGGGATGAAACATCGGACGAAGACTGGCTTGGAAGAGCCATTTCCGTGGGGACCTGTCCAGGAGTATGACCACCATTGGCGGCGTAATTGGCCTCGTCCACCGATGTCTCCCCTTCCGTCTGAAGAAATTGCTTGGAATCTACTTGCGCTCTTGCATCGATCTTTCTTTGCTGTGCGATCCATTTCTTTAGCGGATTCATGAATGGCGCAACCATGTAGAATTTGTTAGCATTGGCAACAGCAAAGCCCTGATCATATTGTTTACTCTTCTTCATCAGCGTCGGCAGCTCCGACAGTTTATACCACTCGATCCTGCTAATCTCTTTTCTTGTGCGAGGTTCGAAGTGAGCATCCCGCGGCACCCCGCGGAAGACGTACAGCTTCATATGCTGTTCTCGCATGGTTACCTCGATGGACTTCACGCCGTTCTCATCCTTGACAAGTCCTGCTGCTCTAATATCAAAACCCGTTTCCTCGTATACTTCTCGGATAGCACAATCGAGATCCTTCTCATCCTTGTTAATCTTGCCTCTGGGAAAGCTCCAATTGGCACCTTTCTTCCAGCCTTTCACCAAAACCACCTCTTCCATGTCCTGAGACAGCATGATGGCACCACGCACCGGGACGCGGGTTTTATAGGCTAAGAACTCAGAAAAGGCGGTAATATGATGGTAGTGGGACCATTGTGACATGAGCGGACAGTGCTGGAAAATGCGCAAGGCGAATGCCTTGAGAGAAAGGGACGGAAGGGCCGGGTCTAAAGGCCGAATGAAGTCTTCATAAAACCATTGCGCTTCCTCAACTTGAAAGCAAATCCGTTCGACAGACTCAAGCTCTTCACGGGGAAGATTTATGATGAACCGAACACAGAGGTCATCTAGCCCTGTTGAACCGACGCGGTTAGTATGCTCTCTGTAGGAATGACACATGGCACATGGCAGATCTCACAATCTTCCAACTGCATCTTTAATTCTGGTATGCTGTCTAGCTGGTTCGGGCATCTCAACACGGTTTCTGAGAGGGTGAAAAGCTCCCCGAGACCAACAACGTGGAATCGCAGGGGTGCTAACTCTGGGCGTCAATCCAGAAAAGGAACAGTACCCAACTGGCGATAAGAACTGCGAGCCGCAGCCGAAGTGGCGCGAAGGCCGGTATTCTCGGGAAGTAGCCTATAACTGTTGGATGCAATGTGGAGCAAGTAACGCGAAGAACAAAGCCCGATGGGAGGAGAAGACTGAAAGCAGAGGGAGTGTTAGGGTGGAGAGAGGAAGCAGAGAAAGACGAGGTCGAAGACAACAAAGACACAAGCCGCAGGTGTGGCGAAGGTGACCTCGGAACTTACCCAAATCAGGAACCGCAGCGCCACAAGCATGGCTGGTGAGCTGACTGTCACGGGCTGTCGAGGAAAATGACCAGCCGAAGCAGGCAGCCTCTGCAGGGATTCTCGCATTCAAAACACGAGCACGATCGTCCCGTCTTCAGCTGTCCAACAATGGATGGGTCCAGCTGCAACCGTGGCACGGTCGAAACTATCTGATGTGTGGTTTGGGCCAGCGTAACAAAGCTGCCTGTACGTCATGGGCCTGTTTTCGATAATAATTGTCATGGATCCCCCCTGATAGTAATGTTTTTGTTTCTCTGCCTATGCTATCCTCTACAAATTCAATCCCTATTTTCCTTGCTTATATTGCTCCATATATCCAGTATCCTTATTTTTATGCTTATTCCTGTTCGTATCACTTAACCGTAAAGAAACATGTCAGGTTGGCTCACAGGATTGGTGGGCAAGAAGATTTTGGCAGAGACTGGCAATAATAGATTTGGGCAAGAGGTGAGTCTGATGCGAAGCTTCTACCGCCATTGCAGGGTGATATTCGCTCTGGTATGTCTTCAAACCTTGCTAACGCGATGCCTACTACCGTAGGATCCCTATTTCGAGGAAGTCCCCGCTTCGCGTCTGTATCGCGCATTCGGTAAAAAGACCAAAAAACAACAGAAAGCCGTCCCGCCTGGGTTGTCGGACAATGATGCCAAAGTCCTCACCAAGGTCAAACGGAGGGCATACAGGCTGGACTACAGCCTTTTCAATTTGTGCGGAATAAGATTCGGCTGGGGTAGTGTGATTGCCTTGATACCTTTGTAAGTGGCGGTGCCGAGTCGAATACTTCGCGAAACTGACGGCGCGTTACAATCCTTCCAGTATCGGGGATGGTGCTGATACATTGCTTGCATTGCTCGTTCTTGGAACTTGTGAGGAGATTGATGGTGGCCTCCCACCCTCGCTCCGATTTAGGATGGCTCTGAATATCGCCATTGACTTCCTCATCGGCCTTGTCCCATTTGTAGGAGACCTTGCAGATGCTATATACAAATGCAACACGAGAAATGCTATCCTTCTTGAGGAGCATCTGCGACAGAAGGGAGCTAAGGCACTTGCGGGCCGAGGTACCGAGCAAGGACAGATAATTGATATGAGCCTCGGAGAGGAATTCGACAGGAACGACAGGCATGACAGGCAAGAACTCGGAATTATAGATAATTCACCTGTAGGCCACAGGAAACAGGCATCACCTGGAAACAGAAGGTCTTAGACGGTAGAAGTGATGTTTGAGATCCATCGAGACCGGAAGCCGCAGTGCGTCCACAGAAAAAGCCGCGAGGGGCTGGTTTGGATCTGGATATTGAGTGGAAGATGCAAGACATGGACGCCGGTAGAGTGCCATAAATATCAACTTCCCATATATATCTCGTATGTAGGTTTTTTTTTTTTTTTTTGGAGGGAAGGGGATATCTTGAGTGTTTTCGAGATTTCTTGGTTTCCCATGTTTGCTTTATTACTATTCGAGGAGATGCGTATTAATTTTATACCATGTTGAAACTCGGCTCTCGGTCAGTTAACTGGTTCCGATCGGGATCTCGCGCAACCGTAACAGAACTGGGAGAACTGGCCATCTCTCAGAGTATCGGCGTCTAGAGGACTACTAGATTCCTCATCAAGTTTCCCGGTAAAGGTCCCACAAAACGGGCAATAGGGATCGGTAGATACTGGAGCTGAATCGAGCTTGGTGACCATTCTCGTCACGTTTGCCATTACGCCAGGATATTTCTCGCCTTGAGTGTCGACGTAACGTGTCATCAACTCATCAATAGATAAGTTCCTTGTCAGAATGTTATCCGACAGCGGTATGTCGGGTATAATGATATTCTTCAGTTCCGGGACGAGCTTGGCATAGTCCTGCAGCTCAGCCCTGAACAAGTCTCGCAGAGGAAACAGGAATTCCACACCCCAAGGAGACATCCCATCAGACACCTGCCATGTCAAAGAACGACCGCGGCCCTTGGCGACATTAGCAAGGGTCTTAGCTGCGAGACGACTGTCGGAGTCCCCCCATATCACAGCACGACAGCTAAGTTTCTTTGCAAACGCAGTGATAAGTCTGGCCATTAATATGTTATCGACATCCGTCTTAGAAGTAGCTGTCGACATCGACGCCCGAAACGCATGTAGGCGTTCTCTATCAGACGAAGAAGGATCATCCACGAGATGCGGACCGGCAAATTCTAACATAGCTTTCCGGATTTCAGGATCGTACTCGAAAATACTATGGAATGGAACCTGCGTATATGAATGCCTAGGGAAAGCCTTCTGGACCAGTTCAAACTTTTCCGCGGAAGACGAAGCTGACGGCAAAATAGTAGAAGGCTCAATAACAAGCACATGAAGTTCGTAGGCCGCGCGACCGTGGGCTTTAGAGAGCTGGCGCTTGAGATGCGCATCGAGCACACGCAACAAAACAGATGAAGAGATGCCATAGGAGAGGGGAAGAAGTAGCCTGTGAGGCGTATCGCTGCCTTGACGGCGATACTTGTCCATCACACGCCTTTCAACCTTCCCTTGGACATATCGACAGAAACAGTCCCTATGCCTTCGTTAGTGACTGGTCAAGCTGGCTGCTTTCTCTCTTCACAGACAAACATACCCACATAAACAGCGTCGATTTCGCACTGCCAAAACAGATTCTGCATCACCGCAGTCCGCGCAGGGGCTGACAAGCTGTGTTCCGGGCATATTTGTCCGATGAGATGTGTTGGAGAAGAGTCGTTTTCTTGATTATAACTTTTTTTCCTGTTTGAAGAAATGCCGCAATGAGCCACAAGGCAGAACGATGGTCTGTGCGGCTTAGCGCTGCCGCCCGTGGAAGAAGCCACAACTGCCCCGGCCTTGACATCTTGTTCACATACCTGGCGTCTGCTACCAGCTATCCATGAGTTCTTGCAAAGCGGCCCAATCTCGCTTTTTGCAGTATTCCAGTTATATTCTTATGCCCCAGGGTCGTGTGTGATCCTTCTCTCTCCCGGGAAGCCCGGAAATCTCCAAGCTAAGCACCACGTACCTTGCGATGAAGGGCTGGCTCCAGACACTGTGTCTATCAGCTCTGCTGGTAGGACGCGCACTTGCGAACGAAGTTGAATTGGTTGGTCTATGTTGAAATGGTACTGTTATTATTCCAGCGTTCGTTGCTAATATCTTGTTCTTCAGAAACAGGATGACGCTCATCGTCAACGATGTTCGGGGATGTACAGTCGGAAGGCATGGGCAGGGAAGGTCGACCCATTCATCTTGGTCAGATTTTCTCAAGAGACAGTAACCGGAGATGATGATCCTCTTGCCAGTCTCATTATATTTGAGTGGGAAGATGAACCTCTGATCGGTATACCCCGGTCGGATGATCCAGAGGTACATAGATGCTAACTGTCTCCTTTTCCTGTTTCCAAACGGTTAAATCAGATCTACTTCTTGCTAACATATGGACATCTCAGATCAAGGATACCATTTGCGATGACGCGAGCATTGAGCAGAAACTGTGCACAGAAGAGCAGCTGGGGTCATTCATCCTTGTTCCGAACGCAACCGAGCGAGCCCTAAATCCCATTATATCGGATACGATACACCTGAAGGACCCAGTCAATATCGATTATCCAATAAAGAAAACCGGGTTTTACTGCGTGAGCACTTTTGCCTTTTCTGGTCATGATTATCAAGCCATCGTCGAGTTTCGAAATGCGTATGGTGAACTTCCGGCCGCACAGATAGCAAAATTGCCATTTTATGGAGGTCTGACGATAGTTTACGCGGTGATCGGATTGTATGCGCCTTTCTTTTTCGCTCCGGAATATCTTAGACACTTGTTTAACATGCATGCAGGTTCTGGGCATTCCTATACGTGCAGAATCGTCACGACATCTGTAAGATGAGCTCTCTATCATCTTTTTCAATCGCTAATAATTTGCAGTGCCGGTTCAGAATTATATAACTGCGATTCTTGTCTTCCTAATAGTGGAGCAATTGATGACATGGGGCTTTTATGGTAAGCCAGAGAATACTGCGCCGGTTTGTCTCCATGGCTAATATTGCTTGTAGATTACCAAAACCGCCACGGTTTGAATGCCGGCGCCAAGGTTCTTATGGTCATTGATGCAGTTCTAAATGCGGGACGCAACTCGTTCTCCTTTTTTCTTCTTCTCATCGTCTGCATGGGTTACGGTGTTGTCAAGCCGTCTCTAGGCCGGACGATGATCTACGTCCGCATTCTCGCCATTGCACATTTCGTTTTCGGTGTGATTTATGCGGTCGCGAGTTTGTCAATTACTCCAGACACTGCCGGGCCTCTAGTTCTGCTGATTGTCCTCCCGCTTGCTGGTACCTTGACAGCCTTCTACGTGTGGACCCTGAATTCGCTGAACATGACGATGAAAGATCTCATCGACAGGAAGCAAAAGGTAAAGGCCATGATGTACAAGAAGTTGTGGTGGTGCATTTTGGGCAGTATCATTGTGATATTCGGCTTTTTCTTCATTAACTCGTTCGCTTTTGCTGGTCGCGGCGACATCAATTTTGCACCGGATCACTGGAAGACTCGGTGGTTTGTTCTGGATGGCTGGCTCAATCTTGTGTATTTGTTCGACATTTCTTTTGTGGCCTATTTGTGGAGACCAACAGCCAACAACAGACGATTCGCGATGAGTGAAGAGGTATGTGAACTTTCAGCGAGCACGAAATACTCGAACAAGGCTTTGCTGACGCTAGTGCAGATTGCGCAAGACGATGATGGCTTTGAGATACGCTCGTTTGGCACATCTCTTGACGAAGAACGGGGTGGTGAAGGCAATGCTGGTAATGAAGCTGGTCGTGATTTGTCACCGGTGCCTCCCAAACCCGTTCCCTCCGCGCCGCGCCAGCGAGACTCCCTCGATGGAGAGACAATCTTTGCCGTTGGTGAAGATGGGGACAAGTGGTCCGATGATGAAGAAGAGTCTCCACGCAACTCCGGTGAGAGGAAAAGACTCACTGGCAAGGACGATTGATTAATGGGTGATGTTTTGACGGGATAACCGCGCGAGAGCGATTGACACTTGAAGTGATATGTCTTTGTACTCATATTCGGGAACCAAAGGGCCTGTTCTGCTTGGGTTGGTGTTTATTTGTTTATGGCAAGGGATACGTACATCTTCACGTAATTGGCACTCAAAACTGTTTTGAGCTGCACCTGTGGCACAAAATGTAAAGAACAGCTATCATAACTATATGCGAATAAATAACGTATGGAGTATTCCATTTAAAATATGTACGCCGCGTTCTCTGAAAGCGAAGTGGATGCAGCTGAACTGCTAACCGTTACCGTAGGGGTCGGTTAGTTAGTGAGTCGCAAGGTCTACCTACTTATGACTAAGTAATGATAACGTTAGTTAACTATTAGACATAGTTAACTAATGGAGATTCCCTTCCCAAAATACCAGCACTCCTAAACATAGAGAACCGATCAAAACTGGTACCACAATAATAAATACCAGCAACAATAATGATCTCCAGCGCTGCCGCAGACGGCGAAGAAAAAACATTACCCAACGATAACCTCGACACGACCAACACTGCTGAAACGAGCCTTGTCCTGTCTACCGAACTCCTCCAAAAATGCCGCCATCTCCTCGAAGAACTAGACACGTTCCAATCACTCCTGCACAAGAAATTGCGAAATCCACAAGTTGTTGAAGCCAGACAGCTACGATCGAATGTTGCCTCCGAGTTACGCGCGCTGGAGAAACTGAATAGACAGGCTGAGGACGCCGTCAAGTCCGCATCTACATCCACATCCACAACAGCAACAACAGCTGCTGCTGGACCTGCTCCGGATCAAGATTTAGCTGAATCACGACTGATTCATGCATTACGATCATCGAATTTACCCTTCTACGAGGCTGTGTGGGCAGTTGCTAAACGGTCATGTACCGGGTTAGTCGCTTTTGGGAAGAGGTTCTACTGGGATGATGAGGACGGTAGTGGCGGTGTTACAGATGATGGCGTGAAGGGTAAAAGCAAGCCGAGCAAGGATAAACGGAAGAGTGTCTTTGTGGATATCATTGCCGATGATGGGGAGGAGTGGGTGAAGGTGTCCACGATTTCGGAGTCTCGGCTACTGTTTGAGATGGCGGAGAAGGGGTGGGAGATGGATGATAGTGATCTATCGAGTGGTGACGAAGATGGGCAGGAGAGGACCATTCTGCGCAACGATTGGAACAGTGAAGAACAGGACGATGAAAATGAAATCGAACTGATTAAATTGGCAAGGGATGCGAAAAAGGCTGCTTCTGCCACGCGGGTGAGATATAGACATCCGCGAGTGCGGTTTGTTCTACCAAAGATCGAGGAAGGCAAGTTTGGGGATATTGACAGTGTCCTAAGTGAGATACGGTCCCATGGCATAACAGTTGAATGCAGAGAAAGTGAGAAGGATACGAGTACAGTGCCTAAACTGCTGGTCTCTAAAGATGAGCCGGCCTTGTCACATCTCCTTCCCCATCCCTTTATACGTTTCACCTCCACTCTGAATGTTGACTGTACGCTGTTGCTTGCCCTGGTATCGGATCTCTCACATTCTCAAAGCATATCGCCATTGCCAACCCACCATAAAGCCATTGTAAGGCAAATTGAGATCGAAAGGGAGCAGCCTTTACTGCCCGCAGAGCTCTGGCCAGCCATGAGTGGGCACGACCTAGTCTGTACAGAGGAAGCAGCAAAGCGGATGTGTGAGATTGTGAGCATCATCGGTACGGATACGGAGAAAATGCGGACTCGGATATTGATGGGTGATTCTCCGTTCGAGAGTGAAACCAGAGAAGCTACCCTTGAAAGATTTCAAGAGCTTTCAGATTATCAGGTACCTGCACAATGGAGAATCCCCATCACCGTTGTTGACGCCAAGACGATTATCGACACGGCGAGGAAGCACGCTAAGCTTCCTTCCGTGGTTCAAAACGCAGCCGAGATTCTCTCCGATATTAACTACAGCGTGTTCTTATATGGATGGATCACAGGGTTGACGACCATTACCAGCAATCGCACTGTTGCTAAGCAGATTGAGGCCACAGTTGAAAGTCATAGAAATGGCGATGACAGCCTGGAGGGACCACCGGTCTGGGTGTGCGATACGGCCAGAAGTCTAATAGGGAAAGAAAAGGATCGGAAATAGGAACCGCAGGTGTGATGCCTCGAACGGCATGATAGTTGGAGCATCCCTAGTAGAATTTCTTAGCAACAATTCGACAATGAATGCCCCGAATTAGCATGCCCCAGAATAGGCTGAGAACCCACCAGCATATGCGTTCACTTTTCTTCCGCCGGTTTGGAATTGTCTTCGGGCAGCCAGAAGAGAATGTCTCTATCAGCGGTAGCGAGCATGTTGTATCTCGGATTGCACTCAACTATGGCAGTTCGGCCGCGGCTAGACAATCTGGTCATAGGATGCAGGAAGGAGCTTGGATCTGGTGCTTGATGCGTATCCCAAACAAGGATATCCGGCTTGTCTCCCGAGCCCCCAATGACATATCTCCCATCTTGTGTGAAGCATGCATCGCCTTGACCGAGGGGCTTCCCAGTGGTCGAGACCGGGGCAGCTCTACCAGGTGATCCGTTCTTGCCAACCAGGAAGGCCTTGAGTCTGCCATCAAAGGCATCCAAGATGAAATGTCCATGGTAGTCTGTACCAACAAGCAAATGCTTCCCATCATTCGAGAACTCAAGACGAGTCCAAGCTCTGCCACGTGTGGTAGGGGTGTACACTTCCTCGTACTGTGCGAGATCGAAGGTAGAGAATGGGGACCTGTCGTAATTCCGAACGTCATAAAGGATTACAGATGAGGTTGACTGCGACGCGATTGCGATCACCGAGGCCGAAGGATCGAATGCAGTAAGATATGGCGTTGAAAGCTTTAGCTTCCCCTGCGCATTTCTCGAATTGAGGTCCCAGAGAGTCACTGTGTCGTCCTTGGAGCACGAGATGAACGAGTCGCTACCGGGAGAAAGCGCTAAGCATGTCACCTTGTCTGTGTGGCCGGAGAAATACCGCACGTAGCTCTCATTATGTAGGTCGAGAAGCCGCAGTGAATCTGTTCAATGTATAAGCTCGAATGACCAGAGGCATTTCAACCGATTGATCACGTACCATCAACCTTGGTGCTGGCGTGAAGTATCTGACGGGAATGGTGGGTAAACCTGGCCAAATGGACTCCATACTTCTTGCTCGGAACAGATTTGGTAGATTTCCCCTCCTTAATATCGAAGACTTGAATTGTCTCATCCTCTCCAGCAGCCACCAAATAGTCACCTTGATCGTCAAAATCCAAAGATGTTACGTGCTGTGAGGCATCGTGCTTGGACGTTCTGAACGCCTAGTATTTACCGAAAGCTTATTAGGAGCAGCCCATAACTGGTGCGAGGATATACCAGCACGAACCTTTGTGGGACGATAATTACGAATGACATCTGACACTTTCTGTGTGCTCTGAAGAGCCTGCTGCTGTTGCTGTTGCTGTTGCTGTGGCTGGGCCTCCGCCATTGCTGCGTGCAGAAATTCGACAACAGGAGGATTTCAGATTCGGTCGGGAAAATCTAGACACGAACCATTGGACGCTGAAGCAAGGATAATAGCAGAAGTACTCTTTGCTTTTTGCTTAGTTGCCCTGTATTCACCCAGTTCCCAGCACAACGGTCTCCAAGCAGCTTGGAGCTTCTACGGTAAATGCTTTTTGTTTGACGCGTTTGACGGCGCGCCCGCATTTAATGTTATTCCGACATAGTTTAGCACTAATCCTAATACGGGATGATCTTGTCGGCATGCCGAAATCGGAGCGGTACAATAGATTGTCCGAGAGATGTGGATGAGCGCCAGTGCCGGAATCGAATCGGAATAATGTGCTATGTGGGGGGCTTCACATTGGCTGTGGAAATGCGGAGGTGCATCGGTGAGCATTGTCAGCTCGCTGACCAGAAAATAAGCATTTCCTTTGCAAGTCAGATCTTGCTTCTTTCAGATTACGCTTCTCTCTTCTCCTTGATGCTTTTATTTCTTCTTTTCTCTCTTGGTTTTATTCGTGCTTGTTGTTCAATTGAGGTCTCGTTTTGTTCCCATTCCCTGCGTCGAACCGAGGTCAATTTTCTTTCCCCTCTTCACAGTTGCATTTGAAACAACATGTCTACAACGACGGGGTGCGTTGGTATCAGCAAGTCCAGTGAAGGGAGATGTTAGAATCACGCTAAATCGGTGGTCTTTCTTTGCAGAGCATTCATAGCTGGAGGTATAGCAGCATGTGGTGCTGTCACAGTCACCCACAGCTTCGAAACAGTGAAGATCAGGTATGGTCTCGCAGAGCCAATTGTACGCCTGAGCAGCACTGATGGTTGGACATGTAGGCTGCAGCTACAAGGAGAATTACAATCGAAAGCCGAGGCAACCAAGAAGTATCGGGGAGTCTTTCACGGCATTAAGGTTATTCTGCAGAATGAGGGCCCGGGCGGCTTATTCAGAGGGCTGAATTGCGCTGTACGTACTTTGTGTCGACAATCTGGCCAAGGGGTGTTTTAGAGTTGACTTTGGTTATTTGACTGCAATAGTATGTCTATCAAATCTTGTTGAACGGCTGCCGCCTCGGCTTCTACGAACCATTACGCCAGAACCTTACCTCCACCATCTACAAAGACCCAAGTGTTCAGTCCCTTGGAATCAACGTTTTCTCCGGTGCTGCGTCCGGCATTGCGGGAGCAGCTGCTGGCTCTCCCTTTTTCTTAGTGAAAACCCGGCTCCAGTCCTACTCTCCTTTTCTTCCTGTCGGCACTCAACACAAATACCGCAATGCAGCTGACGGATTACGGACGATTTACCGTAATGAAGGTGTGCGAGGCTTATATCGAGGTGTGGAGGCGGCCATGGTTCGCACTGGCTTTGGTAGCTCTGTTCAATTACCGACATACTTCTTTGCAAAACGACGCCTAGTTAGGCATCTCGGTATGAAAGAAGGCCCGGCCCTGCATTTAGCCAGTAGCACGGTGTCTGGATTTGTCGTCTGCTGCGTCATGCATCCTCCAGACACTATTATGGCAAGGATGTATAACCAGACTGGCAACCTGTATAAGGGTGTTTTTGACTGTCTGTATAAGACTGTCCGTACAGAGGGCTTCCTCGCTATCTATAAGGGCTACTTTGCGCACCTGGCCCGTATCCTGCCTCACACTGTAAGTGGAACCTGCCAACGCATGTCATTAGACAGACGGTTGTTAACATCTTACTTAGATTTTGACGCTCAGCTTGGCGGAGCAAACCAACAAGTTAATGCGTAAAGTAGAGGGCCGGTTACTCTCCGATTCGATTCGAGCGAGGATTTGAACATTGAGCATACGCCGAGCCCCGGATGCTGGTCTCTAATATCTCGGGTTCCGTGTCCCACGTGTGGATAGTGTACAGATTTGCGTATTTTTATTCTGCTTTGTGGGCTTGTCTTCAAGCATTGAAATATCCTTTGGCGAAGGCGTTTTATTACATTTTATGTTTTGTTTAATAAATGGACCTTTTTTTATTTATTTTATTTGTTTCTTCGTCCGGATATACGGTGTAGGACTGTCATCTGTTTAATTGATCGGCACTGTTGCCTCCGTCGGTGAAAGCTCTATTCCAGGGCTGGTATTCGATCTATCAAGCCACCGGAAGACAAGACGATGAATACGATACATATGGAGTCATAGACATGATCTATCATTGCACTTATTACTGCAAATTCCGCATATTAGTTCTCTGTGCTGCCTTTATTTGCTTTCTTGCAGCAATGCCCAGTCCCTTACACGGCCTACGCGTTTCATTCCCCGTACGCGTGCCTTCCTATAGTTAATTGCTAAAAAGGGAACTTAGTAAGGTCTTAGGCACGTCTCACACATGTCTATATCCGTATATCCGATGGCCCACTGCATGGATGTGTCTTTGTAGTGTTTATCACCAGCAATTGGTTAGACAATCATGAGATGGATACATCTACAGGAGTTGCCTACAAGGCAGCCACCTCGGGCAATGGCACCATTCTCACGTACCCAGGCCAACTACGGAGGAGAGTTTAGGGATATCAAGGGGAGTCTTACGAAGGATTGTTCCCTGCAGACTGGGCTTGCAGCTTTTTGTTATTTAAGTTCGAGGAGGAAGGACAATTTCAGATCAGAGTCGAATCAGATAAGATGGAGCGATGTGCATATGTACAACACGTCTTACCGACTTTCAAGAACCGACATTTAAAATTTTACAGCCCACAGCAGAGCTTATCGGGAAAATCTTGAAGCCAGTGGTGCGACGAAGATGACGTAGAACAGGCAGACCGAAGGAAGCGCGCGCAGTGTATGGCGCAGGCAGGAAACAACACGCGCCAGTCCAGCCCAGGGCGTCTGCGGGAAAAGCGCGCTAAATCACGTGCCACGCGACTTAGCCCGTCGCGCTAGCGGATCACGCTTCTCGTCCGATGCAGTATTTCTTCGAGCCCTTCCTCCTTCTCACCTGCAGTGTTTTCTTCTCTTCTCCAGGTTCTCAACACATTATACCAGCCCTTGGAGTGTCTTTTGTCTCTTCATTAACTTTATTTTCCTCAAGACACAATTCAGATGGCTTCTCAGGTTACCCCCTCCAAGCAGGTACGTGATGTCACCGCGCTCGTCTTCACGGGTCGACGCGTCGCTGCACTGTATACACTGACAATACGTCTTCCATAGGCTGCTTCCTCGCTGGAGAACCTCAAGATGAGCGACTCCCCTGTAAAGAAGCTAGACTTCACAGCCGCGGGAAAAGAAAACGTGCCCGTTCCTACCCTCGACGCCACAGGCAATGCTGCTGCCGAGAAGCCTGTTGAAGCCCCCAAGGTTGCTCCGACTATCAAGGCCGCTGAGGCCGATGAGCCTCTGCTTCAGGAGAACCCCCACCGCTTTGTCCTCTTTCCCATCAAGTATCATGAGGTGAGTGGCTTGCTGACCAGCGCGTCACGCGTCACGCGTAAAGTGGTTTTCTGTTGTGCCGGTGCATGTTCCGTGCTGATGTGTTGGTTTTCCGTATCATTCAGATCTGGCAAATGTACAAGAAGGCCGAGGCCTCCTTCTGGACAGCCGAGGAAATCGACTTGTCCAAAGACCTTCACGACTGGCACAATCGCCTGAACGATGATGAGCGCTACTTCATCTCCCACGTCCTTGCTTTCTTCGCCGCTTCCGATGGGATCGTGAATGAGAACCTTGTGGAACGTTTTAGTGGCGAGGTCCAGATTCCGGAAGCGCGTTGCTTCTATGGTTTCCAGATCATGATCGAGAACATCCACTCTGAGACCTACTCTCTTCTCATCGACACCTACATCAAGGAGCCTAAGCAGCGTACTTACCTGTTCGATGCCATTGACACCAGTAGGTACCCAAGCATATAGAAAGGCTTAATGGACAACAAGTTAACTAAGCCATCTTACAGTTCCCTGCATCACGAAGAAGGCTCATTGGGCCATTCGCTGGATCCAGGACCGCGAGTCCACCTTCGCTCAGCGTCTTGTTGCCTTTGCCGCTGTTGAAGGCATCTTCTTCTCTGGATCCTTTGCATCTATCTTCTGGTTGAAGAAGCGTGGCTTGATGCCTGGTCTTACTTTCTCCAACGAGCTGATTTCTCGCGATGAAGGTCTTCACACGGACTTCGCTTGCCTGTTGTTCTCTCATCTCAACAACCGCCCCAGCAAGCAGATTGTGCAGGACATCATCACTGAAGCTGTCGCGATCGAGAAGGAATTCCTGACGGATGCCCTCCCAGTTGCCCTTCTCGGCATGAATTCCAATCTTATGTGCCAGTATATTGAGTTTGTTGCTGATAGACTCCTGGTTGCGCTTGGCAACAGCAAGTACTACAACTCCACCAACCCATTCGACTTCATGGACAACATCTCCCTGGCTGGTAAAACCAACTTCTTCGAGAAGCGCGTTGGTGACTACCAGAAGGCTGGTGTCATGGCCAGCACCAAGAAAGATACCTCTGAGAGCAACGATGGTGGGCTCAGCTTTGACGAGGATTTCTAAGCTGTGAATTCATTTCCAAGCTTCTGTCAGCCTGAGCCGGATGCTACCTGGCCAGCTTGCTTTCTACGTCTTTTTGTTCGATTATTCCCCTCTCGTCCGAGTCAATGAGGTTATGCATAGAAAATGGCGTTTGGTGGATCTTTGCTTTTTGTCTGTCTTCGCTTGTTACCATGGGCTGTCCTACAGGAAGTATGTGGGTCGCGTCAATTCCGTGTTTTAATGTGGTCTGTTATACTAGTTAGAAACAACTTGGATACCTATTTCATGAACTAGTATTGTGCGTCATGCGTGCTGTGGACCATCAGGATATACTAGGTACTATGTATTCTAGATCTGCGGCACAGTGTGTTGCCTCGCTCGTATACCCCATTCATTACTGTAATACGGTACTTCTTCTGAAGCATAGCATTCTTTCTGCATGTGGGCAATGAGGGTATACCTATCCAATAAAAGTTGGAATTGAAATTTTATGTTTAACCGCCTTAGTCAAAGCATAGTAGATAGTAGATACACGCAATGGCCTTGCCAATCCCTTCTCCCTTCAAATTGACATCCCTAGTAGTACCGGACGGAGGAAAAGGTGGTCGACAGTAATATTGAGATTATTTCTGAAGGTTCAGAAGTTAGTCTCGGATGCCATTTGGAAATATCAAGTGGAAGAAATGAGGCTACGACATACAGGGCAGTTGCACTGGCCTTGAGGGCACTGGCAAGAAGAGCCGCATCCGCAACCGTGAGAGTCTAGTAGCACACAGTTCTGTTAGTATGTCGATGGATAGAAGATAGAAATAACCTTTGCAATTGTTTGAGGAAGCGAATGTGGAAAGGACGTTGTGATATGGCTAAGTCAGATGAAGCCCCGCCATCAAATATCGTTTACCCCGCCATCGATCAATGATACAGAGGCTAAAAACGAGTAATTAAAATACTTACCCATTGTAGAGATAAATATAGATGAATAATCACTTTCTGTTATTGCTTGATTGTTTGCAGGAGGGATAGAGAGATGTCTCGTAGCGTGGTTGAGTGAAAATGAAGAAGTGTCGATGGAGGGGCGGAAGCCGATCTTTATAGTGGAGGAAGGACTCGTGACCTCATTAGATTTTGGGCATGTTTTTATTAATTATATTATCCCCATAGATGCAGGTGTCGGAGGCCATTCAAAAAGGCTCTTATGATATCCTTTTTGCTCGCCAGCGCGCATATGAGCATATTGTTTCTGCATCATTAGGCCCCGTGGTGGCCGTGAAGACACTGCAAAAAGATTTCCATATCCATGAGACGCAATCGAACGGATACTATTTCAAACCATTTAGGTATTCATTATTATTACATGTTATCATGCGTTCTTCCATTTGTCCAGTCCTCGGCTCCCTCTCTGTGGGGGGTGCCAGACCAGATTGCCCAGCCCTAAGTTAGTTGATTTTATGCATGTCGATTTTATTGCCTGATTGACCATCCTCCATAAAGACTTTCCAATTCGGGTAAACGCTCAAAGGAACCCCGCGAGAATGTATGTGCTTCAAATAATCAGATTACTCTTCTTGGTGCCGACAAGGTGGTGGAGTGGTCTAACATGTTTGGCTTGAATTCCATCTGGAAGCCTTGGGGATGAGAAAACTCGTCCTGGGATCTCTACAAGATTTACCAAAAGCCCCTTCGGGTACCCAGGTTCGAATCCCCTGGCCCTGTCGATTTTCTCTTTTCTCTTTTTCATTTTCTTCCTCTTTCTCCTCCCTTCTTCTTTTTGTTAATCTTAATCGTTTCCGAGATAGCAGTGTCTAATATTAAATACCCAAATAGAATTACGTATGTGGGCTGAATCAGGCAATCAATGAATGTACCCCACCGCTTTCCAAATGAGGAAATGAACGTGGTCCTTCCACAAACCACCAACTTTTTTCTCCCATGCTTTCTTCCGCCCGCTCGCAGACGCGATCAACAACCTTTTATCCTCGTCTCTGAGTTCAACCGATCTTCCTTTCTAGTCTCCCTGTAGACCGCAGTGGTATTGATACACAATGCCGCGAGTGTACGAGTTCCGTGGCAACGACCGTAATAACCGACGGTCGCATCCCAAACATGAATTCACCTTTCGGCGGCCTTTCGGTACATCCGAGCGGCCGCTGTTGCGATCGAAAACAGACACGACCACGGAGTTCCTTATTGGACCTAAACTTGGTGAAGAGAAGCTACCATTGAAATTCGCTCCTGTTGACGAACTGAGTGATAGCGATGAGGCGGAGATGGACTTGTCGACAGACGATGAAGGTACCTCTCATCCTCGCAAGAAGCGCGCTCTGGATACTGGAGATGGTGCTCCTGTTCCTCCACCCCCAAAGTGGTCGAACCCGGACCCCTACACTGTCCTTCCGCCTCCTGATGAGAGTCGCGCGAAGAGAGTCGATGTCGTTAAACTTATCCGCAAGGCAAGGGTTGAAGCGGCCCAGAAGAAGCCTGCTGAAGGAGATGCCGTGGCGGATAACGAGGATTTCATATCATTTGATTCCATTGAGGAAGCTGCTGGAACCAAGGCGCCAGAGGGCGCACCAACAGGCCCAAAACATGATTCACAGTGGAAAGAGCTGAAAGATGTTGCGTTGGCAAGTCGCAAGAGGACATATGACGACGAGATCAAAGGATATTCTAAGAAAATAGGGAGACCTCTCAGTAGATTTTATACTGACGCCTCAATACTTGACGAGTGGAGGAAGCGTTCGGATCAATCTGGAACTCCCTGGTTTGATCATACTGAACCAACGTTGCATTTGGGTACAAGGTCAGCTGTCTTTTCGACTGTCAGAGAATTCTTTCTCTTTCCTTCTAATAGTTAGCAGGTTGCACAACGAGATTATTAGCTTTTACAATTGGGTTAAGCCGCAGCCGTATGAACAAATCGTTCGAGCTGATCTGGTATCGAGACTTCAGTCTGCTTTCCAAAACAGATATTACGGGGCGCAACTTAAGCCGTTCGGCTCCTTCGCCAGCGGACTGTATCTTCCCACGGCAGATATAGATCTCGTTCTTCTCTCAACAAATTTCATGCGTACTGGGACGAAGACTTTCGGGCAGCGAAAGGGCCAAATATACGCATTTGCTGCTTTCCTCAAGGGTCTTGACATAGCAGTTCCCAACTCAATCGAAACTATAGCACATGCTAGAGTGCCCATCCTGAAGTTCGTGGATAAGCTGACAGGTTTGAGAGTTGATTTGTCTTTTGACAATGACAGCGGTCTCCTTGCCAATGACACCTTCCAGCGCTGGAAGTCTGAGTTCCCTGCAATGCCTCTCATTGTTTCTATTATCAAACAGTTTTTGCTGCTCCGAGGTCTGAATGAAGTTCCGACAGGTGGTTTGGGGGGATTCTCCATCACCTGTCTTGTCACAAGCCTCCTCCAGCACTTGCCACATGGCCATGCTGAGCCAAATCTTGGCGGCATTCTCATGGACTTCTTTGACTTTTATGGTCATAGTCTCGATTATGAGAGTGTTGGGATACGGATGAACCCGCCAGGCTATTTCAACAAGGTAATCTCTGCACCCCTACCGTAGTAGTGAAGGTTTTCAACTGATCCTTTTCCCAGAGAGTGTTCAGATCTCTTAAGGAAAATAATAACGCCCGTCTCTCAATCGAGGATCCAAATAATCCAGATAATGACATATCTGGCGGCACCAGGGAGATTGCATTGATCCTCAGGTCTTTCTCTGATGCTTTCTTCCTTCTCAAGGAGCGCATGACTTTTACAGTGATGGCAGAATTAGCCAGGGGGAGCCTCCTGGGTTCGATTCTTGCCGCGAACTATGACGAATATGCGCATCAAAGGCAGCAGCTACGTGAAGTATTTGAGACTCATCCTAGGTTTGCCCACTATCGCCAGCCCCCGCCGCCACCCCCATCTCTCCCCGAACAACCTCATCCTCCGCCGCCGCCATCCGCCCCTCCTGTTTCTGCCCCACCGTCACGACAGAACTCGAAGGAGAAACCGAGTAAATTACAACGCAAGCAACAAGCGTCCCGAGAACGTGCCGCTCGTCTACGGCGCCTGCGGCCTGATATACCTTCTGTGCCAGAATCCATAACCAATGAGCATTGCTTGACCCTTGGGGGCTACAAGTCTCAATCTGAAATGGACAGAGATCTCATTGCAAGAGAGAAAGAGCTGCAATCAGCTATTTAGGATTGATATAGTCCTTGTATACGGACTGTGCTGTTTGTGCGCTTCCATGCTCAGAACCTTTTCTAGCGCAACCCGGCCTTTTTGCTTTGACGTCCACTCTCCCCCAATTAGGGTTTTTGTTGTTGTTGTTGTTGTTGTTGTTGTTGTTGTTGTTGTTGTTGTTGTTGTTGTTGTTGTTGTTGTTGTTTTTCTTATTTTTAGCGTGAGATACCCAGGTTTATGGGCAGATGAGCTTATCCCGGCATATTCTTTCCCCCATGGTTATTTATCGACTTGTACAGGATTCCTATTATTTTTGTGGTCACTGTCGTTTCGTTACGCTTGTCGGTGTTCTTGCCAAAATCTGCGCACTGGGAGTTCTTTCATGCTCTCAGCCCGCCGAGGACTAGGTGCAAATGATTCAATGGCGTCAGTTCAAGAGATGGGGTGTTACGGTTCTTCTAATGGGGATTCAAAACGTTTTCATGTCTTTGGGGGTTTCCTTTCCCCCTTGCCCCTTTCTGGCTGTTTTTCTTTACATCCTCATACCGGATCCAACTGTCTCCCTCCATGATCATACTAATTCTTCGAGTGGGACTATGCGGTTCCTGACCTATTCGTATGCTACTAAAACGATTCTTTAGGAAACAGTTTACCTGCCACTTCTACGCTTCGGAGTTCACATACACGTCGGTGAATGGAGCTAGCCGTCTGCGTCCGATGTGGCTGGCTAATTCAGCAAGGAGAATTGATATAAAAAATGAATCATCCGTTCGGTCCTTCCATTGCAAATTCTTTTTCATCCTCCTTCTCACCAAGGGAGCGCTATATGCGATCGCTTGGAGAGGATGGGATGTGATATGATGAGCAGTGGGGGGAGCGTTTGCCGTCATTGCCAATTATGCAGGAATCCGGTGCATCCACACAGCTTCATCAGGCGTGCATAGGATTCTTTGGAAATAATCTGTGGAAAACTATCTAATACGTTCTATCTAGTTGCATGTCTATTCTAGAAAGAAAGCATTCATGAGACTCCAGTCATGCAATGTCAGCCGTCAAGTCCCGCAGTGAAATATGTTCAGGTGAAAGGTAATTGACAAAATCAGGGGATGGACTGGACCAGGCGTAGTCGGTCCATGCTGGGCCAAGAACGGAGCGAATGCCTTGTGCCAGGCCTAGGATGCGGGTGTGTTCTTGCTGTTGGACCTCGTCGTCCAAGCCGTTGACGACGCTGCGCCAAACCCGCAATGTTTCATGCAGTTCGTCTAGATTACTCACGCCCATGACGCTGACACCTAGCCTCTCTCCGGCAGCAGCGTCATCAGAGGATGAGTTGGAGAGAGTAGGACCCATTCCACCGGCCTTGGCACCGTCGCGAAGCCATGATCCAAGCGCAAACCGAATAGCAATTACCTCGATTTTCTCCTCCCCTCCACCCTGCTTATCAACCCACTCACTCGCCCTTCGCACAGCATCCCTCAACCCATCAGGCGCAGGATGGAAATCCCCCATAGCCCCGATAGGGACACCGGTGCGTCGTAGCAACCCCATACCCAGAAGCGACGCATTAGGCACCACATCCACCCCAGCAGCAAGCAGTGGTTCCAACCCCACCTTCGAAAGCCTGGCATTTTGCACCGTAAAATTCGCATACGACATCACCGCATCTAACGGCTCCCCCGTTTCCCGTAAAACCATATGCGCCAGCTTCACCAGCACGTCAACAGGGTACCCCGAGATCCCGACATAGCGGATGCACTGCGAGGAGTCCCGAATGCGTCGTAGTTCCTTCACGGCCTCCAGAACCTCCTCCGCTGAAACAAACTCGACATCATGGCAGTACACCACGTCCAGGTAATCGGTGTGTAATCTCGAGAGACTTCGACGGATGCTCTTCCGGATCCAAGACGGTGAGTAATCAAAGGAGGAGCTTGCGATCCGCCCGACTTTCGTGAGTAGTTGGTACGATGATCGGGGGTATTTGGTGCGCACGTAATCCGTCGATAGGGCGTGGCCTAGGAGTTCTTCGGCGGGACCGTAGTAAGGGGATGTGTCGAAGGCGCGGATGCCGTTGTCGAAGGCTTGCTGGACAAGTTCTGTTGTCGGGAGCGCGTAGGGATCCTTGTTGTATTGGGCGTTGAAGGTCGCTGTGCCCATTATCAGAGGGGGGAGGGTTGCCGAGAGGGGTATTTTGGGCTTTGGCATTTTGGTGATTTTTCTCCTTTCCCCCCTTTGTCCCCTGTCTTTCTAATCCTGATCTTTTCTTGGAGCCAAGAGGTGAAGAAGAGGAAAGGGAACTATCTTACCATGTCCAGATGTTATTACAATTTACCAAGGTTTCTGGTCGGGGTCCGTCACTAATTAATAATTGTCTATTGTAGTGGATATTTGCACCGACTATGCTCTATTTCCTATTACGAACAGTCTCGCCCGTTTTTCACTGCGCAATTACAAACAGCTTCGTAAACTGATTCGTTTCTCTCTAACAGACATGACATATGGTACAATAACAGGCACTTCATGTGCCCTGCTGCAAAGGCAAGAAAACACGAGTAAGAGTGGAGAGTGGATAGTGGATAGTGGATAGTGGATAGTACACCAAGAAAGAAGCATATGCTGGAGAGACGAACTCTTCTCAAATCGATGCATATGCCTACCAGCCCGTTCTATGCCTTCTAACAGGTTCCCCAACTGAGACACCTGAACGCAGAGTAGTCATACACGCTGGATTCCTCTAATCATTAGCTGGGATTAGACAGAATCCAGGAAGACGCAAGAAATCGATATGCTTTCGCTCGTCCAAGGCGAACGGCAAAAGTAGACCAGCGCGATGCGATGCAGACGGAGAACAAGTATAATGAAATAAATGTAAGCAGCCACATTTATATTTCTCCCCGATTCCAACCAAGAAACGCCATGCTATGCCGCAAGGAAAAAAGGCAAACAAAAAGGAACCCAGATGTGATCCTGGAACGCTATGAAGGGATGTTTCGAAGATTCTTGGGGGTAGTAATAGCCATGCGCAAAAGTATCCAAGGGAGGAAGAGAACTGGCGGACCATCCTCTATCTGATCGAGAATCCAGATTCCGGTATATTCGATCTGCGACAAATTCACGACGGCGCAGGGTGACAAAAAAGACAAGCGATCACCTGTCCTTGTAGACCTTGGGCTTCCATCCTTCACTAAGCTCCTTTTCCGCAGAGGCCTTGCGCTCCGCTTCCCGAACCTCCATCTCTATCCGTTCGCGCGCACGGAGAATCTTGCTTTGTAAATAGAAACTACCGCCCTTCTTGGGGTCATTCATGTCGAACAGTTTCTTGAATCGTTCCGTTGTTTGTTGTAGGTCCGTTTGTCCGCCCTGCGGGGGCTTGACATTGAGGATCCTACAGGCCTCATCGAGGGTCAAACCGGAGGAGGCAAATGTGCTTGCGGATGTAGTATTTCCCTTCTGCGCCTGGGCAGCATATTTGGAAGTCGCAGAGGCTTGTTTGTAAGCCTCTGCGAAGGCTCGTCCGAAAACTCGAGCGCCAGTGACGACGACTTGTGTGATGATGCGATGAGCCTGGGGAGAAGAAAGAATGAGTCAATATCCATTGACAGCAAAGCAGAAGAAAGATGAGGGAAGGAAAATGCTCCTCTCTATCGTCAAACGAGAGAGAGAGAGCAAAAAAGCAAAGCACAGGGCACACGTACCATGATGGAATTGCCGCTGGAGAAAAGCTAAAGAATACGCCGATTTCAAACCACGACAGGTAGCAGCGATAGACTCCCTAGGATGGAGCAGGACAATGGCTGACAGATAGAGGCTGGGGCGGTTGCGAAGGCAGGAAGAGGAATGTAGAGTAGACAGGATGAGAGCCGGAAGCCGGAGGGCGGCGAAATGGGAAATTTTTTGGCTCGGGAATTTAGCGCCCGGTCGGCGGCAGCAGAGACTCGGAAGGGAAGGGAAGGGAACAGTGTTCACGAAAGGACGGAGCGACAGAATCGCTAGCTCCAGGGCAATTGATACCTGTTGACCGATGGATTCTGGTCACGATGGAAGGATGAAAGCGCCAGCACAAGAGAAGATCTCACGGACAGGGCATCAGAGATGGCCGAAGCTGGCCTGGTGTAGTGACTTCAGGTACGTACTCAAGTACGAGTACGTACGGAAGCAGACCATACAGTACTGTAATATTGTATTGTACCGTAACGTACTGGACAGGACCACAGGACGCGAACACGTGCTTCTCCGCAGAAATCACATGCCGAGCTTGTCTGAGCTTCTCCTTCTCTTCCCCAGGAAAGCTGCTCATGCTGCAACCGCCAGCTGGTGTCGCCCTGCTTGTTTGTTACTTAACCTCGCCAGGTCGCCTTCCTGATCGCCCGCCATCTCCTTCCTGGCCTTGGCTGTTCTGCTGCCCGCAATGTCATTGCCTGTTTCCCAGGACACCTGTGTTGGATGGCGGCGCTCGGTAAGGCAACTCTTTTCCGTCCCTCCGTCACTCCGTCCTTCGTGATCTGCGCCTCCCCCCCTCAAAAGCCTCGCTCCAACCCTCTTCTTATCCAACTCTATTCTTCATTCTTATTTATTTATAGCTTTGGGACGAACCATGTCAACACTAACCCTCCGCTAGACAGTTACCCGTGGGTAGATTCCATGTCCCCATCATCCCATTCCCATCACCGCAGCAATGGCTCCCAGTCCGACTCGTCAACGGTGGCTGCATTCTCGCCCACCACCATTTCCGGCTCCTCCTTGACTTCCAAGCGTCGCTCCAGTGTCATCGTGCACCGGAGGTCGCCTCTTCTCGTCGCAACTCCTCCGGAAATCACCCGTACCCTAGCGTATTCGCATCCGTTCATTCTACCTTTGAATACGCTTGCCGGGCTGTTGACATGGACTACGGGGGACCCTTGGCAGAGCTTTCTGTTCCTGGCAGGGTTCTGGACCATTGTCTTGTATAGTGATGCTGTTATTCTGTGGGCTGGTCCCGTCGTTGTTGTAGTGAGCCTGATCCTGGCTCTGTACACCAGACGCTACTCGCCCTTGACTTCGGTCTCTTCGTTGGGTGAGCAGCCTGGTGTGCAGAAGGGAGTTCCAGAGAATATTACCGCTACCCGTCATCATAAGAGCTTGGATGAAATCGTCGACACAATGCGAACCTTCACCACCCGATGCAATATCTTGATGGAACCAATCCTCGAACTTACCGACTTTCTTTCCACCCAGATGACCCCTCCGTCTCCGACCACAAGACCGCCGCTTAGTGGTTTGATCATTCGAATTATTCTCGCAACGCCGATATGGATATTGCTGACTTTACCCCCGTTCTATCTCGTAACGACTCGTCGTGTCGTGATGAGCACGGGAACCATTATCCTCTCCTATCACTCCCGCCCTGCTCGGGTCGCGCGTGTCATTCTATGGAGGTCATTGACTATTCGTCGGATATGTACCCTGATTACAGGCCTTTCATTCTCCACCACCGTGTTCGAAAGCAGGGCGCCCAAGTCGCCGGTCAATATATTATCAAAACAGCGGGGCCACACGCCTGGCATTCGCTTTACCTTCGTCCTCTACGAAAACCAACGTCGATGGCTTGGCGTTGGGTGGACATATTCCCTCTTCCCTTCTGAATGTGCTGCCTGGACTGATGAGATGTTTAACCCCGCTCCATCCAAGGACGAGTTCGAACTGCCCGAAGTGGGAAATGAGAACACCAAATGGCAGTGGGTGGAAGGAAGTGAATGGCGTGTCGAACCGTCTGGTGAAGCAGATGACAAGTCAACGGATGGCGAGGGTTGGGTTTACTTTGACAACAAGGTAGGTCTGCATGCGCATTTCCTCGCGCGACATTCCTTCTGCTTTGCCTCAGGCACTAACTCTGAAAAACAAAGTGGAACGATGGTCGTCCTGGTCAAGATGGCTGGGATCGATACACTCGTCGAAGGAAATGGTTTCGTGTCGCCGAGCTCGTGGATACTACGCCGAATTCTGAGACTGGATCTCTTAAAGCACCGCCAAGTCTAGCCCATGTCTTAAGAGAGAAGGATGTGGATAGTACTCATCTTGATGCTGCGAGCATCAGTAGTATTAAATCTCCCACTCCGTCGATCTCGTCTAAACCACGGAAAAGACATTGGTTTAGCAGCTCCAAGGGTGAGAGCGATAAAATCAGTATTTCCTCTTTACCGTCTTCTGCCAAAAACTTATCTGTTGATCTCCCCAGAATAAACCCTACCAATGCTAGCGAGAGCAAAAATGGACAGAAAACCCCAAAGCCTGGTAGCATCAAGCAGTCCAGCAGACCACCGAGCAATTCTGCCAAGCCTAGTCACAGCAGTTTGGTGAAAGAGGGCAGCACGCATGGCAGCGACACCCTGAGCATTAGAGACAAAGAAATTAGTCAAGCTCAGGACCACCATGACCGATGGGGGACCAGAGCAACAGGTGGTACGGAGAGAGCGGAACGGGAGTTTGGACTCGGTGATGATATTAATATGGGATTAAGTTGAATGGTTTTCCTAACGATGCATAGCCTATGACTTGAACGGCGTCGGGGGTTATTTTTAATGCTATTTCTGTTTTTACCTTCCACGTCCAATGGTACCTACGTTGTAAATGGGAAACAATTCGTATCGATTCATATTGGCATAACCAGTGTACATAGTTCTAAGTGACGGCAGCATTTCCATTAATGGTGAAATTGCAAGCCCTGGCACCGAGAATCAAGCCAATATCAATTCCCATCGCAACTGCTCCAACGCATCCATCCAATGCTGCCTCTGTTCCCCCTGTCTCCCCCAGAAAGTCTGCAGAAGCTCCTTCGCACGCTTGACATTCCCTATCCCGAAATTCTCCTCCAACTTATCCAGCGACCGCATTACCAACTCCCGTTCCACGGGAATCTCACTCTCACAACCGGCTATGAACAACGGGAACGTGAGCGCCGAATACTCGCAGTGGGAGTCGAGCGAGGAAGACCCCACCCTGTGCAGACAGCGGTGGACGGCTTCGGATTTGGAAAGATACGCGAGACAAGCCCAGGTTGATGATAGGTGTGCGAGAGTCGCTGCTTTCGAGTCGGATTCTGGTTGTTGTTGTTGACTCATCCGTTCCAGTGTCGAGTGAAGGAAGATATATGCTGCGTCGCGAAAGCAGTCGGCTACCATTTTCAGGCGTGAGAGATTGGATTGGGTCATGCCTTTGGGGATAATGTATTCCTTTGCTGTGTGTGTCCATATTCGGAGGGATTCGTTTCTGAGATTGCTGGAGTCAGCTCTCTCTCTATATGAGGTGAAGGGAACTCACATTGAGAATATTTCCAGATCCAATGCTTCCAGATCACTTTCCAGTGAGTATAGATCGGCTATTCTGGCAAATATCTTGAGTATCTCCTCGGTGTATCCTACATAGATATCTAGTTTTGTGGGTATATTAAGAATACCAGGGTCGTAAATCAATGCATCTTTTGCAGTGTCCTTGTTACCTCGATTGGTGATCTTGGCCATGTGTCCGCAATAAACCATTCTGTTCGATATTAATTCTCTTTCCTTTAAACATTACCAAGTAAAGGGGGGAAGTAAACTTACAGCCCTCTTAGATACTCTGCCGTGTCGCGATTAAGGGCACCAAATCCCCCACACGACATAATTATTTTCTGCAAAGCGTCCAAGTGACTCGCCCATTGCTTGACGCTTCCACGCACGATCTCATACTTGCACAGGAGAGCGATCGTCAGGATCGGCTCTTCAGGGAAGAGACCTGTCCCTGTGGAATAACTTGAAATAGCAGTTCGCAGCCCGTGGAGTGCTTGGACGTAATAGTTTGTTGCGGTTGCGTGGGTCGGCCCCATGCCGCTGTCGTGAAGACGATTTGAGAGATGTATCGCGGAGACCGCGCACACGGCATTCAGGACAAGAGGCGAAGACAACGCTCTGGGGATAAGCAAGGATCGTAGCGGATTCTCATCATTTTCCAGATTAGCTAGTAGCTTGGAGCCCTGTTCTACGTGGTACTGGAGGTAGTATGTTTCGCGTGTCGATAGGTGGCTGAAGCATTTGGTAATACCGAGAGAAGCTGCATGTATATTATCGCCAGTTGAGGATGAGATGACTACCCCCTGATTTTCACGTTCATGGCCTGGGCTTCTCGGAGTATTACTGTCACAGACGCAGACCAAACCTGTATTAGGACTGCAGGGATCATGATGCTTCAGAGAAGATGATGATAATGTGGAGTAGGGGGAGGAACAAGCCGAGGTATTTGGCGTTGACGCTGGCTGCAAGGAAGAGGGCGAACATGACGAAAACACATCCGAACAAGCAATAGAGCTCTTGGCTTCCGATGACGACGAACTGAGTCTGCGACGTTTCGACCTGGACGACTGCTGAAAAACCGGCGCCATGGGACCGAGCGGTTCAGTCCACACTGAACCGTAGCCCTCGCATACTCGTCCTAACCTGGAACAATTTCCGCAGCTGTTTTGTTCCAAATACATACCCGGATTAGTGCACTGCCAATAATAATGACCAAACAGGTAGATGATGAAGGCCCTTTCAGCGGGTGTACCTAGGTTTGGCTTCGTCGCACCGTTTCCTTCGCTTCTTGCATGTAAGACAACCTGAACGGGACCAGCTGACGCCGTCCATACTGCTTCTCTTCTTTTTCCGCGAGAGCCGAGTACTTGGAGTACTCTCACTTGCGATCAGACTTTCGCGAGGCTTGTCCATGGTGGTTTGGGCAGGTCTCTGAATTATCTGGATTCCCCCGCGCTCAATGCGGTCAACGAGGTGTATCTGATTTGTCTTGTCCCTCCTCCAGATTTTGAAAACTGTCGGTTCTTCTCGATCAGACTGATAAGGCCTAGATCTGTAGATACTAGATAGGTAGAAGGGTGTGGGAGCGCATCGTCTGCGAAGAAGTTAATTTCTAACCGTTGTGCCAGTGGTTAAACTGCTTACCAATTAAATATAAACGATTCTACTCTGCCACATAGCCGCATTCATGATGTTTCATCTGGAAGACAACAATCGTGACTCTGGTAGAAACAGCAATCCCAAGGAGCCATTCTGGAGTCGACATGATGGCTGGTCTGATCCTATTCTGCTGGTCTATGCCTGGCCCCGTCAGAACGCCCTGATGCAGTCCATTAACTTAACAAAGACCAATGCTATCAGTCAAAATCGCAGTTGCGGTTTGGGAAAGACTGCAGGTTGCAGATTGCGCTTGTGCTGTGTAATGGAGAGGAAGGGCGAAGTTGAGAAAGGGGGATGGTTGTACAACCAAAATAGAGACTCTTCTGCAGGTTGAGAAGATCATACGACTGCTTTAAGAGAACAACCTTTGAACACAAGATGAACAGCTCAACAAAAGAAAAGAGCGTGAGATTTTCTATTTCATAACGAACATGGACATATCGTTTGACATGGATATACACAGCCTATCTTTTCCCATACGAGACACCGAGAGGCTATACAAATCAACCATCGTACATGCGTTAGTACTGTACAGAAGACCATGGATACGTGCTTAGACGTAAATCCTGCCGTATCTTCCTCGTTCATCCTCATCTGTTTATTATCCGTCAACTTCACCTAGATCCTTCTTTTCAACTTGCTGCCTTCTCCTCCATACCGGCTCTACTTGTTTAATTCCATAGCCATGCAGGGACCGAACGGCTTCCTGTGCTCGATCGCTATTCCTAGCCACTGCGCGAAATCCGTCGGGATCTGTTTCTGTAGGTGAGCGGGGCCTACGCCTTGGCGGCAACACCGTTGGGGACGTTAGCACTGGGCAGACTGCCGTGGCCCACGGTCTCGATAGCAGCCTCGCGGGCGCCGGTAAGTCCGAATTGAGTGGGGATGCCTTCAATACGGTGCGTCGAGTTGATGTTCTTGACGAGAGTGATCTGCCAGCAGGTAGCACCACCCTGGCGGGAGGTGATGGTAGAGTAGGCCAGGAAGTATTCCCAGATCTAAAAATAGCAAGGGTTGTGTTAGTATCAAGGGATTGTAAATAAAGACGAATTAATACGGTGAGGAGAAAGATAGTGGCACGCACCCTGAACCATCTCTTTCCATACTTCGCCTCAACCTTCTCACGGTTGCCAAGCCAGTTACGGTACCAGCGCCAGAGAGTAGCAGAATAATGGACGCCAATGGTGTCAATACCCTTGATCTCAAATCCAGCAGCCTCAAGTCTGTCGACAACGAATCCAAGGGGAGTGCTAGCATCGGCACCCGGGAAGATGTACTTGTTCATGAAAAGACCCCAGATCAGATCCTCATACTGCCAAGACTTACGCAGACCAGCGATCTGGAGGAAGAAGACACCATCATCGTCAAGCATGTCATAGACCTGGGAGAGGAAAGTACTGAAATGGCGCACGCCGACATGTTCAGCCATCTCAAGGCAAGTGATCTTCTTGTAGCCTCCAGAAACTGAGGGAGCATCGCGATAGTCAGCGCAGAGGATGCGGCTCTGTGATTCCGGAATGCCAGCCTTGCGAAGACCAGTATTGCCCCAAGCAGTCTGATTGCGACCCAACGTGATGCCAGTGACCTGCGCGCCATAATGAACCGAGGCGTATTTTGCAAGGGTACCCCAGCCACAGCCCAAGTCAAGAACAGTATCACCCGGCTTGAGGCCAATCTTCTCACAGACCACGGCCAGCTTGTTATCCTGAAGTTGTTCGAGCGTCTCTTCCTTCTTGATGTCGCTGATAATACCAGAGGTGTAGATCATACGAGGACCGAGGAACCAAGCGTAGAAATCGTCACCGCGATCGTAGTGGTCACGGACCTGCTCCTCATCTGGAGAAGTATTAGGATTGTCTGTTAACCTCAGAAAACTAACTTACCCTGAGATCGAGTGTGCAGAAGCATCTCCGGAATAAAGCCGAAAAGAAAATGCTTGTACAGGCCCATGGTGAAACGGAAGCTGGCCCAGTCGTGTCTGTACTCAAGGGTGTTCAAAGCGTCACCCTTGAAGTCCACCTCTCCATTGAAGTACTTCTCGAAGAAAACTTCCATGGGAACCTTGCTCTTGCCCCTGTATTTGGCTCGGTCGCGTTCGCTGTGGAAGTTGAGGTAGTATTCCACGGGGCGGCCCGGGTACTTGGCCTTCTCGTTCTTACGCGGGGAAATGGATGAAGCCACCGTCCAAAATGCCATTAGAATCGGAACTGTCGTGAAGATTGCAAAGAAGATGGTGGTGTAGAAACCACCACCGACCTGGCGGGCCAGGTAATGGGGCACGATATACAGGAGACCGAAGAGCAGGATGTTGGAGAAGCTGTCACTGCCTGCAGCGTCTGCAGGGACCGGGGCATTTTTGATGGCCGGATACTGGGAGAGAATTAGCCCAGTCAGACTGTATTTCTTTATTTTTATTTTATTTTTATTTTTATTATTTTTATTATTTTTCTTTTGCAGCTTGGCCCATGGATATGGGTTGAGCTTGAAGGCAGCTCGACCACGCTGTCAACAAAACTTACCGACGTAGTCCGCACTCCACAGTCCTCTGGAGTCTGCTGGGGAGCAGCCTGAGGAGTTTCGATGAACTCGAACTCCTCAGGGGACTCTGGATGAAGCTTCGCCATGGCTGAGGGAGTAGAGAGGGTGCTGGATCAGGACACGAGCAATTGGGGGATCCTGATGGGAGGTGGTGAGGACGAAAAGAAGCTCCTGAAGGCTGGAGGGTATTTACTGGGGCCTTCGGTAATATAATCAACGCTAACAGCTCAGCAAGGCGTAATGCGTTGTATTTAGTGTTACGACCCGCAGCTTGGCTAAACCGCGGAATGGACAGGGGCATGTGTTGTTACTTCTGCTATTATTATTATTGGGATCGCCGTCCTTTTCTTCAAAGGCCACCACTGCTTACGAAAACAAAAAAAAAAAAAAGCAAAAACTCCAGATTCTCGACCAGTACCTGGATCCACGTCGACGGGTCGAAGCTATTTTCAGTGTCCACCGCCACAGATATCCATGGATACAATAATTGCTGTGCAAGCCATGACATGCGCCTCCATCCCTATTAATTCCATGCCAGACATAACAAGATAGACGCCAATAGAACCCGAGTGTCACTCCCAAACCATAGACCGTGCCCTAAATAACCAGTAAGAAAAAATCACATGACGCGGGCTCGAGAACTTCCCCCGTTCAAAGCATCAACTGGAAGTTCTCGGCTTCCTCGTCTTCCCCAAATGTCGGAAGATCTTCCTCATTTGCGGCCTCCCGATTGCTTTCCTCGTCGAAGCAGCCTGCAGCCTTGCAGCGAATCCACATCTCACTGCCGAAAGGAGGCGGGCCGTACAACCGCATGTACGCTTCTGGTGAGAGCGCTTCCGTAGAGGTCGTCTGTTTCTTGGCGACGGATGCTTTTCCATGGAGGGCTGATGCCATACTTCTGCCCCTGGAGTATCCAACTGTGGTCCTTGAACTAGCGACAGCTGCGGTGTGACGCATTGTGGATGGGTTGCTAGGGGTCCTAGTATGCTCTGAAGGAAACAGTGAGGATGCCTTTGGCTTCGACAGTTGCGCAGATGCCGGCCTTGCCCGTATGCTGGAAGGCTTCGCCCCAGAAAGAGCTGCTGCTGCCTGGCGAGATCTGATGGTTGAAGCACTGCTGGCGGGTCTTGTCTGCGGCGCATTGTGATTGATACGGTTTTCAACACGTCCCTCCCCGTTTCGCGAAGCCGGGATCTCTTCTACAACAGATCCCCCAAAGTCATCGTGATCATAGAAATCCGAAAAACTCACGCTGGCAACTTGCTTCAAAATCATTTCGTCCATCATCCTGTCGTACGCAATAGAGTCTTCCTTGTACTTGCGTTGCTTCTTGGTAAGACCGTCGCTTCCTACCTCATTATCGCCGTATACGCTCTCCAATCCCAGTGCCATATTCTTTGGTTGGAACTGGGGAAACGTCGTGTCATATGTAATCTCATCAGGGATATCGGGGAGTTCTACATATTAGATCAGAATTTACCCACTGGAACACCTGGGGTTGGACTCCCGACCTTTAGGCTTTGGCGGCATATATTCAATATCAGGTACATCATCCTTAGAGGCTTTATCCTGGACATCTGCCTGACTCTTCTTGGCGAATGGAGCAGCTTTCTTAATTTTCTGAGTCGTGGACGTTCTTTTGTTTGTCCTGTCGCGCTTGATGGTCTCGGCAGGGGGTGCTGGAGTCTGCGGACCTTTTGCCTTGGCGTTTGTAGTTTTCATACCTAGAGGAGCGCGGTGTCTGGTTTCTAGAATGAATAAATCATGTCCATCAGAGACTATCCAGGATTCACTTCACAAAAGCACATATAAACATATCCCACCTACCCAATGGAGTAACAAAAGCGTCCCTGGCCGGCTTGAGACCATCATTCCGTTTTCCATTGCCCTTTACGGACTTCTTTCCAAAAGCCAGTGGGTTGTTTTCGTCGTTCAACGGAACCTTGAAAGGAGTTCTGGGAGCTCGCGTGCCTGGCGTCTTGGGCTGCAACTGTTTAGTTCCCTGATTTAGCGGTTTTGCGGCGGCGGTCGTCTGGTGCGTGTGCACCAGGTTCTCCTGGTCTCTCAGTGCCAGCATGGCGACTTGTAGATGGTCACTTATCCAGTTGATCAACCGTGCAGATTCCAGGAGACAGTTGTTCAGAGACGCCAGAGAGGAGAGGTCGAGATGTTTTCGAGTTGGTTGCCCCGGGAGACGGTATGGCCAGGCAGTCACGGGACCGTCACGGGCGTAATAATACAGGCCATCGTTACTGACCGCTCAGGCATCAATCGATTTGATAGCGTCCGCTGGCTTCTCTCCTGATTGTTCGTTCCATCTTTAGCGTCTGATCCTCATCACACTTCTATTCTTTCTATCACGAATTTTCTCTACCTCAAACTGCATTTTGCTAAAACTGCATTCCTGTTGACCACCCGTTTCTTGTGCTGCAACAACCCCCTTCGCCAACATGGATAAGATCAAGGAGGTGAGCCTTCCTGAACCCTTGCAGGCGGGGTAGCTTCAAGCTGCCCGCCCCCTCCAAGCCGTTACGGTTACTCGTTTCCCGCCCGTAGACGCTAGACACTCTTGTACAAAGCAGGAAAACACAAGTATCGATATAGAAAAGCTAATAAGATGGTTCTAGAGAATGAACTCCCTCCGCCTGGAGGCCGATGAAGCCCACGAGAAGGTCGAAGAGCTTAAGGGCAAGGTTAAGACGCTGGAGCAGGAGAATCTTGCAAAGGAGCAAGAGATCACATCTCTCAATCACCGTAATCAGCTACTTGAGGCTGAGGTCGAGAAACTGGAAACCGCTCTCAAGGACGCTAAGGACGCCGCAAACCAGAGTGCTCAGCACGATACCCAGAATGAAGCCCTGCAACGGCGTTTGCAGCTTTTGGAAGAGGAGGCTGAAGAGGCCGACCGGACCTTGCGTGAAACAAACGAGAAGTACGGCCTACTATATCACACCTTACAGAGCCTTATCCGTTGCTAGTGTTACTGACTCTGGTTGCCTTAGGCTCCGCCAAACTGACGTCAAAGCTGGCCATTACGAACGCAAGGTGCAGGCTCTCGAGGCAGATCGTGACCAGTGGGTCGAGAAGTTTGAAGAGATGGCCAAGAAGCATTCGGATTTGCAGAAGGAGTTGCAGGAGCTGGAGCTCTCTATAAGCAACATCTAAGGAGAAAGGCCGTGTTTGGATGTAGGATATTCGGAAATGCCAGGGGCAGCTTTTTCTTCCAAATTGTCGACTCCCGCATAGGGTGACTTGCGTCACCATAGTCATTTCTCGCTGTTTGTGGTCGCTTGTACCTCTTCTTCCTCATCACTTCTTACCCTCGCCTTGTGTGATTACCCATATTTTAAGGTACATAGAGCATTTGTTAATGGAAGCGCCCTGCAAGAGACTGAAATCTGAACCATATGACAGCGTCCTTTCTGTTGACATCTGTATAGCCTTGGGGATAGGGTGTACGATGCAGCGCAGGTATCAGCGTTCTCGCCGTGCATTTGCCTTCTTCCTTTTTGACAAGCGCTGCTTCACCTGAGTGAGTTTTCGTTCTTCCTTGGTTTCGTAGCGAAATCGCTTCTTTTTCTTCTTTGCCTTGTCCTTGTTGGGCATGCTCTTCTTTTTCCCAGGCGTAGCAGTTGAATTGGCATTAACCTTTGGAGACTCTTCCTCCGATGGTTGATCAGAGTCATCATGTCCCTGTCGGTACAACGCATCTTTCGATAAATCCATTTCTTCTACCGTCACCGTGGTATATTTGTCTTCGTCAATGTATTCGGCTTCGTAGTCCACAGCTGGCGGTTCCGCAAACCCTTCCCACTCGTCCTCATCGCCGTCGCTCTCTGTCCCAAAGTTCGAATTCTCGCTATCACTGTCGCTTGTACCTTCTTCTGTTATTCTTTTCAGCTGTCTCTGGTGTTCCTCAAACACGCGTTTATACTCCGCTGTTCGCTCTTCGCGGATCTGGAATGAAAACCGCAGATTAGCCCGTAGTTCATTCGAACACCATAATTGCTAGACAAGTCCACCGAGTACTGACCCTCTTTCGCTCCTCCCTTTTCATCTGCTGCGCCTTTTTCTCTGCAATTTCCTGCGCATGTCGCGCGCGCTGCAATTTTCGCTTGTGAAATCCTGTAAGGAACTCTTGGCGGGCAGCAGAGTCGAATGTAATCTCTTCAACCTTGTCGGACACCTTTCGTCTTTTTGTTCGTGGACCCATTTTATTTATTCTTTAGGATTTTCGACAACCTTCTGCGTTGTTTACAGGTAGAGATTGTCGCCGAGAAAAAATAAGAAATTCTCAGTTACATCCGGCACTGCTACTTTCTATGTCCGACCGCCTTCGGAGAGCCGCGTATCATCCACCTTGACCCAGATATCATCGCCGGCGAATCTTCAGACAGCTCTGCGCTCGTCCGGGACAGGAACCAACTTCGTTTGAACAGCAGAATGTATTTGAGTATTTTTTGGCTACTTGCGTTTGGCGCAGCAGTGGGAGCTTTTCGGGACACATCACCGTTTTTCCTTGCGTCTACCTCTGAGTATGTACCGTCTTCAGCAATGGTTTCATCTATACAAAGAACGAGCTGACTAGGCCCCCTTTATCTTCTGCAGAATTCTTGCTTCTTCAGCAGAGATAAAAACTGCTTCCTCGATATTCCGTGATGTTTCCTCTGAACTCAGTGCCTGCCCTTCGGACTATTTTGTTGTCGCGTTTCAACCAGGCGTGCATAAGTCAGACTATGCTACTCGCAGGTCAGCACCCCGGCTAGGTGCGAAAGTGACCGGGCAGGATGAGACAATCCGATCGAGTATGTCCGTCAGCGAAGTTGCTGGTGTGCTAGATGCGGCACAGATCCAGGCCATGATTGAGAAGGAATGCAAGACACGCACGACAGTGATTGATACTTCCTGTGAGTTTATTCCTTTGACGCGGTAATTGGGAGTACTATCTGGGCATTATTTTGACGGAATACTTTTTCAGCTGGATCCTACCCATCATCATTTGACAAGGAAGCTCGTATCATCACTGTTAAGTTCCCTATGCTGTCATTAGGATCCGACCGCGCACAACAGCTTTCAGACAATGGTTCGTGAGAATGAAACTACGATCTGATGTTCCTGGACCCATACTGACTATTGTGTCACAAGATGGTCTTCTCGCCGATATAATCGACAGGATCCCTTCGCCCAGTTATACGCTTCTCTATGTTACATCTCCCAAGGAATTCGACGATTCCGGATCCGGTTTTGCTGGCTACGATTTTGAGAACAACGGTATCTACCAGGAGCCTCTTCACATGCAATTGAAACGGGACTACTCCGCACATGTTTCTGGAAAGGAATCGGCTTCCAACAGCTCTGTTTTCGCAAAGTATCAGTTCTTTACTCCAGGTCGGTCTAGTCGTGAGCGGTAAATGTGCACCCACAGAAGCTAACACATATCACTTGGACACAGGCATATTCATGGGTCTGATGGCATCGTTTCTGTTTGTCTCGATCTTGTACGTGGGGTTCTCTGCGCTGTCGAGTCTGGAAGTCCCTTATGCGGCATTTGAGAAGGATATCTCTGCTGGAGCACAGAAGAAGCAGCAATGATCAAGTGGATATTATTAAACCTGTGCTAGTTATTTTCTGAATGCAAGTTCGTCATCTGCATGCCATGTTGGTAGCACGCTGCATGCGCTGTTCGCATAGTATCCATGGTAGTAGCCGCATCTAAATATAGACATCACATGACCCGGCGAACTCCTGTACCAAAACAACATCGCCAGGAGAACACAGGCTGTTTCTCTCACTGTCTTTCCCGCGCAGTCGGTCTCTTCTATGCGTCACTCGCTATCTGGCCAGTCTATTCCACACCCGAAATTCCTGGTCGCATAGCGAATCTGGGTTCTGGTCCCCCTAGATTGCCTGATCCGTGTGTTTGGGTCCACATCTGTGCAAACAAGGACGCTGCAGGTCGTACGTCAGATCGGATACAGCATTTCAGTCTGGTCCAGGTCTCAGATTTTTTGTTTTTCTTTTTTTTTTTTTTTTTCTTTTTGAGCTCGCTTCTCTTTCTCTCTGTTTATATCATATTTGCATTGATGGAGTGAATCAGGGTGTTCTTCGACTACCTGTCACCATACTGGGGAAGTTTACTGTTTTGATCTGACCCTCCTGGGAGCAAATAATATGCGACTATCGTTACTTCGGCCTCAAACAGGCCATCGGCCTTCGCTCCTGCTGCTGTTATTGTTTCTCGTCATCTTCATAGTATCCCATACCTCAGCGCAAGCCACCTCGGTCGACGCAGCGACTACCGCGGCAGACAATGCTGCTACACAACCAACCGACGGCCCAACGGCCGCAACAACGGACACTGACATGCCAAAATTGACCACGGCGTCTGGACCCTCTGAGACCTCTGAGGCCTCTGGATCATCTGGGTCCTCCCGATCCACAGACACTGGAATGCCGTCATTGACAACGGACACCGCTATGCCAACGCTGACCTCCGATACTGAGATGCCGACATTGTCAAGCACAGACAGCTCGGCCGCCACATCATCATTCCAAGTCCCGGTGGTGACTGTACCTCCCATGGAGGGCGCACCATATTTACGCAAATCGAATACCCCCGAAGGCACCCTCTTCATTGCCGTAGGCTCAGCATTAGGGGCAATTGCCCTTGCTGTCCTTGCTTGGCGTGCACTGGTGGCGTGGTCTGTGAATCGGTCTGTCCGTCGCGCCGCTATGCTCAATGCATTAGAGTCAAAGAGATTCCTTCGTAAGAAGAAGAAGAGAAGGACTGCCACCGCCGCCGCCGCCGCCTCTGCGTCGTATCCAATGACGTCCCCATCCACGCTTGGGGTTGCTGGAAGCGATCTTTCCAGTTACATTGGTCCCAAGGCCCCGGGCTCCAACAGCGGACTATTCTTTTCTCCAACTGCAGGACCAGGATATCATCAACCGGGAACCAGAACCTCCACCTACCTTCCCGCTGGATATTATGCCGCCGGCCCCGCCATCCCTGGTGCTCATGGCTCGTCATTGAGAAACCCTAGTCCACCTGGGTCACCAGCCCCGCCTTCTAGCGCCGGATTGGATTCCCAGTACAATACGCATAGACGGTCCTCTTTCGTGGCATCGATGAGCTCGTTGAACTTAACTTCCGCGCCCCAGGGAAGGGCACCTAGTGCGTACTTGGATGACCTATTTGATAATCACGGCCAGCAACATAGGTGATGGAAGAAATACCATCCTATAAAAAGACGAATAGGAAAAGTCCAGATTATAATGACCAGTGATGCTAGTTCCTCCAAATTTGTGTGTCCTGCTTTTCTCTCTTCTGCTGCTTCATTGTTCACTGTTCTTGCATAACTCGGATTCGGAATTGACTCGGGGCCCTTTGCCAACATTGTGAAACACATTTCTATCAACGATATTTAGAAATGTGATATTATGATGCTGTCTTTTTATTTGTTTTATACAGTGCCCTTGTTGCTGGTGTGTGATCTTTTGCAGTTACGGGGTTCAGGTCTTTGTTTTGTGGTCCATTGTATATTGCTGCCACTGCCCAGTTATTATTCTTATTTTTGTTTTTCTTTCTCCTGCGGTCTTGTTTGCGGATGGGCCAAAATGTCTGGATAACCTGGTACTTCTCCATTGTACCTTGGGCTGGGTTATCGATTGTTATAATATTACATACATTTATCACTGTACAGAGAGCTTTATCAAGAATATGAGGAGAAAATAATATCAAACAAAATCGAGAATTAATTAATATTTGGACGGTTTTTATCATCGATCTGAGGTCTTTCAGCCACGAAGAAAAAGGAGACAGTCCAGCCAGTCTAATCCTTCATCTTGTGTACCTACTTGTTCATCCCAATATATACAAGCCAATTGCAAGATGAAAGTCAAATGAAGAAAAGCAATTGAGCTTATAATAGCAACAAAAATTAGAAAATAGAATACAATGGAAGATAAGAATCCTCACAAAGTAATACTTAGCCAGTCCAATTAATGTATTGGGGACAAATTGCAGCAATACCGGTCACTAACACATAGTCAATGAAGTCTTTTTTGTTGTCCCCGCAACTAAAATTAAAAAATAAAAACTATGCGGGCTATTCATTCCGCGTCCCGCTTGGGACTTTGAATTCGCCGAGGAAAATATCATCAGGAACTGAACCGTGGTTGTTGCGGTCTGTGAGATTTTAACGTCAGTTATATAAACCAAGTATGGAAGGGAACAAAAACAGCGGGAGAAAGACTCACTCCATTCCGCCTCGACGCGGAAGAAAATCCATATCCACCGTCTCATGGCTTCAAGGAAATTGAGTATAAAGATGCCACTTTCTCTGCTTGGCATCGTGACACCAGGTATGAATCTGCACAGCCATGTGAAACGGAGGATAAAATCGGTGGAAATGACAGCGTAGTATAGTCGTTCCGAGGGGAAGTAAAGGTGTCGGCGTAGCCCGTAAGGTTGTCCAGGGTCGTCCCTGGAGGGTGTGAGGAGGGTGAAGTCCCAATCCATGGTCACGTCCCAGTAGAAGGAGTAAGAAGCATTAATGAAGGAAAATAAGAAACTGGTTATGGTAAGTATATGCGTTGAAACACCGACTTCGTTTCGATGGCTGGGGACACATACAATAGCCGAGACAGGGCTATTTCACTGAGTCCGTAGGAGTTAAATGGGTTGTAGTTCCTTAACTGGGCGGCCAGAAAGATAGGAGGGAATGCTGATGCATACTTCAAGGCGTTTGCCAAATGCTGGCCGCCCCTGTTCTCTCCTCTGGGATGAGCTCGCCGAACACGCACGTATTCGATCAGACACTGCCGAAACCGCATTAAACTGGGCAGTGCGATCACAAGAGACACGACATAATCTCCGCAATTGCGATCCGGTTTTGCCGTACTAGAAGTATTGCGGGAGAAGAACATGCAGAAGCACACATATAGGTCTCCAAGGACCTTTGCATAGCTCGTCAGAGCATCCGCAAGCAATATGTCCGCAAATTTGCCATCGTTTGTTTCTGCCAGCCCGCCAATGCTGATACGCCTCAAAGTCGCCAGAAAACGTTGTCGTCCAGAATTCGCAAGTCGATGAAAGGGAAATACGAGCAGGAGTACGAAGAGAAATAGGTATGACTGTGCGATATAATCGTAGAATTCCACACGTTCCGGATCACGGCGTGTAACCGTCCAGAAGACGAGGAAGCAAATCAGAAGAGGGACCGTCAAGAGTGTCGCGAGACGATATGCCGAGGTATGGTGAGGTTCCTGAGAAGGGGTTTGACGAGGAGGATATCTGATCAGAGCTGGAACATCCTGCAAGAAATATAATCAGAATCATCCTGCGAACAAGACAAACAACAGGGAACAGCCTACTATGCTATTTTTATAAAGATAGTGGAGGTTGATACCCCATCCCCAAAAGCCTTGAGCACAACACGGTCAGCTTGAGCCTACCCAAAGAGAAGAACTAAACCGCTGAACATACCAGCAACCAATATCAAGGCCAGCCGAAGAGGAAAGGGGAAGACGATGCTGAAATCATCTAGTTGCGCATGTCGATCTGGGCCCATCGTGTCCTTCTAGTTTGAGGCGTGCAATCATACGGACGCGGCTGGAAAAAGAGAAAAAAAAAGTCGAGTAAAAAATAATAGAAAATAATAGAAAAATGAGCGACTAGAGGTGAGGATAGTGAAGAAGAAAGTCAGGAGAAACTGCAGAAGAGGGAGCTGTTCTGGCAACTTTTACTATGCCAGCAGGGATGCTTTATCGTCCTCGAAGCACTGACGCGGCCAGACCGTTCACGTGACATCAGCGAGTGAAGTACCAGAACTAATGAGGCTAGTCCATTCTAAATATAGGTTTCCCCATACGCTCAATCATGTGATTGTACTGATTGAGGGTTCTGCCCTATCTTAACGGTTCGGTTCTCACCACCTGTACGGAGTACTAAAGAGTATGGTCATTCTTAGTAGGTAGATTTGGGTTCAGCTACAGGGTAACTCAGCTACCAGCGAGCCAAGTTCTCAATACAGAGTAATTAAATAAGGCTTGCTGGAGAGAAGTCGTAACTCCCTGGAGAGCTCCCCAGTTACTCCACCTCATACCGGAAATTGCTTCGTACCCGATCCACCAACCGTAAACACTCGCGTCTCTCTTTCGCCGTGACTAAGAACCAAGCAACAAAGTGTGCCTCTCTGTCCCTGTCGCGTTCGTCAATGGCCCTGCTGAGGCAGTCTGTGACTGCTGGTGCCAGGTCCCAGAGTATGGTGGAATCGGGGTTATTGTTTTAGTCCTCGTCATAGCAAACTGCACAGCTGCCACCATTGTCGGGCCCGGTGAAACGAGAATCGGTTGAATCCACGCTCTGCTTGGGGTAGAGGATAACATCGATGGATTGATGTATTTGGTTATCAGATCCCTTGGCTCGGTCAGCCTTGCTCCATGAGCACACGAAATTACCTAAAGCGCCAATCGATCGAAGGGAAGGTTCTTGATCGAGGAGGCAAAAGAACTTGGGTAGACTTACTTGTGTCAGACTGTGTGATGACAGCCAAGTTGCAATTGTAGGCCATTGTGGAAAGCAGTTGCAACCACAGCGATAAGTTGGAATGCAAGGGGACAGTAGGTCAAGTCTTTATATCGTGTATTTATATACTAAAGCGGACTACATATTTCTTGATATATTTCTACATCTTTCGCCAATATATCATAATAGATGGAGCATGCTGACGTGCATGCTGACATGCGCGCATTAAGTACTAACCCTTTAGCCAATTACCCCTACCTACACGCAGGCATCCATAAGCTACGAGACCTAGAATGGAGACAGCTTGCTGATAGCTACTCCGTCAGACAGCCAAACCCGAACCTGAACTCTGGCAGCCCTATGTCTCTCAAAGCTTGGTCTGGTCGTATATTTACTCCTGTCCTCTGGGCTTTAGGGTTTTTAGGGTTTCAGGGCGAGAACGAGGTTCCTATGTACGATCATAAGACTCGCCAACCCATCAGTCCTGGCGATGTCGCCCCACTGCTAATTCCCATCTGGCCTGTGGGCATGGTTTTTGAGGCAGGGGGGGGATTGATGCTTCGAATCTCGGGCCATGATATGTCATATCCGGAGGTTGAGGCGACTGAGCCAGTGGATGACAATAAAGGGAAGCACATGGTGCATACAGGGGGGCAGTGTGATAGTTACCTTGTTATTCTAATTATTACAGAGTAGCAGTATGGTGGATTTATATGCTTGAACTGGGCTTGATTTACTTGACTAGTGATTATGAATGCAGCAGAAGATGAAACTTCCATCAGGGCATTGGAAAGAGGTGTGTACACTAAGCAATAGTTATGTTAAACTGCTTCCCTTATACCTGTGTGTAGTTAGAGATGGCATTTGTGGAGTGTACCAAGTATACGATATATGGTTCCAAATGATAGAGGAACAAACGTGTCCATAGGGAGCTGACCAGTGAGGCACAGTAATGCTGAAGTTTGAGTACAAGGCTTTGAATCATTTTACTCTTAGCAATGGCTCGACAAGAAACAGAGGGAGCATCCTGCCACTAAATACATTTTGGTTGTAGTTCAGGCAGACAACTCCTGCCCATCAGGTCACCATTCCAAGGTTGTGGGAGCCACAGGACGTAATATAATTCCCTAAATTCTGAGCAAAGAAGGCCCATACCGATACCCATCATGAGTCTTTCGTCAGGCCTCTCATCCATATCGTAGAGGCCCTTCTTAATCCCCTCCAAGTCCAGCCTGACCTTGAAAGCTTTCAATCCAGTGAACAGATAGCGCACAGTAACTTCCTGGCCCTCCTTGTTGATCTTCTTGCACTCATGACAAATCTGGGAGCACAATAAGATGAGTACCACGATTGAGATCACATACCCAATCCAGACCACCGGTTTAGTATTCGTTGATACATGGCCGGTCAGTTCCGCGAAGCCGTAGGAGCCAAAGATCAAGTACGTCGCAAAAATATAGGGGTAGAAGGGCATACAATAGTAGATGTTGGCTGCTACCTGGCAGCGTCCATGGCTCTAGGGAGTTGTACTTCCATTGTCCTCAAGCATTCAAGTGGTCCCTTCATTCATGGTGGCTGAGGGTCATTGTCCTTCGCTTGTGGGAATATGGCTCCTCAGACACCCACAGCTCCTAGGAAGTACCAGGCTTGTTACAGGAGCATGTGTATTCTTTCTGGGGAGTATGTGTATTCTTGGGATCCTGAGTCCACCTTCTTATGATGGTGGAGTTAGAGTGAGGTTTGGCTAGACCAAGTGTGATCCGATTCCTGCAATCCTTTGAGGCTGAACCACAATGGAAAATGAAGGCTCTTGGCAATAGGATAGTCTAATCACTTTTGTCAGAGGATTATCCTAGGTGTGACAGAGACTCTGTAGGTCGAGAGCCAGAAGGACATCCATAGAGAATTGATTAACTACTTTATTCGCCAATGAATCCGCTGCGGTTTTTGAGCGTAGACACTGCCATGTTCCGTACTATATCGGAGGACCCATTGAGACTAGAGTTTCCTTCCATACCCAGGAAGGGACTTCATATCTAGGTAAGCCATATAAGTATGAGGGAATTACCTATAGAGGGCCTAAGCAAGCCCGTGTAAATGAGTAAAGCTTTTAATTGATCTATCTTGTCCCGGCTATATCTACTGCGCCGTGAATTAAGCACTGAGCCCCGTCTAGTGTCCTGGAGAGCGTTCAGCTCGAGCACGGCCGATACCTGGACCTCTTCTACTCAGCAAGGACCATTGCTTCATCGCACACCATGGTAATAACTGGTAATTGCAGGAGCAAAGCGCCAACTTGTCCCTCCAATCCGGAGTCCCGTCTAACATTGGATTCTTCCAGATTGGTTGACAAAAGTATTCCCATTTCGTTCAGCTAGCTTAGACTCTGCTGGGGAAACCCTAACAAACCCGCTGAAGAGCGGCCGATACATACACTGTCCCAGCCTTGTCACTTATCCTGTGATTTCTCAGTGGTCGAACGCCCAAACCGCGTTGCTATGAGATAAGTGTGAAGTGAGAGCCTGTTGACACAACTCTGACGCTCATTAGGCAACAGAGTCAGTCTCTATGCTACTTGCCAGTTGGCTGTGTATTATGAAATAACTGTGAAGTGAACGCCTGTTGACGCAACTCTGACACTCATTAGGCAATGGATTCAGTCTCTATGCGTTGGCTGTGTATAAGCTTGGGTTTCGTCTTCAGTTTTCCCATCCCTAATACAATCATAGCAGCCATCATCACTTTCTTCTAATTTCTCTTCGATCCACCGAAATCCCTTCCCTGATTATTCCATATGCAGGCCGCTCAGAAACCAGAGGCTGCTAGAGAGCGGGCCTTGGCCATCAAAAAGGCCCAGGAAAACGCCCTCACTCAATTGCCCCTAAACACGCTCTTCATTGTTCTTTATATACGATCCGATCCTCCTCAGCCAGATGACTTTCACTGGGGCTATTATTTCCACACTAGCCCTCAGGGAGGGTCGAAATACCACATGAGGAACTTGGGCGGAGGGTGAATCCCAGACCATGGCCAAACTGGAGGCGTTTTCAAGTCCAATTTCCTGTGTGTCCTTATCGAGATCGCAAAGGTCCCACAGGAAAATCATGGCCGTCTCGATGAAATTATGAGATCTCGTGATAAAGACACCAATTCAATTCCCGGTATAACCTGCCGGGTGTGGCTAATGGTCATCCTGAAAGAGCTGGTTCAACAGGGGATAGTACGCTGTAGCGATATCGATGCGTTGCAGAAGGAATGTATGACTTTTGGAAACCAATATAGTGAAGGGGCAGCAAAGAACAGCCAGCCACGGCCTGTTGTAAAATCAGCTTTGTGTCTTTGAAAGCAAATTATCGAGGGAGCACACGCTGTTGAGTCAATGCTTGCATGCTTCTTATCATTCACATTATGAACTTACTTTGTAAAATCAATCAATTAAAGGGCTATATAAGAGTCGACTGTTAAGAGGTTTAAAGCCACATCGGAGTCCAACTCATCCAAATAGTGATCTCCGCCCATCCAAGAAGCGACTTGGAACCACCAGCTATCTCTCCCAAAGCGCATAGCCGTTGTGAATTCCCAGTATTCGGGATACCAGCCTGCGGATTCCCAGTCGAGAAACCCAGATAAGTGCCCTTCATCATCAACAAGAATGTTATGTGCTTTGAAATCCCCATGAGTGAACACAATTCTATGTTGATGATTCTGTAATCTTCGTGCACGGGACAGGGATTTTTGATATTCGGTATCGGACTTGAATGCATGGGCTGAAGCCGGGGAAAAAAGATACTTGTAAAAAGCCTCTAGGCTGGAAAAAGGACCCATGATGTGCCCGGGAACTCGTGAACTCCGTAAGCGAGTTCCAATAGGAGAGCAAATCGTCTCTAACCCTGGAGAATGCCACGATCGCATAGAGGTAATACATAATTTCAACTCATCCAGCCAAGGCTCCTCAGCTTCAACCTGTAGTTTATCGCTCGAGTTCTCAAGAGGTACACCAGACAGCCTTGTCATCAAGATAGAAAATCTTCGGTTAAAAGGGGCATCTAGGTGTTCACCACAGCTGATGACCTTGGGCACCGGTATTCCAGCAGATTCAGCCATTTGCATTGAGACAGCCTCCTCAAGGCTCGTCCGGTCTGTCCATTTCATAACAAGGCCAAATGGTAATTGAATAATATTTGCATCGAATGGAAGATCAAACCAAGAGCAGTACCATTGAGAGAAGTAATAAAGTGACTTGTGAATGATGCCCCAGAAGACTCTGGTGTATCGGTTGGGTCCAACTGGTACTTGAGGCGTAGTCTGCCGGACGGTAGACTGCACCCGCCGCGGCCAAGTATAATCTGGCCGTAAGATTGATGGAATTAGAAGGCGGTCCATTAAGTCGTCTAGGAGCCTAGGCTAAGAAAAAGGAAACCGAGGTGTCGGAGTCCTTTTCCTATCGAGGCTAGGAAGATGAATGATTACTCGATGATAGAGTCTGAATAAGACAATTCCGCTGGTCGAGGCGAACTTGGGAAATGAAACGAAAGGGTGAGGCAACGAGAACAGGGCACAACCTCAATTTCCAAGGAGAAAAAACGAAGGCTGAATAGAAAAATAAAAGGGAGGCCCCAAATTTCGGAGATTGAAGAGATGGGCGCGACCCACTGACTGCAGAATATGAGTGTATGGGAAGGAAGTGTTTGGAAGAAAGAGAAGAAGACGATGAGGGACAAGACTTCTATAGTTGGGCGCTCCAGCTGGTGAGACAGCAAGACAAATCAAGGACGCTAACCCGGAAATGGTAACACTAACTGGAGTGGGAAATTCACAGATTCCTTCGTGCGTACAGATAACCTGACCTCTGTTGGATCACGTGTTATTCTGCCGCATAGGTCCGCCCCATCGAACCTCCGTTCCTGCCGCTCGCCACCGCCTACCATATACGGGTATTACTTTTGAGATGTTGAGGTGCCTTATATCTAGGGCTGGACTATGTGGGTGGGTTGTCTGGACTTTCTGGACTTCGTCAAGAGTCACGCCACCAATCCGTCATGGTCACGTGCAACTGTTCCTGTCGTGTTGAGTATTTAATTACTACCAAGTACATCGACCGACTGGAAAGCAGGTGCCAGTATGCAAGTCTTGACCAGAATCTGGTTGCAGGACCTATGTAACTCAACTGTACTTAGTTACCTACTCCTATGCTTCCGGAGGTCGACGCTACTGTCTCAACTCAAGTATTATGGACACAGTATTGTACACTTCTTGCCATCATTACATGTCGGACTAGGCCGCGGATTTCGCACATGAATTTATTCATTTTTCGCTTGATATTAGAGGGGCAAGGGCAGCATTAAAAATTTCAAGGTATGTCTTCTTCAGTTCCAGCTTCATGGCAGGCCTGGTGGTGCCTGCGCGTTTCTCAGGGACCGTTTCAGGCAGGGGCTTCTGACGCTTTCCTTGGGAAAGTGTAGTAGCCACCGCTGCGTTGCTGCAACTTCATATTTCTTCTTATTTTCTTTCCTCTCTTTTTTTCTTCGGGTTTTCGTATTCGTTCTTCCTGACACGCAAGCTTATAATGGTGTCTCAGAAAAGTCTCATGCTCGCCACCTGTTCCAACTCGGCAGATAAGACAAGAGGAAGATGTCAGCAAGTTCTTCGTCTCAAGCTACATGCTCTTCAAATTCGTTCAGTCAGACAACAAAATCGAGGTTAGAAGAAGCATGGGATTAAATGTTTCGTATGCACAAGCACACCCGTAGATATCGCCCACGTTGTGGCAAAAGAAGACCCCCTGGTAAGTCATGACAATGACCTTACAATCACAAAGTTGCTAATGTATAGCTCAGCTGTCTTCACTCTATGAGCTTGGATTGTTAAACTTCAACATCACTTCAGCTTCAAACGCTTTGCCGTTGTGCCCGACCTGTCATTCCAAATTTGACCAGTCCATGGACCCGGGTTTCATAGTTCTTCCTTCTGATTTGAAGTATTTTATTTCTTTCGAAAATAATGATTTCTCGGGGAGACTCCGTACCGCAATTGAAGGAGAGGTAAGAGCAAGAGCATGTCCCACGGCGCAAATGTATCTTCCCAACCAGATCACTCGGAGCCAGGCCCCGCCAAATGCATCAAGTGGGCTATACTCCATATATCCCCTTAAAGGTATGCACCACTCGTCAAAGATTTGATAAGCGAACCCCACCGGAGTTGGCCAGGTGCCCCAATGGCAATTTTCAGGCGAGCTTTCCTCGCCCTTGGAGGCGGCCGGATCGGTGCCCTTCCAGGGGATGTACTCAACGATCTGTGCGAGCTTCAGAACTTGTATTTTCGGGATCATGTCGTGGGAACTGCACATGCGAGCCTACTCATGTACTATTATCACCACGGGGACGACGGGAACCAAAGGGACAACGGGCGCCAAGGGGACCAGGAGAACCAGGAGGACCCAGGGGATGAGGCTCGTTTCTCAAAACGTCGACGCACAAAACAGTCGCATTCAGGACATTGCGGTCATCAACTTTTTGCCATTCCCAGAGCGATGCATGTCACCGATGGTGCTTACTCCGCACCTTCGACTGCTTCGAGTTCCTTTCCTACTTGGGTCGCAAGATTGGGTTCTTGGACCCAACTCTACTAGCTCAGCAGCAGCAGAACGATATCGATCTCATTGCTCATCATAGAAGCCCTCTAGTGAGCGGGTGTGGATTGACTGCTCATGAAGCTGGACTTTAGAAATATAAATTTCTAGAGTAGTTGACGTTCAGGCTTGGATAATTGGGCCGAGAGAGACTCAAGTCTGCTGCATTCTGTTTGCTTGTTTACCTTTCTCAGTTTTTGCACCATTACTTTCTTAAGGGGGTTTTTTAAATCAGCTTTTGGGGTTTACTGCTTGATATAAGGTGGCGGGGCAGGGATCTCGGCATTAAGAAGTCAGGTTATCAGAGCAAGAATGAAGGATTTGATAGAAAGCTAGTACTTGCATCAGCATGGAGTACGTAGGTAGCGCGTAGACCAAATCCGAGTCCGCGACCGAACCACCGAACCCGAGCCCGTATTCTTCTCCCCCTTGCCCTAAATACCCTAGAAGTACAGGCCGAGTCCTGAGGTATATCGGGGTCTTTTAAGACCATTGCCATGTCACCTTTTACATTCCCCCACAAACAAACACCTTTCTATTATCACTTCATCACTTCCTCTCAAGTAATATGAGCTTGAGACCTCAAGAAGCACCTTCCTCGCAGGATGGATCGGAGCAATGCATCATCCTCGCAGACCAAGAGCCTCGCCGTGGTAATGTCTTGGAGAAAGGGTCCCCTGCCCTGAAGCACTGGAAGTTGGTCCAGCTCCAGATGGGGGTCTCCACGCCTGGCTTGTAGCGGCTGGTGTGGGATCAGTCTTCTTCTGCACACTTGGTCTTGCCAACTCTTTTGGCACATGTGAGGAATACTACTTGACTCACTAAATGAAGGGTGAAACTTCATCTGCTATCTCATGGATTGGCTCACTGCAATCCTTCTTACAGTTTATTTTTATTTATTTATTTATTTTTTTTCAGACATGCTGGGAGGCCCACTTTTTGATTGCTTTGGCACAAAGGTATGTCTTTCTCTCTGCAGAGTGAATCAGGAATTCTGCCGACAGAAAAGGAAGACAGATCTCCTGGCCTTCTGGCCTCATCTATGTAGCCGCCCTCATGATACTGAATGTATGTAAGACTTATTGGGAGGCTATGCTCGTGCAGGGTGTTCTAGTGGGCCTAGTGATGGTTTTTGTTTTTGTTTTTTTTTTTTTTTTTGGCAAATTCCAGCCTTTGCAGCAGTATCCTAACATTTTGATAAAAAAGAGCTGGAGCCCTGACCCTTGTAGTGGCTGGGTCTTCTATTGGTGGTGTTGTTACGCCTATTATTCTTTCCAAGGGCTTCAATGATTCATCACTAGGATTTGGATGGACAGTACGTGTGGTTGCCTTTGTGATCTCACCATTTATTGGGTTTTCCTGCGTTGCTACCAAATCTCATGTGCCACCACGCAAAACCCATTCTCCTAGTCCCCTACTGTGCCGGGGGCACTGCGAAATCCCAGATCTCTCATATTTCCTATCCTAGAACGCCGTAGGGCCGCGGGCTCCTATATCCACCCCTGAGATCCCTCGATCACAACCCGGTTCCTGTCGCAGGGAACAACGCACGTACGCCCCCCTTTACACCACTCAATGAGCATTTGCAATTCCTTTTTCAGTTTTTTGAAGGTGCTCTACCACACTGCATGTTGGGCTCTTCACTCACAACATATAAAGATAGAGATACATTGGCAATAAATCTGTTAAGACTCCCACACAACACTGAAGAAACCCAGTGTGATTGCAGAGAGGCTTGGGTAAGTTTGAAGAAGAGGAGGTGTAAGAAATGGTCTATAGGAGAGGTGGACCTTCTACAGAAGCTGAAACAGGATGACAGTCAGTCTTGGTCAGAAGTGGCAAGGTTAACTACTCATGGAGCAGTATCCAGGGAGAAGTCCAGGCGCGATACAGGTATTCTGGAGCACCAAACTCAACAAGAAAAAGGTTGGATGATCTGTGGGAACAGTGAACATTCGGAAGAGAGAATGAGTTAAAACAAGCAATTAGATAACCACCGATAATTTAAGTGACGTTAAATCCTTTGGCTTGCGTGCAACTGAATTAGCTACCCGTTTATAAGCCAGCATTCAATCTATGCATGCCTACGCTTACACTGCAATGCAAACAAGCCTTTTTTTTGGGGTCTTCTTATCCATCCCCTTCCCCCTCGCCCACCGTCCTGCTCAGAAGCAGGCACACTCCCGAAGCCATCCCAGCGAACTACAGCACGACCATGGGCCTGCTGGTGCTCGCGATCATGCCTCGGATTGTGTTTCTGGGCATCTCGGCAAGTTGCGGCTGACTGCATCCAGTTTTTGAGGAAGATCTAGTCCGTCGTGAGGGTCCTGCCTCACGCTGCAGAAATTCGATCGGAGATTAGTTCCCCCACTCCCCACCCCGGCCTTCAGCTGGCGGTTGTGGTAGTGTGGTGAGGCGGTGGGTGTGGCAGTATTATCTGGGAACACAAAAATTTTCAGGGGGTGAAATCCCTGTTTTTCAACCATGGTTTCTTGACAGGCATGTTGGATGGAAAGGTGAGATAAGAAGATATGGTTGGCTCAATTAGAGCTTCAAAGAGGTATTGGTTTTGAAGGGGTTGAACCCCTAAACGTAGGGGTCCGTTTGGTCAGGAAGAGATGGCTTTTGTAGGCTAAAAAATTGGAATGGGAAAAGGAAAAGCAAAAAAAAGCGTTAATTGACCTACGCAGGATTCGAACCTGCAATCTCTCGATCCGTAGTCGAGCGCCTTACCATTGGGCCAGCAGGCCTTGTTGAGGTCTTTGGAAAAGGTTAATGCATTTTAAGGAAAGTTCCCACACCTCTTTTAGGGTAGTGCTGTAAAGGGAGGCATACGTGCGTTGTTCCCTGCGACAGGAACCGGGTTGTGATCGAGGGATCTCAGGGGTGGATATAGGAGCCCGCGGCCCTACGGCGTTCTAGGATAGGAAATATGAGAGATCTGGGATTTCGCAGTGCCCCCGTGCACAGCAGCTTGTTGATAGCTTGCCTTAAGTATAATAACTAGTGGTATATATATGCCTCCTGAACTGACTGCTTCAATAATTGTGACCTATTCATAATTGCCTTAGATAACTCTGCATAGTCACTCACTGCACTCAACTGCAGTAACCACTTTAGAGGTAGAGCAGAGTCTCATCGAAGTTCCAAATATCATCTTCATGTATGTTATGTTCTTGAATAGCTGCTTGTACAGTCTGAAACTAAGGCATTATAACCTTTGAATCTTCCTGTTTTGTACATTGCTATGTCATTTGTCTTGTATGTCGTGTACGTAGCTCAGGATGGCGTTTAATAAATTTGTAGGGCCAGTTGATTCCAAGAGTTTGTTAGGTCACGTATGCAAGCATGTATATATTAGTCAGCAGCCATATGGGTCACGTGGCATGACAAGCATACTTTTAGCAGTGCAGGGCTCTGAGACTTGGAGCGCCAGCGATTAGTTCTAATACAATTAAGACCCCTATGAACTGCGCCACGGATTCCTGACCTTAGCATGCTAGTCGCACAATCCCTAGACCCGCCTACGTTCCGTAGCGCAGGTCTAAGAGAGTTGCTGTAGGATCTTGTAAATGATTGCAAAGCAGTATTTGGGCTATTCCACATAGAAACTCAGGCTGAATTGGAAATCCTCACATATCTGCATCTCATAATTGTTCTTAAGTGATTCTTCTTCATACTTGGTCAGTTTATGACCATTGGCGTGTGTCTCTTTTCGTGAATTAATACCGCGTAGCCGATCTTGAAGTGTACTTCTTGGGACCCCAAATATCTCAGCAGCTTTTAATTGAGAGCTGATTTTTCCAGTTTTATAGGCAGATATAGCCATTTGAAGATGATTTTCTTGAGAAAGCGGCATTTTATATAGTAAAGAAAAGGCGCGTTGAATGATGAATGTTGATGCGCGTGAAAAAAAAAAAACTGCCGACTCTGTAGTTGATTACGTTATTCTGGTGAAGAGCTTCAAGAGGTGACGCTTTTATGAGGCACAGGGATGCTGCTGGTTTGGGATGTGTCACTGGCTGTGTCTGACCCCATGGCAGGGAAATTGGGGGACAGAGAGGGCAGGGGAGATGGGGATTGGTCTCTGTTGGGTGTCCAGAGGGGTGGGTGGTGGTGGAGAGTTCGTTGGCTGGACATGGTCGAGGTGAGCGCGTTGTTAACTATGGGTTCGCTGGTAAATTACGCTAACATCTTTTAGGAATTCAGTCATGACAGCAAACCACATGATATTTTATCACATGATTTGGTGTCATGTGATAATATCGTTAGTCAGCTTACATTAGTTGTGCCGAGGCAATGTCCGGGGAAAGTCTGGGCGGAATGCAACCTCCGCCGTCATTTCGAGGGATGGCGACTCCGCGACCACCCTGCGCGCGGTGATATACATCCTGTTACTCTCGGAACTGCTCTCGTCTTTCACGACTTTGAGTTCATCATGGCTGACGATGATTTGAATCTGTCCTCGCTACCCCCATCGTCCAGTGCCACCTCCGCGTCCCACTTCTACCCTTTTGCGACATCCCCGGACATCATCCGTTCCCATGAGAAGGACGTCTTCGTCACAGCCAACTTGGTAAATCAGGCGCAGTCTATCATCCGCTCAATCAAAGGAGCACGTTTTGCGCATACCAACGCGGACGCGATTAAGAACCTAACGGAAATTCTATACCTATCCCTGACAACGCTTATCGGCAATCGCACCCTGGGAGAGGAGTATTGTGATATCGTCCAGGTCGAAGATGACACGCTCCAGCTACCCTCTTTTGCCCGACGGGCTGGATATATCTTGAGCAGCATTCTTGTCCCTTGGTCCCTTCAGCGTATCCTCCCGGCCTTTCGACAGCGGCTGCGTCCGAAGCTGGAACGTAGCATCGCCCGGCAGGAGTGGAAAGCTCAACAGCAATCCAGCGTCTCCTTTCCTTCTAAGAAAACAATTCATAAGAACCGACCCATATTTACGAAACTACGCATTCAGAAGTATCTTCTCGAGCATCTAGACTCGATCACGTCGCTCTCTCCCATCTACGCGCTCAGCATCGCCGCCTTCTATTTCACGGGCTCCTACTACCACCTGTCTAAATGTTTCTGGGGTCTTCGATATGTCTTCACCAGGAAGATGAACGAAAGCGAACGACGAATGGGATATGAAGTACTGGGGGTTCTCCTTGTGCTCCAGATTTCAGTGCAGACCGTCCTGCATATCAAGAAAGTCGGCGTATCGATCCAGGAAGAGGAACAAGCCGCGCTCGAACAGAGATCCGAATCTTCTCCTCGAAAGCAACTAGCGGATGCCCTGATTCCTTCAATTCAAAACCCCCCTTTCCTTCCACTCATGCCGTCGTCAACGCCTCGCTACGATCTCGCCGAGAACCCGAATGCTATTCCATGGATACCCGCGGGCCAACAGCGCAAATGTACCCTATGTCTCGAACTTCTCAAAGATCCGAGCGTCACTACATGTGGCCATGTCTTTTGCTGGATATGTGTTCGAGATTGGGTGCGTGAGAAGCCCGAATGCCCTCTTTGTCGACAACAAGTTCTTTTATCCAAGGTGCTTCCTTTACGGGGTTGATAGCTTTGAAGTGTCCTTTTTTCTTTTTCTTTTTCTTTTCTGCCCCCTCTTTTTTTTCCTTTCCCCTATTTCGTTATCGGATCACGGCTTCAACATTTCTTTAGACGGCGCAACCACTTTTCAGCTGTATTTTTTAGATACGTATTATGTATATACCCCTTTATATCCTGGTAATAGGAAACAAGCCACCGAGAAAAAGAAAGAACAATTTGTTCTTCTAGTGCTCTAGTAGAAACGCATATATCCTAGTATTCGAAGAAGTAGCAGACTAGAATGCCCATATTTCAACATGACTGCCAAATACATTTTTTACGACTATATATATGAACAGGAACAGAAGAGTATGACGGAGGGAATATATATGCACTGAAAGTGAGGTATAAGCGAGGAAGTTTAGATCACAATCCATTGCCATAAACAACGCCAATAACCCATGCAATACATAATGATAGAGATGCAAAAGGCCCATAAATGCATAAAGTCATATTTCCAGAGGCCTCCTGATGATAGAGTCAATATATCCAGTTAAAATGGAATGCCAGTAGTCACATTAGGATCAAGGCGAATTGGTAGGTTCAGTTCAGCATAGGCTGGTCTAGGAGGCGTGGGAGCCATTGATTTTCGTTTGCTGTCCATGATATTGAACAATGAAAAACATGCATAAGGATCCGCAGCTGCGTCTGCACGGGACAATGTTAGTTACTACTCGTTTGGAGGGTATCTTGTGGACATACATTGAATTTGCTGATGACTTAGAGCACTAGTCCAGTCACTACACCTCAAGTCATCGCCTTTATATAGCGGCGCTCCCAAGTATTCCTCTGCCTGCAGGCTCAGCCTGACTGGCCGTTTGTCAATCAGTTCCGGTTTGGACTGGCGGTACTTGACTAACTTGTACAGATGGCTGAGCTCGAAAAGTCCGTGCGCATCTATGTTCAGGTACTTGCGCAGCCGTGTAGAATCTGCCTTGATGCACACCCCGACTTTCATAATCCTTGGTGACTCGAGAAGTCTCCGCAGAGAAGGAGGGACCAAATCATCAACAATTCTTGCGGGTCTGAAAAGGGCTAGGTGAAAGATAGCTATTCGCTCTTCATTTGCAACCTGGATGAGGGAGACGTTATCTTGGATGCTGTCTCTGACGGAAGCCTGAGGCTTCCATTCGATGTCGAAACCGATGGTCTCGTTCTCGAGGAAATATTGGGCCACTGTTTCTGCACTTTCAAGTGTTTGGCAATAGTGAATGACGGCGTGCTTGCAATCCGGCCCTCTAACATTAGGACCCCAAAACCTTGTCGGTTGTGCCTGATCCGCAGAGGGACTTGGTCCACGAAAAGGCTGCTGCATGGGTACCCCGAGTTCGAAATGTTCAAAACTATTCATACGATCACATGCATCAACAGATATAGTTTCTGGCGATTTACTCCTAAGATTGCCAAGAGAATCCCTGCCTGTAAGGCAACCGATTGACCGACGAGGTAGATATGTGCTGTAAGGTCTCTGAGAGGCCCTTGAATTGTGGGTAGCGGTAGTATTGAATTTCTTGGATCCTGAAGAGGGAGTCTGATGGGAAGTAATGCTTCTGTTTAGGTTACTGCTTGCCGTTTTTGACCGCTGAGAGCCTTGCAGTTTGGTGGATAACTTCGTAGTACCGGGCGTTTTGCTGGTTGTATAATCAGAGTGTTTCAGTGTGGATTCATCATTCCCGTATTTTGGCGCAAGAGGCGCTTTGCTGCTTTTGCGAGTTTCTTCAACCTCCCTGCTGGTGTCCTTGCGTTCGATCCTCAATACTCGTCGCCCTAGTATGCGACGCTCAGAGAATCCAGTAGGGCCTTTGTGGCTTGAAGAAGTGACTGGAAGTGTGCTCTTGGTTCCTCGTTTACCGTTCCGAGAATTGTTCATCCCAGAAAGTTTAGTCCGTCGGTATTTAGCACGTAAGCGACGAACCGATCTCTCAGGCTCGTGATAAATCGTTGTCGAGCCCAGATTCAGAATATTAGGAGAACCCGGCAATAACAGCTTTCGAACGCGCTCCTCCGTCAAGGAGGAACGCTTTTCGTCTGCCTTAATCCAAAAGGCTGCTTGTTTCTGGATAGCAGACACACACATCCAAGTTTCAATAAATGAAGCACCCATCTTATTAGCCCACTCATGAAAACGTGTCAGATCCTGGCTCAACGGCTGGGGAACTCTAAAGAGTCCTTGCTCTCTGGCCCTATCAGGCACTCCGAGGGTATGAAGTTTGTCTTCCAGCTCCAAGCGTAACCAGTTGATGCTCAAATAGAGACTATATTCCGCTGAGAAGGAGGAATAAATATCACCCAATTCGAGAATCCATCGTCTAAGCCTGTCCCTGTGTATCAAAAGAGCACGATCACTAAGTCGCGTCCACATAGGGTAATGCGGGCGTAAGGTCGAAGCCAAATATCTTATCTCAGCGCGCAGTTGCCTTGCATTTGCAAGTACCAACTCAAAAGGTGCTATAACATCCAGTTGCCGCCATCGTATATCCAATTCTGAACTCCTGCAAGACTGTGCTTCCCGAGAATCCTGCATGTAGAATCCACGAAAGTCCCCACTGATAAGAGCCACTGGGTCTGGTCCGACGTCAGCTTTCCTTGAAAATGCTAAATTGTTCATAATGCTGTCTGCTATTCGGCGGTAAGGAGAGCGACGCATTAGGTAGCCCTTAAAGGAATCCAAACCGAGGGCACCAGAAACTGGCCTCTCGTATGTTGACCTGAGACGGAAAAAGGTGCGGAATGAATGAGCGGCAGCCTCAAAATCGAGGGTCATATCCGCAATTTCGGCATGTCGCTTCCGGTAGTTCCCTGCACGGAGAGGCGGCATTCCATCCATTATGCTTATGTCCAGAATGATTTTCCCCAAGCCTGAGAGGCCCATATACACATTATCCGTTTTCTTCTTCAATTCAGTGTAATCTTGTTGGATCTTGATGTCCAAATCTAGCAGACGATTAATTTTCCTTCTGGCGGAAACTCGAGGTCTGGTAAACTCGATATCAAGTTCGTGCACTATATTCGAAGTCGCTTCTATCCACAAGTGAACTTTGCGCCAAAGTATTGTGCGTCTTAAAATCCAAATCTCGCGTTTGCTTGCACGTATTGATGCACATAGTCGAGACACGACGCGTTCGAATCGCCTATATTTCAGTAACATATACTCGTCGCTCAATGATCGGTATGCCTCGGCCAATTGTGCTATCTCAGCATCGAAGCCCGAATATTTTAGGACATAGTACTCCGATGTTAACTCATCGACGGAAGGAAGGGAAAGTACTTTCACACCAATTCCGTCGATCGCCTGGAGACAAGTTAGTGTTGACAACGAAGCAACGTCACGCCTATATAATATACCTTTGCCCTGGGTATCGAATGCTTCAGATTGCGAATTGCAGACTCCAGTTCACAAGTAGTGGACACGACAGAAGAAAACTTGGAGTTAACTCTCTGGGCTCTCTCGAAAAATTTAGGGTTCAACAGCTGGCGAGTACGTTTCTCTCTTGCTTCTCGCTCCCTCGATTCCCTCTCTTTCGCACGTAGGGCATCTTTAACCGATACTGCCTTTGTTTTGACCTTACCACCACGTCTTCCTCGAATCAAGTTGTCCAGTTGACGAGATGTATCACCGGAATCGTCACCGAATAAATCGCCTTCCTCAGCATCATCAAAATCCTCGCTGTCATCCAATGACGCTCGAGCACATGTGGTGGTGGAAAAGGGTCTTTTCGAACTGACGACGGAAGAACGGAGGCATTGTGAAGGCAGAGGTACGGCAGCTGCAGAGGGCTGACCCGAAGAAGATACATTATCGGGCAGATGACTACATCCTTACAGTTAAATAAGGGAACAATCCAGGTCAAAGGTAAACTAACTATCGTCTATCCAACTCGCATTGTTGCAAAACGCCTGGGACTAAGCAAGTGCAATAGCTAGTGTTCCTTGCTGCACCAGATGATCGGCGAGTCAAGGCCGCAAGAAGCTTCGGGCAGGGCTTCATTCTTCAAGCCGACCACCATCGTAGTTAAATGCGTATTACGCAAACATTGAGGTAGGATGTATGCGGCGGTGGTGTCATCGAGGAAGATGAGCAACTTGACCGGAGAAAAAGAAGGGAGAAGCGATAAAAAGGAGAGAAAGGGAAGAGTTCAGGTACGCTTTGATACCTCGCTCGTTCGGGTTTAGCCTGACGGACCGGATCAACATTTCCGCGCCACTGCCTGGAAGCCCTTTTGAAGGACGCTTCACTTCAATCCACAGCTTCTCCATCATCCAAAGTATTTGGCTTTAGGTATCAGGCTCCAGCCATCAAAGCACAATGGCCTCGCAACTTCTTCCTCTAGGTTAGTATGGAAGCGGTTTGTGGAATCGTACTCGGTAGTTTTCGTCTACTGATCTGCTCGATAGAGCTTATCGACAAGTGTGTCGGTTCCAGAATCTGGGTCATCATGAAGGGGGATAAAGGTTAGAACAGTTTATCTCTTGAGAGAAGATAGCCCAAGCTGACTGATTAATCTATTTGCAAAAGAATTTTCCGGGACGTTACTCGGCTTCGATGATTATGTCAGTAAGTGGTCATTGATCATTTTGTTTTCTTGACTTGACGGATACTGAGCAGTTTGTTTAGATATGGTGTTGGAAGATGTGACCGAATTGTATGTTATTATTTATTCTCGGCTGCATCTTTTGACTTGTGCCTCCTTTCTTAAAGGCCACGATGAACCTCGTTAAGGGGTCTGCTACTGCAGGGCTGCGGCTGCTAACTCGATTGCAGTGACTACACGGGATCCCAAGTGAAGCTCAAAAAAATATTGCTTAACGGGAATAACATCTGCATGGTACGTCCTGGGGATTTGAACGGTGCCATGATTAGCGGATCTGACTTATGTTCACAGTTGATCCCCGGAGGAGAGGGACCCGTTGGGGCCGCTTAAAGATCATGATACCCTACGTTCTTTCCTCCTAGTTTCTGACGAGAATGATATGGACATCAGTTGCACGAACTCTGCTTTGAATCTAAAACAGTGGATTATCGATCAGTTTCCCTCGACAAGTAGTATTTTTGGGACATAGATACCTGGGCTAGAAGCTGGCCATTTCTTATGTACAGGTCACCTCGTTTTGGACTGGGAATGGAAATCCGTCATACTCCGCTCCCAGCGCTGCCAGAGACTGAACCCCCCAGTCATACGACGTCCAAGGGTGCGCAATTAATTTAAGGTTGTGCTTGGTGGTGAGCCTGGAAGACCAAGTGTTCAACATCGATGGCCCTTGGTGTTGCCGGCCAGAAGGAGCCAGTCCGTCTATAGAAGCCCGTATTCCCACTTATCAGCCAATGTACAGCACATGTGTTAGCCTTCCATGTCTGAATATGATTATCTAACCTACCAGGCTTTTAGGTAATATGTATTTGCTATTCCCCACACCCGACTATGACAGATGTGGGGTGCGGGGATGATAATATTGTTAAATTATTCCCGTTGAGAGTCTGGCATTTAGGGACTCTGTATGACACTTAAGAAAAACTCAGGCATCAGTCATTTGCTCTGGACTGAACTGAAACTCGGAGACCAAAATCGTTGACCAGTCGTGCATCAGGAAAAGCATAACCGCGAAGGAGCTCTGTATAATATACGCCGTAGACCATTGCGCTGCATAACAAATCATTCAGATCACTAGAATGGTCATGATCAGGGGGCGCTACATGACTCGGACGCTCAGTCATTCCACATGATGTAGCAGTGAGCTACAGTGTTGTGGACTCCTCTCAACAGGTGGCATAATTCATCGGGTTTCCGAGAACTGTGCATATGCTGCTGCATATAGTGAAGTATGTTTACAGGGGACCGTATGAGATGCTCCTTTCTAGCTCTGACCACTGTATACGGGTTAATAAAGGCGCCTGTCCTCGGACCTCTTTGCTGCATCGAGAATAGTATATTCGACTAGAACTCGTAGCTGCTAGACTTATCAAAGATATTACAAAGACCATTTACTCACGGCTTCAGAAATACAGGATACCTTTGTTGACACGTGATGGTCTGGTGACGCTGCTTTCGACTTTGTTGCCGTTAGAAAGGAAAGAAACCATGGACAAAACAAAAGTACGCCCCAGCTGCAGCGCTTCCATCCGTAAATATCACACTGATTATCGGCTTTCCTATCTGTGATAATTATTCTACGGAGTACTAATTCTATCTATCAATTATTATGATTGAAGTGGGGACTTGCTGTGCGCCCGACGTCGACAGAGATCGATGCAACCCTGCTGGAACAAGTCCCAACGCGTCTGAGCATCATGGAGGATAATATAATGGCCTGGTTCTTGTCGATTGGGATCCACCCTCGGTCTATGGAGATCATGGCTTCCATTGACTTGCCAGAGAACTTTTCTACGCGTTTTCCGTGCATAGAGTGGAAGCCTGTCGAGTTATCAAAGTTCAACCAGAAGACAGCCATTGATGCGAGTATGAATCGCCGGCTTCCACGGCGACCTTCCAGAAGGCATCCCTTCTAGGGTTGCATGATCTGCAACGGAGACCGGAGACTTGGTTTCCCAATACCCAACGAGAGCCTGTGTGGTTATCAGCAAAGGAGGATTGCCAGCCGCCTTGGCCGGCCAATGGGCACTGCATGGGAGTCCGATGGATGCTGATCTATTTAATTGCGAACTCAATTTCGCAGGTGGTCACACGCTTCCTGTGATGGACAGAACGGACCGAAGAGGGAAGAGAGAAAGGAGGGGAAGAGGGCAAGGATCAAATCTCTCGGTTGCATTTGCATCCAGGCATATGGACGATCCTGGCGCAAAGGACGAATCCCCGCACAGCGCGCTGTACACACTACAGCATGCTACTGCGTTTGCAGTTCATACTGCGGCATCCGTGCCTAGACTCTTTCGCTCCGGGGGACGCGACATCGCGTTATGGAGCAGCAGACATTATGTGCTCCACGGTCGTCTGTGGCAATCAATCACCTAAACTCTGATAAGGATCAAGGAACGGTATGACGCCTGCTTATTATGTACTCGATCTCGCTAGATACTATCTCACCGAGCCACGAAGCTTGGTTTGCGACGCCCATGTCTGTATCCGAGTCCCCGATTGCTGCATCGAGGTTGGCTACATGGATACAACCGCACATCGACTGACCCGCCTCCCGTTGATGATTTTAGCGAAGGCCTGATCATGCGCAAGCGCAGAATAGTCTCCCCCGGCGAACCAACCACATAACGCCTTTCGTATCTTTTTTCTTTCCCCGATGGCGCCTCTTGCAGGACTCTTAAGGTTCATCCAAGGGTCATCCCTAAGCCGTGGCTTCGTTGCTTATTTGGCCGACCCCCTGCTTCGATTGCGCGCGCAACAGACCATGCCTCATATATATATCTCTACCCTGTGCTCCATACGCTGTATATAATCCAACATAATTTTCTTCCCTTCCAAGGCTTTTCGAGCCCTTTCTCGAAGCCCACACGCAGTGATTCCCTTATCTACGGATCTTTCCTCCCTCTCGCACCTGTCCCCTTCTTCCTTTCTCACTTCTTCTCCCCTGGTACAGAATACTAGGGTCTTACTATTCTCTTGTGTCTCTAAGACACGCCATTTATTATGGAGAAAGATACCGAAGCCAAGTCAACGCCTTCCTTCGCGGCCGACCTTCCATCCTACGGCGAATCCGAACCCACAAGGCCGAGCCTTCCACAGCGGATATTGGATAGTTTTAAGAGAGATCCAAATGCAACTGTCGCGGAGACCTTGAATGATGGCGGAAAGCGTCATGTCGATGTTGAAGCTGCCGCCGCAAACACGGCCGCATCTCCATTGCAGCGAAGGTTGAAGGGTCGTCATCTGCAGATGATTGCGATTGGTGGCTCGATTGGTATGCATTCAGAATGCCTTGCCCCCGTTCTTCCACTTTTGCGATTCCTTCCTTTTGAAGATTGTATAGCGTCGATCTGACTCCCCGTTTCTAGGTACTGGTCTCTTCGTCGGCTCTGGCAACGTCTTGGCAAGCGGTGGTCCTGCATCGCTACTGATTGCCTACGTGTTAATCGGCATAATGCTATACTGCACCATGCAGAGCTTAGGAGAGATGGCTGTCGCCTTCCCTGTCGCTGGTTCCTTTGCCCATTACTCTACTCGTTTTCTAGATCCCGCCTGGGGCTTCGCTATGGGTTGGAATTACGCGATCCAGTGGCTTGTTACAATGCCATTGGAGATTGTTGCCGCTTCCATGGTTATTGACTACTGGGACTCAACCGTCTCCAACGCCGCATGGGTTGCTATCTTCTGGGTTGTGATTGTCTCCATCAATTTGTTCGGCGTCAGGGGTTATGGTGAAGCAGAATTCCTCTTCTCCTGCATCAAGGTCACTGCCGTGATCGGATTCATGTGAGTAATGGATAAAACATTGGTGTCTTTTCCCTTCCCACTCGGCCCTGCTAATCCGTGAAAAGTATCCTCGGCATTATTCTTGACTGTGGTGGTGGCCCACATGGCGGCTACATTGGCGGCAGGTACTGGCATCATCCTGGGGCCTTCAATCACGGCTTCAAGGGCGTGTGCAGTGTCTTTGTCAACGCTGCCTTCGCCTTCGCCGGTACCGAGTTAGTCGGTCTCGCAGCCGCCGAGACTGCCAACCCTCGGAAGACCCTTCCAACGGCCACAAAGCAGGTCTTCTGGCGTATCTGCCTCTTCTACATTGTTTCTCTTACCCTCGTCGGCCTCCTCGTGCCATACGATGATGAACGACTCACCCAAGGAAGCTCCAGCGCCGACGCTCGAGCCTCGCCGTTTGTTATCTCTATTCGCAATGCCGGCATTTCCGGTCTCCCCTCCGTCATGAATGCCGTTATCTTGATCGCCGTCTTGTCTGTCGGCAACTCGGCTGTTTATGGCACATCCCGTACGTTGGCCGCCCTCGCCGACCAGGGTCAAGCACCTAAGATACTAGGCTACATCGATCGCGAAGGTCGTCCTCTCGTCTCGATCGTGATTGCATCCCTCTTCGGTTTACTCTGCTTTTTGGCCGCGTCCTCCAAGCAGGAAGATGCGTTCAACTGGATGATGGCCATCTCTGGTCTTTCGTCGATCTTCACTTGGGGTTCCATCTGCTTGTCGCATATCCGGTTCCGCCGTGCCTGGAAAGTGCAGGGTCACAGCCTGAGTGAGCTGGCCTTTACGTCGCAAGCGGGCGTGATCGGCTCGTGGATTGGCTTCATTTTTAACTGCCTAGTCCTCATGGCCCAATTCTGGGTAGGGTTTGCGCCAGTCGGGTACGCATCGATGACTGCTTCCCAACTGGTTGAGAACTGGTTCCAAGCCTATCTTGCCTGCCCAGTTGTCCTGGCCTTCTATTTCCCATACAAGCTGTGGTTCAAAACTCCGTTTGTTCGTGCCAGAGACATGGATCTAATGACGGGTCGGCGTGATCTCGATATCCAGCAACTTCTTGAAGAGGAACGGGCAGAACAGGCCCAATGGCCTCTTTGGAAGAGAGTATACAGGTTTTTCTGCTGAGCGAAATAAGCCATGTAATTCTTCTAATCCTCTTGTTTTTTTACACTTTGCGAAAGTTGCTGTGCATTGATACAACGGCCCATGACGATTTCCTTATTACTCCTTTCATAGAAGATATCCCGTCTGCATAATATTATCATCTGCATTAGCATCCGGAAGCTGAGACGGCATTAATATGATGAGACGACTTGAATTGAGTGCTCCACGTAGACTGCGAGGCGACAAGTAACTGAACAGCCAAAAATAGCAGGTAACACGTGCCGTTGTTTCAGTGTGTAAATTACGCTCGTTTGATCAATACTAGCTTGTTCTGCCGCTACTCTGCGGTCGGCCTTGTCTAAGATTAATCTCCGTATATTACCTGTATTACCGCCCATTTGCTGACGGCCAAGGCGAACAAGCTCCCCCCGGAATGCTTCAAGGCTCTCTCAGCCTGTGCGATTCCACTCTGCTCCTGACTCTCGACCGTTTCCTTCTCTCCGTTCCTTTATTGACCGTCTGATCTGATCTATCCTACCTCTGTTCCCCAGCTTCCGTCGTCCGCGGCCTCTCTTCTCTTAACCCGCGTTCTCATCCTGCCGACGTTCAGCCTTATCCCTCATACCAACCGTACAACAGGCACCTTCGAGAGATATAGCGGAGGACGACATAATCAGAGTCCATTGGCCCTTCCGTCATTTCATTCTTCCATATCTTCCGTAACGATTGCTGTTTGCCGTTTGCAGTTGTTCTCGCAACTCTGGCCTCTGTTTTGCGTCTCCGTGCGCATGAATCTTGGCAGGCTACGGAGTATCGCATTGCTCATTCCTTCGCATATAGTCCGTTCTCCGATCCTTGTTGATACCCCCGGCCTTTCACCAGGCCTCGTTTTGATTAGTTGAGACGTTTCAGTGATTCTTGCTGTTTGTTCGCCACTGCCTCTCTTACACTCTATTGACGCCCTTCCGCTAGCATGCCTGGCTTTGCGGATTCGTTCTGGACGCCGGACTATGTCTCTGGCCTGGAGGTTCTCTATGAGAAGCTCCAGCAAGGCGTCGTGGAGAATAAGCAGATTTTGACCATTGTTTCTATGCGCGCGGACGCCGAGGAACAATATAGCGTCAAACTGGGCGGGATTGCACCGGCTGTGGATAAGTTGACTCCGAATGGGTTTTCTAAAGATGATGGGGCAAGCGTTAGGAAGGTAGGTAGACTCTTTACCGCGCCGGTACATTCTCAGGAATTTCTGACATGGGCTGTCTGGCTCTTGCAAGGCATACGAAGGTGTACGCTCCGAGATGGTCGAAGCGTCCAAGAAGCACCAGAAGATTGCATCGAATATTCGAGAGCTTGTCGTGACGCCGTTCAGTCGATGGAGCGAACAACATGAACTTCGGATCCAGAATTCACACGACGATCTCCTGGCTCGCTTCAAGGAATACAGTAAGATGCTGCAGCTGGTGAAGAAACTACGGAGTCAGTACTTCAACAAGTGCCGCGTGGTTGAAGATTTGGAGGAGGAGAATAAATTAGCCTTTCAAAGCCCCGATATGAGCCCTCAGGCCAATCCCACCCCAAAGATTGTCCTGCCGGAAGAGGAGGAAGAAAACATTGAACCGGTTGAAATCGGGGACAAGATGTACGCGCCCGAGGACCTCAAGAAACTCTTGGCTCATATGCTCGAGACTATCAAGCTCGGGGAAGCCAAGGTTCCTATTCTCGGAACCTACCAGAACACCTCTACTGGTGCTGATATCGTGGAGTATCTGCAGAAGCATCTGGATGCCTCGACAGTTAGCTACGCAGAACACATTGGGCAGGATCTTGTCAACAATGGCTTTCTTCGGTTGGTCGGCAACGTGGGCAGCACGTTCGCAAATAGTTCGAAGTTGAACTACCAGTGGCGGTCTGTGGCTTTCAAGATCGCAGGGGTTCCTGAAAAGAGGAAGCCTCTACTCCGTGTAGGCTCAATGGTAAGCGAGGATGGCGTCGATTCCCCGATAGCCTCTGTTTCTGAGATGCTGGCTGGGTGGAATCCCCTTAACAATCCCCATCCGAACGAGACTCCAGCAGAGAAATTACGCAGGGAAGCTCGCGAGGCAGACGAGCGGTATAAGAACGCAGTGAAGAAGCTCGACCAGTTCAGATGCAAGCTCGAAGAGGAGATTGTCGATAATCTCCGCTTCATGGAACAGTGTGAGCTGGATCGTCTCAAGGCGATAAAGGCTGTTGTTCTTGATTTCTCAGGAGCTGTCAGCAATGTCATCCCGACTCTGCAGAGCGCAGTCGACAATATGATGCTGTACCAGGAGACTATTCAGCCTCTAGGAGATCTGAGATATCTCCTTGAAAACTACCGAACGGGTGGATTTGTGCCTAAGGTAGAACCATACGAGAATTATTATGGTTCGGTGGAAGGTGGGCTATGTCTGACCTATTTAGTTCATTATACTATAACTTGTTTCTGACGAGCGATAGATCAAATATTTGGCGTTGACCTTGAGGCTAGATCGAGAGCTGATCGCAAACGGGTCCCGATTCTCGTCACTACAATTTTGAGCTATCTTGATAATCGTAAGGGCAATGTTGCTTTGCTTGTTGCTGCGGTTACTGACCATGGCAGACTATCCCGAACTCGAAGGCGATGAGACACGACGTGCAATTTGGCTTTATAATGTTCCCTTGGCGGCGACGCATCAGCTTCGTAATGCTTTGAACAATAGCAAAACCGATTATCGTGAAGTGTTGGAGAAATTTGAGATACCCGTTGTTGCGAGCGTTTTGAAATTGTATTTCCTTGAATTGCCAGGTACGTGGGATCTCTCCCTTAGTTGCGCTGCGTTTGGACGCTAACGATACTCTTTCCTCACTAGACTCCCTTGTTTCCTCACAAGTCTACGAAATCGTGAAGACGATTTATTCTACTACGGCTCATGAGACTACGGAAGAAGGACGGATCAAGGTCCTGCAGAGTACCCTGGGACAGCTCCGCCTCAATAACATTGCTACGCTTGACGCCATCATGACCCATTTTACACGGCTGATTGAACTGACTTCTGCCGATGAAACGTATATCGCAGCCCTCGCTCAGAACCTAGCTCCCTGTATCCTGCGGCCGCGTTTCGAGAGCAGCTTGACCATGAACGAGCGCCACAGCTATCGCCTGATCCGTGACCTCTTCGCACACAAGGAGGCTATCTTCGGTGAGCTGAAACGTCAATCGAGTGCCCATGGGCTTTCGAATACCGGTCGTGCACGCGCGATCAGCACAGATGAGAGCAACCGTCGCGCAGCCATGGAGGCTCGTCAGCGTGCTATTGTCAACCGTAGCCGCGCCAACAGTCCCGCCCCTCTTCGAAAACACCGACGAGACCGGTCCAGCGGCCCAGAAAACGGGCGGTTCCCGATCAACGTGAGCAGTCCGCCTGTTGGGCGGAGGAGCACAAGGGACAGTCTTGAAGTCCCCGGCCGTCGCGACTCGCAGACAGCAACTGATCGGGCATCCACTGTTGATGCGCAAACGGCCGCAGAAGTTACCAGCAATGGTGATTCCGTCGCTAGCATTAGCACCGTCTCCGTCTCGGAGACATCAAGTCCCTCACCAGCGACGGAAACAGAAGCAGCAGCTGCGACGCCAGCCACCCCATCAGACGCCACTAGCGAACTCAAGCAACGTGATTCCCTCTCCCGGTCCAGCGCACGACATTCGCATAAGAAGAGTGGCCTGACAAACCGATCCAGTGTGGGTACTTCGGCGAGCACCGCCGCCGGAGATGGCCCTAGTAGTAGCCGGACGAGTCTGGTAGAGACCGAGCCGAAAGGCGTGACATTGGAAGATAAGGCAATGGATGATTGATGATTTTGCTTGTGATTCTTTCAGCGCAAGCAGGCAATGTATGTATATCCGTACTTATCCAATATCCCATATCATCGTCTTTCATCGAGGCCAATTGCGGATTTCTCGGGGTGGGAGTGGCGTGTTCTTTGGCAAGATGTATACATTTTATATGCTTCTTCTCTTCCAACTTTTTGTCCTTGTGTGTTTCTTTTTTAACGGCCTTATGTATCTATCTATGCACCTATCTATACAAACTTGTTTTCTCCCGCCTAGAGTCAAGGCTTTTCGTACTTAAGCAGCGGTCTCTGCGGTCTCTTTGACTACTACCTTCGTGCTGGGACATGCTGAGTAATTGCCAGTTGACTTGCAACGGACATGATGGTTTGTCGGCAATCAAGACTGCTGTTTTGCAACTAATACTAATAATGAACATTGGAAACAAAGAGCTGATGATGAGTCGGAATCTGTGTACTCCGTATAATAAGATACTAGGATATGCGCTACCTGGATAAATACATATTTAACGCTGGCAACATTTAAACCTTGAATACGCCATACTCGAATGTAACGATGAACACCATGTGCTTTCCAGACCCCAGACGAATGATTGAATTCATGTATCTCGTAATAGCAATTCCACTTCTTTCATCACAATCCCTCGCCAACGAGCAATCTGCGGAGGATATTCTCGCCGGGACCGGAAATCTGACTCTCGACTTCCTTCTGCGAGACAAAGCAGACAAGGCGCTTCTCATCGAGGCCCTTAACTGGGGTCGATGGTCCGGAAGATTTGGAAGGTGTGCGTGAGCCACCGACCAGAGTGCTGCCTCTACTACGGCCTTGGAATTCACCGACTAGGCCCATTGTCTCTAAATTGCTGAGGACGTCTTTGAATTCTGTTGCCGTAAGCGGATGGAGAATATTGTCATTCCGACACAATGTGCAATAAGCGTCAAATACTTGCTTCACCGTCGGTGGCTGGTTTCTCATTTTCGAAGGGGTGCTAGGCATCTCGACATCCCGCCGCTTTCTGTCCAGAGCAATCAACGCGCAAATGGCCGCTTTTTGTTGAAGGTTGAGATTTTGCAGTCTCTGAAGGGTACCTTGTCCGAAAGCCGAGGAGGTGATGCGTGCCACATGCGCAATGCTAGCACGTGGCGCTGTGAAAACTGTATAGCTAGCCATTGAGACATGTTTGGAAGTGGGAGTTCTCGCGGAAGATGAAAGATTGATATTCTCGACGAGAGCCCCAGAATCGCCCTCTTGGGTTGCATCTGCTCGTTCCAGTTTCCGTTGTATCTCCTGTTCAATGACATCGATAGCGCGCTTAACTAGCTCAAAGGCCTTTCGCAGATCCCCGGTTTGGGATGCAACCTTCTTCGAGCATAGTTGTATGGCTGCAGGCTGTAGAAACGGAACAAAGTTTGCATCGGCATCATGATCAGCAGGGAGCAACGATTTGAGACGGTTGGTTATCACGCTCGCAATCTGGGTGGCATTGTAGGGCAAAAAAGGAAGCAAACGAGGCTTGAGATTCTTTGCTTTCAATTGTGGCAAGGAGCGGTCTGTCAGATCCAAGGCATTGGCAATTCCAATTAGCAGAAGATGGGAGTTCTTGTGTAGTGACCATTCAAACAGAGACTGCAGTATCTCCGAGTCAGCCCCTAGAAGATGGTCGATCTCATCCAGAGTGACGAGGAAGAACCCCGAGCCTTTCTTGGCTGGGATGAACATCTCCTTCAACTGATCGCGCTCGCTTTTCTTGAAAACCTGGAAGTCCTCAGATAGGTCTTCAATAAGCTTGCTGTAGACGTCGCGCGCATTCCGTATGCTTGCGCAGTTGATATGGGAGATGTGGACGGTCTTGAGTTCTAATTCACGGCACACTTCCTCAACCATCGCACTTTTCCCCGTGCCCGGAGGGCCACTGACGTAGAGACAGCCACCTCGCCGTGACTCTACTCCATCTTGGATAAATGATACTAGCTTCTCACGTTCCGACTCTCGTCCAATAAGCCGGCCAGGATTCGCACCTCTGGCGAACAGTTGTCTTGCTTGAGTATATACGGTTTGAGAAGAAGTTGTAGGAGCGGTAGCTTGTCGAGGGGTTCGCGGAGTCAAAGGTTTCCCGCTAATCTGCACTCGATGCTTCGGAGTGACGGGTGGAGTATCCAAGACATCATGGTACCTGGACTTGCGAGGTGTCTTGATACCCACTGGGGTTGAGTTTTCATCTGGTATGGTCAGCGGGAGTTCAGCAAAAACTATGAAGTAGTAGCCCTACCATTGACCGGCTTGGAAGACCTGAAAAGAGAATTGATCTTCTTTGAAGGGACAGCATGCTCATCGTCACAAATACTATGTTTGGAGCGTATACTGCTGACGGGACTCTTGACCTCGGCATCATTCTCCTGCTGGGCGCTAGTTCCGTTTCTCGTCCGCGATCTGAGCTGGCGAGGAGATGACAAAGATGCATCCTGGTCATCCTGACGGATTTTAACCGATCGTGCTTGCCTTTTGCTGCTGGAGGTTCGGACTGGTAGTTCTTGGGGATTGCAGTTAGCAACACGGAAAGCGTTAACGAGGACGAGATGGAGTTACCCTGCAGTTCAATTGCACCTCTCTGGCGCTTACCCAGGACTGAGACTGCCATGGTTATACAAGAGGCACGACGGTGGTAACTTCCCACAAGCTGGTGACGGGGGAACTGCAGATATTATAAAAGCTCCTCGCGACGCTCCTTAACGCGTCACATACCTTCGCGTCGCGCGCTGGAAGACACGTGATGAGTACAGTTACCGACGATACCGTAAAAGACGTAACTCCCGTAACGGCCTCGGCAGAACAAATAGCCGAGCTTGCAAAGTGCGTCACTCGAGAGAGCCGCTTTGTACTGTACATGCTGCTGTTCCCGTCGATCTATGAATAGCTTCATCGCGCCTCCTTGCCGCACGGTTCTTTCTCGGGCGTCGTCGATTCTCTTTATCAGCAATATAGATTGCTACAGACCCTGACTGCTTTATCCTCTCTCCTCACAATCAAGAAATCTCCTATACTCCAATTACTCAGCTGATTTTGCAGCAATATCTCTATCGCCATCTTACTACCCCACTGCGCGCCGTCTGCGTCAGCCTGCCATAGTCTCTGTTATATCTTTGAAAGATTCCTCTCTACCTCCGACGTTTGACCTTTTTAACGCTATTTATCCCTCACCTTTCGCCATGGATGGCGATGTGGTGGCCCAGTTCTCCGAGGTCACCGGCTCGACCCCGGAGCTGGCAATTCAATACCTCCAGCTCACCGATTTCAACATCGAACAGGCAACGATGCTCTACTTTGAAAATGGGGGTGCACCCTTGACAGAAGAACCCACACCCTCTCACTCTATCTCGCACGGTGCTGGAGGCGCTGGCTCGGGAGTTGTACATATAGACTCGGACGATGATGTCGTTGTGGATGAAGCAAGATCAACCCCTCGAACTCAACCTGCGAGACCGGGGCATGGCTTAGGTGCGAATATCGAAGATGATGAGGCTATGGCCCGCCGCCTGCAGGAGGAACTCTACTCTGGGACCGGCTCTGATGGAGTCCGAGCTCCTATGGCACGCACAACGGAAACCCTCGTTGGCCCAGAGGAGGATTTTGATGGTGATATGAACTCGAGTATATTAAGAGAGCTGCGTTATCATCAGTCACGGAGTGGTTAGTGAACCTTTTTGTCGTACTGGTTGTTATGCTCACCATATATATATCTTCAGGTCGACCCGGTATCTTTAATCAGAGGGATCCACAGTCTATCTGGGCCGGTGACTCGGGGGTTTCACCGCGTGAAAGACTCTCAGCAGCAACGGGGGGTGCTTCCGAAACCTCGTCGAAATCAAGCATGCTTGCCGAAATGTATCGCCCCCCATTTGAGTTGATCACGCAATTGCCATGGGACCTGGCGCGCGAAGAAGGTCGCGATAATGAGAGGTGGTTGTTGGTTAACATCCAGGACCCCTCGATCTTTGACTGCCAGGTGTTGAATAGAGATCTGTGGAAGGATCCTGCAGTAAGGGAAACCATCAAGGAACACTTCGTTTTCTTGCAATACTCAAAAGACGACCCCCGCGCTGCGCCGTACCTACAATACTACTTTCAAGCGAGCGATGTTTCCGAAAACTATCCCCACATAGCCATCGTCGATCCCCGTACTGGAGAACAAATGAAGGTGTGGTCGGGGCCGCCTGTGATGAAGCCAGCGGACTTCCTCATGCAGCTTCATGAATTCCTTGATCGCTACAGCCTGAATCCTAATGTCCGAAACCCAGTGGCAAAGCGGAAACCGGAGAAGAAGGAGAAGAGTATTGACGCAATGACAGAGGAGGAGATGATGGAAATGGCGATGAGGAACAGTTTGGGTGAAGGGGTGCTGCCGCCGCGCAAATTAGAGGATCCAGACGAGTTAACCCGCAGTGTTGAGGATGTGAAGGGAAAGGGCAAGGCGGTTGATAGAGAGGACGTTATCATGGGTGAAATGGAACAAGAGGAGGGAGATACAGGAGCTGAAGCTTCTCTATTCTCCTCCATTGCTAGCGATCGACCGCACACAGAACCTCCATCTGATCCTGCCACGACAACCCGCATTCAGTTCCGGCACCCGTCTGGTAGGGTGATCCGGCGTTTTTCTCTGTCAGATCCTGTCCAGCGCATTTATGAATGGCTCAAAGCCGATCCTCCACTGGAGGATAAGGCCGGTATCCCATTTGAATTGAATGCCATGGGCCACAACCTCATAGACGAACTCCAGACTAGCATCCAGGATGCCGGTTTAAAGAATGGAACCGTCATGATAGGCTATCTGGAAGAATGAAAGGACCGAGAGCATGCATATCCGATACGGGTATGGATTTGAATAGATTAACATGAGAGCCACCTGTGATGGCGCCTGAGATACCACCTTTCGTCCTTTCCTGTTTGGTCTTCTGTGGCAGTTAAGCTCTATGCAATATACACTGCTGCAGCATTGCTTGGGCTTGTCCCAACTCCCAAACAGTGCTGAGCGCTATGCGACCAACGTGGATGGGTGGGCATGGAGCATTAGATATTCCTTGCTATTGTTACAAAGTCCTTCAACTGGACCTCTAATCCCAGCAATGCATACGGACGTTGTAACTGCTGAAGAATAAGAAATATCAAGTACACCGCCTGGGGAAAACTGCCTGTAGTATGCAAGGCGGTGACTGCGTAAACAGACAGGTGCTCTTCCGCCTGGCAGAATAACCCCCCACGTTACCCCAGACACCATCTTGTTGTTCTCTTTCTAAGCTCTGTCCTTATTCCCTTTCATGATCTTTGCTTTTGTTCAAATTGGTGCCATTCCTGGTGAGATCTAGTGGTTGTTTCTGTTAATCAGTTTATTTGATACAGGTACGCCTTTGGTGGGTTGTGCTGCCCTAAACTTTGCTATTACCCAGGGATCGCATCAAAACAAAGTAAGTACAGACTGGACAACACTGACATTCTGGCTCCAGCCTTCAGTTGAACACCATTCTTTTGACCTCTTATTATAAGGGATTCACCTGCTGGAGTCTACTCTTCTATATTTCTACTGCATGAACTGATTTTTGAACCAAGTACTTTTTCTGGTTATACAGATGAATGATTGATACCCTCCTGCGAGCTTTTGAATACCACAACCATGGAGGGCCAAGTAGACCCAGAAAGCATTTATATGAGACAGCACTGCATTGGTATGCCCTAAATTATGATTCGTGAGCAACCTTACGACACCTCCGATTTTCTAACTGTCGTTGTCCTTGCAGGTGGTGGGAGCTTTGGACGAGTCTATAAGGGGTACGCTCGCCACTACGGCTTCTGTATTTATCCATACTATCTAGCTCACAAGTTTTCAGGGTCGATAAGCGTACGGGTACTTCCGTTGCTATCAAGATCATTGATGTCGAAAATGCCGAGGACGAGGTCGACGACATCATCCAAGAGATCGCTATTCTATCCGGTCTGAACTCCCCATATGTAACAAGATACTATGGATCATATTTGAAAGGGTCTCATTTGTGGATCATAATGGAATTTTGTTCCGGAGGGAGCTGCTCGGATTTAATGCGCCCAGGGCCCATCCCGGAGGAGTATATCATGATCATTATTCGGGAACTGCTTAAGGGCTTGGACTATTTGCACCGGGATCAGAAGTTGCATCGCGATGTTAAAGGTGCCGTTTTGAATCGTACCATTGCCCTTTCTTCTCAAACTGACAGTTGCTGCAGCTGCAAACATCCTCTTGACTGCGAACGGCCAGGTCAAGCTGGCAGACTTTGGAGTCTCCGGGCAATTGTCAGCGACGATGACCAAGAAAAACACGTTCGTCGGCACCCCCTTCTGGATGGCACCGGAGGTTATTAAACAATCTGGCTATGACTATAAAGCCGACATCTGGTCCCTCGGGATTACAGCCATTGAATTGGCGAAGGGAGAGCCTCCATATTCTGACATTCATCCGATGAAGGTCCTTTTTTTGATACCGAAGAATTCTCCCCCACAGCTCCAGGGAAACTTCAGCAGAGCGTTTAAAAGCTTTGTTGACCTCTGCCTGAGGCGGGACCCAAGAGAGAGACCATCAGCTAGAGAATTACTGGAACATCCGTTTATCAAACGTGCAAAGAGAACTAGTTACCTAACGGAGCTGATCGAACGTTACGAACGTTGGCATGCGAACGATGCCAATGGAAAGAAGGTCCAAGAGGAAAACGAGGACATGCAGGAAGAATCTCCACTGGAACAGCATGAGGATGAAGAAGAAGACGATCTTTGGGACTTCGGCACTGTCAGGCCTGCAGCAAGGAAAACAGGATATAATGTAATGAACGACATGGCAACGAACACACGCAATCGTGAAATCTATGATGAGTCCAGGAAGGGAGGATTCTTTGCCGCCACTCGGAATAGTGGTAGGGATGAACCCAAGACTCCAAACCGGTCCCCACAAAGACCGCCTCCTACCCCAGCAAGACTCTCCCCTTCTAAAATACCTCTTCCACCCTCACCTCTGAAACCACACCCTCCCGATCCACTACCCCCCAGAACCCCTTCTCACATCGAGGCCCCGCCTTCCCAGCCGCTGGACGACAGTCCCGCCACGAGTGAATACGACAAAGCTCTTCAGGAGTCTCTCGCTCAGGACCTGGGTTTCCTCCGGCTCGACCAGTCTCCAAGCGCTCCATTAGCCTCGATAGAGAGCAGCCCTGCTTCTGATCACATCCCCAGAGAGCCAGCTTCTGTTCCCACACATTCTGTGGAAACTTCTCCCAGCAAAGCACGTCGTCTTTCTCAATCGTCACGCGTTTCTTTGAATCAAACCCCGATGCCATCCATATCGTCTCGACAACTACCTTCGGGGGCCTCTTTCCACGCTCCGTCTTCCCCTACCGCGTCAGCTCCTACTTATTTGGCTCCTCACGATGCTGTGATACCGCCTGTTCCTTCTGCGCCAATTCTGGCGCCACGGCAGTTGCATGCCAATCCTAGGCAGATGAATCCCCAGCAGCAGCTGACTGCAAGACCAGCTGAACGCCCAAACGAGATAACCCCTTTGAATACCGTTATCGTCCCCGCCCTCAGAACCGCCATTTACCGTCGTGCTCGTCGTGTGGAAGAGTTCGGACTCACCGCTCCTAACAACGAAAGAAACGACCAAATCTACAGGGATGCTAAATATGTCCAAGGCATGATGGAGAAACTCGTCTCCGATGCGATTGCTCTGTTTGACAGAATCGAAAGTCTGGACAATCAGTCGCTCGTGGGGGTGTCTCAAAACGTTCCCTCTTTCCTCGAAGGGTTTCTTGAAGAAGTCTTGATGAGGATTGAGCCCACCGACGAGGAATCGCCGATCGTGAAAAATTGAATGTCAGCCTCTAGGAAGAAGATGCTTTCATTCTGAGGACCGAGTCAGTCGAGATTTTACCTGAGTGGTGACTTTTTTGACCAACCAGGGTTTCCTATCAAGAGCTGATATGATTTGCTTCCTCTTATCTCTTTCCTACTATTGGCCCCTTTTGTTGTTGCCACCTGGACCATTTTCTGTTTTTCCTTCTGTTCGAAAAGGATGTCTGGACAGTTCTTCGGACGGAGTATGGGAGCATATTGAGAATGTTCCTTGGCTAGCGACAAGGAATGAAGTTGTCTTTACGTCCCCCCCTTAATATTTCTCATTTATTGCTTTGTCCCTTTCCCCCACACTCGCTTATGAGCCCAAGTGTCAGAGCCGGTTTCGACATGTCTATTTCGCACGGAAGCTACCTTTATGTATTTTCTCTTTTAACCTACGTGAGAGGTGGGCGTCTAGGTAATACATAGATGGGATTATGGGTGACTATGATTCTACTCATGTAATGCATGACGAGTGTATGAAAGAAGACCGCGATTCATGAAAAGACCATCTTCATCAAGTATTCCTCTTCGCGTTTTCCACAAGGTGTCTCAAAAATGTATAGCGGGAGAGCCCTAAATGGTTCAGTAGTACAAAAATTCAATCACCAAAGGTCCTGGCTAACAAGATATCACACCACTGCTTTACTAGTCTTGGACCAAATTGGAGGTAATTTTAGGAAAGCAATCATTGGTCTTGATTGAGCGTCTCTTGGAGTGTCTTCATCGTACTTTCCTAGTAAGCAAGGAAACGCAGCCTCTAGACTATAGAAATCCGAGCGAATAATTAGAGAAGTGCGTGAGAACCTAACTGGTCTGACGAAATACAGTCCTCGACATAGACTCTGAACAGTGCCATAACCTACTAAGACCGAACTTCTTTCACGGGCACCTTGATGGAGAAATAACCGGTCTCGCATATGCTGAAAAGCCATTGAATGCAGTCAAAATGGCTGACGACTAGGAGATCCGTAGGATCTAGGTTAGATATATATGTCATCTATAAAGGATGGCTCAATAGGCCTTGAAGATGACAGCGATACCGGTGTGAGAGGGCAGCTCTAGGTGATGAACTGGAGTCTCCTCATCCGGCAGGGCGGAATAGCCAGTCAGTTTCCGGAGTTGGGACCAGGTAGTTCGTAATGTTAAACTCGTTAGCATGTGACGGTGTTGCATCAACTTGTCCTGATTCAGTAAGGCCGTTGATCGACATTGGATCGTTGGATGTTGTCTCATTCATGCTGATGTTTGTCATGTCTGGTGTTCGCGACGGAACGACTCGTGGAAAGTTGAAAAAACCGAAGACGTCAAGGTATTCCAGCTCATTCGGGGCCGGGTCTCTTGGTGGCATTGCGGTAGCTATCGAAGGGGTTTGGTGGCCATCTCCTATCGCTGTCATTCCAATCGTCGAAGAGCGTGGCTGGTTTGATATGAGGAAATCAAGATCGAACGCGCAACGACGCATATCTGCGAGGATTTTAACCGTAGACGGTGTGGCCCGCTCGCCGTCCGTTGCTGAAGATTGCTGATATTCATTGTACTCGTCGAGAACACGCTGTAGGATCGAGCTGTAGCGTCCTGCTACCTTCCAGTGCTTGCCCATGCGAGCAAGTGTATCGACGAAGAAAAGTATATCTGGGCTGACTGTCTGGGCGATTGTTGACCCGTGTACGAGCAATAGACGAGCACAAACCCAGAGAGTAAAGGCAAACGGGGGACCGAGTTTGTTTAGAAGGTTATTCTCCACGACGAACCGGGTTATCGAGAGTATGTTGTCAACCGCAAGGAGACATCGTTGACTAGCACCGTATGACGGAGTGAAAATAGGCGATCGAGTTGTCGGATACGCTGCGGATGAATGAAGTCGGATCACAGCCCTGGAAGGATGTTAGAAAATAATGCTCTGGAAGGGGAGACGCCAGTTTTGAGAAGCAAAGCCTACGTCTGATATGTGGCGTGTAATTGGACCAAATCACATTGTGAATTCTTGGTCTGTTTTGGTCCATTGAAATATCGAGTTAAGTTCTCATAGGCATATTCAGTCGGGAGGTGATATTCCCAATTCTTCAACTCATTGTCCAGCTTTCGGTACGTACTTTGCCATTCTTCGACGTCCGACAGGGCTCCAATATCCACAGGTCGTTTTAAAAATATATGGATCCGAGATAGAATGCCGAGTACCTCGACGTAGAGTCCAAAAGATCCGACATTTTCTGGGTGGTTATTTACGTAATTGGCACACTCCCTTGAAGAACGGAACCACCGCGTCTCAACCGCTTGATTCTTCACAAAATATTCCTCCTTGCAAGGAAGCTTGAGATTGATATCCTTGTCATCCAAAGCAAAATCAAAGGCGGTCGCGATTGTTGAATACCTGTCCAAGAGGTACACCATCCAGAACAGCCGGCGTCTACCCTCATCCTCGATCCAGGACCCCGGCTCTGGCAAGACAATTGCCCTCAGCGTGTAAATGGAAGGGTATATAGGGCCAGCAAGCGACGATTTTGTTTCCGCGGCTAAACCTAGTTGGACCAAGGACCGTGCAATCAGAGCAAGTAGCTTCCAGCCAGGAGGGCCGTTGGAGGAACCGACTAAATCTAAAGCCAGAATCACTAGAGCCTGAAGAGCCTTCACAGATGAATTTTCTAGTCCGTATAGGAGAACCTTTTGCTTGGCTGCATCATGGTAACGCTGCTTGCTGTGTCCGTTAAGTCTGAGATCGCTTGAAAAGCGTAAAGTGGTGGCCACGATTGCATAGAGGACGATACGGTCCGCTTCGTCTAAAGGGGATGGTCCAAAAAAGGTGTCCAACGTTGTCCGACGATGAAGGATCGGGCACCAGGTATTGATATGCTCAAAATAGAGATCTACTAATGCGTACAGTAGATCGTACGGCGGAAGATCAAGGTCTGGATCTGAGAAAGACTGTTCTTCATTGGAATACAGATCAACAGGCACCCTCAACGATGACTCGTTTGCAGCATAGATGCCGTGATTCGCACCCTGCGCTTGGGTAAATGGCACTGCCGCACCGATTCTGTTTGGTAGCTGATGCTGTGAAATTGATGTGTCCGGCAGGCCAGTGATGGGAATACCTGTTCGCTGGGTAGATACATGAGCCGACACTGACTCCTGTGAGTATGGTACACCGCGTGGACTGGGCCCGTGGCATGCTGATGGCTCAGACGGGGAAGTGTAAGATAACGATCCCTGGTTCGAGTGAGGTTGACCCTGAAGGATATGCGTCTCGATGAGGCGGCCTTGGGCTTGAATGATCTCCTCCAGTCTGTCTGTTACAAGAATTCATCAACAAGACTTACAAAACATACTAGAAGAATTTTCATACATACTTAGTCTCTGCTCTAATTCCTTGCCGTACCCAGCTCTCAGGCCGGGCTTCTTCCGCTCCTTGTATTCGCATAACTGGCCATTGCGGGCACACCATCCACAGCTGGGTTGGGCACGATCTATATCCTATCAGTTTCAGGGTGAACGTAACGGGGAATCCCTGCAAACGAACCGCATTTGACTTTTCTTTGTTTGCATAGTTCACATCTTGGTTTGTCAGCACTTGGTTAGTACAGAGGTTACTTAGGGAGAGAAGAATGAAGATATGATAGAGCAACAACACTAGACCGTATTTTTTTTTTTAAAAAAAAAGAAGAAGAAGAAGAGATGAAAAAATACTCTTAAAAAAGAAAACCAAGGACCCGGGAATGTTCGGGAAAAAGCAAGGCACGTACGACACAATAAGAGGGCGTTTTCGCTTCATTCCGCGTGGGATTTTATTCGCGCCATTCTGTCCATTCTGCCCAACAGAATCGTCATCAGTATCAGGACCAGATGGAGATTCCCCTGAACTATGATCCTCGTCATTATTTTCAGCTTGCTTGGCCGCTCTTGTCATCCGCTGGATATGGCTTGTTCGAGCTGCAACGGTGTTCGGCATGGTATTGTTGCGACGAGCTCCAGCAGTAGGAGCTCATTATTCGCATTGGAACAATTGGACAAGCAATCAATGCACCGAACGGCGATATCAAGGGGAAGAAGCTTTGCAACCCCAACCAAGACAACGCCAGCGGAACAGCAATGGAGGGAGCGTCCTAGAGATCTGCAAATGCGGAGAGCATCACATGACCGGCACGGGACTGCTCTATTACAATTTACGCCACAAGACGCAAGATCTCTTCCTCTGTGACTCCCAAGCAGCATCGAGGATTTTCTCTCGCTTTGTATTCGGCTTCTCTTGGAGAAAAGCCTGGCTGTGGCCAAAACAGGCTGTTTCCAGCCATTGGTCAACCGCCCCAGCTCCTCTCATCTCCATTCCCATATCTCGGGGCAGCAATGGCCCGAGTTGGATGCAGTCGGAGTCGCGGACGAGCGCATGCACAATGCAGTTAATGACCGAGGTTTCCTGGGAGCAATTCCCATCGTCTATATCTATCCTGAAAATCCTACTCGTTGTCTGACTTCATTCATAGCACAAGTTCTTTCACCCGGTACCGCAGCCCTATCCTTCATCATCGGCCCTCTCCCGTCTACAATGGCCTCTGTTGCTGCATTCCCTCGCATCAAAGAGATTCGCACCTTCGTCATCTCAGGTGTTGGATCTGGGGGTGACTATCACAATGTGTGTTTTCTCTGATGCTTGCTGTGTCTCCTTTCCTGCGAAAGCGCTAACTTCTCGGGTCTAGGTCAAAGGTGGTCACTGGCTGATCGACAGCAAAATTGCTACCCCAATGTCCAAGTATGAGGAGTATCGGACCTCACGCACTTCATTTGGGATCAATGTTTTGGGGTCGTTCCTCGTTGAGATTGAAACTACGGATGGTATCAAAGGCTTCGCTACTGGATTCGGTGGCCCGCCTGCATGCTGGCTGGTACACAGCCACTTCCAACGTTTCTTGATTGGAGCAGGTATGTGAATGTTAAAAATATTGAACTCTGCAAGGGATTTTATATCTCACAAGTTCTTAGACCCTCGTGACACCAACCTCGTGTTTGAACAGATGTACCGCGCGTCCATGTTCTATGGCCGTAAAGGCCTTCCCGTCGCCGTTATCTCTGTGATCGATCTTGCCATCTGGGATCTACTGGGCAAAATTCGCAAGGAACCCGTCTACAAATTGATTGGCGGGGCTACTCGTTCTCGATTACACTTCTACTGCACAGGCCCTCAGCCGTCCGCCGCGAAGTCCATGGGCTTCATTGGAGCTAAGGTGGCTTTGCCCTACAGCGCAGATGAGGGAACCGAGGGCACGCTGAAGAATGTAGAATATCTCCGCCAGAAACGGGAGAGTGTTGGTCCAGACTTTCCCCTCCGCGTGGACTGCTGGATGTCTCTGAACGTCCCATACACCATCGAGCTCGTCAAGAGATGCGAGGCGGAAGGTATTAACATTGACTGGTGGGAAGAATGCCTCTCTCCCGATGACTTCGATGGTCATGCCTTGTTGAAAAGAGCCCATCCAACTGTCAAATTCACCACCGGTGAACATGAATTTTCTCGATATGGCTTCCGAAAGCTTGTGGAGGGCCGCAATCTCGATATCATCCAGCCCGACGTCATGTGGGTAGGTGGTCTGACAGAGCTGCTGAAAATCTCGGCTTTAGCCGCCGCATACGATATTCCAGTCGTCCCCCATGCCTCAGGGCCTTACTCATATCACTTTGTGGTTTCGCAACCCAACACGCCGTTCCAGGAATATCTCGCCAACTCACCAGATGGGAAGAGCGTTCAGCCGGTCTTTGGAAACCTCTTCCTGAATGAACCTATTCCCACGAAAGGATACCTCGACATTTCTGAATTAGACAAGCCCGGATTTGGTCTCGAGCTTAACCCTGCTGCTCCCTTGATCCCTGCTGCTTCTATTCTCACTCCGGCTCCTCAAAAGAGCCTGTCCTTGCCCAAGGAAAATGGTGTCGAGCACGAGCGCTCGGTTAATTAATACGGTCGTGCCATGGCCTATATTTCTTCGTTGATTTATTCTGCATTCGGATTGTGCTAGTTTTCTCCATGTGTATATAGTAGTATGCTTCTGTACTGAGATTTGACGAGATGACGTATGTCTTCTTGCGCTTCGTCTTAGAGAATAGAAAGGATTCCGTATATTATTTCCACCACAATGATCTACTCTATTTCCCTCTTTTCCTTGTTTGCAATGTATGATAATGCGAGGAAAAGCGGAGCGTACATGCGGGGCGTGCCGGGGCATCATTACCACGAAAAGCCCGAAGTATCCCCGCTAATCGCCAGTCTATCTTATCGTCCGCGGGTAAGAAGAGGAGACATGGAAATGAAGGGAAGAAAGCTCTTGTGATTGTTAAAATTTTCAGAAGTTATAATTAGTGTTAGAGATATGGTTATTTTGTTGATGGTATATTGCACCTGATAACAGTAACTGTACGGTAGGCAACATGCTATGCAAATCTTCATAAGGACTACCAAGTCTTCTTCTATCCCAACCAACTTTGTCAAGCTGCACCCTCCAATTCAGTCCTCTTCACTGGAAATTTACAATTTTAGATTACCATCTTACTACCCGGCATTTATATACCTATTTACAAGGATCAAAATGGCACTTCCTCAGCTGTTGGCCGGTAAAGTAGCTGCCATTACAGGAGGCCTCACAGGAATCGGAAGGGTATGCTTGAGAAAAGCGTATTGGAATATACTAGGTATATAAGCTTACATGCTTACTCCCATCGGGCAGGCTATCGCCCTGCAATACATTCGTCATGGAGCAAAAGTCGCCATCAACCATCTGGGTGATCCAAGGGAAGATGCTCAAGTCGAGGACCTCCGGCGAGATGTCAGTCAGCTCACATCGGGAACAAAGGAGAATAGATTTATTACAGTTGCTGGAGACATTTCCCAGCCTGAAACTGGGAAACAGTTCGTGGCCGAGACTGTGAAGGAGTTTGGGCGACTGGATGTTTTTGTGAGCAATGCCGGTGTATGCCAGTTTGCGGATTTTCTTGAGTGAGTCCACTTCTCAAATGGTTTAATGGTATAGAAATCATTCTAATTACGTATTGAACTACAGCCTCGAACACCCCCTCCTCGAACACACCATATCTACGAATCTCTCTGGCGCCTTCTACGCAACACAAGCAGCAGCAAGACAGATGGCCCTCTCACAGTCTCCCCCGGGAGGATCAATTATTGGAATCAGCTCGATTTCTGCAAAAGTTGGAGGGGGCCAGCAGACGCACTACACGCCGACGAAGGCTGGCGTTCTCAGTCTGATGCAGTCATGTGCTGTTGCGCTGGGCAAGTACAATATCCGATGCAATGCTCTGTTGCCGGGGACGATACGGACGCAGCTCAACGACGAAGATATGGGGAATGAGGAAAAAAGAAAGTACATGGAGGGAAGAATTCCTCTTGGGAGGCTGGGTCAACCTCGCGACCTCGCGGGACCAGCCGTTTTTCTGGCGTGCGAGGAGTTGAGTGGATACGTGGTGAGTTTAAATGGTCTTTGAATCATGGATCGATCTTGATGGTGCAGAGTATAGCTGATAAAAATACTTGCAGACTGGGGCTCAATTGCTTGTGGATGGGGGTCTATTTGTCAACCTTCAGTGATTATGTTTGTTGTCATCATATTTGTCTCAATCTACTGGAATTTCCTCCTACACTTCAATCCCGTACGCCTTTAGAGCAACCTTACCCCAGATCTCATCCTTTTGTTCCCCGTTTAATCCCCTCGTATTCAGAACACCCTCGACGACGGCTTGCCAGCGGTTCCAGGAGACCCCATTTCCTCCTCCGCCAATATTGCAAACAGGCCAGTCAGATCCGAACATCACCCTGTCAGGGCCGAAGGTGCCAAAGACAACATCAGTCCACGGACGCAGTCTTTCCACCAGCAACTGGATATCTGGTTCTGTGTCGGTTGATAGTGGTGGAAGCTCAGAGAATCCACCAGACAACTTCATGTAGGTAGTAGGGTACTGAGCCATGGCTGCTATGAGAGACTTCCACTCCACGAAATCCGGATGACTGGTGATGGACTCGGACGACGTATATGGGAGACGCAGATTCGGCTTGCAGAGATGGTCTAGGTAGATTAGCAGCGGAGACAAGATCCATAGCGCAGATAGGCAATAGAGAACATACTAATCACAATAACCAAGCCGTCTTTCCCAGTCCTGTAGATGGCTCCCATCATCTGCACGGCCTCTCTCAGCTGTCCAAGCCCACCCTGTCTGGCATCTACTCCAAGATCAAACGTCAAGCGCTCTCTGCCTAGCCACTTTAATCCTTCGATGAATTTATCTCGCAGCATTACTCCCGCTTCCTTGTCCTGAACGAGGTATCTCACTCCTCGCACGTGCTTCCATACTGCGTCTGTTTCAGCTCGCTCTTTGACCAGCGCCATGTACCGGGTTAAAACCTCTGGACCCCCCGGAACAGGCGCTCAGGGGACAATTCCCAGACAGAGTGAGCAGTCTATGTCATTGCTTGCATGCCCTTCCCCGGCGATGGGCTGGCTCAAGATGATTCTCGTGAGGAGGGACACTTCATCGAGGACGTGTTTCCAGCCGTCGTCTTGGTTGTTATCGCCGTCCTTATTTCCCGCTGGCTCGATGCAAGAAATGCGATCGGTTTCAATGAAAATGAATCCACGAATGGCGTATGATTGCGAGGGAAGTAATCAATGCAGTTGCGACGCGATATTCATCAATGCAATGCTGAGAGCCCAACGGATTCCCCGCACGGTGCCAGGCGAGAGTGGGGAGATGCGATTCTGGGAAGAGATGGACGTGGGAGTCGACGATTAGGATGGGCATGGTGATGTCCTATTGTCTTATTCTGTGCTACTTCCAACTCTATGTTGTGTTGCCATTGTGGGAATTAATATCGGACATGGGTGCCATCTGTCGGGCTTCATTATACCGACAGACAGACAAAAGCAGTGTCTTTGGATGAGTACCTTGATCTCCTCATCTTAATTATGATCTCCTACAGTCCACCCGTCGTTTTCCTCTTCCTTCTCAGTGCTGACTCCATCAATCTATCCATCCACCACGAGCATGGTGCACCTGTTTACGAAACATGACACGTTAAACGAAGCACATATCGAAATATGGAGCAAATTCTGCAGAATGGTAAGATCCTGCGCATTATTTCCGCCGCATCCAGAAAGCTTACACTTTCACTTCTAGGACATGGAAAAGCCAGCCCCTGGAGTAACGCTCGCGACAACATGCATAGATACATCACACCATGCACATGCACAGTTGAAACACATACCTTACGTATTTCCTGAGCTTCCGCATCTGCTTCCCACGGTACCGCACGAAGATCTGCCAACCCACCACGTAACCGAGGTGCTGCTTGCAGTCACAAACTGCCGACAGCTCGGGACAACCCCTTTCCCCGCAGTACTACCTCCGCATTCCCCAGCAAGACCGACTTTGACCAGTGGCATGATATCATTCATGTGCATGCAGAGGAGTGTAGGAGTACAGCTGAAGGGCTGGTGACCCCTCCCAGCCCCCGACAGGAAGATGCAGGAGAGCTGAGTCGATCGAGAACACTGGGAGGGGCCGGTACAAAGTACGGAATACTGGCTCTGTCTGGAGATATAAAATGAACTATAAAATGCCGGTCATTTCCCCCAATTGACTCAGAACTGGGCTATCAGAAGTTTTACTACCTTTATCGAACTGCCTGCATTTCTCTAACTGTACTTCTGTTTGCAGGCTTTCATATCATCTGCGTCTTTATACCTTCTTCTCATTGTTCACTCTTCAACATGGCTGAACCTCAAATCCCAACCAAGCAGAAAGCTGCGATCTATGATAAACCGGGTACGGTCTCCACCAAAGTTGTGGAGATAGATGTGCCTGAACCCGGACCGGGAGAAGTTCTTGTCAATTTGTATGTCTTGTACACCCAGTCAATGCCCTCATGCCTTGCGAATTATTATTGAGAGTATACATATAGCTGACTACAGGATGCTGCAGGACTCACTCGGGTATATGCCACTCGGATTATGGTGTCATGACAAACTCTGTTCGTCTTCATCTATACTGCGCATACACTGTAGTCCAATTCTAACAATGATATCACCAGTGGAAACTGCTCCCCTACCCAACCCAGCCCGGACAGATTGGCGGCCATGAAGGAGTCGGAAAGGTAGTCAAGTTCGGCCCTGGAGCCAATGGAACCGGGTTGAAGATTGGCGATAGGGTAGGAATCAAATGGGTGTCCAGTGCATGCGGGAACTGTCGTACGTCCGGCCTTCATTTCTTATGAAAAGGAAAAGGAAAAATCCTTTCTCTTGGACCAATTCATTAAATACAATAATACACAGACCCATGCCACGCAGGCGCAGACGGAATCTGCCTCAACCAGAAAATCTCCGGCTACTACACCCCGGGCACATTCCAACAATACGCGACAGGCCCAGCTAACTACGTAACCCCGATCCCCGAAAACCTCTCTTCGGCCGAGGCCGCGCCCCTTCTCTGCGCCGGCGTCACCGTCTACGCAGCCCTGAAACGCAGCAAAGCCCAACCAGGCCAGTGGATTGTGATTTCCGGCGCAGGCGGCGGCCTGGGCCACCTAGCCGTCCAAATAGCCAGTCGAGGCATGGGCCTGCGCGTGATCGGCATCGACCACGGCAGTAAAGCAGCCCTCGTTAAGGAATCAGGTGCGGAGCATTTCGTCGATATCACCGCATTCCCGAAAGACGACAATGGCGCTGCCATCGCGGCACACGTGAAGTCCCTCACGACAGAGAAGTTGGGGGCCCACGCCGTTATCGTCTGCACGGCGTCAAACGCGGCGTACGCGCAGGCATTTCTCTTCCTGCGCTTCAATGGTACGCTGGTCTGTGTGGGGATGCCGGAACATGAGTCCCAGGCTATTGCTACGGCATATCCGGCTGCCATCGTTTTCAACCAGGCTACTATTACCGGTTCGGCAGTGGGGAATCGGATAGAGGCGATTGAGGTGCTAGATTTTGCCGCTAGGGGTATTATCAAATCTCATGTTAGGATGGCTAAGTTGGAGGATTTGACAGATTTGTTTAATGAGATGGCAGAGGGAAAGTTGCAGGGGAGAGTGGTCTTGGATCTTTCTTAGTTGGGTTGGATGGTTGACGAGATGGGAAACAGTCAATTTTATGATTGAAATTGATTAATTGATTTGTACCTGAATGTCTTGGGGTTTGCCTATAAGGAGTAGTTTATTAAGGAAACCATATAACTAACTAGCAGCCCAGTCAAGGTAAAAGCAAGATAACAGGCGACAGCAACACAAAGAAAAAGAAGGCAAGGTTTCAGCGCGAAAAGCACTAACGCATGCCATATCAATCTTCATCAAATCCACGAGCCCGTTTACTGTCCTCTCGAAACGAAGCTAGAGCTGGGTGTTTCTGCGCAGAACTCGAGGAAGCCTCTGCGCCCGACTCAGCAACATGGATCAGGGTAGCCAGCTTGCGATGTACAGCTCAGGAGCCTGATTGACCTCAATCCTGCGCAGGATATCCTTTAACTTGGACGTGTACTGACGGAGATCCGACGTAGGGAGCAATTCAAGGACATCGAGAATGAAGAACAGGAGCCTCATCTGGCCTTTTCTCAGATCCGATAAGCTGATGGTACAAGTTGCGATGGTCTTCCTCTTCGCCGTGAAATGTGGCTCGGCCCCACATGTTACCGTCCAGAGCGTCCTTGTTGCGATTGCTGATATCCTCCAGCAAGGTGACAAGGGCTGTTGTGGCTCCCCCGGTGCCATATGGGAATCGGGCTAGAATGTTTTCTCGGATACGATGGACGTTGTACCGGATTTGTTTGATGACGTTGCTGACGTCGACGACAACGACACTTGTTGCGCCGTCCGTGGGTAACTGGCCTGTCTGGCAGTATCAGTCGAAATCGGAGAGTAATTTCTGTGATTTCTGCAGAATCTTGTCGAAGTAGATAGCTGCGCAGGCTCCAGCGGGCATTGCCTTGGAGAGGCTGAAGTAGACGTCGTCGTGCACGGCTAGTCGAAACATGGTGGCTTCGAAGTCTCCTTGAACGACGCACTGCTCTGGCTTACGAACTTGTCTCGCTATCGCTACCAAGTCAGGACGGAAATCTTCAGGGAGGGTGATTTTGTTGAACGCAGACATGATGTCTCGCGCTCTGTCCGATCTGCTTAAACACGAGAAACCCTCCGTTTCACTGTCAACATATTGTCAATTTAATTGATCTGTGACTACTCCCAGCTTGCCATCTAGGAGTTGTTCAATGTGTGAGAACCCTGGAGTATATCCATTGCTCGACAAGGGAACGGCAGTGGTAGGGGGTTGGGCCAGGAGACAGCCATGGGGTTGATCGAGAAGCCATTATCAACGGGAAGAAATCAGTTCTTCATTTCTCTTCCCCTTGCCAACATGCACGGAGAGGGACTGTACTTCCAAAAATGTGCTGAAAAGGCACGCTGGGCCGATTCAAGAAGACCGCACAAGTGCATTTATACCCATCCGGGCTGATAGTAAGGACCTGCGGCCGCTCCGACAGTCGAAAGCCATACCCTATATGCATGGCGCGACAGCCCACAACGTCGAATTGGGAAGTAAGGCCGACGAGAGCTTTGGACATTATAAGTAATGCCGGATCTTGCTAGAACTCTCGACAATTTAGTTTCTTCGCTGGTATTATCATTTCTCGGGCCGGAAGTCTCTACACACTGCATGTTGATCTGGATTAAAAGGTCTCGGAACTGTCTTGTTGGAGTAGACGTAGCGAGAAATGATTAGGAGGGTTTGCTATTTTCGTAGACCCCGAGAAGGTCCTATCCCGGTATGTATAAGGGCCTCATGGGATTCATGGTCCCTAACGTGAGCAGCGTATGAACCAAGGTATAGCTGGTAATGAGTACTCACAAGCTATTGAATAGATTTAGAGTAAATTCGGGATTCTCAGTCAAATGGCATGATCAGGATAGGGTGCATTTCCCCCGAGGCGTAGGACATGAAGCCAAATTTACAGACCCAGACCCTGCCTCATTAGGTTTCTTGTGCAGTGAAGGGCCAATGAACACTGAGAAATAGCAATGACGGCATTATCATGCCCGGGACCTATTCCGACAAACAGGATGAAAATTAGCCGATGCCCCTTGGGAACTGTGAACAATCCAACTTGGCCATATTGCCTACATTTCATCATTGGTTGCACGGCAAAAAGTCATAGACAAGAGCGCTTAAGAAGCGTAGAACTAAATCAACGAATACCAGTCCTTCCAGATATGCAAAGGAAAAGTATCGTATCCATATAGATGACCCAAGCTTCCCGGTGCCGAACAAGCTCGTGATAACTGAACAGGATATTTCTAAGGCAAAAGAAAAGCAAATATCCACATACAACTCAGCGGTATCAAGATGATTCGTCGAGGATGTTTCAAAATGGCCGAGAGCGATAATCTAGGCGTGTATTCTTTGAGTAACGCAACTTGCGCAGAGGTGGTTGATCAAGCGCATTGATGTGTAACTCTTTGGAACACACTCAGAACATACTCAGTGTTGGTATCCCATCTCATTCATCAGTGTTAAGGCTGGATCTGCTTTCTAACTGTTGCACTGATGTCTTGGACCATAGTTGCCTGCAGGCAGGTTACTGCTGAAGCGGCACAGCAGTTGCAGGTAGATCTAGTTAACGGGAGCCTAATTTGTTCACGAGGCTTGAATTGTAGGGAAAGCCTGGTGATTTAGTAGTCTATAACCTGATAAGACTGAGAAGACTGAGAAGAAAGTGATGAATTTTCTGATGTGTGTCGAATCTCGATGGAGGAAAGAGAGTGCAGAGCAAGTAGTTCAGCTTAGTCATTAGGGCAAGGGCTTGGGGTGGTTTGTTAATATGAACATTTAAATGCTTATAGACATGGAAATACAACATAAAATACATAGATGTCACTGATCTCATTCAGTCATAAGGGATATCGTGATTGCCAATTAAAACCAAAATATGAAATGGAAGAAACCCAGAACCCCCACTCTTTGTTGGGGGAATGTATCTACAACAACAGGCTGAATTACGCATTGTTTCTCGCCGCATTTCTCCTCTTGGCATCTTCTAATGCTTTCCGCAGCCGTTCTTGATGTTCGGGATTAGACTCCGCCAATTTGGCAGCGCTGGTGGCTGAGCTATCAGTGCGAGGCCGAAGAGGAGCCGGCAATGGATCATTGACAAGGTAGTTTACTGCTGGCGCTGAATCCCGACCTGCTGTTTGCGTATCGCCACCAGCTGCTTTGCTAGTCGGGAGAAATAGAGTTGAATCAGCGGTAGGATTGCCAGGTGTGAGGCGCCCAGGCTCCTTTCCAGGATTGTCCAGCGACTTAAGCAGTCCGTCGATCTTATTGCTAATCTCGACAGGACCTTTCTGGATACTCGTCATCTTGGACTCGAAATCACTGCGTATATTTGCGTCCTCTTTCTTTTTCTCGTTCTTGAGTCGACGGAAAATATCCTCATCCGAGTTCGAATACTGCGCCTCTGCTACAGCAACGCTATAATCCGCGTCATTGAGAGCGGAGTCGGCGAGTCCGAAACTGCGAAGCATGGACTCGGAATCTGCGCGAACAGATCCCACAAACTTCAAAGCGGTATTCAAGATCTCTTTAACTTCAGCGTCTGGCAACCCAGACGAGTGGACTCCCTCTAACTCGAGCTTTTCCGCCCTCGAGGAAAGCTCATCAAGAAGCCTTTGATTTTCACCCAACCCGCGCATAATTGCGTCATCGAAAGCGTCTATGAGGAGATTCGCCCTGTCATCCCGACTCTTAGCTGCTTCAAAGATATTTCTTCTTTCCATCTGGTCGAATTCCCCATCAAGCTGTTTTAGGGCTGGTGAGTCACCGATGAAAACATGTGGGCGCCGCTCAGCCTTCTTCCGTCGGCGTTCACGCTCCAGGCCAATATCAAGGCGCTTCTGGTAACGGAGCTCAAGTTTTGGGTAAATTTTCATGACCATCTTCATTGTTTCAGCTAGTGGATATTTATCCGCAATAGAAGGATCTCCCGTTTTGCCCCTTCCGGGCTTGAGTTGATCAAGCAATGTATCATAATGAGCCCGCAGTTTTGATATTTCTTCCGTTAACCGCTCATCCAGAGGATCGAAAACTTTTGCAACGAAGTCGTCTAGCTCATGTCTCTCTTCATCCAGTTGGACGCGCGCTTCAGTCTGACGGAAGTCCTCTTCTAGCGTATTGATATCCGCGTAACCTATCCGCTTTTCATTGAATAACGCATCAATATGCCCCTCGGACTCCTCTTGACGTTTGTATCGTTGGTCTTCGAGCTTTTTTCGCCGGTCTTGTGCAGCGGTCTCCCACAAATTGACAGCTTCTTTGATGTAATTAAATTCATCGGTAAACTGTTGCACATCTTTGTCCATAGTTCTCAAGGCTTCAGATTGCTTAGTCGGGGGTGCCAAAATCAAGGATCGCAATTTCTCGATACTGTCACTCGGCTTGCTTTTGCTAAGAGACCCCGGAAGACCAGGCAAAGGCGGAGGGGTAGAGGTATCTGGCCGCCCATCACGATAGGCAACACTTTTTTCCCTGATCAATCCAATGAATTTCTCATCGGGTTTGCTTTGCTTTAGAACGGGAGTTGTCGTGCCAACCTTTGGTGGGGGACTCGGAGAAGGAACATTCGACATCATACGGCCGCTCACATTGCCTGCATGTCGCAGCGCGGAATATGCCTGAGAAACAGGCCGTTCAATCATGAGGTTATCTGAACCTCGTTGAGGGCCTTCAGTATACCGAAATGGAATGTATATAGGCTGTGGAGGATTCGTCGTCAAAGGTTCTAATGGATGCTTTGGCAAAAGATTATCTGAGAACATGGGTTTGGAGGCCGGAGCTGGAGTCGGCAACTTTGGGATCATTGGACGTCCACCAGGACTATAGCGTTCTGTTTCCAAGTCCGCAGCTATAGCGGCCGGAGACGCTGCAGCAGAAGGCTCTGATTTTACAGGAATCAAGCCCGAGTCGACTTGGACACTCTGAGGGGGCGTTTTCTGCGGGGCCGGTGTAGACTTTTCGTTCTTAGGCTCCAGCTCAATATTGTACAGAACTTCGCGCAATTTGATCTCCTTGGAAACAAAGGATGTAAATATCCTATACCGTTCTTCATCCGTATCTGCCACAGTCTCTTTGCGGAGCATAGCCACGAAACGCCCCAATGAAGACTTAAACCAGGGATCAAGGTCTTCATATGGATCTATGATTTGCGGTTGGACGATAGTTTCTTCCTTCTTCGGTTCTTCAATTGTCTGAGTTCCTGATGAGGACAGCTGTACCTCATCCTTCTTCTTGAAAGTTTCTAGAGGGACTGGAGGTTTCACAGGGACAGTCTGTGCGACAAGCAAGACAGCGGTCTGTTGAATATCCATCACCGGGGCAGTACGTTGAGCCCAAGTTTTGATGACATCGTCAATTGTCTCAGAACGCCCAGTGGAGTGGAGACTGCTGATGTTAGATTGAATGCTATCCACACTCCCCATTCTGTTCTGTGGCGTAGGTTTTGGAATTTCCTCCGGGGCAATAGGGCTGACTTGTGAGGATGCATAGGATCCTTGACCCCAAGTTGGAGGCGCAGTATTCGCTGCCGTGGGCGGTGTCGCCATTGCCAGTAAACTTGTCGGATTGCTTGGTGGTGGTGGTGGAGGAGGAGGTATGTGGGCAGCTGAAGGGGTAGCTGTTGACTGGATACGCGGAGATGTCTGCTGCGATACATCAATGCCATCAATGCCCTCTGCAGCTGGAAGAGCACCAAAATGCTCCCAATCAGACGGGCCGCCAGGCCCCAGGGCTGAGGCACCAACCGGAGTCTGGTTAGGATCGTAATCAGCCGGCTTAACTGGCAAGGGTGGGGCTGTAACAGGGGGGTACTCAGAAGCTGTATTAAGAACAGTCGGTCCCGACAGCGGAAGCTGGCTCTGAGGATCCTGCACTGGCGGATCATACCGGTGGGTTGCCGGAAGATTTGAATACAAGGGATGCGGTGGTTCCTGCTGCTGTTGCTGCTGCTGTTGCTGTTGTAGTTCATATTGATAACCAGGAGGAACTGGCGGGGGTGGAGGCGGATGCGGAGGCGGAGCAGGATTGACGGTCTGCTGGTAAGCATATTGAGGATCATTCCATTGCTGATACTGATTGACCGTGTACGACTGACCTCCGTACGACGTAGACGGAGCAGGGGGCGGGGGTTGGCTGAAAGCCGGCGTGTTTGCTCCAGGAGCCTGTACATGACCCTGGGACAGTCCTGTGCTGGAAGGCCGAGGCTGCCAAAGAAAGAACGAAGCCTATATCAGCCCACGGCTTCCACAATGAAAACGACGAGGGACTCACTCACAGGAAGCGCGGGCGGAGTCTCATGGTGATGACGGTTATACTGCGCTCCCCATGTTGGTGTATCGACCGTTCCGTAGGGGCCTGGGGCGCTGATGGAAACAGACGGCGCTGCACTGGAGATAGACGCGTAACCAGACGGATTATACGTAGCAGTCGACACGGTGGTTTGTCGGGGTGGAGGGGGAGGAGGCCGCGACGAGGTCGGAGGCGCAGAATCATGGCGGGGAGGTTGATGTGGATGCGCCTTTGACGGCAGACGCCATTCGGGCTGTTGGGGGGGTTGGTTGTAGCCTGGATATGGCGAGGATGAGTTCCGACCGTACATGACTGGTATTCAGGCTGGAGAGCATTGGATGGAAAGCATCGAAAACAGCGGACGAGGTTGAGCGGGCGCGGAGACAGATAAGCATAGGAATAAGAATAAGGCTGACCGTCAGCGGAGGAGGAAATGGGCTGCTGACACGCGCACCTGAACAGCCTGAAAACTGTCAGAAGACCGAAAGTGGCATGCAGGCGAGAGTATGTTGCTCTAGAAGAAGTTTTGCCGGCGTGTTCTGATTCTCGACATGCTATGATGGGATTTCTAGCTAAACTCCACGAAGTACGGACAATCCCCGTTGCAATCCAGGGTCTTCCCTGACGAGTCATATAAGGGCATATCGCAATGACGTCGTTCTACAACTTGAAGATCGACCCCTTCATCCCTGTAGGAGTTGATTGCAGCAAGATGATGTCCAGGACAGCCCCTGTAGCCTTAGGAAGGGGTGGAATCAAGGCATGATTCTAAATAGCTATTCTACCATCCACGTGCCCAGCCAAATATTAGTGATTTTACTCCATCCAGCGGGAGCAATTGCGAATTGCCCAGTCTTCGCGGTGGGTGGGGAACAAGTGACGATAGAGGAGACACGCTTTGGTTTGGTTCAGAGAGAGAATTTGCCGCAAAAAGTCAATTAAGTCGAATTGATTTTCATTTTTAAATATTCCTGGTCTTCCTCCGTTCTTTCGCTGCTTTCGACAAACAAATTCGCGCTGCGTACCGAGAAGCCCTTTAAGGGAGCGAAAGAACGATAAAAAAGAGAGTGAAATAGTCGCCATTCCATCGCGAGGACAATCGCGAAAATATTCCCACCAACTCGAATAAAAAGAACATGGCAGGTCGCAACATCTCTCACGGCCGCGGAGGCGCGGGTAAGACCCTTTTCTTTTCTCTTTCCTTCCTCCCTTCGACAGATCCCAGTCATGCTCATGCTCACGCTTTTCCCACAATCCAGGAAATATCTACTCCGCCAAAGACACCAGGGAAGTCGTCACCACACCAAAGGACCTCGTCACCCCCACCATCAAGCAGGATGTCTTTACCACGGGCCGAGGAGGCTCGGGAAACATGATGGTCAATGATCCCCAGCGTCCCGAACTCGCGCGCGAAAGCCAGGATGTCGAAGCGCCCCCTCAGCGTGTCGAGCAGGGTCCACACCATACAGGTCGGGGTATGTTCTCTCCCCCCGCTTTCTGTCTTTGTCTTCTGGTGAATCCGTGTTTCTAGGCATATGTATATATACTGACTGGAATCATCCAAATAAGGCGGCGCTGCAAATGCCTATATCCCCTCCACCAAGGAAGAAGAAAAGGCCCGCGAGCAGGCAGAAGAAGAAGTGCGAAAGTTGCACGCTGCTACCAAGGAGCGCGTCAAGGAGTTTGAGGAGGCCGAGAAACGCAGCCAGTCTACCTCGAGCTAAACAATCTCCCGAGAGCTCTGAAAAGAAAAGAAAAAGCCATGGTGTGCGTTTGACGAATTCCTATCCGTTTCCCCCTTCTTTTCAGTCTTCGCGGTTGCGATTGTCAACTCGAATCGAATCAAGAAGGGGAAAACGAAAAAGAAAGAAAGAAATCATTATCAAACCTCATGACTGTCGAAAGATCGACAAGCGCTGGTCTGTTCTGGAGTCAGTTCATGTTTCTCGTGTGTCTGCCCCCTTTTATTTTGTTCTGTCTCTGCTTTTCTGGCTGTTCGTGATGGTGATCGAATAATACCCCATGCGTAGACGATTTTTTTTTTTCTTTTTGCCTTGCAAGTATGAAGGATGGGAAGCTCCTATTGTTCTTTTTGGAGGACTCGCTGTTTCTTAAGTTTTAACATGTTATTTGCTTTTCTTTGGCGACATGATATCTATATGCAGACACCCCACTTTTATATGGTTGTCATAATAATAATACTGATAACTCCAATGGCATTGCTGATGCTTATCAGTCGTCTTTTTTAATTGTTGCTTGGGAATCCAAAGGATTGGCTGATTATTTAGGCCACGTCACCGAGCAATATGAAAGGGGCTCAGATGAACGTCGAAAACTTCATCTGGGCTGAACTGAACCAATGCACAAAAGACCAGAAGAGTGAATATGTTCATTCAAGGTACTACAAAGTCGCTCATAAATTTAAACCCAGACATGAAATGAAAGTCATCATCACAAAAGCGTAAATCATAACACAAATTAATATGTCAACCGTTTCTGTTTATACCTTCGAAACAAAACTCGACTGAACCCGAGAAGGGATCACAAACTAGGTCGAACCAGTTCCAGACGCATCTCAGGTCGATCATACGATAGTAACTGTATCATCGCAGATGCTCAGGGAATCCCAGCTGCCCATGGACCACTGACAAACTGAGGATCAGACGTAGCAGAGCGGCTCGCCATCATACCAGAATGCGTAGTCCACGCAGGACTAGGGACCGCGGCCTGTGCCACACTGTGGCTGGGCTGTGACTGGAACATTGGATAGTTATGAGGCGATTCTCCATTTGGAGGGGTGATACTATGTCCATCGGGCCCATGGGCGACTGATGGGACGTGCGAAAAGGGAACTACCTTCTCTGGCGGGATCTGAGTCCCCCACGGTAAACCTGGCTGGTTAGGTTCATGTACTGGCACATAAGACATTCCGTAATGGTCAACACTCGTCGGTAGGTTCATCGGACCCGTCTGGCCATGGCTGCTGGCAGCGAATGCAGGGCCTGGATTTGGATGCGCAGGATTGAACCCCATATACTGGGAGCTAGCACCTATGGTGCCTTGTTGTATCGAGGAACCCTGACCATGAGTATTTTGAAAGCTCTGGTCATGAAGTCCTACTGATTGTGACGGGACCACTGTCTGCTGTAAGACCGGCTGCGACATGGGATATCCTTGGTTGCCGTTCGGAATGCCATACTGTGATGCCGGAAAGTGCGCTGAGTACGGAACTCCTGTAGCAGGTTGTAAATTGCCAGCTGCATTAATGCCAGGGTAGGCTTGCCCAGCAGGGGAATAATGCGCCTGCTGGGTAATGGTGTTTGCCGAATGGCTCAAATTTTGGGCGGCGGGCTTCGTGCCAAATGGCCGCTGTACCAGATTCTGTTGCTGGTGTTGTGCGTAGCCTTCGGCGGGAACTTGACTATGATAACTTTGATTTAGTGGATCTTGCACAGCTGAACCTGCAGGGGTTGCCATGCCATGTTGATTATTGGTCGGCTTGGTCGACAAGGGAGGTGGAGGCGGTTGTCCGACCTGCCACTGTGGCTGACTTGGATGATAAATATTACTTGACACTTGAGGCATAGCAGCCTGTGTTGTTGCAGGAGCTGCATTAGGCTGCTGAGCGCCCAACCCCGACGGCGGTGTAGGTGCACTTTGGAATTGACCATGCGATTGTAGAGGTTGGACAGGCTGGACAAACTGCGACGGCATACCACCTTGAGAGACAGAACCGAGCTGCTGGGTCGGTCCTGAATTCGGTTGGGACGAAGTTGGCATAGCTGTGCTCGTTGCGCTAGCAACATTATGTCCGAGGGCGGTTTGGCCAGGAGGATGGTATTCAGGCGCCGCTCCCGTGTAAGGTCCCGACTGAACAGCCGAGGAGTAGCCAAAGGGATTTTGCTGGCAACCGCAGTCAGTAATCGTGCATGTAGCAGCAGAGGTGTTCCATTGTCCCGAGTGTAATTACTTGAGTATGGGTTTGTTGGGCCATCATGCCATGCTGTCCGGTAGCCGTGTTGTGGTTTCCAAGTCGGCCCAACATTCCCAGAGTGATCTGTGTTAACCCGCCCAGTGGATCGTTGCCTTGTGAGGAGCTAAAGAAGCTCTATTTCCCAGCATCAGCTCCAAGCCCTAGCTAATAATATCAACTCAATACGCAGGCACAATGAGCGTATTCTCATACGGAAAGTCCCGGCCCCTTCGTTGCTCCCGGATAGTATGCCTCATCCGCACTCGTGGCTACCGGCCACTCTCCAGGTCGAGGATTGAATTTCATGTCTGGTCTAGAGGATGGCGCTCGTGAAGGACCCGTTCCGGTGGAAGTTGGAGTGGTCGAAGGTGTAAGAACGGGCTCCGTGGGGATTTCCCACTGAGATTTCCCCGTTGTCCGTTGGACAAAATACCATTTCCGCGAGACACCTTCCCACTGGGCAATCCTGTTCACACCCCGAAGTGTCAGATCGATGGGAAGATAGTTAGAGACGCGAAGGTCAGGAGCACAGACGACGTACCAGCCCTCTGGTAACGGAGGCGGTGGAGATGACGGTCCTGCACTATCTGCAGGCGCGTTGAGCGCCATTAGTGCTGGTAGAGTAAATAAGTAATAGGATAAAGGGGCTCTCGCTCCCAAAGAGACAGTGTTGAATTTGGATTGGAAGTTGGATTTGATTGTCGAAGGTTGGGCTGCAAAGCAGGTCGACGCGCGTTAGTAAGACTTAGCGAGGCGAGTTACCGCCTAATGTCGGATCCCCTGCTAGACGCCTACTATATGGTACTATCTAAGCTGCGTATTCTTTGTTTCATCTGTACTATCTCACGAATGTCAAAGAAAGAGCTGGGAGTTAGTTACTGGATCAATTCAAATATACAGTTTAAGAATATATGTACAGTTCACGCCTCCGTTCGTGAGAGCAACCTAAGTGCAATCTCGATCTGAGGATCCCCGTCTACAACGCAGTTCGCCAAAATAATGGCTGACATTTGGCCAGTGAGTCTTGTTCCCGTATGCCGACCCTCCGTATGTCAAGTAACCACTGTCGACAGGTCCCGACTGAGCGAGAATGTCGTCTCGGTGGCCCATGATCCAAACAGTCTGCATGCCCTGGATCATATGTTGAAGAGCATGACAATGCATCATCCACACGCCAGCGTTGGTGACACGCAGTCTCCACGCCCTCCATCCAGAAAATGCAAGAGGTTCAGTCTTGGCTCGGTATCTGTAGAGAACAGTGGTATCACGAGGCGTTGGTTGGCTGTTCCGCAGGCGCTCTTCATTGGCAACGGGGTCATATTCTCCATCCCCTCCGCCAATATCATAGTAATGCTTACCGTGGGCATGAAGAGGATGGGCATCCAGCCCGCCAGTCGGGAATGACCCTACATTCTGCCACACAATCTCAAGAACCTCTCCCAACCTTGCAGAAAATGCGCGTGTCACATTGTCGAACCCGTTACCGCTCGCGATGGCTCTCTGGTACACGGCTTCTGTATCCAGCCTGTTTTCGTATATATCGACGAGGTACGGTGATTGGCGTAGATTCGACGTCCAGGGATATCCATTTTGAAGCCACTGGGTTTGTGTACTGAAGTTCTGGTGAACTGTAATCGTGATCCTCCGAGTCACCTCATCCAGAGTTGGGAAGTCGACCTGAGGAAACAGAGGTTGGAGCTGATAATCCAGCCAACCATTCGTAACTTTCGCAACAGGGAGAGGTGGATGCGAAGGTACAATCTCAGTCAGATTCGCTGGTGGTTCTGAATATGACAATAATGCAAATGTCGTCAGGACTGCCGGTCGTTCCAGGGTCGTAAGTTGAATATAAAAATGCTGCTTTCCGCTGCTCCGAAGCTCGTTCACTGATTTTGTCCTGAGAAGAACGCTATATCGCTGCCCACCGTGAACCTGCAGGAAGCTCGTCTCAAGAGGTTTCGTGTAGTGTCCGTCTGCCTCAATTATAGAGACGTTGTGGCCTTGGATACCCAGCCAAACGAAGGACAGCGCAGTCGCTCCGATGACCCTCAGTCTGTACGTCTTCCCACTTTCCACACGGATAGTCTCAAGTCTGCATGACCCCGTCGCATTGGAAGCCAGCCGACCCTTCCCGTTCACCAAGACGTCCGTCGTCTCGCCACTCCAGGTAAAGTTGGGCGAGACAAGACCCGCCTGGACTTGGGAGTCGGTTTTCATGAACAGATCAGATAGATAGATCGTGCGCTCCTCGTCATACTCATACGGTGAGCCTTCGTTGTCTTCCACGATCAATGGACCAGATGCAGAAACAGCCTGGAATCCGACATGCGAGTGGTAGAAATAGCTTCCTGCAGATCCAATATCCGGACGCACTTCATAGTCGAAGAAGTAACCTGGAGCAATAGGCCACTGGCTGCTCAGTGGAGTGCCGTCTGAGAAGGGCGCAGTGAAGGCAGTCAAGCCATGCCAGTGCTACAACATGCGGGTTTAGCCCTTGACATACATACCATACAATTGACGAAGGAATTATGATATTTACCATTGTGAAATTGTTATCAGTCATATCATTGTAGACCCTGATCCAGGAGACCTTCCCTTCACGGAGCCGCAATTCGGGTCCTGGGGAGGTTCCATTCACCAAGACAGAATACCGCTCGATGCATGCTAGGGAGTAGTTCTGGGCCGTTATTCTGAGGACATAGTCAGGCTGAAAGGAGTCATCATGGATCAGAGCGACTCCGGGGGCAACGAGCGTATGCAGAAGGATAAAGATGTACAGCAGGGGGTGATGATAATAATACATTCTTGAAGGGTAATCCAGATAAACTGGATAATTATAAATACATGGAAGACTCCGGGGAATTAGAAAAGGAAGAATAGAAGACCTAGGTAATTATAACAAGGCCTAAGAGTTATCAACCCATTGCATTTATATCTGACGTGAATGCCATGGCAGCCACAGGACATATTGCATGTTTAGGGTACCTTCGAAAGAACAGCGCTAGAAGCGTCAAATTTCCCGACAGTGAATCACTACTCTCCCTATTCGCGGAGGACATAGTGGAAGTCAGTTGAGCCTTCCACCAGAAGCATTCTGGATGCCAGCAGGAACATAGTGCCTGCCCTAACGAAGCCGGCTGACATACCGGGAATGGCTGCCGAGCCACTGGCTTTTCTTTTCTTGGACACGTTCTCCCCTGAGGCTTTGGGGTTGAGCATCGCTTATCGAGATCGAAGTGGGCATGGAATGATTCGATCGGATTTGGTGGCATTGCTATTACATATGATGATTATCAGTGTTAGCAGTGTTGATTGTCGTTCACAATCCGAGGTGGTTCCATTCATTGTTCCAGCAAATGATACACGGTTATATGAGCACGCTCGCAGTAGCATCATAACTAGCTGCGGGCTGTCTCTAGCACGTGCTCTCTCATACGTTGATTCAATTCCCTACCAAATAATGCAGATTTTCAAGTAGCCAGCTTCAAGAGTGTCGTTATTTCTATACATCGTTAATTTACTTCGGAAAAAAAGAGTAGCAGGAAGAATTTTCAACTCCTCTGTAGGCTCCCCGGGATTTCTAATATGCTTAAACCAAAGGGACCCCGAGTCATGGGGGTACTGATTCAGGTAAAAATCAAGGCTCAAAAGACAAGATAACGGCGAGAATGCAAATGTGAGTTAATGATGGATTAGTATAAAAATGATTTAGCGATGAGTCGGAAATCTGGTAAAAGGAGAGGGGATGTCTACCAAGCATGACTGTCTGGGATGTCCAAATCGCGTCCAGTCCAGTCTTCATCGCCGCTCAGCTCCTCGTCTAGAAAGTCACTCTCATTAAATTGCGTTTCAGTAGGTCGTTGGTTATCAATGCGGATCATCACAATGTCACACATCCCTTGGATAGGCGTATTCGGTGTCGGACTGGAAGACATACTCCTGACACTCCTCGTGTCTCTCTGATCTTCGTTCTCTAAAAATCTCCGTTGGGCGAGACGCGCGCTCTTGCGCTTGGAAGGCGTGGAGTGGGCACTAGATACACCATTCCCTGTAGGAGCGTCAGGGATTGCAACATCTTCAGTTGGCATGTCCCCCTCAAGGACTGGTTGAGCGGGTTGCCGAACGGCTGTGAGGTTAGAATCCGGAGGTTTGCTTCGCCTGAGGAAAGTTGTCTCGAGTCTTCGAATCCATCTTTCCCGAAATGACGCGCGATCGCGCCACCCTATCCTTAGGATCGCACTGATAACTAGTCTTCGCAAGTCGCGTAAATAAGGAGCTGCATGGACAAGAGATGTAAAGAAGACCTCAGCAGTCGCATCATCCCACTTGCGAAGTTGGATAAATTCAATGTCCTGCAGAGTAGGTGGCCATGCGGGAACTTCCGACGGATTGAGAAGCTCATCGAAATGAGGCTCAACATCATGGTCGCTTGACCAATCATGCATCGAGAGATCCATCTTCAACCTTTCAAGACGCCCGCAGAATCGTGCCAAGTCTGCAAGGAAAGACAGGCTGAGATTGCGGTTGTGGTTCAGATTCAGCTCCCGAAGATTGTAGCCATAAGATGCGAGAAATGCTTCTAAATCTGATGTCATCACCTCATCGCAATTATCGATTGTCAGGCAAGTGAGGCCCGAGGGCAAACTCGACAGAAGATGCCCGTCTAGAATAGAGCATTCCCTGAACTCCAGCCGGTGGAGATCGGGAAGCTGCTTGAGAGCAGCAGCAAGTGTCAACTGTTTCACGCTCGAGTCTTCTTCGAAGCTCGGTCCTGCGATATGCAACAAGCGCAATTCCCGTAGACTCCGGAATGCACGCTGCTGGTGTATCGTGAAGATAAAGGGCAGTACCTGTTCTGCATCCATGAACCGGCCATTCCAATCCCAGCTGTGAAGCATTATCGAGCTTGCATTGAGTGAGGAGAAAAGGGCCTCTGGGTAAGTCCATTTTGACAATGGGATCTGCCAATGGGGCAGGCCAACGATATAATCATTCCTGTGATACAACCGCAATGTTTTCACTTGAGGTGTTGCTTCGATTAGCCTTGGTAGTTCGAAATATCCCAGGGGTCCGCTCTTGTGGGCTAGCACACCCTCTACATCGACATCCAGCACTTTGATCTTATTAGCATAGTTGATAGAAAGAGACTCTTGTTGCCTGCACAGCAAACTCAGTAAGCCATGGGTCTTGGCAACCGGTATGAGCGGCGGTGAGTAGTAAAGAGCGGCCAGCGCAGGTTCGAGAAAAGCATGACACAATAAGGCAACATTTACTAGCCACTGGACGGAGCTCAGTCGGATCCCACCCTTTTTATCCACAAGAGGATGGGATGCGTAGAAAAATATGTCAAACAGAACATGGTACGGGAGGGTTTGCCACGGTGGTATAACGCCGGAACCAACAAGCGGTTCAACCGCCTCTATCTTCTGGTATTTGTTCTTGCGAAGAGGTCGGCCAATTTCCAATCCTCTTTTATTTGAAGATTTTGTCGACCTTCTCGTCTGACCCCTAGCTCCAGTAGGGGGACGTCTAACTCGGGAAGGGGTTCCGTTACTAGCCGGTTCGAAAGCAGGGGGCGTAAAATGGATTGTAGATTCAAGAGACGCAATTTCATTGGAACGTGAGTCATTCTCTTCATCAAGACTATCATCGGTTGAGTCCTCACGATATGAAATGGGCGCATGACTCGAACGGCGAGGGCGAAACGATGCTGTTGTACGTCCTAACAATTCTTCGTCTGAATTACTTCTCCCATCAAGAGCATCATCGGAATCGCTCTCTTCATAGTAGGACTGGACTTTCATGCGACTCGAGCGGAGAGGTCTGGAGGACCTGGAAGAGCGAAGGGAAGGAGAGCGCAATCTCGGCGCCATCCTCTTTCCATGAGATCAGAGAAGTGGTTCCAGTAGATGCAACATGGTATCTGAAACTTTGTCAGACGGAATAGGAGGGACGGAATAGGAAGAAGGAAGAGTCCTCTCCCATGCAAATTCAAAGTCGGACAAGAGAGGGAAGAGAAGTCTATGCCGAAGGGCTGCGCAGCAATCAGTCGCTGTCGGTTCGAGGGAGTGAACAAAGTCGAGGCAATCAGGCGAGGCATGCAGCAGCTATCGATAAGAACTCGCGGCTTGCCCGTATTCGGCCTAGTTCCCATGTGATGCCAAGATTTCTGGCGCTTCGCTATTTATAACCTCAGGCATCACGCTAGCCCATATTTGGAATGAATGCAGATTATATTTATGGAAATAGGCAGGTGACCGCAGCTGTTCTTACGAAGTCCAGCTCAACCTCCTCCTGCTCTGCGCTTCGCTTCATCTCGCTTTGAAAAGAACAAGGTGGCCTTTTCCAGGCCCAGGACTGCCTTATTTTGATTGTGTTTTCCCTAATTCAATGGTCTGAGTGTGCAACTAGGCATTGATGCTGTTTTAGTTACCCTAGTACGGAGCACTCGGTTGTTCCCGAAACGCTACGTTCAACATCATACAACATGCCATGACCGATTGAATATCTACCATTTTGTTCTATATACCTGTTATTTCTCTCTTTTGGCACTATCGTATTTTGGATTTTTTTTTTTTTTTTTTTTTTTTGCCTCTTTTCACAATGGATGGCTCATTTCCAAGCGGCTTGAACCGTCACCCAACGCAGGGCGATCTGACGCATCCTCAGATGGTCATTCCACAGTATGGCAGGTATAGTCCTGGTATATCTGTTTCCTTACATCGTGCTCCTTCAGTGAGCAGTGTCCGCAGCAGGTCTGCGGCAGCATCAGCATCCCCTCCTTTGCCGCCCAGAGAAGACCTCCGCGCTTCCCGCTCATCTCCAGGGCGGCTATCGGTCTTTTCCCATCTGTCTGCAATGCATTCAAGGCCATCAATGTCCCCGCCTCTTTGTAATCCCCTTCGCTCAAAGCAGGCTCGGGATGCAGTGGAACCAGCTGTATCCCGAAGTCTCCCTTCTCGGGCTCTTACGGATGAGACAATCGATGACGCCTTTGTCTCATTTATTTTCTACTGCAATCCCAATGTTCCTTTATCTATTGATACCTCAGAGCTCCGGAAAACATTTCGTTCTCCTCCACGTAGTGATGGGAAAAGCTTCAGTATCTTCACGCTTTGGGAACTAATTCAGAAACTCGACAAGAAAGAGATCAAGACCTGGATTCAGTTGGCAATTGAGCTCGGTGTAGAGCCCCCGTCGTTAGAAAAGAAACAGAGTACACAGAAGCTTCAGCAGTATACTGTGCGACTCAAGGTCTGTGTTATTATCCACCCGATCTACGTCTGACAAAAGAAAATCTGATTTCTCATAGCGTTGGATGCGTGCTATGCATATCGATGCCTTTTTTGAATACTGCCTTGGACATGCTCATCCTTACTACACACAACTTCCGCCTCCTGGTTCACTTGTGACTGATAATCGCGATGGTGTACCGCCGGAAGAAGATCTGGCTTTAAGGGCCCTAGTTCCGCAATGGAGACCTAAGCGTGGCAGGAAACGGGCTGAAGATAAAGATCTGGAAGAGAGTCTCGAAGACCAAACCTCGGAGAAACGACCGCGGATAGATACTTCAGCGGCCATGTTACAGCCTGTCTCGTTTCCAGGAAGCTCCACAGCATTTCCCGCAAGTGCTATTCCCTTCAGCCCCTATCCAGATGATGTGGAGGCGAGTGACCCATGGATAGCTGTGACCACTACATTTGTACCTAATGCAGTCGCGGATACATCTGCTGCTGAGCAAGCGCGGGGGTTCCGGTGGCGGTCCTTGGAGCGTGATGGGTCTCCAGTTCCCTATGCACAATCTGCCGCTGCTCCAAGAGGCTACCATCCTGCCAATGACTTCTTTTCCAATGAGCCACGGTCAGCAACTGTTCCCTCTTCGGCGGATAAATCACGTATGAAACGACGCCACGGGCCTGCGGTGTCTTCTGCTTGGTCTGGTGGCCAGAGTTCGACTGGCAAGGTTCGAGGAAGACCACCAAATAGGACGCCTGCCGCGGGAACACCCTTTTCATTGTTCTCGGTGAGCTCGGATCGACCACAGCAGCCTCTGGAGGATGCTTCTACGCTTTCCCGGGAGACAAGCACACCAGGCAATATTGACGATTCAAAGGAGTGCCATTTTCAGAAACCGATTCAAAAACCGAGCTCTAGATTGGAAAAACTTCATTTGCAAGTCCCTCAACGCGTGGGTGCGCCTGTACGCCTAGCAACCCCACCTGCGTTACAGGTAAACGGGCTGGATAACACTTTGTCACAGGCTAGTGGAGATCCGGGGAACTCTACGGTACCTCTGAGTAACCTTGCCAATATAGCAACTTCTGTGGACATAATATCACATCCCAACAGTAGTAACAGAGCGACAAACTCTGTAACGCCTGATGATGTGATTAACATCTTCTCCGCCGAACTTATCCGCGGCCGAACTGTCGGTCGATCGTTATCTCTGAGATCTGATGAGGCTATGGCTCTGGCTGCTTCCGTGATTAATGGTTTAACAGCCTCATATTCCAGGGTCCCAGTGATATCGCCAGTCGTCATGTCCGCCATCCATCTGGGATATGGGGAGTCGTTCGGTTTCCCAGGTGCTGTGCCAAGTTCGACGACTGTCAAAGTCAGACCAGATGGTATATACACTATTTACCACGAGTACAAACTCGACTCGGGTATTCCTATAAAAACGATATACAGCGGGCTCAGAATCGGTCCGCCGAGTGTTGATCGCTCTAGTAATGCAGACAGTATTGACAACGCCGATGACATAGATGCACTGTCGGAAGCTGAATTTGAAGCCGGCTTTACAGAAAACCCTGCCTCAGAGGGGATTTGGAAACAGCGCTACTTGAGGCTGCGAGGACAGATGCAAAAGCGAGAACGTGCGCTGTCCCAGTATAAGCGGAAAATACTTGAATCAGTCATGGAAGACATCTAGCTGTTTATGAGATATGATTGATGATTCATTGGATATACATGAAGCATACTTTTTGTTGAATCTAGCTTTTTTTTTTTTTTTAAAAAAAAAAAAAAAAACAAATCTTGTTGGTTTTGCAAATTCGTTCGACATGATGATGGGTGTCTTTTCTGCCTACATCCCTTGATGGATATTTCTTGGATGTATATACCCGCATATTGTAAATACAATCATGGGTACTTTTGTTTTCTCGGGATTTACTGATTGTTGAGTGTTCACTACAAGTCGGTTGCATCGTTTCTAGAAGGACAGCAGAGTTCCTTTTTCCTATTTTGAAGAGTTAAAGGGTATTTACTCTCTCCGCTCAAGTACCATCCCTTTGAAACATGAAGAGACATTACCAAGGGCTTGCAATGCACAATAATACGAATACCATCTCGCCTTCCCCATATGCTCCACAGGAAAGCTAAAGAAAAGCCCAAACCAACAGCCAGTCCAGTCTCTCCGAGAACCAACATATCGCCAAATCGGGAAGGGAAGAAAAATGAAATGAAATGCAAAGCAAAAAGCAAAAGTACCAACGTAACGATCTATCAATCAATCAACCCCACTTCTCCGTCGACGTATGTTGGCCAAGCGTAAATAGAAACATCGCCCAAGGCCTATGCGACATTCTCATCCTGCGCAACCCCATAATCACGTCCGTACATAGCCTCATTAAAGAAACTATTCTCACCGTCATTCTCATTGCCGTCATCGCCATCGGGCTCCTCCTTAGTATTCTCGGATTCAGCGGTTTTGGTGATGACAACTTGAACATTGTCCTGGGCGGTGGCGGTCTTCATTCTTTTCTTTCCGGACTGGGTAGATTTAGCTCCCGCTGCAGGAGAATCCTTGACAGGACCTTTCTCATTCTTGACCTTGCGTTTAGAGGGGGTAGTTTTCTTATCATTGGCGCTGGCGCTGGTGCTGGTGCTGGTTTCGCCCTTGTTCGGGGAACTTTGGTTGCTGCCAGATGCGGTGCCGTGGGGAGGGATATTATGGGCCTTCATGAGGCGTTCGTAGCGCTTGTTGCTGTTTTGTGTCAGTATATCATAAATATTGGGTATGCTAGCTGGCGATGATAGATATATATACTTACGCAGCTCCCTTAGATACGATGTTGCATTCCTTAGCAACTTCGGCGAAATCAATCTACACAAGGACTGGGTTAGCAAAATCTTGGTTTTAGAACATGAAGCACAAAACTAGGAGTCAATGGGTAGTGTAATGAATGGTTGCTCACCTTGCCATTAACCGAGTAGCGAATGCAGCTTAGCAGGAACTGGACCTGCTCATCACTGCTAACACGAGCATTCATGGTAATGATTGCAGGTGAGCTCTTCTTTGAAGATAGAAAGATAGATGGCTGCAAGAGGAAGCTGGGGTGTGTGAATAGTCTTTGCTTTGTGATTCACGCATATACTGAAGATGAAAAAACCTAGTGAGGTGTAGTTGTTGGATAAGTCAGAGATAGGAGAGAGAGAGAGGGATTCTCAAGCTTCCTAAGACAGATGAGGAGAAAAAAGCAAGAAGAGCTAGGAAATAAATGGGCTCAGGGTTTGGTGAAGCTGTGTTGAGAATTTCAGGGATGGATAATGAATGGCCTACTCTCCTTCAGAGTGAGACAGGTTAGGTAGGTGAATAAGTGAGGCCAGGAGAATGGTAATGTTAAAAAGGAATATGTGAGGAGCAGTGAATATGAAAGGAAAGGGGTTGGCGGACGCATGAAGGGAACGGGTGGAAGATGCTTGAAGTTGTAGAGTGCCAGAGTTGTCTGATCTCATGTCCTTACCTGCTTGACTCTCTTAACCTTGACCGAGCAGAAAAATTTTATAGTGGTAGCTCAAGACAGGTAAGATGGATATTGTAGAAAGAACAGCTCTGTTTTGGACGAATGTGGATGGAGAGAGATGGAGGAGAGGTGCAGGTTGCCGGGGGTGATGGAAACGTGTCCGTCCTTTCAACTCTTGCAAGCTGCTATTTTCTACCGCTCTCCTCAGTTTTCGCCTATTCTCTTGCTGGCGTCTTCTGAGTCTTATGAATACATGCCTCACGGTAATGGCTTGCATTCCAGATTGCGTCTACAATGAAACTGGGAAGGAACAATTCCTGCGAAGCTTCTACTATTGTGTCTCCATCCGTAGGCAGCTCGGAATACCCAGTTGGAGAGATACTAGAAGTTAGACATTTTCGCCATTCATGTAAGTCGCAGCATATTGGCCTCTCTCAAACCGGTTGTCCAGATTGTCCAGATGCCGTCGATAATGTAGGAAACCCAGATGTAAATCAAAATCCAAACTCGCCTTGTCTTCGACGATCTTGCCCATCCCTTTCTGAAATTTGCTCCATCCTGTAAAACGAATAAAAGAAACAGTTCTCAAAAACTCTTTGTCCTATTACAACCGTGAAAGAAAAACGCCTGATACCCCAGTGGAGGAATAAAAGGGCAAGTACTATGAATATGCTATCCAGGAGGTTAGTTTAGCTTTTAGGGCCCGGACGGGAAGAGGCAGCGAAACTTACATGGCTATTTGATCGCAACAACAAACCGTAGAGATTCAGCCATATAACATAGCCCAGGGACTAGTTACTCAGCTTCGCTAGTAGACTCGTCCTTGGCCTCCTTCGCCTCTTCTTCCGCAGTGGCAACGTCGATCGCGTACAGAAGAGCGGGAGAGATCTCCCCACGGGACTGAGAATCGGCATCGGCTTCATCAGAAATAGCCTTGGACTGGATAGGTGCCACGCCCTTGCGATTGCGATTGGATTTAGCCTTGCGTGCAGCAATCACCTCGCTACCACCATCGGGGCCACTGGCAGGGATGGGTTTAGAATCAAGCTTGCGTCCGCGAGGCTTCTTGGGCGACGTCGAGGTATCATCCGCTGGATCACTAGAAGAATCCGAGACATCTTTGCTCTTAACAGGACCACCAGAAGTGCCCTTTGACCTATTGGTGTTGCCAGTGTTCTTACATTCAAGCCTCAAGTTGTAGCGCTTGCGGAGAAGTCTAAAGCGATTGCCAACAGACGCAACGTTGGTATATCCCATGGACTGAGCGACGCTGCCGAGATCAACCTGCATAGGTGTTAGCTAGACAACTGATAAAATGGAAAGAGCTTTGCTAGAAAGACATATGGTGTGCGACTTACGCATCCATTGGTGTCCAGCTGGCGGACACACTCGAAAATGAAGTGAGCGTCCGTAGAAGGAATCTCAGATGAGTCCTTGGGAGTAACCTTGGAAGTTGCCGTCGACATAATGATAATCCTATCTTAACTTAATCTGAATGGAGTCTTCTTTCAGTAATGGACTGAGGACTGAGGGCAGTAGGGAGTGTGAAGCATATGGAAGGATAGTAAGACGTGTCGACTCGGAACTTACTGCAAACAGATCGATATCAAAATGATAAATCGAGTATGGGGATTTAGAGAGTAAGGGATACTCGATAAATAGCTACTGAGATAACAATAGAGACGCGCAAGGATATCGGGAAGAGAGGTTAAACTGAGGAGAAAGACGAAGGGAGAGAAGAAGAGAGAGGAGAGTGAAGTCAGAGAGGGGGGGCTGCTAGCGGCGTTACTGGGGCAGGACTCTATAAAGAGTATCTGTCTCGGTGGCCTTGAAACCATCTAGTCCAGCAGCGAGGAAACACAAACTGTGAGGCTATCCTCTCTTACCCTGATGGTGGAGGAGCGGAAGAGACTGCTGCTGAGAAAGCACACCCAGTATTATCATTCTTCACAAAAGAAATACTGTCTAAACTCTACTTTTGAAGATGTTCTGAAAGAAAGTACAGCCAAATTCTATACTGCAAAGACATATCAGACTGGTTTTACATACCCCTCCAGATTAAACCATTGGGGACATTCACTGACAGACAACGCCGAATGCAGACACGACACGACATGACACGATAATCACCAACCTTCGTAGAGGGCCATAAGGCAACACTAAATAGAAACGCAGTTTGGATCTGCTGTTTCCAGTCGGACCACTGTTGTTCCTACTGCTCTATCTTAACCATCAGATCACCCATACCACCGTCGTTCCGCTCCATCTTAACCGGATCCCAGATGTTCTGCGGATGAGCCTGATGGCTCTCTAAACCAAAACCAGTCTGGAAGCCATTCATCGAGCCGTCCAGCAGTGTGAGGTCCGTTGGAGCCACTGTTGTCACGGGAGGATACTGAACCATAGGCTCCGGGACACCCTGGAACGGAGACGGCATCATGTGAGGTGCGGGAACAGCGGGCGGAATCGCTGCAAGATTGGGGGCGGCATGCATAATTTGTTCAGACTTGATGAAGGATTTTGACTCAAAAGGCGAGCTCTCGTGGCAGCCGATGCCGGGCTCCAACTTCGGTACCACTGGCGGAGGAGAGGCAGAGGTAGAGTGCTTTACGGACTGACCGTCTGTCTTGGCAGAACCCTTTTCCCCTTTGCTCCCTGACTTCCTGGGTCTGTTGGTTCGAGTTATGGGCGTGATTCCTTCCATGATTTGCATCTGCTGCCTGAAACGGGAGTAGCGCATGCGGGCAGCGTGGCCGTTGGAGATGTCCAGTTGCGAGGCGACGAGATTCCAATCGATCTGCGGTTTCGTTAGTTGGCGAGAAAGACACATACGGTCACCATTGCTGCTCCATAGGGAATCATACCGACTTCAGGTCCAGTTGCTTCATGATTGTATAGAGGAACTTGCATGTTGGACCATCTGTTGGCATGGTCTTGCTCCGCCTTATAGGAGTTGGATTTGTGGCCATAGTGGCTGAACTAGCTGCTGGTTGGAATTGAAAAGGAAGAGAACACAAGGGATAGGCGTAGAGCAGCTTGAGGAGAAAATAAACAGAGTTACACTAAATATATTCTGGGATCTGATAGAGATAGAAGAAGAAGATGCACTTCCATGCACACTGCACTGGAATATATATCCATCAGATCAGGCAGATGGTGATGCCTTATCACCAGTGTGACAGCTAGTAGACCAACGGCATATTGCAGAACATAAAGACAGACATCCTTTGAATATATTTACTATTCTATTAGATGCAGGGGTTTCTGTTGAATGACTTCTATGCAGCATCTGCAATGCATGTCTTAAAGCTGCCGGTATAGCAGGCACACATCCCCGGACAAGAAAAAAAAAAATCCTTCATGGAAAAAACTATAGCTTCTTTTACATATTGGACAAAGGAGCAGCAGCAGCTTATAGTATTCCTTTAGGGACAGATCTAATGATATTGCTTCTTTCCGACGTCTTGCTGCCGCGCTGTACGTGGTATGCAGTTGGCAGCAACCCAAGATACAAAGCCACACCTACACTGGACAGAGCAAGCAATACCACACTTTACTAGATTGTAGAATATATCCGTATGAAGATCTGTATTCACTTGCAGCCTTTGCATCCTCATATACAGTTGTGTTTTCTTCGCTACAATCAAAGACGACCAGAACCGTACTATAGTGTCTATAATGCTGAAGGAGGAATCAGAGATACTTATTAAAGGAGTGTAATTTGAGTAATTACTCCTCCATAATAGCTAGAGTAAACAAGTAACTTCCATTCTGGATCTACCAGACTAACTTATTTCTCTTGGCCAGTATCTAGACTATCTAGACTAGACTGTGAGATAGGGCAAGCTCGGATACTGGATATTCCGAATATCCGGTATTCAGACTGCCAATTCCCTCTTCAACTTCATTACATCTCGTAGAATTTCTAGTAACTGAGGCAAGGCACGTAGGATTTTCTTTCCTTTTATCTCTCTACTTTCATTCCTGTCATACTCATTTCTAGCCTGGTATATCTGGTTCAAGAGCTGAGGGTGGAGGAGTGAACAGAAAGTCGCCCGCTGCTCTCTGACTAATCAGCTCTTTTCCAACGACCCCATGAGAACCAACCCACCAAGGCATTTCTCTGTTTATAGCTGTTGGGCAAACAATACTATCAGACTCTGGGTTTATTTATATACGGAGCTCAGACTGTAGAGCAGTTTTGCATTTTTCATAATGTCACTGGTTGCAGTAGGTGCATGCTACGTTGATACTATTCTCACGTTGGTTGACCCTCGGACATGTCTTCACGTCGTTGTGACCGAAAAGGAGGCAGAACAGAAACAGTAGTAGACTTTGCTAATACAACTTACAGAACTCCTCATTATCCCAGCGAGGATGAAAAACTACGCGCGTCTACCCTTTCCCGTCGGCGCGGCGGGAACTGTGCAAACTCTCTCGAAGTGCTGCAGCAGCTGCTAGAACATAGCGACATCAAGAACTTGAAGACGGCATCTCCAAATATTAATCTTGTTGCTGTACTACCTGCTCGATCATCTGTTGCTACGCATCAGATCAGAGCGGGGCTCGAGCCTCACGTATCTCTCGAACATAGCATCTTTCGGGAATTATTCAACGAGCCTGCGTCTAGTTATATCATAAAAGCCTCTGACTCTGGAAGCAGGACAATTGTAAACTACAATGAACTTCCTGAAATGACTGTCGAGGAATTCCAGGTGATCGCAGATTCTCTAGGGCCGGGGGCGAATTGGTTCCATTTTGAGGTTGGTTTGTGGCATATCTCTTTCTCTCTCTCTCTCGGGCTACAAATACTAATTGTGGGAGTCTTTTCAAGGGTCGGATACCTGATATCATCTTGGATTGTATAAGATACCTTCGAACGCGATTTCCTTCTGTGCGTATTAGTGTCGAAGTTGAAAAACCTCGTCGGCCTGGTTTGCAGGAACTCGCTGCTGAAGCGGATGTTGTCTTTTACTCCAAGAGCTGGGCACAGGTATCGTTTTCTTTTCATTGCGTACATAGACATTGACAGGAACCCCACTGCTAGAATTCTAACCCCATGATAGGGAAACAGCTACCAAACAGCGGAAGAATGCCTACAGGAGCAGTCAAAACGTACTGCTAAAGCGTATGTACTTTAATACTCCCCCCAAACATGCCCTTCACTTGATTTGCGGAGACTCGTTCAGCCTGACGTTCTCTCAGTTCATTATTATGCTGCACATGGGGTCAAGACGGAGCAACCGTCCTTGAAACCTCTACATCCTCACTCATTCACGTTCCAGGATATACTGAAAAGGGCTTCCAAGTCGTTGAGTAAGTAGTGCCATGGATGCTATTTATTGAGATAGGCCGAATATTTGCGCTGACTCGTGTGGATCACCATCTGTTTATAGTCCCGTCGGTGCCGGTGATACGTTCATAGCGGGTATGTTGTATTCTTTGATATATCGTAAAGATGATTGGGATCTGTCGCGTAAGTTGAAGTTTGCGAATCGTGTTGCAGGGATGAAGGTCGGACAGGAAGGGTTTTCGGGGCTTGGGAAAGCCTTGGACGGAGATTTTCGGTGACTGATTAGTTTTGTTGTTGAGAAATTTGCTTGCACAACTAGATTCTATGAATTCATCGGGTACTGAGAATTACAACCGCGAATTCAATGGTTTCTCTATTATAATGGTTCCTCCATGGTTACGCCGTCTTCCTTCCTTTTTGGGAAGACCATCACGTGATACATGCAAGACGGAAAGCGGTGAGTGAGTCGACACCGAAAGAAAAATATTCTGCCATGAATTTTCCAGCTTCAATTTCCTTTCGAGCAGCATCGATCAATTGATTCATAATGGCGTCGGTCTACAAGGCGGTTTCAAAAAAGAACTCCCGACAACTCGAGGAGGACCAGGATATGGAGGATGTGGAAATGGAAGATATCATTGCGGGAGCAGACGATACCAGCGATAGCGACAGCGAGGAAGATGAAGTTGAAGCGAAGAAGCAGGTGCCCTCGGGACAGATGCCCAAGACCCGGGTTTTAATGCTGACGTCCAGGGGCGTGACACACCGGTACGTTTTATTCTGGGGTTAGAAAGCGAAGGCAGAGGCATTATTGACGTATTTTTCTTTTTTTCCCATTCAACAGGCATCGACACCTACTGGCCGATCTTACAGCTCTACTTCCTCATACTCACAAGGAAACCAAACTGGACACGAAAAAGAAAACAGCCGGATATAACCTCCTACTTAATTCTCTGGCAGACCTCCATTCCTGCAATGTGATTTTCTTCCTTGAAGCTCGCAAGCGGGGCCAGGATTTGTACCTTTGGATCTCGCGCCCGCCTAACGGTCCAACGATCAGATTCAATGTGACGAATTTGCACACGATGGGCGAGCTTGGAACGGGATTTTCAGGGAACTGCCTCAAGGGTGGAAGGGGAATTGTCGTGTTTGATCGGTCATTTGACGAGCAGGGTCCCAACATGGGCAGTTCCGGGACAGAGTACCGAGGACTTATCCGGGAAATGCTCCGTGGAGTGTTCTGTGTTCCTAAGCGCGGCGTGAGAGGCATGAAACCCTTTATCGATCGCATCATCGGCGTCTTTGGCGTAGATGGAAAGATCTGGATCCGTGTCTATGAGATCAGGGAGTCTGAGGGTGGCGGCAAGAAGAAGTCCGAGGACGGAGAGAAGGAAGACAATGAGAAGACCAAGCCGGCCCCCGCTAAAGGCAAGAAAGGATTGCCGGATATCTCTCTTGTTGAGATCGGTCCTCGCTTTGTCTTGACCCCTATCGTCATCTTGGAGGGTAGTTTCGGAGGCCCCGTCATTTACGAGAATAAGGAGTATGTCAGCCCGAACCAAGTTCGGAGGGAGGTCCGCATGAAGAAGGCGAGCCGATACTCGCAACGCAGAGACAACCAGACGGGTCGCGTCGCCAAGCGCTCGGAACTGGGACTGGGAGAAGGAGGGAAGAAGCCGGATGCACTGGATACAAGGAAAATCTTTGCTTGATTGTTGTCTATTTTGTTTGTCCTTTTCCTACGTTTTTCATTTCTCTTTCCCACTTTCTTCCCTTTTACACTTGATATCCCTTTGTCTGGGGAATGACTGCATTTTGTTAAAAGAAGGATACGGATCTGGAGAGGCGTTGACTGCGTTCCCGGAATGAATAATAGTTCCTTTTCTTGATATTGCAGTAGTGTAATCGGTAAGCGAGCCGGCAGTGTTGCTTCAGTAGGTTGAGCATATTGAGCTTCTTGGACCTTATTCTCATGCCGTAGAAGCTGCTTTAAGCTGCAAAAGCACCCTTTCTGGATTGAATGCGATTAGGTCGGTTGCTCTGAAGCCATAGATAGGACCCCCTTCTACAACAATACAAGGTGGAAGCACCCATCCAGTAAAGTTGATCTTTAGCAGTGGTTACCATTGCCAAATCAGTATTATCAAAATTATACATATCCTCCTCATTTGGAGTCAGATTGTCCTTGCATCATGATCTGCAACGCCGGCTTACCCGAAAAGCCACAACCGCGGAAACGCATTCAGTGGCGTCTTTCTATGACTACATAATCACTATTATATCTATGTCTTCCCGAGGTTTCGTATGCTTGTTATTCTCCTTTCTTCGGATTCTATCTTACTAAACTTGTACCGTTTCCGACGCTCTCCCAGCATTCCATCGGGATCCCGAGGCCAAGCTCATCTCCCCAAGGCAGCAGGTATTCCCCATGTCGGGCCGGCGCCATCGATCGGCCGTGGCATGCCAATCCTGCCGTCGTCGCAAGGTACGGTGCAGTCTCACTGTCACCGGAGTTCCCTGCATTGGCTGTGCGCAGGATCGGGTTGAGTGCGTTGTCGATGCCAGGGCAAAACTGCAAAGACGCGTGCCGATGAGATGTCTCTCCTCGTTGAATAATGTCTCCCCTCGCGAGGGATCCTGGCCACCCCGCCCGTCCTCGTCCTCGTTCCATAATGGCTCCAGCAACAGTCAGGCAATACGAATTCCAAGCCCCCGTCCCCGTGTTCTTCACGATGAGGGCACTCCGGCGGATAGAGAAAGGCATGGCGAGCAGGACACTATCCAGGATGAAGAGCGCAATGGCATTGAAATAGCAGCGGCTATCCTGGGGAAGCCAGAGCGTGCTGGACAGGTTCCCTTTTACACAAGTAACTAATCACTCTCTTCTATCTCCTTCAGTGGAAGATGCCACTAATGCTGATTGCTTGCAAAGGCGACCAGATTGGACTCACGTCAGCCTTGAACATTTGTTCTCCAGAGCGTACTCTACCCAGACACTTCTTGATCCCGTCATACATTTCCACTTCTCTCTCCGACGACGATCGAGAGTATCTTGACCGAAAGGGTGTTTTCACGCTTCCCGGAAATGAAGCCTGTGCCAGTCTTCTGCGTGCTTATTTCTACCATGTGCACCCGATCATGCCCGTGGTGGAGGTCGACCACTTCCTGAACAATTTCCACGCTGGCCGTCTTCAGGAGCAGAATATATTACTCGTGTGGTGTGTTTTTTTTGCTGCCGTAAATGTAAGATCTATCTTTCTAGCGATCAACGATGGTGCAGTCGAGTTGACCAGAGCTACAGTTTATTCCAGTCAGTATCTGCCAACATGAAGGCTATGAATGCCGCAAGGCGATGAAAACTGCGATGTATTCTCGCGCAAAAGTAGGCTTCCCTGGATTGATGTAGGCGGCTTTTTTGCGTCCCTCATTCCTGCTGAGATGTCTGACATGGACAGTGCATGTACAATAATGGCGGGGAGAGGGATAAGATTGTCCTCCTGCAATCATCTCTGCTGCTAGGGTTTTGGCATTCTGGTATGGACGAACACATTGAGCCGTGGTACTGGACAGGCATAGCAGTTAGTCTTTGCCAAGCGCTGGGATTACATTGTGACCCAGACTCGACCAGATACAATGCTTCCATCACCGACCGACAGCGACATCTCTGGCGGCGCCTTTGGTGGAGCTGCTTCTTCCGGGATAGGTGGCTTGGACTCACGTTGGGACGACCAGTCCGCATCAATCTCAATGACTGCGACATGCCGATGCCCTCTGCCGCTGACCTACTCAGCAGTGTCGATGGCCTTTCACAGGAGATCGTCGATGCGTTCTTACCAGGCGATTTGCAACAGATGGCACAGTATTGGGTCTTGTTGATCAAAATGAGCAAAGTGCTGGGCGATGTTCTAGCTTTGAATTACCGGGCTTTTCGACCTAGGCCTTTGCTCGAACAGGTAGAGGCCCTGGAGTCCGAGATTATGCAATGTCGACCTCCTGACAAATATGAGCTTGGTCTCAGTCGTCCGGCGATTTTCTACCAGTATCACCTGCAGTTACATTACCAGTATGTCTCCCTGAGTTCCCACTGCCGTATGAAAGCAAATAAGCTAATCCAGACTTGACACAGGGCGCTTTTGATCACATTCTATCGCCCCTACGGAGCTGAAGTGCCTGATGGTCTTCATTCTGCCTACCACGAGGAATGGCAGCACCGGATGCGACTCCACGCCGATGCTGCAGCCTCGAGAACGAACGATATCGTCGAAGCATTGGCGCAGGAGAATCTGCTTAATTTCGCCGGTCCTATGACGTGAGTACCTAGCCAGTGTCCTCTTTCTTTGACTTTGTGAAGTGAAAAAAAAATAAAAATAAAAATAAAAATAAAACTAAGGTATGACTAGACCTCCCCTCCTGGTCCCTGCGATGCAGACACACCTCCTCAACTGTAAATCGGCAAGTCCTTTATCCCGACGCCTCAGACTCAGCAAACTGAACATGTGCATGATGGTCATGGAGGAATTCCAGAAAGTCTATTCGGCAGCTTCTATATTACGTGGAATTTTCACCAAGGCCATTCAGCATTTGTGTCCGGAGGATGCTGTCAATGCTACGACCAGTACTGTTGATTCTACTTCTTCTGCTACTAGCAGTAGCAAAACTGGTACATCGAAAGCTGTGTGTACTGCCGATGTTACTACGACAGAGACATCGGCGCCGGGAAATAGAATTTCGCCTGTGACGCTCCCTCTCGAAGGGAATTTGGATGTTTCTGGGATTATTTCGAATGATAGTATCGTCGATGTACTTATGGACGAGGCTTCTATTTTCAATTTCTGGGGGACGCTGGGGCCCATGAATTAGATGTAAATAAATGGAAATTCGATATTGTCCAGCCGATCTATAAACGGTGAAAACAAGTCTATATACATGCTACAATAGACACTGTGACCACTTCACAACACGGCTATCCCCGTGAAAGCCCGCGAATCTTCAGTGTACAACTTCTTTCCTTGCTTCCCGTCGCGGTCACACTGGTAGATATTCCCACCCAGATCAGTCATATAGACACGACCATCGCGCGGATCCAGCGCTAACCCAATCGCCTCATTGAGATTCCGGAAAATAACCTCATGCTGCTTCTGCTGCAACGGTGGCTGCACGACAAGACCAGATGACAAGTCCAACCTAGCTCTATTCAACGAGTTACCGAACGGTAACTCACCCCGATCAGTCCAGTACAATAGGCCACCCTCCGCGTCGATCTCGAGATCAATCGGCTCCGGCAGTCCGCTCAGTACACATTGGATGTCGTCTCGCGTTGTTGCGGACTGGCCGGGCGGCATGGCGATGTTAGCGCAGAAGATACGTCCCCGATTACTCTTCGAGTAACCCTTTTGTGTCCAGTAGAATTTTCCTAGCTTGGGTAGGACGGCGATCCCGACGCACCACTGCATGGTGTCTGGATGGTCTCCGTTCGAGATAAGGGTTTCCAGATCAGATCCGTCGAGGTTGCAGCGGTAAACGCGCATGCCTTCACGGTCGCTGAAGTAGAGTTTTCTTGCGGATCGGTCGAGGGTTATTTGTTTCGGGGTGTTCACGCTTCCTGGGGACAGGACGGTTTGGATGTCCGTTCCGTCTAGGTTGGAGGAATATACGGCTCCATCCTGCTTCCCTGGGACGCCCATGCAGGTCCAGAACATGCGGCGGGTGACTGAATCCACGACCAGACCGTCTGGGAGGGCTTGGTTGCGGATTAGGACACGGTGACGTTTCCCGTCTGGAGTGAACTCGAGGATCTGGCCTGCTTTGGTGTCTGGGGTGGCGGCTGAGAGGCCAATGTCTAGGACGAGAAGACGCGGCTCGTTTGCGCCAGCTTGAGGAACTGGATATAAACCGCCCTTGGAGGACTTGGTGCCCAGTTTTCCCTGGTCCAGGTAGTTCTTCGTTAGGTAGTCGACGGTCTTCTCACCTGATAGGCCGCGTTCGTGGATGTAGTGGTTCTCGATGAACGCGACGGTGTCGAGTCCAACATCTACCATTCCATTAGCGATACGCGCAAATCCCTGGAAGAGGATATAACTTACCATCCATCATCCTGCAAGGAGTGATTCCATTCTCAAGGAACATACGCGTCCACATGGAGTCAATCTCCTCGGGAACAGACACACCTTCCGCAAGAATCGTCAAAGTCTCCCTCTTCACAGCCGCCCAGAGCCGGTTAAAGATGAACCCCGTCGACTCCTTCCTTGCTACATACGGAAACGTCGCAGCCTCCTTGGACCTGTCGATCATAAACGGGAAGATTTCCGGCGCTGTATACCCATCCGTCATGAGCTCGACAATCATCGCCCGAGGCGGCATGTAGTAATGCATATTCAAGATGCGAGGCTTGACGGCGTCGGGGACCTTTTCAAGCATCTCTGAGCTCTTGTATGAGGACGAATTGGACGCCAGAACGCAGTCGCTGGGCGCCAGAGCGGCCAGTTCACCGAAGACGTCGATTTTCAGTTCGATTCTCTCCGGGATGGCCTCGATGACCAGCCAGGAATTCGAGACGGCGTCCTTCAGACTCTCCAGTCCTTCAGCCTTGCCTGGTGTTCGTCCGGTGCTCGCAGCGTAGGCTGTGGCATTTTCCTCGATGTATGCGATGCCCTCTGCTCGCTGCTGGGCACTGGGGTCTCGGATTCGTACGTCGTACCCGGCAGATGCCCAGATACATCCTGATCAGCGTGAGTATTTGGACTTTGGTCATATACTTTGTGATGGAACATACCTATACGACGTCCGAGAACACCAGCACCGATCACAGTTACGGGACGACTGCGGTAGTTCTGTGGTGGTTGCCAAGATGCATGCATTGTGACGAGAACTCTGGATGGACAGATGAATTCGATATATGAAAAGGGATACAGCAGCCTCGAAGAATATATAATATAAAGCAGATAATATGCTCGAGAGCTGAACCGGAATTCAATGGACGTCAGGCCACTGCCGATGGTATTTATATCTACCCATATAGTCCATCGGGAGCAGCACCGGAGTACGACAGTAGAGAAGTATCGGTAAAGCCTGAAAGAGGCAAGTTGGCCTTCTCTTTCCGAGTGCCTAGGAGGTCTTTTGAGATTCTATTAACTCGGAGTAATTACTTGCTGGAGCTTCATTTCATACCTCGCCGATGGTCGATCATCGTCAATCCAGTTCCAGCGTTTCCGAGCTCTCCGGGCCGATCACTGCGCGGCAATAAAAGGGACCTCGGAATCGGCTTGCCGTGGATCCCAGTCTTGCTTTTCCGCGGGTCGCTGCTGGGGCTGTCTTGATGGAGTCGTCTGGGGCTTCTGGGCTTGTCTAGACAGTCTCACCAAATGTCTGGACTCGTTAATCTAAATATAGTTGTATTATTGTCATTGAAAGGATAGAACGAAGTTGGTGTTGACTTATAGGTCACGTGTTCTCGATATGCTTAGTAATACAACTGCCACCCCTGAGCTCGTGCGCTCAACCAACTACTCAATACACTCATTTCAGTCCATTAGTTGGTAACTTGCATTGCCCTTTATTCCTGTCTATTGTATGTCTGTACAGTCTAGTCTAAACACAAATGGGAAAAGATAATCCAAAGAAATAAACAAAACAGCTCTCCTGATCAATAAATCTCCTAGGCAGCCTTGTTTGCAACAGTATCACTCGTCTTGGGCGGCCACTTCACTCTCCTTTCTGCCCTCACATACAGATTGTTAGGCCGAATAAGCTGGAACATGGGGTCATATTCGATCGGTCCGTCTCCTTCCCTGGAAAACTTGTAACGATAGACCAGCTTGGGAAGGAAGACCTTGATTTCCTGCAGCGCGAAATTGAACCCGATACACATGCGTGGCCCAATGGCAAAGGGGATGTAAGCAGCCTTGTGTCTGTTCTTCACTTCCTCTGTGTCCCACCGGTCCGGGTTGAAGCGATTAGGGTTGTCCCAGATGTCGGGATTGTTATGGATATGATGCAGAGCTGGAATCACCACTGCGTCCTTGGGCAGTTTGTAGCCCCCCGGTAGGACGAGGTCGACTTTGGCGGTTCGTCCCGGCTGGAACGAGGGATTGTGTCGACGCTGGGTCTCCTTGATATATTTATCGAGAAAGGTTAACTTTTCTGTAAAGTCCGCTGTGATCTCCGTGTCTTCGTTGAAGCCGTTGTCGATCAGTTCCTGAAGCAGCCTGTCCTGCACCCCCGGGTAGGTGACCAAGCCGTAGATCAGCCATGAGAGTAGTGAGCTGGTTGTTGTAAATCCAGCAGCTGTCGCGACGACAAGCGACCAGACCAGGCTTGTCTTGGGAAGTTTCTCACCCTTGTTATCGGTAGCACGGACTGCGTAGTCTGCCAGTCAAGGGTCAGGATACTTGTTCTAACTCATCCCAGCAAACGAAGGTAGTATGTACGAAACATAACTTACCGACCATGTTTGACGCCCGCAATGCCGCGTCCTGCAGAGGTAGATCTTCAACACCACCTCGTTCGGCCTTGCGGATAGACTCATCCACCATCTGCTCAATCCGGGCCTTACAATTCCTCAATCTCTGTGGGTCGCCGAAAGGCAGTCTGCCATACCAGTCGCCCTTCGATGTAACTTTCTTGTTGAGGGAGAGCACCTCGGCGATCAAGTGCACCATCTCGTGTAAAGGCGTATCCGGCGAAGTGAAGTGTTGGAAATCCAATCCAAGAGTGAGCTTTCCAACCGCCTGGGAGCCAAGTTTGAGCATATACTGATAGACGTTCCAGGCCTCCTCCTGTTCATCAAGGGCATCGAAGACCTTGTAGGCATCCTCCACCGTCTTCTGCATGGTTGGAGCATAGTGGCGGACAGCCTTCGGACCCAGAGCAGGAGGCAAGAACTTGTGAGTTACCTTCCATTCCGCAGTCTCCGTGTCGCCCAAAAAGATACCGGCAGACGGTGTTTTCAGGGCGTGCAGCGGATGGGCCTCGTTGATCTTCTTCGAGAAGAAGTCGGACTCGGCCAACACAATTGCAGAGATCTGAGGATCGTTGGTTTGGTATGTCGTGCGGCCCAGGTTGGTGGTTTTGATGATGGGACCATACTGTTCGAACAGACGCTGGTGGTTCCCAAGGTGGTCGGGAAACACCTGGAAGTAGGTACCCACGATAGGCAATCCTGGAGGACCTGCAGGTTCGCGCACGGCATGGCCATCAATCGTGATGGCTACAGGACCCTCTGAAGCGATGACTTCGGACGCATCTGAGAGGCAAATATCCTGAGTTTGAAACCCGATTCCTGGTTCCGCTCGTCAGCAAAGAGATCTTCCCACAGATAATGCATGATATGATTAATACACACCATTCGGTTCAACTATGGCAAAATTCGCAGCGATCAAGTTTTTCAGGCTGTCGAGATCCAATGATCCATCGAGGTCGATGTACTTCGCGGAGGACTCTGGTTCTCCGAGGAGATAAAACCGTTGGGCCGACATTGTGAGATATTTCTGCAACACAGATACATTTGGGCCTGGGGCATGTCCAGGAGATGAGCTTACCTATATATATCTGCGAGTGTATATATAGCAAATCCCGTCTTGATGGAGATGTAATCCAACAGAATAATGAAGACTCGGCATCCCGAGATCGACGGCTTTCCGAGGTTTCTCGTTTCCGCGGATGTCACTCCTTTCCGCGGTACCGCAGAATGGTAGAATTAATGTATGCAGCTGTATATCTCCAGGAATACTAAAAATAAGAGACAAAAGAGGATGTGCCTCGCTTTCCTCTATTTAAGTAGGAAATGCCGCGTTGCCAGGACTTTCTAGAAATCAATCCTTCCTAACCTGAGTCCCGGCCACTTGCCATTCCTCTTCAAAGAGAAATATATTTCAGAGAAAGACATCTTGAAAGCTCCTTCGCTGTTGCCAGAAATCGAATCCCAAATATACAATTGAGACAGACAGGGCCTTGTATCACCTAGGACAATGGCCAGCATACAGGAGTACACGAAAGAAGACGTTGCGCGCCACAACTCCAGAAATGACTTGTGGATCATCGTACATGGGAAAGGCAAGAGTCTCATGAGATGTTCACAGGCGATTGTTCTTCTGCTGACAATAAACTATAGTTTACAACGTCACTGAATATGTGCGCGACCACCCTGGAGGGCCAGACCTCCTCATTGACGTCGCCGGCACCGACGCCACCGAAGCGTATGAAGACGTTGGGCACTCGGACGACGCAAGTGCGGTCCTGAAGACATTCTTAATTGGCACGCTCAAGGGGGCACAAGAATTCAAGCGTCCTACAGCCGTACGGCTGATTCAGCAGAGTCCTTCAAAACCAGAAAGCGCAAAACAGTCGACATTCTCAACAACCACTGTAGCACTCGTTACCAGCTCGCTTGGCGGCGCGGCGCTCTCGCTGTATCTCAAAGCCGTCCCAAGCATCCTCGACGTCCATGGATCAGTCGCCAGGTTCTACCAGCTCTCGTCGCACTGGATACCAGAGGTTCGCCTACTGGACAGAGGTATCCCACGGGGAGGATTCTTCAACGGATTCGTGACGGCAAGCGTTATCTGCGCAGCAATCGGTGGCATTGTCGGCATACAACTCTCCAAGTTCACCCAAATTAACTTCGGCTTCGAAAGATATGCACCGCACATGAAGAGTCGTAAGATTCCAAAGAGCAACCCACATCTTGCCAAGGGGTTCCTTGAGCCGAAGCAATACAAGACCCTGCCACTCGTCAGAAAAGACACGCTTGCCCCCAACGTGTATCGGTTCGTCTTCCAACTTCCCAGGCCACACGATGTGATTGGTCTTCCTATCGGGCAGCATGTAGCCATCCAAGCAACCGTTAACGGAGCATCGGTTTCCCGGTCATACACGCCAACATCGAACAACCTAGACCGAGGAGTTCTAGAACTGGTCATCAAATGTTACCCAGACGGCGTGCTGACGGGTCAATACCTCGCGAACCTCCAGGTGGGCGATCAAGTCCAATTCCGCGGTCCCAAGGGCGCAATGAAATATAACAAGGGACTATGTAAGAAGATCGGGATGATCGCAGGTGGAACAGGAATCACCCCCATGTACCAACTCATTCGAGCCATCTGTGAGGATGACAGGGATACGACTGAGGTTAGCCTAATCTACGCCAACCGCAGCGAGGAGGATATCCTCCTTCGAAGTGAGCTTGAGACATTTGCTCGATGCTACCCTCGCAATTTGAAGATCTGGTACATGTTGGACAACCCGCCCAAGAAATGGGCTTACGGCAAGGGATATGTCACAGCAGATATCATGAGGGAAAAGTTACCTAGCCCGTCGCCTGACACCAAGATAATGCTCTGTGGACCTCCTGGGATGGTGAACGCATCCAAGAAGGCCTTGGTGTCGTTGGGATTCCAGGCTCCCGGTGCCGTTTCGAAGATGACGGATCAGATTTTCAGTTTCTAGTCCGCCTTGCTTTCTCCAAGGGCAGGGAAGGAGAATTTCCGGTTTGAGGCGTGGGATCTGCTATAGAAGTTTGGGTATAGAGTTAGGCATAGATAATAGATCTGTATTTTCCTTTTGCCAACTGGCTAACAAGAGTTAGGGCATTGCACGCGAGAAACCCGAAGTCTTGGCGTGGGGCACTTTGACTCGCCGAACGCACATGGAAAGTGATCAAGGCCAAAATACTCCGGAACCGCTGCAATTGCCCGATGAGGGGCGTTTCTGTTAGTAGAAAGTTAATCTTCAAGAACAAATCCTTGCACCGTGTTTCAAAGTGACTATTCCCGGATGATCCATTCGCTGTGACTGATCTGAAGTTGTTCGTGTGGCAGGTCAAGACACGGTCCGGAGTACAGATAGCTGGGAAGATAAACCTCAACATGCATGGACAATTGGCCCAAAGGAACTTGAATCCTTCTCTGACGGTAATTATTGCACAATTGAATTACGAGTATGCACCATGGCTTGATAATATATCTGAGCACTAGTTCTCGTATCCGAGAGGATCTCCAGTTCACAGCTGCTTGGCATCCCCTGTCGGCAACCCGATCGACACGGATCGTACAATCCTCATGGCTTCGAGAACATGTATCATGGAAGTAAAAATTTGGCAGCGGGTTCAATCACTGCGACAATTGGGAATCCGGTGCTAAGCAGGTTGCAATGCAACCTCGTTGCTGCTAGCGGTAGTTTTCGACCCTAGAATGAATCGTATCTCCACACACAATCCTTTCTGGCGGATGACGTGATTTGGCTTCATCATTGTCTAATTGGGATGGATAACGGGTCAAGGTTTTTCTCTGGCTCGTTGGTGGACAGCATGTGCTGGGGAGATACGAAGGGGTATTAAAGATCCATCACGGTGCTGGGTTGTGGAAGAGGAATTCCTGCAGTTCTGCTTCTTTTTGCTTCGCTTTATACCGTCTCTGTCCCACTGACTTGGTATCTGCTGGTTCAACGAAAATGGCGGAGCTATCCAGTCTCGAGAAAGGAGAACTGGAATCCGAGAAACAACCCACACCACAAACGGCGCAGACACACAGCACCAACGATGTCAAAGCTGACGGTGCCCTGGAGCTGCTGGCCGCAGCGAGTGATGCTGGCTCCGGTGTCAGCGTGTCATCGCCTGAAGCGAAACGTCTTGTACGCAAGATTGACCTGTACATCATGCCGTTGATATGCATTGTATACTTCAACAGTTACCTTGATAAAATCGCCATCAGCTACGGCAGCGTGATGGGTCTTCGCCAGTCAGCCCATCTTCACGGGAATCAGTTCAACTGGGTTTCGAGTATCTTTTTCTTCGGGCAGCTCGCCTTTGAGTTTCCCACCATACGCCTGATGCAGGCATTTCCTCTGGCTCGTTACGTAGCCTTCAACGTGGTGATCTGGGGAGGCCTGCTGGCTTGTTTAGCGGCGTGCAAGTCATTCGCATCTCTGATGGTCTGTCGAGCGCTCCTTGGCTGTGCGGAGGCTGCTGTGGTTCCCGCTTGGGTGGTCTTCACGTCGCAATGGTACCGGAAAGAGGACCAGGCATTCCGGGTAGGAGTGTGGTTCTCCATGTGCGGTTTTGCGCAGATGCTCGGCGGATACGTCGCATACGGAATTGCCATACATGTTGGACGGGACCCCAATGCCGCTCTCCGTGGATGGCAGATCATCTTTCTCGTGCTAGGACTCTTCACAGTTCTTGTCGGTATTGCTTTTTTCTTCATCCTGCCGGATTCGCCGGTGACAGCGCGATTCCTTACTCCAAGAGAAAAAGCCCTGCATGCGGAGCGACTCCGCGATAATGAGCAAGGTATCGGAAGCCAGATCTTCAAGATCGAGCAGGTTTATGAGGCATTGGCTGATCCCAACACCTGGCTCTATACGTTCTGGGTATTTGCTGCCAACATCCCGAACTCGATAGCCACCAGCTTTGGAAACATCCTCGTAACAGGAATGGGCTACAGTTCGACCGAAAGCTTGCTCCTTGTGACACCGCTAGGGGCATACGAAGTCGTCGTGTTGATCGGGCTGACTTGGCTCAGCATGAAGACTGAACAGCGTCTCTTCTGGTGTATCGTGGGCCATATCCCCTCAATTGTTGGTGCTATTCTCATGGCAACCACCGAAAAAGCGCCGGCCCTTGTTGGCTATTATCTCTCCGGCGGCATACCTATCGGGTGGACCACCATCCTAGGCCTCACCAGCACCAACGTCGCAGGGTCAACCAAGAAGATCACGGTCTCGTGTATCCAAACCATTGGGTACACAGTTGGCAACATCATATCCCCACATACTTTCCAGGCGAAGGACGCTCCGCGGTATCTACCTGCAAAGATTTCCATTGTAATTCTCTATTTCCTGGTCACGGTCGACCTCTGTATCATCCGGTGGCTCGCCGTACGGGAGAATAAGAGACGAGATCTCAAGAGGGAGGAGCTAGGTGATGCCTATGTGGTGGAGCAAAACCATGAGTTCCAGGACCTAACTGATCGGCAAAATCCGGAGTTCAGATACGCGATTTGAGTGTGATGAATGTTTTCTTGTTGGTACATCTCGTGTTTAGTCCACAACTCTTCTCATTAAAGATCTATAGTATTAATAGTAGATCAGACCTTCTGCCTCAGGCGTATATTACATAAGCCGAATATAAGGGATCGCCTCATCAGGTCGCGTCGCCTTCACTTCAACCACCAACAAACCATGGCCACACCATCTGCTGCCGGCCCTTTGAGGCTGCAGCTCATCTCCAACCCTTTCGTTGCTATGGATTTTATTTTGTCTGTTGTTCTTGTCCCGGGAAACCCCCATTGCGGGGACTCTCTCACATAGAGACTACAGTGTTTTGCAAGAGCTCGTCGCCTGCTAGATGATCGCCACCAAGATATTGTCTGCATTTCCCCGATACTTTAATAGAATTGTTCAATTTGTTGCCAGATACATTTAGATCGAGAAGAATTGATTCCTACCTACGAAGCAGCGCAACGATACTCTTTGAAAGGTGTGATTTGAGTCATCTACAACTGGCAGGCTACTTGTCTTCCCCTGTTGAATACTCACCTCATTTTCATCTTCCCTTCACTAACAAGACTCAAGATAATACAATGCATTTAGATTACCTAGCGACGGAGCTTCTACTCCATATCTTTCGCTCCTGTGGCTCAGTTTCTGACATTTTGAACCTGGCATCGACCTGTAAACGTCTGCGTCACGTTTTCCACAAGCTACCAAACAAACTGCAGATCCTAGCGAATGCAGCCGAGGTAGAGTTCGGTCCTGTCGAAGATATTGTTCAATTGGTCACATACAATGCGAGCCAGCCAGCTCATATATTACGCAATGCCCCCATGACCGATGCCCTCCTCAGACAGATCATTCAAATTGGCCGAGTCGCCCAGAGATGGGAATCAATCTACCCCGTTAAGAAATGGAAGGTTGATTACGAATGTCGTCGCTCTCTGACGGGTGAGGGGCGGTATCGCCTGCGACGAGCGGTGTATCGGCTCTGGCTTTATCACCGTGCTTTCCACGTGGGATACTACGACCGCTTCACGCGCCATCTCCTGCATGTCATCGCTCAGCGTGCACAGCTACTTCATAACTGGACCACTGCTGAGCTGGCCGAGATCGAGGATCTGCGGCTGATTATGTACGATATTGTGCAAAACCATATATGTCCCAGCAACGGAGCCGTCCAGCGCAAATTCCGTAAACGCTACCCGGAAAGCAACTATCAACTGAACTTTAACGTGCATCTAAACTATCCCGCCAATAGCAATTCCCATCACGCTTCCCTGCCTCATTCATCTCCCCCATTCTTGAAGGACTCTTTCCACGACGCTAGTCCAACAGACTCCATCGAGCATTATTTTCACACTGCCCATCCTACCATGCACAGCGACCTCGCGAAATACCAGTCCAGATTCCGGAATGATTTCTTCCACGACCCTGGCTATGAAGGCTGGGGGGATGAGATTCCACATTACTACGTCGTGCAGGATATGATGAAGCTGGACCCCGGCCAGATACTCTGGCTGCGTGACCATGCCCCACTCAAACAGCAGGTGGAGGAGTTTGTGCGTTCCTTAGGTGATTGGTTTCGGGATAATGGTGAAACATTCGGCGATACGCTCGAATGGGTCATGAGGCAAAGAGGTGATGATGTTGGAGAGCTCAGAGTCGCGATTGATGAAAGGGAGATGGGCATTGTTCTGGATAGTTAATATTATGTGCTCTGCTTGATCAGTGATGTATGGGGGGTATGTATCCACGTGGTCTATGTTTTATCAGTAGTCTAGACACGTTACAATATCTTTCAGGATAGCCATAATGTTGCTTGTGGAAATCCCAGATGAATAGAAATATTCCTACTACCGGCAAAGTAGGAGTAAGCTATGTAGTATGTATCGTGTCAAGTATGTATCCGGATTCCAACCTGTTCACGCCCGCTGTTTTAAATGTTCCCATCCGGCTGGCGATGGTCTGGACTGTGGATAAGACAGCACGTCGCGCGCTCCGACTGGGCGGATAACAAAATATGCCCACCGTGGATGTTTTATCTAAATTTAGAAACAGGCAGCAAGAAGTTTTTTTGACAGTACGGAGTAGCTCGCTCTTAATTGATAAAGCAGGCAGGCGATAGGGCCAAAGCAGGACAAGTCAAGAGAAGAACATAATATAGTTATAAAAAGGATTGCAGTTACAAGTCCTACTCTTCCTGGGAATAACGCTATAGGTGTGTGAAACATCATCCATAGTCCCCATCTTCCAGTCTTGGCCGTGCTGCTTTGTTATGATTGATCCCCACCAAAGGGGAATATGTGGGCCGAGATGAAAATACTGACTGGCTTATTATTCTTGTTCAAGCTTCGCTCCTACAGTGAACTCCAAGGTTACGGTAAACAAGTAGATCCAACACTCAAATCAATTCCATAAAACTAAAGGCGCACATTAACCCACGGATGAGGACCGAGAGGAAGCCGCACAAAAAGAAAAGAAAGGGGAAAAGAAAAGAAAGAGGATTGACAGAACATATCTATGGGGTCGTGTATGTCATCCAGCAAACATCGAGTCCCCTGAACCCAAAGCCCCTTACTGTCATTCCCTGCCGTGTCCGTAATTGTCCTTGCATACCATCTTCGTGGGGGCTAAGTAACAGACCAAAAAGGCAAATGAAGACCATTCAATTATAGCGTCACAGAAATCAGTAAAGGGAAAAGAAACGAAGAGAAAAAAAAAGTCGTTGCAAGTAGCGTCTCATTCTCCATATGCATTGGAATTTAGCAGCAGCCCTGCTTCGTCTCGGCATCCTGAGATTTGCTGAACTCAATCACCGGACGGCGATCACCCGGGAGATTTGGTCCGGCATCACCACCCTCCAGGGCCTTGCTGGATACAATGCGATAGATTTCTGAGATAGAGTGCGTGTCGTCAGTTAAGCCGAGAAGGACAATATCGGAAATGGGAAATACTAACCTGTAAGAATGTTCTGGAAGGCAAGCTCGACATTGCTTGCATCAAGAGCAGATGTCTCGATAAAAGAGAGATTGTTCTCGCCTGGCAAGAGTCAGCACCGTTCGTTTGCAACCATTTGGTCAGTACATACTCGCAAATTGCTTGGCTTCTTCCGTAGGCACGGCCCTCAAATGTCTCAGATCACTCTTGTTCCCCACAAGCATGATAACAATGTTGGAATCGGCATGTTCGCGGAGTTCCTTCAACCACCGATTGACGTTATCATAGGTCTGGTGTTTGCTAATATCGTAGACGAGAAGGGCGCCCACCGCACCACGATAATAAGCAGAGGTAATGGCGCGGTATCGTTCCTGACCCGCAGTATCCCAAATCTGAGCCTTAATGGTCTTTGAATCGACCTGGATGGAGCGAGTTGCGAACTCGACGCCGATGGTGGACTTGGAATCCAGGTTGAACTCGTTACGAGTGAACCGGCTCAGCAGATTAGACTTGCCGACCCCAGAGTCTCCGATGAGCACCACTGTTCAACAAAACGCGTCATATATTAGTCGTAGTCCGAATAACAGTCATTCGCAATGAGGAACACAGTCCGCGGCGACGGAAATGAAAGATGGGATGTGGCAACGTTACCTTTGAAGAGAAACTACGAGAGACCGACGTTAGCTCCAAATGTTTGCGCACAAGGAGAGGCACGAGATGAAACTCACATCATACTCGTCATTAGCCATATTGAAGAAAATTCAGGAGGTATGAACGCTTGAAGAAACCGCGGGTGATTCAGAAACTGAGCTTCGACGTGGCCAGTTGATACTGTCGCTGCGACATGAGGTCAGTAGTCTGGTCGTCGCCGGACGGTAATAACGAGGGGAGAGTGGCAAAGAAAAAATCCGAGCAGGGGGGGTCAGACTGACAGTTTCGCGATACAACACCAGAGAGGCTGAGGTGGAAGACAAAGGGGAGAATGCCGAGCAGCAAGACGGATGATTGTCTCCTTATTTGAACTGGATCGATCGACCGTTGCCTTCTCCCTGTGCCGACTTGGCCTCCCCTTGCCTATTCCGGTCTAGTGCATACACGTGACACTTCTTGTTTCCTTCGGGCGTTTGACGCGACAATCTTGAACTGTAGCTGTCCGAGAAAGCTAACAGAGGCCTTTTTCTCTGTTTCTTGTCTCAAGGAAGTCTTTGCCTTACGGTATTCCAGACGCCGACTTCATCTGGACCGAACTACGACTGATGCCTTAGTGATGAATGCGATACAGCAACGGATCTTTAATACGGCCTTCGTTGGAGGTTAATATTTGATCTCTAGTCATCAGCTTATACCGTTTACTTCATCATAATACTACATCATTTTGGAACCCCTGGGGTTTTTTCCTGCCAGGAATAATGTCGGATACTCCAATAAATGATTGTGCCGATGCCGATGATATTTCAGTCACCTCTACCGTCGAAAGTGAGACACAAGACGAGTACGAAGTTGAGACTATTCTTGCAGAGCATCAATTTGAAGATGGTGTACGGTATCTTGTCAAATGGGGAAATTATCCCATCGAGAGGAGTACTTGGGAGCCGAAAGAATCTTTTTGCGATGAACAGACCTTACTCGATTGGGAGAAGAAGAAGCAGGATATTGCGGCAGGCAAACTTGAGGGATTTGACGTGATGTCTTGGGAAGACAAGGTGGAAGCCTTAGAAAATGCGAGGGCGGAGAGGAAGCTCAGGCGAAGAGAGAAGCGAATAAGACTGGGTCTTGATTCCTCTGGTCAGGATTTACCATCTACCGGTGCTGTCTCAAATGGATCGTCTGGGTATTCCTTTTCTATGACAGTGGCACCTAAGACCGTCTCTAGTCAGATTTCGCGCCCGAGCTCCATTGACCGACCGCCTCCCCGAAACACTTCCCGGTCTTCCATCGACCGCTCGAGGCCTCATCCAACGGCCTCGCACCCTCAAAGCAAAGCGAAGAGTCTTGCAAAGAAAACATCACTGTCCTTGTTTGGATCCTCCAGGCCTGCTTCTCAGTCGATTTTTGGAGCTCATCCAAAACGGAGCCATCCGACGGATTTTGATAGTTCAGGTCCATCCAAGCGGCCGTACAAGCTGTCCACCCAATGGCGCCTTGCAAAGGCAAAAGGATATGAGCCACCCCCGGATATGAGCCAGCTGGATATTAGACGACCATCGGATTGGGTCTCTATGCCTATGTCACCCCTCGAGCTGACTTCTCGTGACCATAAAACCGCACCCATGGATAATCACGGTGTGCCGGGTCAGTCTAGGTACACCGCCGCCCACGTGGAGCCAAAAGATCGATCTAACGAGGGCTTCGTTGATGTATCGACATCTGCTAGATCCCATCATCGACCCAGGCAGCCGTCGACGCTTCAGACTAGTTCTTCTCGGTCGAATGGTATGTTTTCTGGCGCGAAAACCCAGGTGAGTGAACCCACATCGGAAAACATCCCCAGTCCGAAAATGGATGTGACTCAAACCCGCAAACGGTCCTGGAACCCCGGAGAGGTTCTGGCAACGATCTACTATGGACCAACCAAAATTAATGTTGGACAAGCCAAATTTTGCGGAATTGGACCATTGACGAGGGGCGGGCTCCTTCAATCAAAGAATTACCAGAAAGTTGAAGTCTGGTTTAAATATCTATGTACAGTTGACCAGTATCAAGCTCTTTGTTATGATGTAAGTGCAATTGTCCTCGCTTTATGGGTTGCCCCACTTAACAATTCGATATGTAGACAACAAACCGGAAGTTTGACAATGGGTACCTTGAAGGTTTCAAAGACACGAAACGGAATATAGAAAAAATGGCCGATGACCTTCTGCGCAGGGGCCTAATCGGTATCTGCTACCCCCAATATGATTTTGAGAATGTTCTTCTTGTCTACCCAGCAAAATTGGGTGCTTTTTCCTTCTTAAACCAGGGATTTTGTTGCCCCCGGGGAAATGCCTCGCTTTATATCGCAACGAGAAGTGCATTGCAGCCTTTCAAAAAGCTGGAACTTCTCCAAAACATGTCTCCTGCCATCAATCAATTGGAGCACTCCTCTGATAACACCCAAGGAAGAGGAACATCTGTTGTGGTAAAAAACAGACTTCTGGAGGCTCGGTTTGAGACAGTTGCATCTCCGGTTGCCCATAACCACTGGGAAGAGAAACCCGCAACATCCGACATGTCAACGCATCACGAAGTACAGTCGCCCGCCGTTATTGAAGCAAATTCTGGCTTTGATTTAGATACCCTCTTCCGGGACCAGTTGTCTATTACTTTCAAGCAATTGGCAGCAATTAATGCAGAGGAAACCGTGGGAAAACTCTTCTATGTGGTGCTTCCGTCCGAGGAAAATACTCGGGCAGAAGGTGAAGTAGTCATCGAATTTCTCAAGAAGCACCGTGCTATCGTATTCTCCAACCGCATTCCAGAAGACTGGGAACGTTTCACTGGTCTCAGCAAATCGGGGATCGTCATGTTCCACCGCAGCTTCTGCGACTATCACGCTCTGCCATCGTTGACAGACCTCCTACATAAACCATTTAGCTTCTGGGTCTGGTCTCTATCTACTCCCATTGATTATTTCCGTCCTCCAACCTATTTCCAGCGTATCTTCCCTCATGGTGGAGTGATTTTGATCACCGAAGATTTTATGGATCATGACCCTCATGGAACTCGCATGATTCTTTCATGGTTTTCTGACTGGAACAGAAAGAAATTCCCTGGTAGTTGGAAGATCATGATGCGACCGGATGTGTTAAACTGGTTGCTAAGGAAGCATGATGCTGAGGCGAGAAACGCCGGTGGCCAGTGAGTATTAGCAAGGCAGTTTAGTTCTCTTTACGGATACTAACGCAGATATATGACAGCTGGCTTGCCATATATTATCTGATCATGAATCTTAACACGACCGGCCATACGTCCAACATTCTCGCCCACGACGAAGACCCAGACTGGCTCCAGGACCAGTTCGCAAAACACAGTGTCATTTCTCCGGCGGAAGTACCTGGCTACGGCTCCAGTTCTGGCCAGGAGGACTCTGACATTTCAAAAACCCCTGCCCAAGAACAGAGGGATATGGATCTTCTAGTAGAGTTCTTTGCAGGGTGGGCGCTCGTGAACTGTCATAGATTTCGTCGCTTTGTTGTTGTCACATATAGGAACCCACTTCCGAGATGGTCAGCTTGGAATCACCTGGAAATTCGACACCACCGCGAGCAGTTTTTGAATTCCGTTAAGGCTGACCTAGAGTCGCTTTGGGAAGCTCTTGAGGGTGTTCATATGTCGGCCGTGCCTTCTGACCGGACAGACGAAAGGCCACAGGGGCAGCCGCACGCGATCGCAGCTGACGCCCAATCTGACAGCGGGCACTCACAGGACTTCCAGAGTACCAATGGTAGTCTTGCAGATTCAAGGCGCTAGAATACTCATCGGTCTCCGTTTGCTCTCTCCGAAGGTACATCGCTGCCACACTGCTAATGAACATCTATTTACTCTACTATTAGGTCATAGCATTGGGATAGTCATTATATCCCTCCCTCTGGTCTTGTTTTTGACATAGACTGTATTCTCTTTTAATTTTTAGCAGTATGATTATGCAATCGCATGACTTACTGCCAGCATTTTCCCTTACTCCCTTGTGCAGGGGCGAGAAAAGAGAAATCAGATACGAGCTCTCTCAAGCTTACAGAAGGATGGATTCTTTTCGTTCTCCAGAAGTCGCTTTCCTCGTGGATGAATTGATGAACGAGCATCATGTCCCTGGTCTCTCTATCACTGTCATGCAAAATGATGAAATTGCTTCTCTGGGCTATGGGAAGACAGTCTTAGAGCTCACAACTGTATACACAGCGGACACACTCTTCGACATAGTGTCTTCCTCCGGATTTTTGACTGTTGCCTGCGTCCGGTTGCTGGTAAACGATAACGAGAACTACCCAGAAATGCAGTACGATGCGATAATGTCAACCCTCCTTCCCGGAGATTTTGTCATTCCTGGCACTGGGTATACGGAAGGTGTCACACTGGAGGATATCCTAAGCTACAGAAGTGGCATGCCTTCGTAAAATAAACATAATCTTCAATGCTCAAAGCTCGTGGCCGTACTTACCAGGGCATAGTCATGACGATTCTTATATGAGTCCGCGAGCAACACACCCAGACAACACACGATCTGTCACAAGAAACCAGAGAAACCTGCCTGTGGCAGCTCCTATACGCTCAGGATATATCTGCTGTAACATCATGTACACCGTGGCGACGCATCTGGTAGAAGTGAAGTCAAAGCAGAGTTTCTCGGAATCCTTGACAGACGCATCTTCAAACCCCTTGCTATGCAATCGACCAGTCTGCAGCTTAAAAGCGCCCAAGCAAGGGGATTCGGAGACTGCATCGCGACTGGATACCACTGGGACAAGGATAGTTCAACATACCAGGAATTTCCTCATTGGATTGTCCAGAAAGCCAAGGCGTAGGATCGATCATAACCAGCGGAAATGACTTCATCAAATGGTCAAGGCCCTGATGGACCATGAAGACCTGATAAACGGAAAGGTGTATCAAGGTCTCACCCACATGTGGTCCCTCGTGAATCCCAGCTCAAGAAGCTGAAGCCGTATACCTCACCGGCTGTGTATGCCGCAGGACTAGAATTACACTATTATCGCGGATATCTAGTTATAGGACACGATGGCATGATATCCAGATTGTGAGCCGATTCTTCTTCCTCCCAGACTTCAAGTTCGGCACTGTTATCGTGGGAAATTTGGAGGGGGAGGGATCTGTTGCTTAAAGTGCGAGAAGTTGAGTGCCCGTATCTCAATAGATGCAGAACGGGGCAGGGCCAATCCAAGGACGACCAAAAAGAAACGAAAAGGCACCGCGGCCGAATATATCTCCGAAGAGTCCTAAAAGTCATCCCAATTCATCGCCGCAGGAGAAGCCTCTTGATACCTACATTGGGAAGTACTGACACCCGGATATTACACATTTGTCGTTGAGGTTAAGGATGATCAGCTCTTCATTGACACCACGGATCGGTCGATGGGTTTTAGCCTCACGTCCAGCCGTATCTATGGACAGACGAAATACATCGCATACCTGAGTGACTTCTTGGAGGGTGGAAATGATCCCATTCAAGCGGGGTTTATTTTCGACGACGGCTAGGCTGTTAGAATGGGCCTGGAACTAGAGACTGCGTTGGAAGGAATTGATTTGGTTCGAGAAGATGAAGGAGAATTGAATGGACTTGGCATCATTTCCATTTGTTTTTATTTATGAGGGGAAAGCGGCAAATTAGAATATTGTGGTTACGTCTTAAGGGCTTATTTTGTAGATGGCCTGCAAGTATACGTTGTACATTGCTTGATGTATATATACATACCCCGAAAAAGGAAATACAAGTATCATTTAACTGATATCTCATTATAGAGAAAGGTCAAAGGTAGTGCAAGATGAAAAGGAAGTATCGAACCTGCGCCACTAATGCCATAAATTCCAATCCAACATGAAAAACATAAAAATATTTCACAACTCCTCGAAAACAGAAACATGGGATATAAACATGGCATACAAACGTTAGCGAAAAAATACGTATCCTTCGTGATGAAAGAGTGAGAATGATGTGGTGTGTAAAGAGAGTTATCTCACGAGCCGCCAATGGCTCGCTTCCTATACTCTGCGAAGTTGGAAACTCCCTGCGCCGAAATAACTGGTTGGCTCTTATCCTTTTTCTCCTTGTCTTTCTTCTCCTGCCTCATCTTATCTTCCCACCGACTCTCCTCGGCGGAAATCATGGAGTGGAACCGGCCACTTTGGCCCCGAGAGAGGTAGACCGGTTTCTCCTTCCGTGCAGCTACAGCTTCTGTCACTAAGACAAATTTCACGCTGGATCCAGGTGCTTCAAACATCGCGTCACTAAGGATAGTCTCCATCTCGGTGCGGAGGGCTCGCGCGCCTGTGCCCATTTCGAAGGCGCTGGATGCTACTTTGTGCAGGGCTGGTGTGGTAAAGCGAAGCTCGATTCCGGATAGGGAGAAAAGAGTCATATACTGTGTCAGCAGCGAATTTCGAGGTTCTGTGAGAATGCGAAGAAGCAACGGCCGTGTGAGGGTCGAGAGAGCGGCCGTCACGGGGATTCGGCCAATAAATTCCGGAATAAAGCCATAGCTTTGTAGGTCCGTTGGGGTCAGAAGGTCCAGAGCGTTGAAATAAACCGGCTCATCGTTAGATGATTCTGGAGATGCTGAGTTGAAAAAAGGGAGATGTTTCTTGTACAACTTTTCTTCCTCCGAGCCTGGAAGGATAGGAACCAGCTGCTGCTGTGCAGAGCTCGATGTTCCAGAAGTATTACCTAACCTGGAAGCTGCCCGAACAGGTTGGCCAAACCCGATTGAACCGCGAGATATTCGGTCCATAACTAACTTGTTAAGGCCGACGAACGCGCCTGAGAGTATAAAAAGAATGTTATCCGTCCGTACGTTGTATACCTCGCCCTTCGTTGGCGGGGAACCGCCACTGGAGGGCGAATAAGGGTGATTTCCAAAAGTGTTGTTCGATGAATATGCATTATTTGGTGTATTCCCAGCACGAGGAGCGCCTCGCTCTGGTTTCGCCTGCACCTGGATAGTTGTACCCTCGATGATTTTCAAAAGAGCCTGCTGCACACCCTCACCTCCGACATCCTTACCATGACTAACCTTGACTGCAGCCAGCTTGTCTACCTCGTCCAAAACAATTATGCCACGTTCAGCCTGTTCAACGTCGTAGTCTGCTGCTATAAGCAACCGCTGTACGCACGCCTCCGCGTCCTCTCCGATGTAGCCAGATTGGGTGAAAGGTGTGCAATCCGAGATACTGAACGGGACAGATAGCACTCTAGCAAGCGTCTTTGCCATAAGTGTCTTCCCAACGCCTGATGGGCCAAGCAAGAGGATGTTTGATTTTTCCAGTTGTGTCGGCGACGGATCCACGATGTCAGGTGGCTCGAGAGAAGAAGTCGGTGAATTTAGATCAAGCATCTGCGATTGACTTGACGGCTCATCTGACCTCGGAGTTAGCCTATATTCATGCTGGTCTGAGACAACATCGACATACCGTCCAGCGATCGGCCCTCCGCCGCTTTCCTACGCATGCGCCTTGCCAGGATCTCTGAAGTCTCCTCCTCACGCCGCTGCAACTCCTGAACCCTTTGATAGTGATTATACACTGCGACGCTGAGGATTTTTTTCGCACGGTCTTGACCCACGACATACTGGTCCAAGTACTGCTTCAACACCTTAGGTGTAATCCGCGGGACTCCGAAAGCCGGAACGGAGCCAAGAGGACCAGAAGTCGGGAGTCCAGGCTCATAGCTCCCAGTATATGGTTGGTTAGTAAAGTCTGACCGATTGAATTGCGAAAATGTTGGGAAAGATGTGGACGGGCTGGAGAATGCTCGTTGGACCGGGCCCAATATGGGGTAAGATACGGGGGCCAGACAGCGGGCTAGGTTCACCCGCTGTGTCTCCCGGGCGCAGGGAGGACAGCGAATTCGTAGAGGCAGCCGCAGCATGGCTGGCTGCCAGATAAAATACGGCAGAAGAAAGGAGGAAATTGATGAAACACTTGGGCAATCCTGACGATGAAGGAGGCTGGTCGAGTATTCCGGAGATGCAGGATGATGATGATGAAGCCGCGTGAGGATGCTTATCTAAGATAAGGCTTCCCCGCATCACGTGAATCTTATCAGATGCGTTTCTTTTCTCTTTTGTTCCTGGACACCAGCCACAGTATTAATTATTGCTTAATTATTCGTGTTCAATTTTTTACCAGTGACGGGTATTCCAGCTCTTTTCCTGACAGTCATTGTGGTAAAAAGGTTATCCAGTTGAGAGAGTAGCGAGAATACCTCCGACGTGAGTAGATAATAGTGGTAAAAGGATGTTGGAACAGTAGACTATCGATTCCCTGCTGAACATCGAACCAGCAAAACATGTAGAGAAATGCCTGCCATATTACCATTTTTGACTGCCATTCTATCCTCATATTGTAAGACACGTACGTTGGTGTTGATGCTACTGTAGTACTGTGTACATGCAGTGTCTCAGTCTTATGACGCCGCTCCGTATCCGATGATGTCACGACTCCGAACCAGCAACGCGCCTTCACTTCCGCGCGGATCCAGGCACGGTAACTCAATCCGTACCACAGATAAAAGATCTATCTCTCGGGTCCTTCTTTTCTTCCTTCTTGTTTGTCGAGTCCCGAGTTGCATATAGCTGATATCCATCAGTCGACTCTTTCGGATATCTTCAATTCGCTCTCGGCAGGTCGAACACCAAGCATCTCAAACGTCCAGTTTGAAAGACGATTTGCTACGAGTCGCTACGTCTATGACATACCCGGGAATTTCAGACTGTCACAATGGGTGCTCCTAGCCAGGTCTACCTGCTGCCTCTGAAAGATGATGGCTCGCCAGATGTACTTGGGGAATACATCTATTTACCCCCGCCGACTGATCCTCCATACCTCCTTCGCTTCATCGTAGAGGGCAGTAGTTCGATATGCAGAAATGGAACTCTCTGGATCAACGTCCCAGAGGATGGAGAGCCGTTCAATCGCTCCAAGTTTCGTGGATTCAAGTGAGTATCATTGGCAGTGGCAATAATTCCATTGGGGATTTTCTGTGGCTGACCACTCCCAGGCTGAAACCAAAATTCAACGAAAACATCCATATTAATGTCTCGATTACCTGCCCCGGTGCCTTTTCGTTCTATACAACCTATTCTCCCCTCCCCAAGTTCTCCGTCTCCCGGGTCCCAGCACCAGAACCGACGCAGACGCCCCTTCATTATATAGACGTCTCACCCAGACTCACCCTGCGTGGGGAAGATCTCCCCATAAATGCACTTTCTATTTTCTCTGTGATATCAAAATTTATGGGGAAGTTTCCCACCGATTGGGATAGACATCTCAATGGCATCAGTCAGCGCAACTATAACATGGTGCACTTCACCCCTTTGATGCAGCGCGGGGCTTCAAACTCTCCGTACAGTATTTTCAACCAGTTGGAATTTGATTCTGAATCATTTCCAAATGGCGAAAAGGATATTGCTAAGATGGTATCGAAAATGGAAAACGAGTACGGACTCCTGTCCCTGACAGACGTCGTTTGGAACCATACCGCCCACAATAGCAAATGGCTTGAAGAGCATCCCGAGGCAGGCTACAGTGTCGAGACTGCTCCTTGGCTCGAGGCAGCATTCGTGCTAGATGATGAGTTATTAAAGTTTGGACAGTCACTTGATACATTGGGTCTGCCTTCCGACCCCAAAACTTTGGACGATCTGCTGCGTATCATGAATGCATTGCGAGAAAAGGTGATTGATGGTATTCGATTGTGGGAATTCTACGTTGTCAATGTCAAGGAGAACTCGAAAAATATCCTAGAGGAATGGAAAGAGGGAAAAGCTGATGACATCGAAACCCTTGCTCAAGATCTCAAAGACATCAAAAACTTGACTTTGAGCCAAAGGGCCGATCTCATTCGAGATAAAGCAGTCCCAACATCAAAGCATATTTTAGGGAGATTCGGTCGCTCTGTGGACTGCCAGTTTGGAGCGGCCGTTTTAACTGCTCTGTTTGGTCCTTTCCATGACTCCTCTTCGGATCTCTCGTCTGTTGGGGAAGATCTGATAAAACTACTCGACGAAGTCAATTTGCCGTTCTACCGCGAATATGATGCGGATATCGCTGAGATTATGGAGCAAATTTTCAATCGTGTTAAATATATTCGACTAGACGATCACGGTCCAAAACTGGGACCCATCACAAAAGAGCATCCTCTGGTCGAGCCTTACTTCACGCGGCTCCCCTTGAATGAGACCACCAAAAAGCATAGTCCTAAAGCCCTTGCACTTGTTAATAATGGCTGGATTTGGAATGCTGATGCTCTTCGCGACAATGCTGGACCGGATTCTAAGGCATATCTGCGTCGTGAAGTGATTGTCTGGGGTGACTGCGTAAAGCTCCGATATGGTTCATCACCAAAAGATAATCCGTTCCTCTGGGATTTTATGGCACGGTATACCCGTCTCATGGCCAAATACTTCTCGGGATTTCGCATTGACAATTGCCATTCAACGCCGCTTGTGGTTGCAGAGTATCTTCTGGATGAAGCTCGGAAAGTAAGGCCAAATCTTACGGTTTTTGCAGAGCTTTTCACAGGCTCCGAGGAGGCAGACTATGTATTTGTCAAACGGCTTGGTCTAAGTGCTCTCATTCGCGAAGCGATGCAAGCATGGAGTGCAGGAGAACTAAGCCGACTTGTTCATCGTCACGGAGGTCGGGCCATTGGTAGTTTTGACCTCGACTTACCATCAGCAGTGATCAGTCACGCCATAGCTTCAGCACACGACCAGAGCGTCAATGAGAATATTTCCCATATTCGCCCGAGTCCTGTACAGGCGCTTTTCATGGATTGTACCCATGATAATGAGGTCCCCGCGCAGAAACGTGATGCAAGAGACACACTACCCAATGCTGCGTTGGTCTCAATGTGCGCCTCCGCCATAGGGAGTGTGATGGGCTATGACGAAATTTATCCAAAGTTGATAAATCTCGTTACAGAGACGCGGCTTTACTCATCTAAGTACTCTGAAACGACGAATCTTCAAACGGGAGCAGGCGATGGAGGCATAGGAGGCGTTAAGAAACTGCTTAACCTTCTCCATACCAAAATGGGAGCTGAAGGCTACGACGAAGCCCACATTCACCACGACGGTGAGTTCATCACAGTTCACAGAGTCCATCCAAAAACAAGAAATGGCGTCTTTTTGATAGCACGCAGCTCTTTTCCAGGGTACGGCTCTGGTAGTCCCCTGCCTCCGACATACTTGACGGGTACTCGAGCAAAACATATCGGAACATGGGCCCTAGAGGTAGACGCGAGTGAAGACGTCAAAGGTGAGGTTTTGGCAGATAAGAAATATCTTCGAGGGCTACCCAGTTGTGTCCGTAGCTTTGAAGGGGCCAAAATAGAAGAGCATGAAAGCGACACATCTATATCTGTTTTCGATACCTTTGTCCCAGGATCCATCGCACTTTTTGAGACTTGGATTCCTGCTGCCGAACACTCAGCGGGGCTAGATCACTATATCACCCAGGGCGCAGAGGAGGCATTTTCGGAGCTCAGTCTGGTCGACCTGAACTTTGTCCTTTATCGATCTGATCCGGAGGAGCGAGACTCAAGCAACGGGGAAGATGGGGTGTTCATCATACCTAACTATGGCCCGTTGGTTTATGCCGGTCTTCAAGGATGGTGGAGCGTCCTCGAAGATATAGTCAAATACAACGAATTGGGGCACCCATTATGTGATCACCTCAGGCATGGGCAGTGGGCCCTCGATTATATTGTGGCGCGAATGGAAAAGGTCGCGAAGAGGGAAGGTTATCTTGCCCTAGAGAAGCCCGCAGTATGGTTCCGTGACAAATTTCAGGCAGTTCGTGGCCTACCTAGCTTTCTTCTGCCAAGATACTTTGCCATCATTGTCCAGACAGGCTACTACGCTGCTTGTATGCGTGGTATACACCTCTTTGGAGTTAGTGTTCGGTATGGCCAGGGGTTTGTTCATCAATTGGCTATGGTCAGTGTACAGCAGACTGGGTATGTCAACTCAGCCTCTCTATGGCCATCGAAGATTGTCCCAAGCCTAGCTGCAGGCCTGCCACACTTTGCTACTAACTGGGCAAGGTGCTGGGGTCGAGACGTATTTATCTCATTGCGAGGGCTTTTCCTATGTACTCATCGGTTCGATGATGCCAGGGAGCATATTCTCGCATTTGCTAGCGTCCTCAAGCATGGAATGATCCCCAATCTGCTAAGCAGCGGGAAGGCACCGCGATACAACTCTAGAGATTCTGTGTGGTTCCTGCTTCAGGCTATCCAGGACTATACAAAAATGGCACCTAATGGAATCGAACTTCTGAAAGCCAAGGTACCTAGACGATTTTTGCCATATGATGACACCTGGTTTCCATTTGATGACCCACGAGCTTATTCCCAATCGTCAACCGTTTCAGAAATCATCCAGGAAGTCTTCCAACGACATGCCTGGGGTCTGTCATTTAGGGAGTATAATGCGGGGCCCGATCTTGATACGCAAATGAAACCAGAGGGTTTCCAGATTGACATCCGTGTTGATTGGGAAACTGGAATCATCTTTGGTGGAAGCCAGTTCAACTGTGGAACCTGGCAAGATAAAATGGGAGAGAGCGAGAAGGCTGGAAACAAGGGCGTACCGGGAACGCCGCGAGATGGGGCGTCCATCGAAATCACAGGGCTTGTATTCAGTGCCTTGAATTGGGTTACGCAGCTACACGAAGACGGACTCTATTCCTACGAGGGTGTCTCCTTGGATGAGGAGAATTCCATCACCTTCAAGGAGTGGGCGGTCAAGTTAAAGTCTAACTTTGAACGCTGTTATTACGTTCCTATCAACCCTGACGAGGACAGTGAATATGAAATCGATCGAAGCGTGGTCAATCGGCGTGGAATTTACAAAGATCTCTATCGATCTGGAAAACCGTTTGAGGACTATCAGCTTCGCGCCAACTTTCCAATCGCCATGACTGTCTCTCCAGATCTTTTTGACCCTTCCAAAGCCCTTCTTGCACTTTCAATTGCGGACTCGGTGCTCGTTGGGCCTGTTGGCATGGCTACTTTGGACCCATCTGACCTCAACTACCGCCCTTACTACAATAACTCGGAGGACTCAATCAATTTTGCAACTGCAAAAGGAAGAAACTATCACCAGGGTCCTGAATGGGTGTGGCTACGCGGTTATTTCCTTCGCGCGTTCTTATACTTTGATCTTCTCCGCAGGAACACACCCGCCGAGCGGACTGAGACTTTCCAGCAAGTTACCCGACGATTAGAAGGATGCAAACAGGCTCTGCAAAATAGCCCATGGAAGGGACTTACGGAGTTGACAAATGAGAAAGGTGCATTTTGCGCAGACTCGGTATGTTTGTTCTCCTTAGCTGGCTGCACCTGCTGGATTTAGTGATAACTGATAATTATTTCTGCAGTCTCCAACGCAAGCGTGGTCTGCTGGATGTTTGCTTGATCTCTACTATGATGCCTCGAAGCTTTCCGTGGAGGAGGGATTGGATGATGACAATTGACAGAACAGATAATCTCTTTCTGGTATGGAAGATGTTTTTGGTTCACAAATATATATATGCACTTTGTTATTTTATCACCATAAAGTGCAGTGGTATAATATGTAGTTGGTATAGTTCACTTGGGAAAAGAAACCTCCTGTGGGAATATCAGCAAATTTGAAGTTGAAGTTGGCTGGAAAGATTGCATAAACCAGTGCCGTAATACAGTAAGCTGCACAACTTCGCTGCATAACACTAGTGCAGATCATGTGCAGCTCTCCCAAGCGGGCAATCCCTCACGCTGCCGAAGTGGTTACCTACCCTCCCTACGTTGCTCACAACGCTCGTATTTCGTGTCGTGTCCCTGCCCTGTTTCTCACGGCAGAATCGGACCAGCACCTCTATGCCTTGATAAGGAGATTGGTTTATACGGAAGGATATGTCTCTAACAGCCGTCCTGTCCGCCGCGACTTCAGTGGCGGATCCAGGAGACGGTGGACATGAGCGAAAATGGGCAGATCAGACAAGGAAACAGCGCGATTTATATACGCAATTCGTGATTAGTTCAGCACTCGGTTTGGTGGCTTTTTTTTCATTCTGCGTATGTGTTTTCAAAATTAATTGCTTATTTTTTTTCTTCTCTGCGTTGTTGCTTATAGGTATCGTAGGTTCTCCGACGGAAATGGACGGCGTTGTATGCTGCACGCAGACGACTACGTTGCGCAGCATCTCAGTTGCCAGAGTTACCTCACACCTTTCTAGGTTGGATACCGGTTCTCTATAAAATTACGGAAGATGAGGTGTTGGAATCTGCAGGTCTGGATGCATATGTTGTAGGTTTGACGAATTAGTTATCTTTCGCGTTCCCCTCTTCCCTCCGGTCAATCAACAACCGGAATAACTAAGACAACATGATGCTGATGAATGCAATTGTGCACAGTTCCTGTCTTTTTTCAGATTTGCTATCCAATTCCTCTCCCTCGTTTTTATTTTTTCCGTACTCATCATCCTTCCGGTTCATCTCAAGTATACCGGTAAATATGGCATCCCGGGGTGGGATACTGATGACGGTGACGAGGAGAATTGCGACGATTACGTCTGCGATTATGGTCATAAAAAGGATGGGAAGAAATTTGTGCCGGACCCTACGTATCTCTGGATTTACGTTATTTTCACCTATGTCTTCACCGGGTTGGCCGTCTATTTGCTTCTTCAACGAACAAACAAGATTATCCGGATCAGGCAAAGGTTTCTCGGCGGTCAGACAAGCACAACAGACAGGACTGTTCGGTTGTCTGGCATTCCGCCAGAGATGAGGTCTGAAGATACTATAAAGGGATTTATTGAGAGCCTAGAGGTCGGGAAAGTTGAGGGCGTAACCCTGTGCCGCGATTGGCATGAACTGGACTCTCTGGTGGATGAGAGGTTGAAGATCTTGCGGCAACTTGAACGAGCTTGGACAAAGCACATTGGCTATAAGAGACCGATACAGGATGGCAATTCTGTGCTTTTGACGCGGCAACGACCGTCGGGTTCTAGTCAACTGTTAGATGATAGTTCGGAGCAGGCCCACCTTCTTTCAGAGAGTCGCGGAGAGTTTCGCGGCAGTTGTGACAGGCCACGACCTAAGATACGTTTATGGTATGGGCCCTTCAGGCTACAGTACCGGAAGGTCGATGCTATCGATTATTACGAGGAGAGGCTACGCCGAATCGACGAGAAGATTGAGGACGCGCGGAGGAAGGAATACCCGCCCACGGAGCTGGCTTTTGTCACCATGGAATCCATTGCCGCCTCGCAAACACTCGTGCAGACAATCATTTCCCCTCGTCCAATGCGCTTGTTTGCTCGACTTGCCCCGGCTCCGGCGGACGTCGTGTGGAAGAACACTTATCTGCCACGACCAAGGCGAATGACGCAAGCCTGGTTCATTACTTCTGTCATTGGATTCTTGACTATTTTCTGGTCGTTTCTTTTGATTCCAATCGCTTACGTTCTAGAATTGGAGACTCTGCATAAAGTGTTCCCTCACTTAGCAGACCTTTTGTCGGAACATCCTCTTGCGAAGTCTCTCATTCAGACTGGTCTTCCTACGTTGGCTCTCTCGCTGCTGACGGTTGCAGTCCCGTATTTGTATAATTGTTGGTATCTCCTCGTCAATGCTGCAGGCTCATCGTAGAAGTGACTTGCTGACAATGCCAGTAGGGCTTTCAAATCAACAGGGAATGATCTCCCGGGGCGAGGTCGAGCTTTCTGTCATATCAAAGAATTTCTTCTTTACTTTCTTCAACCTGTTCCTTATTTTTACCCTTTTCGGAACCGTGACCACATTTTATGGTTTTTGGGAAGATATTCAAAAGAGGTTCAGAGATACGACGACGATTGCATTTGCGTTGGCTAGATCTCTAGAATCTCTGACACCGTTTTATATCAACTTTTTGATCTTGCAAGGTCTGGGCTTGCTTCCCTTCCGACTTTTGGAGTTCGGCAGTGTGACGATGTACCCGATCAATTTCCTTTCCGCTAAGACGCCGCGCGATTATGCTGAGCTGTTGACTCCGCCGAGATTCAGCTACGGGTACTCTATTCCTCAGACAATCCTCATATTTATTATCTGCATTGTGTACAGCGTCTTTCCGAGTTCGTGGTTGATCTGTCTTTTCGGTCTCGTATATTTCAACCTCGGGGAGCTCATCTATAAATATCAGATCCTGTACGCTATGGACCACCACCATCATTCCACAGGTCGTGCGTGGCCGATGATCTGTAGCCGTGTCTTTGTGGGCCTTTTGGTGTTCCAGATTGCTATGATAGGCGTCCTGGCTCTACGCGGGGCGATCACACGCTCCTTGCTCCTTGTGCCTCTTCTTGGCTTAACCGTTTGGTTTACTTTCTATTTTTCTCGGAACTATGAGCCTTTGATGAAATTCATCGCCTTGAAAAGCATTGACCGCAATCGCCCCGGTGGGGGAGGAGACATCTCCCCTCGGCCTTCATCGACTTTCTCTCCTCCCTCGGGCCTTGATCGCGATGCCCTTCCGATCCGAATCGGTGGACAGGATCTTGGTTTGAGATTAAAGAAATACGTTAATCCTAGCCTCATCCTGCCCCTGGATGATGCATGGCTTCCGGAGTCGGTAATCGCTCCTCGTGAGCCCTCCATTGGAGATGACCAACTGGCGAACGGTTCGCCTGTCTGAATTGGGCCATTCCACTAACCTTGTATCGGGCTCCTTGACGATATGTTTTGGTTTCTTTGAATATTTTTATTTGGTCCTTTGTCTGTTCTATATACTCTACGCTCACCTCCCCATTCTACTATTTCTCTCTATGGTCCAGCAACAACGATAATACTAATAGATTAATTGACATGTCTTCTCGCCGATACAATGGAGCAAAGCATGGGTTTCATGATACATGTATACATTACTGTGATACCACTTGGGGATGTTTATGAAGTTCTTGTCTTTCTCATTCTACGGAGTATTCTCCCATTACCACCTGGATTTCTTTGCCTCTCCCTTCTCCTCCACGACCTCTTTTTTATACATATCGAGGGTGTATATGTATATCTGCTGATCAATGATGACCTATTCTTTTTTTCGTTTGGATTTATAGATCTACTTAATCTCTGCCCATACAAGAACAGGCTTCTTCCACTTATTTACATTCCTCCTGGCGGCCCTGCTGAGAAGCATGTTCTTCGCACAATGCACCATCATTAAGATCCATGACCTTTAACTACATATTCCCTATTCCCATGCCGGTGTATATGGCTCTTTACAGGTGAACGATAGTACTAGCATGCGACGTACTGCCATGTATAACTCGATCACGTGACTATAAACGAGGTTCAAGACTCACGCAAAAAGACACCCACCCCTCTTGCAACGACTACCTTTCCACAAATCTCTGTGTCCAATTCTCAAATTGTCTTGGATCGATTTAACCCGATTTTGGGATTCACCCGGCCCTTTATATCCGTTCCTGGAGGGGAAAGTTGTGATCGGTCAGGTCAGTGGCGCCCGCTTTGTTCTTTGGTTATTCCATTGAAGCCTTTTTCATCTGCACTATCTCGAGGCTGTGTACATCTGTCATGGCGCAAGGGATAATATCACTCACGCGTTCAGGCCTCTCTGGTATCCACTCAAGCCCGGATTGCGGCAGTTGGCATCCGGAAAAAGTCGAATCAGATGTCTACTACAACAAGCTTTCTTACATTCTCATCATGACTTATCGGTACGGGCCTCTTTGCCATGGTTCCTGGAGAATCATCCCAGTGGCTCCACACACATGTCAAGCTTAACATGACCTCTCCTTATAAAGAGCACCTGAGGTTTCCGCGGTCTACGATGGCGAAAACAGCACACGGTGTAGACGACTCTGTGGTTCACTCGGAAGCATTTGATACTGTATCCATGGGTATAATTCCGAACCTCTTTCTCTTTCACATGGTTGACCGGCAATTCTTCTAGGTTTCTTTGTGTTTCTTCATTTTTCGGTCTCAAGCTCTGCTGCTACAGTCATCAAAAACACCAGTTACGCGTCAAATCCCGATTTGCTACACAGAGTGTACAGAACTGCATGAAGAGAATACGGCGACCTGTAGAGTTGTCTTCAAAGCTCCTAGTTGGTATCTGCGATACGGATCGTTGGTCATCAAGTTGATTGAAATGGTGGGTTGCTGTGAACCTTGTTTCCTCAGAACCAGCCGTTGGCTTCGCCATTGCAAATCGCAATACGCAGCGCGCATTCTTGACTGCACACTGGGCTTCCTGCACTTGGCCCCGTTGCCTTTTTGTTCTTTGCCAATCGGAGTTTTAGCTTCTGCGGTCAAGCCCCCAAAGAGTAGTCCGGACGTGGACCATGTGCCCTGAAGGTTCTTTTTAAAATATTGTTCTATGACTTGGGAATTTGTGTCTTTTAAGCCTCCCTATTAATGTTCAGGTTCCTTCTGCGATGCAAGCGGTTGTGTCTTTCAATAGATAAACAGAAGGGATTTCTTTGCATATTTGTTTATGGTGAGACTGGACCTGTTGCGGTTCCATTTGACGATGCCTTCTTTGAGTCCACGAGAAGCTTGTCTTAGTAGTATGTTATGGAGAAAGACTACGGTGCTCTCAGGGAAATTCCTGTGTCCATGCCTCCGGCAGCAAACCGTCTTCCTCCTGAAATCCTACTGCAGATATATTTCCTGCTGAGCCCGCGGGATTTTAATAATGCCCGCCGCACCTGTTCTCAGTGGATCCGTGCCAGTTTTGATGTGCAACTATTGGAAAATATGTTGAAGAGAGCAGGCTGGTTCGATTCCTGGATGCGAGTTTGCCAACAACAGTCTTCTGGTAAAGAGTCTCGTATGGAGAATGAGCAGACGGTTTTCTGCGGAGTGCCTTCTGTCTGGCAGGAAGGCCAACGTTGAAAAGACAAGGTTCTTGAGTGTGATTGATTTCTCCAACCTGTCACCTAAAATGCTGACTTTTAAACCCCAAGAGAATCTACCTCAGTCTTTCTCTCCCGAATCCGTCGAATCCGAGAACAGGAACTTTATATTGTCAAGGTTCAATATCAGCAACTACAGGAATTATCTGTCGGTGACTTCTGGCTGCATTATATATGTCTATCGTCTTCTCACTAGAAAAGTTGGCGATTCGATGCCGGTGTCTTTGGTGGATACAGGTGACTTTGACCTCGTCCCAGTTTTTGACATCGTCTGTCGGATTGAAGTTCTGTCCACTAAATCGACACCAGCACCCCTAAATTTATCGTTGCTGCATTGTCATGTGGTCGCATAGGATGATCTGCGACCTAGAAATGGAATCAGTCTCCCTTCCCAGCCAAATTAAGCGCAAGGCCTATGCCGTTGACTGTACAGCAATGCCAACGTATAACGCCCAGACTGGTGCACGGTATACTGCAGACCCTCCTGCATCGATTCCACATGACATTCCTCATTAGAACCACACGCCCTCATTACTTCCTTGACATAGGGTTGGCAGAGAACCAGCCCGCAGCGTGGCTATCGGACCGGATCATCGATGCGTTGCGGTTGGCTGCGGAAACAGCATCGAGCTGCATTGGGTGGACATGAAAACAAACCAAAATCATCGGAAATATTTACTTATGTCATTCATCGAATGGGTGTGTTCGAGTTTGGGCATTTGGGGCATCCGGGGAAGCAAGAGTCTTCGACGTGAACGCCTACACATCGAGTTCTCACTCCCTCTCCGATATTCCCTGCAAAGCATTGTCCATCGGTCTCGATGGCAGTGTTGCCTCTGCACGATTAGTCGATCGATCTGAGCTGGGTTTTACCTCATCGCAAGTGCCTCGCATGCCGAAGGACACCATTCAACCTACTCGATTCTGTGGACAGTGCGCGCCGTCTCGACTTTATAGTTGGTTGTATCACAGCTTCGAATCTATCGCCAACAACCCCGGCTCACAGATCAGCAACCAGCGTCTTATCTGCACCGCTACTCTTTTGTTTCACGAATTGTGGACTTTCAGATACCTGAATCCGGGCCATGTGAGAGTCGCTGGACTGGAAGCAGTGCTGCTTAGGCTGGATGAGTGTCATGAGTTATGCCATTATCATTTGCGCAAATATCTCACCAGTCTTCTTTTAGCCGAATGACGAGCGTCGCAGTTTCTTCTGTTGTCTTGTCATGCAAGTCTGTAGGCAAATATACAGCGTAGAGAAATAAGTAAATGTCTTTGTTACGCACGCAATATGATTGGCCAGAAGCTTCCCGCCAACGATCTGCACGCACGTGCCGCTCTAGCCCAAAGTGGTAACTATGACTCTTGCTCCGACATCGCAAGACACTTTTTTTTCTTTGGGATTTTGACGATCCTCTTTGACATTTAACCATGAGCTGAGCTCTCTTTTCCTTGCTTCCTGACTGTTACTGACTCTGATTCACCCCCATCAATTCCACCCTTCTGAGCCGTTTCGAGTTTGTCCCTTCTCACATCCACGGCACCGTCCCCTCAATTGGCCCCACAAACCGCCATGTCGGTGAGTGAACTCCAATTCCCCAGCCAGTGGCATAGCTGGTCACTAACTTGGTCTGTAGTTCTTCATTGAAAATCCCAATGTTGGGAACCGCAGTCATCTCGAAGATTCAAGAAGTATGATTTCCGTTTAACGGTCGGAACCACTCACCACAAGCATCGACTGACGTTAAATGCCCTTGCATAGTTCGCGGATACAACCCCCTTACCCCGCCAAACCTCCTCCAACATGAGATCTCTTTAAGCGAATCGTCACGAAAAACCGTTTTGCAAGGCCGTGATGAGGCCAGTGCCATCGTCCATGGAACCGATACTGACAAGCGCCGTCTTCTGGTTGTCGTGGGCCCCTGCTCAATTCACGACCCTGACATGGCCCTCGAATACTGTGATCGTCTGCTGAAGCTGAAAGAGAAATACAAGGATGATTTGCTGATTGTTATGCGCTCCTACCTCGAGAAACCCCGCACAACAGTTGGATGGAAGGGTCTGATCAATGACCCGGACCTTGACAATAGCTTCAACATCAACAAAGGCCTTCGAGTATCGCGTCAGCTTTTTGTCGATTTAACCAGCAAGGGCATGCCAATTGCGTCGGAGATGCTGGATACCATCTCTCCGCAGTTCCTAGCCGACTGCCTCTCTGTTGGTGCTGTAGGTGCCCGCACAACCGAGTCCCAGGTCCACCGAGAGTTGTCCTCTGGTCTATCTTTTCCCGTCGGATTCAAGAACGGCACAGATGGCACTCTGGACGTTGCCGTTGATGCCATTGGTGCTGTCAAGCATCCCCACCATTTCCTCTCTGTCACCAAACCCGGTGTTGTCGCCATCGTTGGCACTGTAGGGAACCCTGATTGCTTCGTGATCTTGCGCGGGGGAAAGAAAGGTACCAACTACGACGCAAAAAGCATTGCAGATGCCAAGGCGAAATTGATCGAGAAGGGTCTTCCTCCCCGTCTGATGGTTGACTGCAGCCATGGAAACTCTGAGAAGAACCACAAGAACCAGCCTAAAGTAGCCGCTGCACTGGCAGAGCAGATTGCAGCAGGGGAAGCGGGAATCATGGGTGTCATGATTGAGAGTAACATTCATGAAGGTGAGTAGAAGTACCCTTGTCTCGTTGAATATGTCCGGGGTTAATGTTGACAATTGCGGTGTTACAGGCAACCAGAAGCCATCCCCACAGGGCAAGGCCGGCCTCAAGTACGGTGTCAGCATCACTGATGCCTGTATCAGCTGGGAAGACACCGAAAGCGTCTTGGAGAATCTAGCCCAAGCGGTTCGTACTCGGAGAGAAAAATTATCCGTCAACGGAACAGCGCAGTAGAGATCGACTTTCCTTCTGTTTTTCTTTGAAATCAGAGATTGGTGGTTGTGCCCAGGCGGGTTTATACCTGTGATAATATCTTTTTTTTTTTTTATTTGAAAATCGGTATAGCATGTTTGGATGTTTTATGGCAAGGGAAAAGTGATTATGAATGAGCAAGGAAAAAGAAATATAGATGAACAAAAACTCGGGTTTCATAACTTGGTCTTCATTTATTATTCATTTCCTTCCCCTTTGCCTACGCCAGCAGCTGGCGAATAGCATCCTCCAAATCCTCCTTGGGAAGTTCAAGCAACTCATTCCCCACAAGCCCTCTAACATCCCAATTATTCTCGAAATTCTCATTGAAAATCACACTCTGGATCAACAAAGCGACACCACTAAAATCGCCCTTTTGAGCCTTCTCCTCTGCCTCCTTCACCTTCGGCGCGAAATCAACAGCCTCGACCGTCCACTTCTTGCCCGAGACCTTCTCGAAAGCCGCGAGAATGTCATCCTGCGAAATCGTGAAGGAGCGCATGTAGATCGCCTTATTCGCCGTCTTGGGTGCGATAGAAGGTGACAGGGCCTGGGCAACCGCCTGACCGATGAGAGAGAGATTGGAGGCCGACAGTTTAGTCGTACGGTAAGCTGGATCAAGCGTTGCTGTGGCTGTGGAGATATTGAAGCCGAGGAATCGACTTTGAGGCCCTTATTTCATTTCCACGTCTTAGCATAGGCTCATGATGGGCATTAAATATAGAATCTAATACATACCAATCAAAAAAAGCTCCTGTGATAAAAGCAGTCCACTCAATGAGTTCCCTCTCGGCCTTCTCCTCGAGATATTTCTTCACATTTTCCTTGATCCTGAAGAACGGCACTCTTTCCACGGCCGCGGGGTTCGAGGTATCAATTCCATACTCGGTTGGAACGAACCGCTTCGATAACAGCGTCTATTATTTTGGTTTGGTTTGCCGTTGCTTCTCCCGCGATGGCGGAAACAACGGCGTCCTGGCCGGGCCTCCACGAGGGACGTATGGTTATTGTATTTGACTTTCTTGAGCGTGGTAGGCGAGTTTGCTGGGAGTGTGTAATTTGATTCTGACCGGGAGAGCACAGTGACGGTGTACTTGTGAGAGGTATTACATTCATAGACTCCATGGTCAGCTTCTCCTTCGTGCCAGCCTTCTTCGGGGTAGTTGGAGAGCATTAATTATACTTACGCCGACAAGAGCAATGTTCAAGGCCATCTTCAATGCCGGTGGATTGTCGTTTGAGCTACAAAAATGAATCAAGTCTCACGGAGACACCGGGCTTCTGGTGAGGACAAGGAAACGGTATCAGATTGTTAATCGAGTATAGTAGTCATATACCTTACAGCAATGCGAGGCGATAGAGGGCTTTTTATCTACATTGTCAACGGAAGTAGGAAGCATAAGACCCGCTGACAAACCCTTGCCAATACGTTAATTCGGCGATGGTGTCAGGAGGGCGCCGCTCAATTGACGAGATCCAAGGATTCGTCGATTTTGTAAAGAACATTATCAGCAAATCCGTTGATGCAATTATTAATGAGAGGGTTATTAATAGGAAATCCGAAGGTTCGGGAATCCCCCGGGTGAGGACCATGGATGTCAGTATCCTTAATTCACGTTGTCCACTAACATACTCGACTCTGCAGTGTCTGAGACTCTGAAGAATCCCATTCAAATCTATCGTCGCAGATCAGAGTCAATCCGTAGAATCTTCGGCTTGGAGGGCACTGTTGTATCGATTTATCATGTCTTCCGCGCGGAACCAGATCTTCTTCCGCTCATCCATGCCCTGCGTCAGCATCTCAAATGATAGTCTCTGTTGAACTCGTTTGTCGGCTTCTTCCAGACGATGGATGAGATCTCGACTAAGATCCGTATGATGCTTCTGGGCAACGGCCATCTGCTGCTTATATAACTCGATCCGTTCCGCCTGCGCCTCGAATAGTTGATCAAGTGCGCTGTGACATCCCTTCCGGTAGATCTCCAATACCCTGCTAATCGAGCTTCTTTCATCATCGAGGTGGTGCATGAGAAGCTACAATATGGTCTTAGCAACAGACACGCTCAAGAAGTCAAAAATGTGAGCCGCATATCCTCACCTTACTTGTGTTGACCAACATGTCATGTGCTTTCTTCTGCGGTGTTTGCAAGGATACTTGCCATTCCATGTCATCATCGTCATCATCCTTCTCGATCAGTGTTGTGGAGTCTGCAAATACAGGGGTCCAACCCATCGGGTTTCGCCTTTCTGCTGACGGAGTACTTGGAGCTTGGGAATCTCGTTGTGGAAGCTCCTGTTGGAAATTTGTCTCCATGTTTACAGTCGTCATACCAATAGGTTGCTGTCTAGAAACAGACTCATTCTGCGGAGAAAAATGCAGATCAGCTGCTGTCTTCATACATGCCTTGAGACGCTGGATGAAGGAGACATGATTCCCAGCCGCGGCGACATTGGTAGAGCGAATTGAGGAGCAGCTGTCGTCGTATTCTGACTCATCGCTATCTTCTCCAATCGAGATAATAGTATTCTCAAGCTCGTCGCCATCTGCTTTGTCATCAGTATTACATCCACTGTCTCTGAGGCTCATCTTTCCCATTCGAGAAGCCAGACGTGGACTTCCATTTACATCAACTATGGTGTTTTTTCGATGTGGCCTTGGAGGCTTTGTGGAAGACGTTGGGGACTCTTGGTGACCCAAGGCGGCAGTAGCATTTGCTGCATGCTGAGAACGAGGAGTATTGAAGCCGGGCTTTCGCGAGTTGAAATGGCGATCCTTCTCTATTGCCCACGAACATTTGGCTTCCGAAACTGTCTGTAGTCCATGTTTCAGGGAATCGTCATTTGTCGATGGGGACCCTTCCAGTGGCATAGCAGTCATTGTGGTTTGTTCCTCTTTCGGACAATCGGGCTCGATGAAAGAAACAGCTCTTGTTTTCTTCGATAGCGAGTTATCAAATTCGTGGTAACTAGTGGCTCTCTTTTGTCTCCACCGACTATTAGCATCTTCCTTTTCGAAAATCGAATCACTGGGTTTGTCCTCGGGATACTGTCGGGACTCCCCTAATATAATTGGACTCTGGAAGTCAACTGGAAGATCATGCATCGTGATATCTGTAGCCATTCTCGTAATTATAGAGCGTGTACTGTTTTCTTGATGCTCTTCGCATGTCATGTCTACTGCAATAAGCCCTAAGGACTCTCCAGAGATATCCTTCTGACTCAAAGCTTCGGGTGGCACAGGAGGATTTTGTAGTCTCTGAGAAGACTCGTCGATACGCAGGCTCTCTGGTTGATTCACAGTGTGAAGTGGAGTATGGTTAGTGAGGTTTCTCACATTTTTGGATGGAGTATCATGGGAAACCAAGTCCGCGTTGCAAAGTGCGGCAGCTAGTTTCCGTCCAATAGACTTTCCCTGACCAACACCCCTTTGCTCCAGATTTTGAACACTAAGATGCGCTTGGGAAAGGCTCGATGTATTAGTGATACTGCTTTCTGACCTAAGTATTGGAGCATGATCACTTGTGGCACTGCCCACTTCGTTGACGTAAGGGGAAGGAGGTCTAGAGATATTTTCAAAATCAGAAGAGGGAGCTTTATCAAATACTGCGGTGCTATCCTCTTCCGAAATCTGAAATATTCTGGTCAATGGTGACTGGGAAAGTTCGCTGTCTTCTGCAGCCGAAATTGAGCCATCATTTAGTGGATCTTGACCCTTGCTATCTTCAGGGACAGGAACATCTGCATTTTCTATATCCGACGCACTAGGTTTTGCTTTTTCGGAACAATCTGCGTCATCTTTCTGGCATATGTTGTTCTTCTGGACTGATTCGTGCTTGGATTTCTTGGCCCTTCCACCACGCGTACGCAAGGCTTCAGGGGAACTTTTGCGCTTTCTCTTCGTAGAATTGGTCTTCCTTTGAGAATTCATTGCACGCTTTTTCCCATTCGAACCTCTTGGCTGGGGTTTCTTCTTTCCCGAGAAGTTTATTTTCTCATTGGCTGTACTGATAGGGGATGAGACAGATGTTACCTCAAGGCTGTCTTGAACTGCTGCACCACCATCGTCGTCGCTTGGCCGAAGATCTTCATCCCAGTCGACCTCTGCCTTTGAATGGGCGGTATAAACCTTGCGTTTTGAATTTCGGAGTCGAGGGAATAATAAGGATTCCTGGGTAGTGGCCAGTCGAGCTCTGGTAGTCTTTGATGCTGGCATCGGCTGAACTTCCGTAGGAAAATTCCTCGTAGGAGACAACGTTATTTCGGCTTCCTCGTTACGGTGATGTTGTGGAGGGCACGGCACCGTGAGAGAACCATCATGGTTAGCAATGTTGTCCATCTGAGATCTTCCAGCGTCGGTGTCAAGAATAGATGAACAACCCACTACATGCTGGACAATGTTGGAGAAAGTTGAGGTCTGGGAAACACCACCGCACGAACTTGCCATTTGGGATTCTTCCCCAACCTCGTGACATCCAAGGGATCTTTCCTTCCCCGCCACGTCCTGTGCGTCTCTCTGCTCTTGAACGTTAGCAGTAGAGCGCGAACTGTCCTGTATCATACTGGGCGCTGTCTCTTCCAAGGCCGGTGTATGACTGGGGACACTCATTTCCTTCTCATCTGAAGAATAACACCATTGCTTGTCTATGCCACCTGAATCTGGTATCATGGAAATGCCTGTGGAGGTACCATTGGATAGCATACTGTTTCTCGGAACATGCCCCTCGCACAGCTGCAATATATCGCCAACGCATTGTGAAGATTTCCTGGCCACCTCATCTCCATTATCCAATGAAATGACAATAGATGAGACTCTTCGAGCCTTTACAACTGTGTGGTTATATTCAGGAATATGACATGCTGGGGTGACTACAGCGCTTGGATCATCCGTGTTTGTATCATTCGATGCTGAAGCGCCCATAGTTTTGGCAAAGGTACTGGCCTGAGCCTCCGTTTTTCTATCAAATGGTGCTCTGCCATCAGTATATTGAATTGTTTGGAATATTCGTTCGACCTCTACTGAGAGCCCGGTCAAGTCTTGATTCGATCTTATGGAAAGGCTCGACCAATTTAGATATTTCTTTTCCCCATTCACAAAGAAATATCCAGATGGTTCAGTACGTGGACTCCAAACAACTTCTCTTCCGTTAGCTGTATCCCGATGCATTGCAGTAGGGGAAATATATTGTAACGGCATTTCGATATGTTGGAATAGTGAGGATTGCTCTTTGCTGGTTGGGGCTATAAACACCAGGGATTCTGATGTTACTATAGCAAGCAAACAGTCTGCGGTATAGATGCTTGCCCCAATGGTAACTGATTGAACCAGATGAACCGTAGAAAGCCTGTACCAATCAGTTTTGCAAGTAGCAGCGACTACTAATTTTCACGTACCTTGGAGTGTTATCTTTCAGACCGACTGTAACCTCACATATATACTGGTAGAAAGACTGAATCCAATTGTTGGGAAATTCTTCTAGCGCTCGAAAAAATGCACTTCGATTAACTGTGCTATCTGAAGGCCAGAGAAGATCGCTGGTTATGTTGGAAGAGACAGACAGGTACCGGGTAACTGCCCAAGCGAAAAATCTCAATGATGCATCGACTTCGGAAGACAAGACAGATATAAGCATATGGCTATGCGGTAAGTTAGAATAAACGGTGTATTAGGAGTATGCTAGGGGAAGAGGACATCCTTACCTTTCTGGGGATTGCAGTGGGAGATGAAAGCCTGATTCAACTATGACTTCCAACAGCAGCTTTCCTGCCTAGTTTTCATAAGCTTCAAGGAAGACTGCGGAAATTCATTGATTGGATTCTTTACCCATGTTCGGGATCTAATAGTTGCTGTTCCATTCGCGAATTCCACACATAACATTGTTATCAATGTGTTATGAACAAGCTGTGACGCTGCTGGATGCAGAGATAGGGATCCTCCCTTGTATAGCCCTGCTGTGGTAACCTCGAAATTCTGGCCTCTCTCCTATTTGAGGTCAGACCTATCAGAAACAGTCTCAGTCAGACCCGAATTGGTGACAAACCAGTAAAAGGTGTAAGGCTCTTTTCCGATCCGCTGAAGAATCTGAATTAAGTAAGACACATGCTAAGCAGTATAGCGACTCTGTGTGTAAGGTTCGAAGGACTCGTTCTTTATGATTGTCCAGAATCAAGGTAATCTTCTCCAGATGACTAGAATCAAAAGAGCTCTTTCGTTTTAGCAACGTGCTCACGACACGCGATGGAAAACTAAATATGTTAGCCAGAGAAGGGATGTCAGCAAGTTACAATCAAAACTGACAGGATGTTTCTGGTTGCGCTAGTCTTGTTGATTGCATCTTCCAATATTTTGGTCAGTTCTGCGATGCAAGGAGGGCCTGGTAAGGAGGGCACAGATTGTTCTCTGATCTTAATATGAGAAGAATCCATATCTGCAAACGCTCACTTCGAGATTCAACCAAGTTCGTTCACTACAGGCTCCTATGGCTGGTCAAGACACTGTTCGACTGTGGGTGGAAGAGCAGATGGAAGTATACAGCGTCACATGATGGGGCAGTCCACGAAGGTCCCAAAAAGGAAGTGCGTCGTCGACGACCTACTCACAGCATCACTTCGTCCAATTTTTCACTATTATCCTGCATCTGAGTGTCAATCTGGCCCATTCTCTGTGGACATGGTCGGACACCTGAAATCCACACGCGAATCAAGATCAATCCCGCGTTTGACTCTAGATGTTGACAAGAGAAGGCAGTGATACATGCCGCTGGTATGGGCACCGGCATTCAAATGCGATATGTGGTTGCTAACGGGTCTCCAAGTAGCTCACAGACTTGTTTAAGAACCCTGAAGATCATACAATTCAGCTGATGCCTTAAAAAAAACGTACATGTCTTCGATTCATGAAACCGTCTTTCACTCCTCCAAAACACCCCAACTCGTTACAATCGTCATCCATAAACATGATCCGAGTCCTTTCTCAGTTGACAAGAAGTCACCCAAGATGATGGTACTAGCGGGGATGGATATTCACAATGGATAACACATGCGATATAGTCCTGAAATATGTCGCAAGGATGAAAAGAATAAGTGATATATGGCTACCCAGGTTGGTAACTATCATGTAACGTTAACTCCTGTGTGCATTATTTGTCCAAGGGAACTCCGGAATGACTCGTGCTAAGCGCTAGGCATGCGCCTGATCGGCTCCCTGGCGGACGGTATTTAAATTGCCCCGACCGCGGCATATCGTGAAGACTGTTTAAGCAACGCGTTACAAAGCCAGAGATGCAAGACAGCTGGCAGGCTCAGCACTGCATCTCTCACTCATAACATAATATTCAGCTTTGTTCAGTATTCCTAGGACGTGCTCTTATTCCTTTAAGAGCTACCATATCCTTGTGCAAACCTAAGTCGTCTCGTCTCCAACCATGGGAAAATTGTTTACTAAATACCAGTCCGAAGACGAAGAGACAGCTACATCAGTCTGTCGCTTCAGCACAACCGGAGTATTTGGACGGCTGCGGGGAATTCTCTCAATTAATGGAGCTTCTTTGCAGGATAGGGCCCGTGGCATCCCTACCACATCACTAGAGAGGCAACGGGCATCCACTACAGACCTGCTCGTTGATATGGATGAAAAGCTCCCAGAAGTGGCTTCAGGGCAAACCCTTCCCTGTGAGGTGGAAAAGCCCGCTTCTGAGAAGACGGTGCTGTACTTGGCCTATGGGTCCAATTTAGCCTCGAAAGTGTTCCTCGGAAGACGAAATATCAAACCTCTATCTCAAGTCAATGTTTTGGTCCCCGAGCTGAGACTGACATTTGACCTCCCTGGCATACCATATCACGAGCCGTGTTTTGCAGGCGTTCAATTTCTCCATGCCTCTGAGCAAAGCATTGGAAAGAATGGAGAAAAGACGCAAATTATGGAGAATGCGTCAGAGAAGTTCCGACTCTTAACAGGGCAATATTACCATAAGGACCATTGGCACAAGCCCCTTGTCGGCGTGGTCTACGAAGTCACTCCTTCAGACTATGCCCGGATCATAGCAACCGAAGGTGGTGGCCAGTCATACAAAGATGTCGTTGTGACTTGCTATCCGTTCCCGAAAGTATACGACCCTATGGACGCTGTCCCTGATCGTCCTACCACCCAGCCATTCAAGGCCCACACTCTCCTTTCACCTGCTGCCGACATGAATAAGGCCTTTAGAACACAGGAAGTTGCACCAGCTCACTACAGATGCGTAGAACAATCTAGACGACATCCTCGCGTGCGTCCGGATCCGTCATACGCGCAGCCGTCAGCTCGGTATCTCAACCTTATCACCAGCGGCGCTGCTGAGCATAGCCTTCCTCTCTCTTACCGGGAGTATCTTTCAAATATCCGACCATATCGGATTACGACGCTAAGTCAGCGGTTTGGGCAGGCCATATTCCTTGTGACATGGGTGCCACTGGTATTAACGACAATACTGCTTTCGAGTGTTCTTGCGGGTCCTGATGGTCAGAGTTCCCCGTGGCTGGTCAGGATTGCAAACGCAGTGTTCCAGTTAATGTGGGATAGCTATGACAGGCTGTTTAAGATAGTATTCGGAGATGGGGAGAGGACGATTGGCGAGTGAGGCTGGCAGCTGATCATTTCAGGTAGATGCAATGTGCACTTTTAGGATATGATCCTTGTATGAAAAGGCCTTCTATGCAAGAAATCATATATATTTAATAAATGGTCGCCATAGTTTGTGCTGTCACTCCGTTGCCGGTAGAGGCCAATTGCAATAGTTGAGCAACAAAGGGGGAAAAGGCTTGATTGGTTTCTTTGAACAGGACATTCAACCAAAGAAATATCTAGGCTACAGGTACAAGTGTTTCGGGGGGACTTATAACAGACAAAGATGACGGACCATGAAGGGAATGGCCCGGGGAGATGTCAATTGGATCGACCGGTCATGAAGAAGAACAACCTGGGACATCATCTTCCTCTTCCCTTTTCCCTTCAATCCTTTTCACGTAGGGCCCATTGCGAGACCTTTAACGGCGGGAGACAGGAGGGTTGTAGACAATCTTCCTTGTCTTGATCGGGGACCACTTGTAACGCTTGACCCAGACGCTGAGAGCGAACAGACCAGTCAGGACAGTCAAAGCCTTCAGACCCATCTTCTTACGGTCATCCATCTCAGGCTCAGCGGTCCAGTTAAGGAACTCGACCACGTCCTTAGCCATCTGGGAGGTGGTAGCAGGAGTACCGTCTTCGTACTCGACGAGGCCGTCGAAAAGAACACGGCCCATGGCAATACCTGAAATATGTTAGAGGAAAAGGAGGGAAATGAGCCACTTAGGATACTTGATGCCTACCAGTTCCAGGGAAGTAAGGGTTGAAGTTCAGTCCAGACTGAACGGTGGCGCCAGCCGGAGGCTCATCAGGGTAGCCGGTCAGGAGGTTGAAAATGTAGTTGCAACCACCGTGACGAGCCTTGACGATCAGGCTGAGATCAGGGGGCAGAGCACCACCATTGGCAGCACGAGCGGCCTCCTCGTTCTTATAAGTGGGTGGGATATAATCGGAGAGCTTTCCAGGGCGTTTCTCGATTTCACCCTCATCATTGGGTTCAGTGTCGTACTCGTATTCTTCGGCGAAGGCTCTCATCTCATCAGCGGTGTGCGTGACACCAACGAACGAACGCCATGGCACACGGGTCAGAGAGTGGCAGCTGGCGCAGACCTCACGGTAGACTTGGAAACCACGGCGAAGGCTGCAAGAGGGATAAATAAATCTATGAGCAAAACGTATCATCCAAAAACGAGGGATGCTTGGCACTCACGCTTGGTGGTCAAATGTCTTGGTCCACTTCTGGTGCTCCCAGGGGTACTGGGTAGGGTGCAATCTGCAGGGTGAAATAAGATATCAGCTTCAGAATGTTCTCTTTCCTCTGATCAGGCAAAACATTGCGGTCGGATGAACGGAATGGACTAGCAGATGGCCTATCCATGAAAGAGCACCCATGATTCACTCACCCCTCCTCAGCAGGTGTCATCGCAAAAGCTTCCTGGCCATAGAGATGATAGTACCACGCAGCAGACCCGATAGCAGCGGCGGTTGCGGCAGACGCGGTGAGTGTGAGGTTGAAAGGGGAGCTGGCGGATTCGGCACCGGCGGTCGAGGAAGACGCCCTCTGCGCAGAAAGTCAGCGAAAATCCATTGAAAAAGCGTCTCAGGCCGAATAGAAGATCATTGGCCTCATTTATCGGGGTCAATTGCGTACGGTAGACGTCTTGGAGAGGGTCTGGCGAGCGATAGCCCGGGAGGGCACACTGCGAAGGGCGGACCGTGCCAACATTTTTCAAGATTCAAGAACCCTCCAATTGATACGACAGAAAGGAAGGGCACAAGTGCCTCGACGGGAGACGGCAGGACAGAGGGGGAGGAGAGGGGAGGGAGCGCGCAGACGATGGCGTGGAAAGACAGACGGAGGTCGTTTGGAAGTGCAAGTTTGTCCCGGGCTTTGCAATTGGCTTAATCCGCGCCGTGATTGGCTGCGCCCGCGGCCTGAGGCGCTTTCGGTGAAAACCGCGATTTCTTCCGATCATCGTTATTTCTCATCATCATATTAATCTTCATAATCCTACAGTACAGTCATGCTCGTCCTGGCTCTCCTGCCCTTGCCTGCCCTTCCGCCGCTATCCCTGCCCCCAGTGCCTCCAACGCCTTGCTAACACTGCACAGGGTGCAATGCGTGTACAGTACTAAAGACAACGCTGGCAGCCGCCGGAGTGTCCGGCCACTGAGACCCTGGTTGATTGATCTGTTAGGAAGTTCTTGAAAAAGCTGGTGGCAGAGGAACCCGTACTCACCTCACTCTCTTTAGCCAAATCTGCCAGCTTCTTCGGAACAGCCGCGGGGAACATTTGGTAGTTAAGCAGCATCTCCTCGAACGTTGGAAGCATCAAATACTCCATCGGCTTTTCCACATACTGCAGTGGTGTCTGCGGATCCTCCGGGTTGAGTTGGACGACATCAAATGAGGCTCCCTCAATGATCCCGGATCGACTCAATTCCTCTAGACAGTCCTTGTAGATACCATAGATCACCTTTACGGATAGATGAGGCATAAACTGCTTGATATCAACTCTGTCGAGAAAAGCTGCGTCCTGGAGAGAACATGTCAATGCTGGAGAAGACGAGTTTCTGAAAGCAGCACCTACCAGCGCCCCGACTAGGTTGCTCGTACAGACAACGACGATGTTCGGATAGCGTCTCAGTCGATCCAGTCCTGTGAGCAGAGCATTGACAGCACGTACGGCATCGAATGGCTCGCTTCCACTTATCATCTGTTCCCTCCGCGCTGCAAGTGTCTCAATCTCATCCACGAACACACACACGAAAGTGTCTTCTTCTTCCTCAAGGATCGATTCGATGCTCTCAAACATCTTCCCAACCAGCTTTCCACTTTCACTGAAAAACTTGCTTCCAAGCGAGTGTGCGTTGATCTCGACCAACTTGCTTTGCGGATAGTATTTGCCAAGGCGTATCGCAAGTTTCTGAGCAAGTCCCCGACTACTCGCGTTGATTAGCACACTATGTGAAGGATAGTGCTCACTGTACTCACCATAGGCTTGTTTTCCCAGTGCCTGGAGGTCCCCATAGGAGTACCAATCTGTTCCAGTTGATTGACCATCTGTTCAGTTTCCGAGACGAAAGTGATACTGCAAACCGATGTCATTTTAACCCAGGCTGTCATTGTGGAAAAAAAAGGGGGGGATATTGTACTAACCCATTCTGCTTATGGCTCGGAGCAGTGTGCAGTGAATCGGCTGGTCGAACTGAAGGCTTCAGGTTGTCAGGTTTGGAACGAGTTGATTGACAGAGATACGTACGACTCCCAAAGTCCATCCAGCTCCTCATTTGGTAGTGTCAGCACTTTTGCTCTGGGTACATCATCACCATTCTCAGTGTGGTCATCCAGATGCTGGGTCTGTTGAGAGCTTCCCTGCTCGGCCAGTCCCCGAAGCTGGTATGCCTGAACGTCAAGTTCGATGTTCTGAAGGCGATATGCTCCTGACTCGAGATTGCCTCCAGTACATTCTGTGACTAGAATGGACTCCAGGGCTTGAGCATGTGGATCTTTGAGGCCATCTGTTCCGTGTTAGATTCAGGCGCGCAAAAGGATCCAATACAATAGTGGTGATACCAAACGCGTTGATCTCCTGTCCGAGGTTGAGGACTACAAAATTATCGATAAGCCACTGGGTAACCTCGTCCCTGATCTTATTTATAACTCAGCATCAAAGATGATATATATAAATGGAGTTGAGACACGAGGAGGGACAGACATACTAGGTCAGTACGGACAATGACTCCGTCGTTACGCTTGACACGCACTTCAACGTGCAGAACTGGCTGCTGGGCGCTTTCTATCGACCGTGAGATGCATCTGGTGAAGGTCATGGCTGGTGAAATAGAAGAGAAGAGTATACGAAGTGGAGGTTGGTCTTGGTCGACCAAGTTTTCTATCTGGTGTTAGGGGGGGCAATCAGGTGAACAGGAGTTGGATAAACACCTACTTGGACAGCAGGTAATCTATAGCTCGTATAGGAGACCTTTAACAGAACTTATATCTGGACAATCTGGATCCATTATTTTTCTTTACCTGGTTTCTACAATATATATCCGTATTACCCAGACTGCAATCTGTTAGAACTTGGGAGACATGGTATTGAATACTTCAAAACCCCCAACTATGATCCAGCGAATCCAGGAACGATACCATCTTAATTCCCCCTTCACATACCTCTTATTAATCGACTGAGATCTTTACGCTGTGAATAATTACAGGGCTGAAGGATGAGCCTGCAGGATGCTTATATAAAACCCACCCGTCCTTCAAGCTCTCTCGGCGGCGACTCCGCCGATGCCTCAGAAGTTCACCACGACAACCGCAAGGCACGAAGACGTTTTATCTCCCTGTGCACTTCAATGTTCTCGGATCGCCTTCGGGATCCGGATATGAAAGATGCTTAATATATAAATAGGAGTTAATGACTCCAACGCGCTGACTGTTTGTTACTCTGTCGACTGTTTTGTGCGTTCCGCCTAAGATCCAGCCTGGCACTCAACGTGTTAGCATACTCAGTTCGATCTTTGCGACAAGGATCAAGACGCCTTCCCTCCAGATGCAGATAAGGGAGAAAACGAAATGTCAACGGTGAAGACCAAGCCAAGGAATGGCAAACCGCCACGCAATGATGTGCTGGCTTCGCTTCATATGGCGTCCCTGGAGGAGGTCTCCAGGGCAGCTCTTCCGGCAGGTGAGTTTCTTCTCCTTCTCTTTTTCTGTGCCTGAGGACCCGTGTACAATATATGTAATAATGCTGAAGAAATGTCTACAATGAATCAAGAGATCGTCGCCTCGATTCTCGATTACGTTTCGGCCGTTGATCTCATCCGGGCAGCGCGATCGTCAAAGCTCCTGCGTGAAATGGCATACGATGATACAAGATGGGTACAAAGATTGAAACGGATGGGTTGCTGGAACGAGTCAGATGCAAGGAAGCATGTCGAAAGGCTACATGGTACAATTGTTAACGTGGAAAGCGTTGAGCGGCAAGACCTGGCTGAGGAGCATTCTGCACCGGTGGTAGAGGCTCAACGGAACTCTGCATCCGACCTGAAATCACTTGAGGATGGGTTTGACAAAATAGACCTGTCGACCATTACGGAAAAGCCAGATATTGAAGCGGACGGAGCCCTTGTGGCTATGAAAGAGGCCAGGTCGATACGCGGAGAAGCACGTCAGGAGTACGGAAAGATCCATGCGGCACTAGCACCGTTCTACGATGACATCGTCAACTCGGGGGCCACCTCGGAAAGCTTGGTATTCAAGAAATATAAAGACCCAGAACATCAAGCAGTGATGCTATCTCAACTCCAGTCTTTTGCAAAATGTGACACTACCCAAGGCTGGCGTGAACGGGTAGCACGACTAGAGCTTGCTGTGCAGATGTTCGAGACTTCAACAATCCGGAATTTTCAGCAAGGCTACGAAGAGGAAGATATTGATGGTGCGATGCGCAAGTATTCCCACGTTCTTTCAAATTTGAACGGTGCGGTGGGTGCTGTTGAATGGTTCATCAACAACAACCACTTGGTGACCCGGAAATCCGACTATGGACGGGTATCGGATTGCATTGACCCCTTGACGGGCCGGGTCCGACTAGAACACACGCAGGCATTCTTCACACGATTGAGTGTGGCCCTGAATGAGGAAATCTCTGTTATAAATAAAGCCTTCCCTCCATCTGCGAACTTGGCCGGTCCTTTCCTTGAAAAAGTAGGGCAGGATGTACTTTACCCATTTCTAACCGCTATATTTGATGAATTACATAGGACTGACATGGAGTCCTACCTCATTGCTGTTTCAGGCACGTTCGTGCAATGCCGGCGTCTGTCGCAAACCATGTTGCCCATTCAGCATTGTGGTAACGAGTTTCATAGCCTCTGGTGGAGTGTAATTGCTAAAGTGTACGAGACGCATATTGATCTCTATCTTGCCGAGGAGCTGGATTACTTTCGCAAACTCTCCGAGAGCGCAGTTACCGAATGGGATAGACAGCTCTCTGAGCAGGCCGCGTCGACGGAATCATTCCTGATGTCTAATATAAACCGACAAGCCGACAAGCGAGACTTTCTGACCTCATTCAAAAAGGTCATCATGATGCCCGTCAATATTCTCCCGAGCTTCTCGAGCTCTAGCAAGTCCAATGAATCAAAGCCAGACCAAAATCCCGCATGTAGCAGGCCATCAAGGAGCCCTAACAGATTTTCCACGATTACACCGTCACCGTCACCTATTCCTCTTACAGAAGAGCCACCGACAACCGAACTTGCAGCAAAGGCTGCTATCATGAAGATGAATCTCGAGGGCATCCGCTCACTATTCAGCATCGAGGTGGCTTTGAACTTGGTCCATAATGCAAAGTCCAGCTTGGAACGAGCAGCACAATTCGTCAAGATGGAGCAAGACACAGGTCTGGCTGCAAAACAGCAATGCGAAGCAATATTTGTTGCTTTATTACGCGTCTTAGGGCTGCGACATGTTATTGGAGGGTTTAACAAGGCAGTGGGCCATCTTTCCAACTATCGGCCACGCGAACAGGGAGAACGAGAGCAGTCTGGTGTGGAACCGCTAATTACATTTCTCGAGTTGGTAAACGTGGGCGACCTCATTCTTCAAATGATGGACGTCTTCTACGAACAAGAGCTCGTGGGGACTAAACTGACTGACCGGAATGACTTCCTTGACCCTGCTGTAAAGGAGAAGAAGAAGTTTGAGCAGATGCTGGATGAGTGTGTCGCCGCTGGTCTGAACAAAGGAATTGACGTTCTCATGGAGGAAGTTGACTACATCCTTGCCACCAGACAACTGGCTACCGATTTCAACCCAGGCCTCTCTACGGATCCGCATCGATCGACTATGGAAGTAGGTGTCACTGAAGCCGCGACAGCTGTGGTGGATGTGGTATCATCCCACACGCAAATGCTTGTTGGTAGCACGGATAAAAGCACACTGGACGTTTTCAATCAGGAGGTTGGTCTCCGATTGTTTGCCGCTCTGTGTAAGCACCTGAAGAGACAGCGGATTAGCGTGGAGGGATCCCTTAGGCTTATCAGGTATTATTGAAGCACCCTCTTCTTTCCTTATATCTAGTGATGATAATCGGTTCTAACATACGATCTAGCGACATGAACCACTACTTCAAGTTCATTCAGGGTCTGAAGAATAACGACCTCCTCCTTTATTTCAGGGGGCTTCGCGAACTGGCCCAGATTTACCTGATCGACCCGTCGGATGCCAAAGCACTTGCTTCCATCATTGCGGATCCTGATCGGTTTTCTGGCATCTGGGGCGCCCAGGAAGTATACGAGTTTGCTGAACGACGTGCGGATTGGTATCAAGTGAAACGGGATGTTGAGCGAGCGATGTACGGGTTTGGATGCACTGTTATGTGAGACAGCCAATCCCCTGCTCTGGGTTGACCTTAAAAACAGGCACAGTGTGACTGTATATATTTATATACGTATATTCTGTTGACAATCAATACCCCTTGTTTCTTCTGTTCCTCTCGCGCAGACTCTGGAGTTGAAACTCAGCCTGACGTCAACGAAGACACTGCAGCGGCTACAGCTCAACACCCACAAAGTGTCATCCAACCATGCTGTCAACCCTGTCGTCTTTTCTAACCCCGTTCTCTGTGGTTGTGTAGCCGTATACCGTGTCACTGGCCAGTCCTCTGGGGCTACAGTTGAAAAAAGCCCTTTATTCATCCACGCATTATCTCCTTTTTTATTTCTTCCTTTCTTTTTCTTCTCCGTCATCACTTCTTTGAATGGCATTGTTTCACCATGCTACGCAATCGGAGTGGCTAGAATGACCACTCCATTCCAAGAGAAAGAAATGCTGGCCAGACCTATATAACTAAAAGAAAAAACCCTTATACTTCCTGCTACGCACAAGAAACTTGGTCTACCAATTTATACAGAACTTAATGCGTCTCCTTTATTTATCTACTCACCTATAATGAAAATGCCCCCCAAACCACAATCTCAGTCTTTCTTCTTCACTCCATTGCTTCTTCTCTTTCTCCTCTCGACGACCCTCGTCACCCCCCTCGTCACTGCACAGACGCATACAAGAACCTCAACAGTGGTAGTAACGGTGACAGCAACCCCAACCGATCCACCGTCATCATCATATACCTCCCGGGAGGAATTCAAAGACATCATCCTCAAGGTCAGCAACGCTTACCGGAAACAGCACAGTGCGAGTCCATTAGTATGGAACGAGACTCTGGCAGAGTATGCATTTCACTACGCTAAGAAGTGTAAATGGGAGCACTCGGTGGGTTTTCTTCTCTTTTCTCTTTTCTCTTTCCCTTTTGCTCCTTTTTTCATCTCTAAGACATGAATTATAGCATGGTCCATACGGTGAAAACCTCGCAACAGGATACCCAAATACCACATCCGCCGTCTCCGAATGGGGCGACGAACGGGATTTATACGACTTCAAGAAACCTACAGGCTTCACGGAGGAGACGGGTCATTTCACACAGCTAGTTTGGAAAGCAACAGAGAAAGTTGGCTGTGCTGTTGTTGACTGTGGATATAAGAGTAATAATGACGATGAGGGTGGTAAGATCGAGGGCCAGGATAGCAACAGCAATAGCAACAACAACAACAACAACGGCAGCAGCAGCGGGCCACCGAGGGCTAATGGATGGTATATCGTCTGCGAGTATCTTCCTCAAGGGAACCTGATAATGGCGGGGAGGGAGAATGCACTTTTTATACAGAACGTGTTGCCGGAATCATCATCATCCTCATCTTCTACTTTTGCTTCCCCTACAACTTCTTGCTCTTCTTCGACTTCTGCTTATCCTTCAGCGGGTACGACTTTTACGGGAGACAACAATAACCGCAATGATATTACTTTCAGTCAAGCTAATGAAAGACACGACCTGAGTTCAGTGAGAGTTTGCAGGATATGGGTTACTCTGGTTATGCTCCTGGCTATGTTTGCTATGTGAAAAGGGGTTTTTTTCTTTCTTTGGCTCTTATTGCTTGCTTAACCCTACTGTTCCCTGCGTTGGCAGTTTTCTACTTCTTTGGATAATACTTTCTTCATGCCTTAATGGGAATTGCAGGCAAATCCCTTCTATGCCTCCAGGAAACGAGATGACGTAAACGACTTTTATAGGAATAATATCAATGTAATTTAATGAAAATACAACGTAACGTAGCGTTCTTTTGGAATACAACGTCTGCCTTGTCAAGTACAACGTCCTTGTGTCATGCTTCTCGTCTACCATAAGGCCTATGGCATAAATGGGGCATAAATGCAACATGAATCTATCAAATTTTTGTGAAAGGGTCCCATCCCCTGGACAACAGCAGTCAAAAATCCTCAACCAGAGTCCCTGCCTAAATGGAAATAGGTAGAGGCTCGACAGACAAAGGGCGAAGGAGGAGCTCAAAAAGAAAGACAAGGGAAACATTATGTAAGAAAAAGACAAGAAAAGGGAGATATAACTGTAATTGCTCAGGCAATAATTTCTTCTGACTCTTCGATAATTTCTTCCACAATCTCCTCGACAACTGTATCTCCCTGGGCAGCTGCGGCAGGTGGGGCATCCGCGGCGAGCTTGGGCAAGTCCGCATCTTCGGGGACACCGTAGGCGTCCTTGTCCTCTGCGAGGAGCTCCTTCTCGCGACGGATCCAGGCAATCCATTCGTTGATAACACGCTTGCGCTTCTCCACCACAGCAGTGTTGGCAATGTCGACAGCGTACCTGTCCTCCTCGTCGAATTCTTTGGAGTATTCGCGGAGGTTCTTACGGACATGTTTCTGCTCTTCTTTACTAAGGAGAGTGGGGGGACGAGGACGCCAGATGAATTGCTTGAATTTATCTGTGGGGTTTTCAGCGAGGGTTGTTCCAGCGAAAGTGTGAATATTCCAGCCGTTTTCCATCTACCAGATATTTAGTCAGCATCCACGGAAGGAAAGGAGATAACATGTAGAAAAAGAAGAACATACCGAATGAGTCCAGACACTAGCGCTGCTGACAACATAACGGCCAGTCGGGTCCCAGTCAATATCAGTGACACCGTAATGATCGGCCGTCTTGAGCAATTGGAGATTGGCGGCAAGATCCTTCTCAGCCTCAGCCTTTTCACCCTCAAAATCGAGATCCCAGAAATCAAGATCGAAATTGGTCTGCGAGTGGACGGTGGCCACAACAACAAAGCGTCCCTTGGGAGACCAGTAGATGCCGTTACTTGTCTTCTTCTCAATAGTGCGTACCAGCCTGAAGCTACCAACATTGGCGCCCTTCTTTTCAGGGGCGAAGAAAGAAACAGCAGTCTTTGGTAGCACAGCGGAACCGGTAGGTGCCTCGCCGGTTGTGATAACAACGAAACGGTCACCATTGGGTTCCCATGCAAAATTGATCACCGTATCCTTCAGACTATCAACAACCTCCACAGGAACCCCTTTCTCGCGTACTCGGAAGATTTCAAGGTTGGTAGCCATGGACTTCTTCGACTTGGAGTGACGATCCACCTTTACGCAGACATAGGCGCTTTGAGATTGCCAGTGCAATTTCACATCAGAAACGTTGAACAGATTCCTAGTTCGGACAATTTCCTTGGACGGGATGCTGATCATAGCAACCCTCGCGGGGTTGCTGCCGATTTCAGGGGTCCAGAAACATAGTAGTTGCTCGTAGTTCTTAACACCCTCGCGGCGGGGTGTTGCAGGAGCCCACTCGAAGTCCATAACCCCGTCAATTCTCACCGAAGTCTTGCCCAGTAAGTTCATGCGAGGCAGTTCATAAATGGAAATGGACTGTCCTTGAAGCATTCTCGCAACGTACTTCTCATCTGCCGACCACTTGAAAGCAGGCCACTGGACCTTCTTCTTGGGCTGAACCTCTGCATCGCCAGGACCCGGAGCAGTGAGGTCGTGGGATACAAAGGACCGCAAAGGCTTTCCTGTAACAATGTCCCAAATGATAATGTTCTTTCCATCTTCTTCGTAGGATAAAACGGGATGGCCTTCTTCAACCTGAATTGGACGGGCAGACCAGGTGGTAATGTAGCTTTCACCGGGGGAGAATTCGAGCAACTGAACGAAAGGATGAGGGAATTGCTTTAGCTTCGAGAAGTTCGGGCCACCCCAAAGTTGGACACCCTGGGGGTGGACGGACGCGAGATAGGTACCCATGGGGGACCATTGCACGAACAGTTGTGTCCAGTGGGCACGGTCCACGACATTCTCCGGCGGATTGGTCTTGTTGTTCCAGAACACGCCAACCTTGTCACCACGAAAGAGGGCAAACTGATCACGAGCATTGGGGTCTGCCAGCCATGAACGCAGATGTTCCTTCTCCTGAAACGGTTCGATGTGGGGTGGCTTGTATTCCTCGTCGATACGCCCTTCACGTCCATAACGGTCAATATCCATCAATTTGTTGACCAGGAGAGTGTGTTTCTTATCCAGAGGGGCTCCGTGGAAGTGTTTGACGGCAGCAACCGCTTGTTCGGGTGTGTCAAATTCAACAAAGGCAAACCTAGTCAATAGCGAGTAAGCAAATAAATAAGCTAATTAAACATGCTGGCTACTGGTTCTCTACCCACCCTTCTGTCGTATTTTTGTCGTTTAGGGGCATGAAGACGGCATCTTCTGAAGTGTGGCCAACGGTGTTAAGTTTTCTCAACAAGAACTTGATGAGCTTTTGTCTGCTCTCCTCTGGGACTACCGGAAGCCCGTCGATAACCACAAATGTATCCAGACCCTCCTCAAGCTTTACCTCATACTGTGCTTTAAGATCTGGAGATAGGAGAAAAAGGCACACGTCAATTTAGATCCGGAGGGGCACGAACGGGTTTTGAGGGTACATACCTGAGAAGTCAATCTCCTCCTCTTCCTCCTCGTGGAGGTCCTGTTCAGAAAGGGTGTCAAAACTGGGGGCCATGGTGGATCTTCAATTCGCCTGTGCGGGAGGGAGATCAGATGAAGGGGCCCAGGACCGAGGAGACAGCGACGTTTAGCAGAGCGAGCAGTGAAATTTCTCGTGCTGGCGCGCCCGTCGGCTTTGCTATTATTTCGAGGATCTGTGTGCGACGGCTGACTCATCTTAGTCATCAAAGCGTATGTCACGTGCTGGATTATGTCAGCACCCGACCGGGCTAGCGCCGTTCTCCAGATCGGTGATGCCATGCGACGCTATCCGAAAGATGCAGCGCATATCCATAATCCATATCATTACTACGCTCTGTACGGCGCAGAGACATCGCCCAACGCACCATCCCGCATCTCTTTCTTTCTCCATGGGAACCTGCTGGTCAGCGTGCATCGGCTCTCTTGACGCCTTCTGCTGATTTCCTCCTCTTTGTCGTGCTCGTCTGTTATATATCTATCCTAGCTGCTCTGGTCTGTTTCTCTATCTCCCATGTCTCGCTGATCCTGACTGCCCAGCCACTTCATCTGCTAGTAGCTTGACTGGGACGAGGCTAATCTTCTTTTGTATACGACTTTATTACCTTCCTGTTTATATTGCTCCGTTTCTCACTCTATCACCAGCGTGAACTCATATCGGGGAAGTTAGGGTCGATCCCCGCTGCAATTGCGACTTCCAGTTTCTCTTTTCCTTTACTGAGTAAGAGGAAGAGTAACATCGTGGAAGTGATCTACCGTCGCACGATGTCGCGTATGTTTCCAGGTTCTCGTGTTGTTGTACGGTGGTGGTAAATAACTACTCTCTTGCCTTCAAACCCTTTCTGACATTGCTTTTCCGTTTCCCTAGTCTCCCCAGATGCTCGCGCGACCTATATCCCGATCATTGATTCTATTCTGGCCAAGAGCGATTTGCAAACCATCTCCGAAAAACGCATCCGGAAAGGTCTTCAGGAAGCTGTCGGTTATGACCTCACTCCGCAGAAGGTCCGTTCCCTGGTCACTCCTCCTCGCGTCTCTATTTGGCTTCATCAATGCATGACTCGCCTGGAAATGACCTTCGGGTTTCCTTGCTAACTCTATTCAAGGCTGCGGTCAAGCAGCTTATCATGGAGCGCTTCGATATTTTCGTTGCACGAGATGGCCTAGATCCGTCTTCCGAAGCAGCACCATCGGGTACTGCGACCTCAAATGGCCATGCAAAAGAAGAGAACGGGATATCTTCATCTGTTCCTCTATCTCCCCCGCATTCCACCTCGCCGCAGAAACGCCAGGTTGACAACGACGAGTCCCCGGAAGAATTGAAAAAAACACCTCCCCCCAAGAAGAGGAAGTCGGATAATGATGTGGATGCGGACGCCATTCTTGCTGCAAAGCTGCAAGCAGAGGAAAACATGCGTGCTAGACCTACTAGGGGAGCGAGCTCGAGAAGGGCACCACCCGTAAAAAGAAAGAGCAAATCTAAAACCGCGAAAAAAGTCAAGGCTGAGGATGATTCGGATCTCGAGTCTGGTTCCGAAGTGAATAAGAAAGAGGTCAATCGGTCCGGCGGGTTTCACGTGAGTCTATCCTTAGATCTGCTGGCAATTACCTTGAGTGCTGACGATAGGTGAAGAAACCTCTCACTCTATCTCCAGCCCTCTCGGCTCTGTTGAATGGTGAAGTTATGGTAAGCCTTCTTCGTCTGGCCGCATGGCTCTCATTTATTATCATTAACGCAAATTCCCGTCTAGCTCTCACGTCCACAGACAGTCAGCAAGCTTTGGCAATACATCCGCGCGCACGATCTCCAGGATCCTAATGACAGACGTCAAATTCGATGCGATGAGGCAATGCGTGCCGTGTTCAAGCAAGACCGGGTGCATATGTTCACCATGACCAAGATCCTGAATCAGAACCTCTACAGCCCTGACGAGTAGTTTGTCGGTTACACTTCCACGCGATTGCAAAGCATGACTGGCTGCCTACGTTGCTGCCACCGTTCTAACGAAGTTTTCTTTTGTTTATTGCACCGCATACGAATTACGGCGCTATTTCCTACGTTCGTCTAGCGACATGCTTTTTCCTGCGCACCTTTGCTTACTGTTTACCCATTTTCGCACTTTTTGTTGCCGGCTTGTTTTACCTGGTTTTTTTTGCCGTACTGTTGTTTTCTCTTCTCTTTCACTAGCGGGGAGTTGGTGCCTAAGCGGAGAAATCGACCGCGATTTGTCTCCTGAAAATTTATGATTCAACATTGAAATTGCATCAATTAAATAACTGGGCTGCTTACAGGCTGGCTATCTTTTTTCGAATCATTGCAGGGGGAAGAGACTTATCTATAGTAGCAGATGGGCGTTGCATTTTCCTTTGATTCCAGATCCGCTGTAGTATTTGCTGGTTGCTAGGTCACTCCGTAAGCAATTCGAGTCATCATTGAAAAGCATTAGAGCTGTCCTTTTCTAAAAAGCCTTCATTTTTGAGTCATTCTGAATACGAGGAGTGTGCCCATTTTCGGACAATTTTCTTCGCCGCGGAACACCGCCACAGAACAATAATATTTGCCAACTCCGACCGACGCAGCAAAACAATTATCTCGCCAACCCCAGACCATTTCCCCTCACCATTGTCTCGAGCTCAACGCTACCCTCCCTCGGTTTGGAATCAAGTCCAATGGCAGAAGACCAGTCGGTACAAGTCCCCCGATCGGAAGCCGCTTCCAACCAGAGCCGCGGGGGCCGTCGACGTGGGCGAGGCGGCGGGGCTCACCAGCAGCGGCACACAGATGCCCAGCACCCAGACGACGGCCGAGCTAACATCTCTGGCAGGGGATCGAGACCCAGAGGGCGTGGCGGACGAGGAGGACGTGACAGGCAAAATCTCGCACAGAATACCAAGCCTGGTCCACAAGAATCGGGTGGTGGGAGTGATGGTAAAGGGAAAAGCCAAGAGGCCGTCGCAAATAGCACGGAGGATGCAGATGACAGAGAAGTTTGCTTCATCTGCGCCTCCGAGGTTGAGCATATTTCCATCTCACCCTGCAACCATCGCACTTGTCACATCTGCGCGTTGAGATTGAGGGCTTTGTATAAGACCAAAGCTTGTGCACACTGTCGGGTACGTATCCTCCCCCCTATGCCTCTGCTGCATATATACTTATTATTTTCGAACAGACGGAATCGGCCTTTGTGATCTTTACGGATGATCCCATAAAGCGGTTCGAGGCTTTTACACCGGCGGACTTCGCGCGGACGGATGAAAATCTGGGCATCAAGTACGAAAAGGACGAGATCTTTGAGGATACAGTGCTGTTGCTGCGATATAATTGTCCGGACAAAGACTGCGATGTGGCTTGTCTAGGATGGCCGGACCTTCATCGACATGTCAAAACTAAACATGGAAAGGCTATGTGGTTCGTTTTTCTTTCCCCCCAGGGTCCCTAGCAGGGATAGGTACTAACTGACCGGTACCAAGTGATCTCTGCACGAGGAACAAAAAGGTGTTTACGCATGAGCACGAGCTCTTCTCCAACGCAGAACTGCGAAGACATGAAAAATACGGCGATGACGTTCCCGGGGCTGTCGATCAGAGTGGCTTCAAAGGACATCCGGAATGTGGCTTTTGCCGCCAGCGGTTCTATGGAGACGACGAACTGTATGCTCATTGTCGTGACCGGCATGAACGGTGTCACATTTGCGATAGAAGGTCTGGCAACCGCCAACAGCAGTACTACATCGACTACAATGCCCTTGAAGATCACTTTCAAAAGGAACATTTTCTGTGTTTGGACAAGGAATGCTTGGAAAAGAAGTTTGTTGTATTTGAGTCTCAGATGGACTTGAAAGCGCACCAGTTGGAATGCCATCCAAATGGACTCTCCAAAGATGCCAGGCGTGATGCCCGTATTGTGGATATCTCAACTTTCGACTACAGAACCCCATACCAACCGCAACGACAGCGTCGTGGAGCTGGTCGGGGACGCGATCCCAACTCGGAACCACTTCCCACATCTAGTGCACAGCCGCTACGAAGAGATGAAATCGCCTACCAGAGACAAATAGCAATCCAAAGTGCGCAATCAGTCTCAACCCGGAGCTTTGGCGGCCAACTCACACGTAACGACACTCAAACTGTCCGCGCTCCTGCTCGGACTATTTCTACTCTTCGATCATCTCCACCAACACAGCAACTGCAGAGCCTCAGCCTTACATCCGAGCCTACTGTCCCGGACACACCTCAGGCTCAGGCTCGTCAACTGCGCCATGCGGCTGTGATCGAGCGAGCATCTAACCTCTTGCATAATGACCAGACCAAACTTGCCGAGTTTCGAGCACGCGTCTCCAGTTACCGCACCTCTGCGATTTCCGCTACCGAGCTTATCGACGCTTTCTTCTCTCTTTTCGATACTTCAAGTTCTGAGCTAGGAAAGCTCATCAAGGAACTCGCAGACATCTATGAGGATGAATCAAAACGCAAAGGGCTGCTGAAAGCTTGGAGTGATTGGCGTGCTATAAATGAAGACTACCCAGCTCTCCCGGGACCCGGTGGCATCATCCCAGGGATGTCTCCCGGTACAGTTTCCGGTGCAGGAGCTGGTGCAGGAGTAGGGAAGCGCGTGTTGCGTCTCAAATCTTCCACGGCACAATCCTCCCGATCAGCTGTTGGTAGGGGTAGCTCTCTGCTCACATCTTCCTCATCCCCCTATAACCCCTTTCCTCCTCTGTCATCTTCTTCAACAGCCCCCAGATCGACACCCGCCACGACAACACCGTGGGTTCATTCAACCTCTCGGGTTGGGGTACCAACATCTTCAGCTCCAGCTGCCTCCAGCCGCCCGTCTCCCGCTAGAAATATCAATAGCAACACAAGTCCAGGAAATACCGGTGAGGCCTTCCCTGCTCTCCCCGCCGCTCCCAAGCCTAGCGTTCTAATGGCCGGTCTCACTCGCGGGACCGTCCGATGGAACGATCGTCGCGGTCCTACACCGAATGCTTGGGCGGGAGGCTCAAATTCGACCGCACCCGAGCCCGCGGATTTGGATTGGGATTCTTCAACAGGTGGGAAGAAGGGCAAGGGAAAGAAGGGGAAACAGACGCTTTTCCATTTTGGATGATTGCATTCCATTCATCATGTTGATTAGTTACCCCGTCTTTCTTGCTGGTCGATGATGGATTGAAAATGGGTAACTCTTTTACATTCTCGGTGGGGCGTTTAGGATTTCCTGAAAAAACCCAGCTACGTATAGGTAAATAGCTACCTAGCTGTGCCACCCCTTTTGTATGTATTTAGATGATCTACGAAGTCGGCCATATAACCTCTGGTTAATACCTAGGACATACATCTTCGTGTTTTGGACTAGGGGCTGTCTAGGTCATTGGAAAAAAAAGGAAAAAGTCAAAATAGAAATAAACATAATATTATAAGTGCCATAGCCCGCCATAGTCAAATATTCAATAGGCCTGGACTCTTGCATTCGCGGTAATATGTGGCAGGGAATTGGGGGATGTTGCAAGGGGCTGTTACTCTCACTCAAACACAGTAAATTCGCTGATTTCTCAGGTCAGTGGTTTGGTTTAATAGACTATGTGTTCATTCAAGATCTCTTCGATGAGTTTTGAATCGAACGATGGCCTTCTGGGGCACATAGCTGTTGGAATTAGTAGACCGACCCCCTTGGACATGGGGGCTTCAGTATCAAAGAATACCTCTCTGATTGTCAAGGGAAGGCACTTCGCGCAGTGGCAAGCACTTTATACACAGAAATTATCGAAGAGACATACGTCTTTAACATGATGACATTGTTAACTGATTGTTTAACATATTGAAATGTCCGGTTGGTGGGTATTAGAATAAGCTGAGCAGTCAGTAGTCTTTCAACCCAGGGAAACAAACAGATGTCAAAACTTTGTCCGCATCAACAAAGCCTTTGTGAGTGCTATCATGAAGGGGTCAGTAAATAGCAGAGGCAAACATTATGCCTCAAACAAACCTCGTCCGACAGAAACGAACATCTCCTTGGTGGACAGGTCCTCCAAGGCGTCATATCGTGCTAGCAGCTTAGAATTCTCGGTGGAAGGCTGAAGAATATTTGCTCGAAGCAATCTGGCTCCAAATAGGCGTAAGTGTCTCAAATCAACAGCCCGAACAGGCTGTCCCTGGATTTAGCATTCTGAAGGTTCTGGATCAATTCAAGTGAAACGATGGTAGACAAGTCAATCGTCATTGATCCCTGAGAAGGCCCAAATTTGATCCAGAGAGACTGAGGAGCAAACATTCTATCCAGTTCAAGTTCGACATATTTCAGGACCTTCAGAAGAGTCGATCCATGCATCCACTGCAACATGTTTTAGTAATATTCCTATCGCAGCAAAGCAACAAGCGGCAAATTAATTCCTACCCAGTGTCATTTGATGGATTCTACATTCTCCGAAAAAGCAAGTTGATCCACATAGTCGTGGCCCACCCTTTCAGACCAATATTTGCGGTCGACGAAAGTGAACGTGGTTTCAGGAACATTCTCCTGAACAATGTAGAATAGTTTGGAGTCTTTAGCTGTGCTCATGAAAAGCACTTCAGTAGGCTCGAATACCCCGATTTTGGTGATAGTTTTGACATAGGTCTGGCTGTTGCAGATCTGGCACAGGACCGCCTCTGCAGTCGAGAGGTTCACAAAGGCGAGACCTACTGTTGATGAGACTCCAGATGATTCACTAATAGCGCAGACGATATCTTGAGATGCAATGCTTGTAGCTGTCGTCGCTGGTCTATTAGTTCTTCGTGGTGCAGTGCTCTGCCTGGAGGCCAGTTGCTCAAAGGAGTTCATTGTTCCAGGGTAGAAGGTACACCCAGAAACCACCGAGGACATTTTAAACTGTAGAAAAACAATTGACCATCGCCAAGTCTATCAGTGAAAATGGAATTGGCGAGTTCAATTGATGGAAAGAGAGAGTAGAGCAATTCGAAGGAAGAGATCGGACGGAGATAAGGCGGAGTTTACTGTAAATTACCAGATATAGCTTAGCGCGATCGTCAAAATTTCTCTACGAAATGTTGAAAGATTGAAGGATTGAAGACGTTATTCTGGACAACAACCGGTGTCCTCCCATTTCCCAATCAACCATGGCAACTCTTTTCCCTCCACCAAGCAAGCGCCAGAAGCGCGAGATTGCAGAAAAGGCTGAGCAACAGCAAGCAATCGAGAGCATCCCGGATGACTTAGGAAGCGTCCGAGTGCAGTTCTTCGACCAAGCAACAGGCTCAGCAACCGGGCCTGCTGTCTCAGTGCCCGTAGCCGATGCTACAGTCAAGAACTTGGAGACGCTTTTGAACACGTTGCAAGGCAATGTAGGTACGCTTTCGCATCTCCAGTTTTGACAATTGGAGAATGGGTTCGCAACACGCAGAAACAGTGAACTAATCGATTATTGCTTTTTTCTTCCTTGCAGGATGATGATGACCGAGTTCCGTATAGATTTACCTACCAATCGAACGACAAGGACAACCAGACTGTTGATATTCTGGCAGATGTCTACCATTCCTTGCTTAAGCCAGGTCTGAAGACCACGGAAGATACCATCCCCCTCTACTTTACTCCACAGGCAGTATTTCGAGTCAAGGCCGTTTCACGATGCTCTGCCGCGATAGCCGGACACGGCGAAGCTATTCTTGCGACGTCATTTTCTCCCGTTTCTTCGTCCACTATGGTTTCTGGGAGCGGTGATTCAACCGCTAGAATCTGGGACTGTGACACGGGGACCCCGATGCACACTCTTAAGGGACATACCAGCTGGGTTCTAGCGGTCAGCTACTCGCCAAATGGCGCAATGATCGCGACTGGGAGTATGGACAATACTGTACGGCTGTGGGATGCAAAAAAGGGACAACCACTCGGCGGCCCGCTAAAGGGCCACGCGAAGTGGATCACAAGTCTGGCGTGGGAGCCATACCATGTACAAGAACCAGGGAGACCGCGACTAGCCTCTGCATCGAAGGATTCCACGGTCAGGGTGTGGGACGTAGTGTCAAAGAGGATTGACACCGTTCTTACCGGCCACAAGGGTTCAGTCACCTGTGTCCGTTGGGGAGGTACTGGACGGGTTTACACGGCATCTCACGACAAGACAATCAAGATCTGGAACCCCAAGGATGGTAGCTTGATTCAGACTCTATCGGCGCATGCACACCGCGTGAACCACCTAGCTCTATCCACGGACTTTGCTCTCAGAACAGCCTACCATGACCACACAGGGAAAGTCCCGCTGAGCGACGCAGATAAGGTCCGAGTTGCTCGCGAGCGATTTGAGCGGGCCGCGACTATCAACAACAAGATTGTGGAGAAGCTAGTGTCTGCAAGTGATGACTTTACCATGTTCCTGTGGGATCCTGAGAGCTCCAACAAGCCTATAGCCCGGTTACTCGGCCATCAGAAAGAGGTCAACCATGTTACCTTCTCACCGGATATGGCCTACATCGCATCTGCAGGGTTCGACAACCACGTGAAACTATGGAACGGGCGTGATGGGAAGTAAGTAATCCACCACACCGGTCGGATAGGTCTCGTCATGATAGAACAAAAGCTAACCCGCCTGGTCTTCATAGGTTCATCACCACCCTCCGCGGCCACGTCGGCGCTGTCTACCAATGCTGCTTCTCCGCAGACTCGCGTCTTCTTGTATCATCATCGAAAGACACAACACTCAAAGTGTGGAACGTACGCACAGGCAAGCTGAGCATGGACCTTCCCGGCCATCAGGACGAGGTATTTGCCGTGGACTGGAGTCCAGACGGACAAAAAGTAGGGAGCGGTGGAAAAGATAAGAAAGTCCGGATATGGAGAAATTAACGTAGATGCTATTTTGTTGTTATTGTTATACACGAGATAGAACAGCAACACGATAAAAATTGATGATACCCAATTCTTATCATGCACCCTATCCTAGGCTTTTACATATCACCTTGCTTTCCCAGTAGGTCCCTGTACACCTTATTCAAATCTCCAAACCGAATGAATCTAAACATACTCCCAAGCAGGAATGGACCCATTATACGGGAAAGCAATAGCACTAAACCCAAGACAGTCCTCCACCTTGCCCAAGGGGGCTGTGACATTCTGCGCAGCCACGAAAACCTGCCACCGATGATCTTTCGTGGGACAAGCCATGAACCCCGACGCACCCCAAGCGGTGGTCGAGTAATGAGGCAGCGTCGAACCAGAGCGGGCAGCGATGCTGAACGGACCCAGCACTGAACCGGGGGGGACATAGGCTGAGTGAGGCTGGGTGAAGCTCAGGGCCCCAGTGGGGGAGATGTAGAGCTCTTGGCCTCCAGGTACGGTGACGTCCTGGATTCAAGCTTGTTAGTATGATTGTACTTTCTCTTTTTTACAAATGTGCAAGGATAATATACATACCAATGCAGCGCCTCCTGGGGCGAGAACGGTCTGCGTCCCCGGGGGACAACTGCCAACCTGGGGAGGACAGTAAGTCGACGTGTTTCCCCCCAGGTAGAAGGCTCCTCCATTGGCATTCATGGGCAGGAGGTGGACGGGAGAGGCCGAGCGAGAGGACAAGATCTGGTATCCCGATGGGCCGGCGGCCGCCAGGAAGGGAAGAACAAGAGTGGAAAGGATAGACAGCTTCATGATGGCGACTATAGATAAACTATGATAAGAATTGCTTGGGATGAAGTTACAGCATTCAATGAACAGCATTCAGGGGGATTGGGTCTGCTTAAATACCGGCAGTCGGTGGGTTGAAACCATCTGATTCTTTCTATGGGAGTGAGACATGGATGTCGATCGGTCTCAGGCGACGGGGTCATTGCAATAAACCATCACCGTCGCAAGGCTAATAATTATTTATAGTTGCAGCATATCGTCATAGTCATCGGTCAAATTCCAGGGATCAACATCGCCCTGCGTGGGAGTTGACTGCAAACCCCTTGTATATACATCACTGTTTCACTCTCAAACAGGAGCAAAGCAGTAGTCCCAATCTCAGCCACTTCGATGCGGTCATCTCACTTGCCCGTGGTCGTTTGTGTCGTCGTCGCCGTCGTCTTCTCTTCCTCCCGAGCCTGCACATGCTGCTCCCAGCATGTCTCGATGTCATTCCGGTAAATCCAATTCAACTGATCCCCGACATTGAAAGACTCGATCCTGGTCCGGACAGTCTTCTCGAATATCGACACGGGGTCTGGGTCCTGAGAAGCTGCCTGGGATCTGGCTTCTTGCACTTGTCGTTTATGGTTATCGAGGTATTCATACCTATGCCATAAGGATCAGCTCAACTATTCTTTGGATGTGGAACATTATATCCACGATGTCTCACATTCGAAGATAGTATGGAGAACGAATCTCATCGAAGATCGACAGTGCCTCAGTAATGGCGGCTTTGGGGGTAGTCAAGCTGCCATTGTCATTCTTTCGATGCGCGTATTCAAGCGCACGAGCTAGAATCCAGCCATCCTCAAGAGCAAAGGCAGCTCCTGATCCAAAGGCTCCTAGTCACGGTTGTTAGCCCGATACTGACGGTCTTAACGGCTTGCATGAGAATACCCGAGAGAGGATGACTGGCATCACCCAGTAGAACCACCTTGTCCCAAGCAATGAGCTTCTCCAGTCTAGGCCCAGCAAAGGCAGCGAATTCTTTCCAGTTCCCCTCTGGAACCTGAGCTATGGCTTCACGGACGCGGTGATCGTATTCCTTTCAGCGTGTCAGTGGTTACTTATTTTTTCTTTCTCTTTAATAATACCTACTCTAAAATGCTTCTCTACCCGTTCCTTCGTGGCCGGAATACCCCAGCTGAACCTGCTCTCCTTGTCCGTTTCAGGATCGACAACATACCGAGCTGCAATCTCAAACATCTGCTCCGACCCCGGGACTTCAGCTGGGTCATCCACGAGAGAGAAATACGAGTGGCCAGACGGTCCATGCCACCATTGTATTGCCGGGTAGAGGTCCGGTAGATGGGATACCGAGGAAGTTGGAATGAGGGTTCTCCAGATGGTGGTGCCTACATAGGTGTCAATTGATGTCTTATCTAGGAAATAGGATCGAAACTCACCAGTAAATTTGATACTGTGTGCTGGAAAGATAGCCTCTCTAACTACCTATCGAAAGAACAGAAAGATAAGCATCTCTCTGGACAAGCAGCAGGACAAGGGAAAAAGAAGACAAATCTTACAGACCGAATCCCGTCTCCCCCAAGTACCAGGTCCGCTGTTGTCTCCGTCCCATCCTTGAAGACGAGTCGCAGACCACCGCCCTTGACATCTTCCAGAGAGACAAGCTCCTTATTTAACTGGATAACACCCTCCGGAACCCGCGCGAGCAGGGCAGACTGCAACCTGGTCCTCCGGACACGTCTCGATCTGTACTTCAAGGGAAGAGTAGACTCGGCCGAGGAGCGTGAATTGATGATCTCCCCGTTCAAGCCGTTTCTGAGGGATTTGCGAGAATTGTAAATAAAGAAGCGCCATAATAATGAATCCTGGGATCTGGGAAGGAAAACATACCGATGATAAACATCCACCTGCAAATGCCCGCGAACACCGTCCGCGGCACCAAGCAACTCCAGCACCCGCCAGCCATTATACCCGATGTTAATACCGGCTCCTACCTCTCTCAGCACCTTGGCTTTCTCGTATATGGTAAGCTGCACGTCGACGGCAGGGTTGGACAATGAGAGGGAAGAGAGGGCAATGGCGGCGCCTAGACCAGCTGGTCCTCCGCCGATGATGGCGATGCGCAGGGTTGGAGCAACTCCATTGGTAGTATGGTTATGGGGATCTGTGGGAGCCATTGAGTATTGTCACTGTGTCACGACTAAGTTTCCTTGTTTCCTTGACTGCTTAGATCTGCTGGAGCGTTACTGGTGTTTATATGGCGTACTACTGAGATATACGGGGAAAGTGAGGATACAGATCAACGGCACAAGAGATTCCGCGTCTCACTCGCAAAAAGAACAGAAACAAGGGCAGTGATGGCGTGCTTTGCGCCATCGTGGCGTGCGACTGTTAGGCCATTTGCATTGAAGGCTTCCGATGTAGATAGGAAATCGATGCAGCTGGATGTTGAGGTCGGGGATTCATGGACGACGCCTACTACAATCATATATTAAACCAGAGACATAGCGAGCATCGTGCTGATCCTTTCTTTATATGCGCGTCGTATCCAGAACAGCGGCCAGACCTAATTTCAAATACACCAAACGTAGAGAATAGCAGGGTAGAATGGGCCTGTCCTGTCTTGCCCAGGGCAAAAACAGACAGTGCCAGAGAAGAACAATTAATAAAGAAGACAGAACGAATACAACAGCCTCAGACCCCGTAGCAATACAGCCCACTCCAGACGGAAATAAAAAAACCAGTACCCTGCCCAGGAAGAACAACACCGCAAACCGGAACCGGAACCCCGACGTCTTAACCCAGATGCGTAACAACAGAAACAGAAGGATATCCCATTATGCCGTCGTCTGGCATTCTAATTATTCCATGCCATATTCGCATGGTCTGGCCCAGCCATCTTGCCAATACTCTACTCGTAATCATCTCCTTCGTCGTCAGCGTCAGCAGCTCGTCCTCGCGAACCCTTGACACCATCTTTTCGAATTGGAATCTTGATTCCCTGCAGAGCAAAGCACTTGCTCAACTGTGTACTCTCGATGACGCCCGGGAACTTCTTGGCCGAGAACACTTGGAATGGCTCCGAGAAAACAGATGCGAGAACGGGGGCCGAGCCGTGGTTGATTACAGGGGCCCCGTTGGCGGAATCGGAAGAATGGGTTCCCACGTTGACGAAATTCATCTTGAGGCTGCGTTCTGTTAGTTCTGCCACGAGAGTCCTAAGATGCAGTGCCTCGAAATCACGTACCGGAAGGTGCCTTCTGTCCGTACACTCAAATCCTGTAGGATAAACCAAACACCGATCTTGTTATCCGGATCTGTCAGCCGGAATGCACTGGCACTGAGACTCCCGATCAGATTCCGTGTGTACATCCCTCCCGAGGCAACGGGTTGTACGGGAGTTGCAGGTGAGAGATTGGCCGGGGGTAAGTGGCCACCACTCGGATAGTACTGTGGGTAGTACGACGCCTGGGGACTTGCGGTGTATGGGTTCGGATATGCCAGCTGAGCATTCCCCCCGTAGTAGCTATTCATGGGGTAGGCCACTGCCTGGCCAGCAGCGCCATATTGTGCATAGGCCGGGTAGGTAGGTGAGAAATTCTGCGGCGGAGGAGGATATGACGAGGACGTCGCCGTGGATATCGATGGAGAAGTTGCCGAGTGCTTAACCAGATTCACTTCCGACGTTCCTTCTGCATTCCACAGGTCGACGGTCAGGACGTAGAACGAAGTGTCGATCTCACTGTGCAGGAAAAGCGTTCACGGATTAGTCTCCCGAAGGGCATGGAGTGATCCGGGCGCCTTACTTGATATCGATTTCCTTCTCGGTCTGCGCATCTCTCACGATCAAACGGATACACGGAGGAGGGGTAATGGGCCTGCGATCCTATAAATGAGTGTCAGAAAAAAAAAAAAAAAGAACACACACACGCAACAGCCCGTTGATGGCCAGTGCCAACCTTGTCGCCAAACCCACACATGCGAGCCCGAATGGGCTGCTGAACCACTTGTAATGACCAAATGCGGCCTTCGTGGATGGTTGAAACTGGAGCGAGGTAGTCCGACGAGCGTAGCGGGCCGGCCGATCCTGGAGTCGGATACGCAGAAGACGGAGGAGGGATGCGATCCATAGAGAGCGGAGGAGGTGGCGGAACGGGATGGGACCTCTCTTGCTCGAGAGCGTACATGGTTCGCGAGTTGGAGGAACCGAGGGCGACGCCAGAGGAAGAGACGGGGTTCTCAGCTTTATATATCTTATGGTTTGGAAGACACTGTCTTGGACGGTCGTAAAGGAGGGGTATGCGACATGCGACAAGCAGCGAAATCGAGACGTCACACTTCGAGCATCGACTCCAGTGTGCAGGCAAGGGATGTCCGGCTGCCGCAAGAGGATTGAATCACCACGCGACAGAGGGTTTCGAAAGAAAGAAAGAAAAGGAGGAATAAATCAAAGTTTTCGTCGGCTCGTGCGATTTTGTTTGAAGTCGATCGGATGTGCGGAAGTGGCAGATACAGGCCGGGAGATTCGCAAGGTTTTCGAATCCAAGTGACCGCGAGTTACGACGTAGTAATCGGAGCTCCTGGCAGGCTTCACCGGTGGGGAGGTTCCTTCGCTACCAAGCTACCCCTTCTCTCGCTTTGAACGTGCGCGCGAAATAGTTTTATGCTGTAGGCCGACTATGCCGACATATATGGATGACAACGGCGTCCCAATCGATTGAAGTTCCCAGGCAGTCAGACGGAACTGGCTTGTCTGGGCGAGCCGTGACGCCGGCGATCAAGGTTGCGGGAGATTCGCTGAGCTTTCCACGGATCATGCCAGGACCAAAGAGTGGTCTCTGGCCAGCCACTACAACACTGTAATGGGGTGCAATGAACTGGATGAGGATGGTCGCAATGGTTGAAATGGACGATTCGCAGGCTATCGCGATGGGTGGAAGAAGGCCGCCACAGCCGTGAGAGGCTCAGGAGGACGGGTGAAAGGTGGAATCAGACTGTTTTAATCGGGATAGAAATTGCCTGGATCTGCTGCATCGAATTGCAGGTTAAACAATCTGCTTTATTCCTGGTTATCCCGTTGTCGATGAGCGAGAGTGTGTCAGGCGGGGTTGAAGAGGAGAAGAAGACGAAGGTGAAGTCGAAGACTCAGGGACCGCTCACGGGTCTAGTCTAACTTCGGTCTGTCTCTCCAGAACCCTTTGAAGGGAATCAGAACCGGAATCAGAACCAGAATCAGATTCAAATCCTCGTCTCCACTCTTTATTTATCTTCTTCCGAACAACCACCCCTCCTTCTACCCCTCATGCAATGCCCATCGGCATTCCAACCGATGTCTATCTCCCATAGTGGAGAGGAAGCTCTCTATCCACCCAACCAGACTGTGCTTGTATACGGACTTACCGTCTCAGCAATCGGCAACCCGTCTCAGGCCCCAAGCTCAGCGCATATATAAATGATCTTCTCGTCAAACCGTCCTATCCACGTGCGATGTACGGCGTACGCGCGCCTGGTAACCGTGCCGTCCTTTGACTTGGCCCTTGGCAATCCACAGCATTGACCACAATTCCAGTTTCCAAGTTTCAACCTTCAAGTTAAGCTAAGCTCTCTTTGCTGCAATGAGCCGGCCAGCAAGTGAGCTTCTACCGCCAGGAGCAATATATCGTCATAGCGCTGTGGCTGCGCCTTTAAGCCCTTGCCGTGGACGCCGTCGCTAAACTCAAGGCTTTACCGCGAACGGGACGATCAATATAATATTCCTGCGTAACTGGCACTCCAATAGGTCGGTGAAAACTCCCGCAAACTCGGGATGGTTGATCATATCTAGTCGCCGTGGTTCTACGTTTGCAGCAAGGTCAACATGTCGTGACTAATTCTTGGGCATCCGTGATGGCCCTAGGGCCCAACGTCTAGAAGAACAGTGGACTCGTGGACGAACTGCCTTTTTTATAAATATAGGGAGAACTATATTATTACCTTCATTTGTTGCTTTCAACAGCCAAACTACCAATTGCCGCAGTCTTGCTCCACTTCCGAAACACATGTCCATATTTATAAAACACATAAGGCACAGGCGTCATCAGAAGCGAAATGCACCCAAGAAGTGTCAGTGTCCAATGCACACCCAGATTCCCGTACATGGGTATGGATACCACCACCATCACCCCAGCGGCAATATACCTCATGAGCGTCGCACTAGCCAATGCACTGGCAGCGTACAGCTCATAGGTATCGATCAGGTACTGATAACTCGAGATGAAGATCCCCTGGACCGAGAACCCGAATGCGACAGATGCCACAAGACTCGACCAGTACGAGACAGATTCGTAACTAGTCCAGCCCATCCAGAATAACGAGATGGGGAGCCACGGCGCGCCGTACATGGCGTACCAAAGTCTTTCCTCGGGTGGAAGCATCTTTTGACCGGCAGCGGTAGCGCTCTCAAGCCCGCGTTTGTATTTCAGGTATATGTAGGGCGCGATGGCAAAGGCGATCATGAATCCGACATTCATGCCGATGAAGGCCAATCCGACGGCTCCCTGTGAGAAGCCGTATGTCTTCCCAAAAATGAAGTCGTATCCTGTCAAGAACCCGAAGAGGACGATGTACAGCACAACAAGATACATGGTGAAAAGCATGACCATTATCTCGCCGAAAAAGAGACGGAATGGACGGGAACAGCTGTGCAATAGCCGGATGGGTAAGGATGTCTGGCGGAGTTCGATCTCGGCGACGAAGCGAGAGTCGCCTGTGATCTTGCGGAGATGGCTAGCTTTCCACTGGAGGAGAACCGGGCCGTATGTTTCAGGTACGAATAGAAAGATAGACCCCGTTATTAAACCTCCGAGAATCAGAGATGTCCATTCACTCCATCGCCAGCTGATTGCGGAGCTTTGGCCGATAAAAGCACCCACCATCGGTGCGAGAAACGGCCCCAGAAAGGAAAGCGAGGAACAAATGGGGAAGGCATATGTACGTTCGAGCCAGCTAAAGAGGTCGGACATGCTACCACCGAATGTTGTCAGGGGCGTGCACCCGAAGATGCCAGCAATGAAGCGAAAGGCAAGCTGAGCACCGATGTTAGGTGCTAGGCCTGACGCCATGATGAAAACCATAAGCATTGATAATGACACCAGGTAGACAGGGTTGCGTCCCACTATCTCCGAGAATGGCGCAGCGATGAGCGATCCAAAGCCGAAGGCGATCAGGTAGAGAGAGGTAGCAAGAGACTCCGTTACTTCACTGACTCCAAATGCATCTTGGCCTTGTTTGACCACAGCTGAGTCAATCGACGACGCCCATCCGACAAGAAACCCAGTTGTTCCAACAATCCCGAGTGTCATCCATTTACGTCCGAGGGTCCAGTTCTTAGGGTCAAACTGGTCGTGGTCTCTGTCAAACCCAACAACGAAGACGGCATTTGTATCAACAGTCCCACTGGAGGCTGAGCCACGACGAACCCTGACTCCAGGGATGGTAGCCCTTTGTCCATCGTGAAGAACCAGGACAGGATCGCCAAACTGGAAAGGAGGTGGACGCCGACCCTGGGGAGCAGAGGAAGCTTTCTCTAACGCGGACTCGCTGGATTCGATCTGCTGCTGAAAAAGAGCATCGCCAACGTCCTCGAGAATATCGCCAGTCGGCTGAGAGTAAGAGTGACCAGCAGCAGCATCGATACCGTGTAACTTGATGGTCCGCTCAAGATCCTCGCGAAGACGACGGTATTGAAGGAGGGACTGCATTTCATGAATTGGTAGCTGAAGTGACAATGACTTGAAGTAGATGTCCACTGAGAGATAATTATACTCACAGAAGGGAACTTAGCTTCTGAACTGAATTTTATATAAGAGCTTCGTGCTCGTTGCGGTATACAAAAGCCCGCTCGACCGCAATACCCGCCTTACTCCGCCTGGGATACCAGTGTATGAGGGACTGCTTAGGGAAGGGAATGTTAGATTGCTAACCGACGCCTATGTCTAGATTTGAGTTGCTGGATAATAAGCTGGGATATGAAGGTCAGCTGCGCCGTGTACATTTCGCATGCTGAGCGGTCCTTGTATGCTACTTAGAAAGACCATTATGCCAAATCAGCGTCTATTTCTTTGCCAAACATCATCCATTACTGGAATTTCTGCGTTCAAAAAGGCATCCCAATCCCAATCTAGACTACCCTGTGTCGTGGGATCACCGAGAAATGCCAATGCCGGATCATCATTGAAAGATTGGTTAGTCAATGTCAGGTCTGCTGGTTCGGTCAACTCGATTCCCTGGTCCTGTAGCCCATCTCTGAGGAGATCCAAGTCTCGTTCCTTCTTCATCTGAGATAGGCGAATCAGAGATTCTGCTGTTTCCACTGCTTTATAGATGGTATATGTATTGAAGTATTGGGGTATGATCTTGAAGGAACGCATTGCATGGCCCACGTGAGACAAAGACTCTCTCGTGTCAATTGCCAGTAGGATGCAGATGAATTGAAATGGGACATTTGCAACATGCCACCAAGGGCAACGTGCCTCGGCCATCCGCACCGCGGCCTCAAGCCCAAGATTACCGAGTCGAATGATACGGTCGACGACCTCGCTAGATATATTCGACATGGCATGCCGCAGACGTCGGTAAATGGTGAGTGCTAGATTGCTCTGGGAGAGGATCAGCGGGTCGTGAGAGAATTTGAAGCTCTCCACGCGTGTAAGGGAGTCCTCCAAGTCAGATGCTTCATTTGACTGGTCTGGATCCAGCAGTTCTGAGATTCGATAGAGCTGTACTAGATCCGCTGTAAAGTCCCCTTCCCGAGGCGATGGAGGTTTGCAGGATACCCCTCGTAGGACAACACGGGAACGGCCATATTCATTTGAAATCCACGCATTGAGAACGGTGGCAACCCAAAAGAGCCTCCGTTGGCTTTCTTCGTTCACGCTGATATCTGCGGTGTCGGAGTAGACCAGGGATACTAGATCTTGGTGAGTACCAGTCGCTTCCATGATGTGCATGGTAATGCAGCTAGCCATCCAAGATGAATGGGGCGAGTTAGTGCTTCGAAGGTAGATGGTCCGCAACAGCCAGGCAGTTGCGTGGTGCAAAAGAGGTTTCCTCATGGTACTGGCCATCTCCAGAATCTCCTTCGCTGTCTGAACCAATTCTGGCTCTCGCTCATGGCCACCATTGCGCGAATACAGCGACCCCAAAGCAGCAACACCGCACAGAACTGGGTCGTAACTGTCTGCTGCATCCAAAGCCTGCCATCTAGTGACAACCTTGTTTCTAAACATATCCGGGTCAAGGAAGGCATACAGAGGATGTACTTGTTCAAAGTAAACGTTTGCAAGGGCTTCCATATCGTGTTGGGTAATCAGGCGAGTAATATTGGTGTATGGCTGGGTAGGCTCTTCCCGAAGACCTAAGTTCCAACTGAAGCCATGAACTTTCGGGGCGCCACCGGGATTGAATTTCATGGCCAAAACCTGGGGGAAGGTCATCCCGGAGTTTGCCTCCATGTGCTCTTGGTTTAGAGCGTCACTTTTCACCTGAGGCACTGACAGTCTAGGAACGTGCGGCGACGATGAAATAGTAGTCTCCGGATGAGTGAATCTCTTGCGCGGATTCGCGCTGTAAGCACAGTCATATTCATAGCGTAGACAGAAGCCACAGGGGTCTTTGCCATCACACTTTCGTTTGCGGACCTTGCAGGTCTCGCAGGCCCGTTTAGTCCTTTGGCGAGTTCGTCTCCCACGGAGCTGACTAGGACTTCGTATTTGAGAGGCACTCGAATCCATTCTAAGGTCCAATTCCCAACTGAGATGAAGTGAGAGCAGCGAGAGATGGGAACAGTTGAGGACAATTCAAGTTGTTGGCTTGAGAAGTTGAGAAGTCGTGGAAACCTCAGGCACACGATGTCCGGATTAGGTCGAGTGTGCACATGACGGGCTAAACCTTTAATGGATAGGCGCATGTATGGTCGTATTACTAGGTAGGCCTGCCTGTGCCGTGAGATAGGTAGCGAGGGCGGTCTAGGACGGCAGAACCTCACGTGTACTAACACCCCCCACGCACGAGCAGCCTACAAACTATGGAATCAATCTAAATACAGAAATCGGCCTCTATTCGGGCCTTCAAATGAGTGAATATATGCAAAAATAAACAGAGGAATGAAGGTTCTGCTTTAGCCAATCGAATGCCGTATATCAAAATAGAAAATATATCCAAAATGGGGGAGATATACGCGGCTTAGCTTATGCCAGTGAGTTGTAGGAAATGATCAAATTGTTCAGTTCGGAGAGGTTTGGTCAGGCCGTCTGCTGCTTGTTCTTTGGTAGGGCAGGCCTGGAGTTTAACAATACCGTCTTGGATCTTCTCCCGAACGTAATGGTAACGTATATCGATGTGTTTGGATCTCTTGGTGGTGAGCTCAGCTTCAGCCATGGCGTGTGCACCTTGATTATCGATATAGAGAGTAATTGGCGGGCATTCAGTAGGGAGCACGTTGAGCTCGTTGATGAGGTTCCGGAGCCAAAGGGCATCTCGGCTGGCTTCACTTAGAGCCATATACTCAGCTTCGTTGGAGCTAAGTGCAACGGACGTTTGCTTGCGGCTTTTCCAGGCAATTGGGGCCCCGGCAAGCAGAAATATATATCCAGATACTGACCGGCGATTGCCTGTCAGTTGACCACCCCAATCAGAATCAGTATAACATCTGGGCATGAGGAGGTCAGATGTAATGGGTTCCGTGGCCTTATGGTAGGTAATTTGTCGGTTAATGGAGCCTTTAAGGTAGCGTATAGCGTGTATAAGGGCACGCCATGCCTTTTGGGTAGGTTTGGCGTGATATTGGGATAGTACGCCAACTGTCCGGCTAAGATCAGGTCGGGTTTTGGTGGCTAGCCAAGTAAGGCAGCCTACACCACGTTGATATTCTTTGATGTTCACTGTAGGGTCTGGGTCATCATCAATTATTAAACTAGGATCCATGGGGATCCCAACAGGGTGTGCTTGTGCTTGGCCAAAAGAGGCAACCACGTCTTCAGCATAATTGGCCTGGGAGAGAGTATATGTGGTCTTGGATTGAGAGGTGGCCATGCCAAGGTATTTGGTAGAGTTTCCAACTTCTTTTATGTCAAATTTAGCAGAAAGAGACTCCATAAACCAAGTGGCATCGTTCTCATGCTTAGCATAGACTTTGAAGTCATCCACATGGGTAGTCACATAGAGTTGGGTCCGGGTGGTATGGATCCAGAGACCAGAGTCGTATTCGGAGCTTTTGAAGCCAATTTGTCGTAAGAAAGCATTTAGTGTATCATACCAGATACGGGCAGATGGGATTAGTCCATAGAGGGACTGGCGGAGTTCACAAACCAGGTCTCCAGAGCCTTCTTTGAATCCCTGAACTTGGGTCATAAAGACACGTTTATCTGTGGGCATTTTTCCATTTAGGAAAGCAAGGATGGCATCTGCCTTTCGAGTATGCCAGCCAAGTAGAGTGGCCAGTGCTGTAAGGGTTCTAGTGGTATTTTCATCTACCACTGGGGCGTATGATTCCATGAAGTCCTTGTCAAGTAGATTTCCACGGATCACCCAGCGAGCTTTAGCTTGGTAGTCCCTTGTAATAGGGGTACCAGGGATTTCTTTCTTTTTGTATACCCACCGGCCAGGGATGACCTTGGTCCCTGGTGGTAGGTCAGAGCGGCGGATAAGTTGCCAGCAGCCTTTTTCTTTGAGTTGGTTGACTTCTTTTTGCATGGCTGCTTGCCACTTGGTGGCATCAGGATGAGATATAGCCTGCTTATAGGAAGTAGGCGTGTCATCTTCAGATGAAGGAGTGGTTGAAGCGGTGAGATAGGCTAGGGACATGCCTTTGGCGGGTCGAAGCCATATTTCCTGGTCTTCATCTTCAACGGGTTGGTTTGTATCTTCTTTATTAGGAGTACTTGGATCTTCAGGAACAGTAGCTTGTGGAGGTGTAGTTGTGGGATCCTCATATTCTTCATCAAATATAGTGTCATTGGTTGAAAAAATGGCGTCTGTTTTAGGGTCCCACACTCTGTATTGTTGGCTACTGATTTGGCCGATCATGAAGCAGCATTTAGAATGGGAATCGAACTTGTTTATAGGCTTATCTGAGCCATGTCGATGAACCCAGACAGGGCAGCCCCAACGTCGGTATTTGTTGATACTAGTTGGTGAGTTGGTCCAGGCAGCCAGAGGCGATTTATATGGGCTTGGGCTGATTTTGGTGTTGGTATTGACCCCCAGGGATAGGTGAATTGAATAGGACTGTGGATGTTGGGAGGCGGTTTGTTATATCTGATGCATATTTTAAAGCATCAACCCAAAATCGCTGTGGTATATGGGGAGCGTCAAGCATTAATGTCCGGGCACGGTCAAAGAGTATGCGTATGCTGCGCTCACTGACACCGTTTTGCCAAGGGGAATATGGAGAACTTGGTTGCCATTCAATGCCTTCCTGACGGTAGGTTTTCTGCCATTCAGCTGAACAGAATTCATTGTCAGAGACAATATAGGCTGGGGCAGGGAAATGGTGATTCTTCATCTGTTGTAGCCAACCCCGAAATGCATCAATTGCAGCAGATCTTTCAGTTAGGTAGTGGATCCAACGGTAACGTGTAGCGTCATCAGTAATAAGCATCACATATTTGGCTCCTGTACGTGAAGGTAGAGGCATATCTAGCTTCTCTATATCTAGTGTTCGGCTGCCACCAGCAAGGTCTATGTGGACTCGGGCTAGTGGTGCAGTCATATGGGATCTTGGTGTTTTGCTGTATTGGCGAGTTTGCTTGCCCTGGATGCAGGCTTCACAAAGTGGTAGTTCTTTGGAACCTTTGATTTCAATGTCTGATGTAGGATCTGCGGCAAGGCGTAAAAGATCCTGCTGGTTTAAATGGCATAGACGGCGATGCCATGTCATAATTGGTAGAGCTGTTTTGGAGCTCTTAGTCTTTGGGGATGTTGTAGGTTTCTTTCTGGGAGGGTCCCCTGGTCGGTTGGCCTCTTTGCCAGACCGGGTGGTGACAAAGGCATAGGAGCTCTCGTCGGGAGAAATGCAATCTGATAGGATGAATACATTGTTGGTATTCAAAATGGCTTCAAATTCTGCACCAGAAGAGGTTGTGATTTGTGCTACTTGAGAGCTGGAAGGGAATTCGATATGAAAACCTTGTTTGAGAAGCATTCCCATGGAGATTAAGTTGGAATTGAAGGATGGAACATGTCGTACATCCCTAAGGATCAAGGATCCGGTTCCAATATCAATGACGACGGTGCCAATACCATGAGGTTTGGAAATCTTCCCTTGAGCATCTTCAATATAATCCGCTGGAGTAAGGTCCTCCTTTCTCAATGTTTTATAGGACGTGAAGAAAGCTTGGTGGGGTGTAACATGGAATGAAGCACAGCTATCAAGATACCATGAAGCTTGGAGAGATTGGGCTGATTTAGCAATGGCTGTTTTTGCAGCTGAAGAAGTCCATGGTACCAGTTCATTGGTTTCTGCTTCAGAGAATGAAGCAGTGGAAGATTCTTTAGCAGTGTGTAAAGCACGAATAGCTTCAATAGTATTTTTATTGGCTCGGTGCCAATGCTCAGAGGCTTTCTCAGGGTTCTTGTAGAGGCAAGGCATTGGGTGGAAATGACCACACCAATCACAACGGGTCTTTGGTTTGCGTGAGTCCTGGTCCTGAGGTTTATATTTAGTGTTGGAACTTGAGGCGGAAGAGCTAGCAATGGGGTTAGATGCTTGTTTGGAATAGCTTCGTCCGGATAGATTCTCTCGTCGTCCTCCGTGTTGGGAGCAGGATTCACGGGCTTGGGTGCCCATACGGATAGAGAGTTGAGCTTGAATGGTAGTTAGGTCCAGATTGATGACAGGGCCTTGTCCAGTTGAGTATACTTCATCAAGTTTACTCTTAATGAATGCTTTGTTCCATTCGCGGAGGCCTATAAAAAATAGGTCGTGAATAAGGTTGTCAAATGATGCTTCTTTTATAGCATGAAGGCGGTCTACTATCCTAGTAAACGCAGATTGGTAGGATAGGTAGTCATTGTCTTTTATATAGAGCTCCTTGAGCTCTTTTATGAGAAGCATTCGTTCTTCACCAGTAGAACGTCCGAAAAAGGTAGCAGTTCGGTCCCATAAACCATGGGCTGATAGGTCATATGTGTTGCCCAATTTGTCAATGGCTTGGGCAGTCATAGCATGAAGCATTCGGGCTCTCATGACAGTGGCTTTGCAATGCCATACTTCAGCATCATAAGCTGAGTATCCTGCTGGAGGTATATCCTGATGCAAGACTGTACTAGCGTTCAGGACATTGGCTTCTCTTTGAATGGCTGAACTCCAGAGGTCGTAATTATCATGAGACAGTGTGATTCGGCATCGGTCTGGTAGGAGCGCTTTAACTTGAGCTTGTACATGATCAAAAGGGTCTTTTTGTACTGGATTTGAGGCTGGAATAGCCGTATTATTTTGAATATGATTGTAGGGAGTAGCGTTATGCCGGACTGTAGGAGTGGAGGATTGGGATTGATGGTGTTCAAGGGCATTAAAACGAGTCATGAACTGGTCCATCTGCTTCTGCATTTGTTCCTGCATTTGTTCCTGCATCTGCTGGAACAGAGCTGTGATGTCTGGTGTGGATGCCATGGTGTTGGCTGTAGTAGAGCTTTGAGCTCTAGGGGCAGTTGGGGTGTCCATTTCTTCAGAGATTACTGAGGAGGCGGAGGAGCCTATATCTGATGAAGGATCTGTGGATTCTGGCTGACG